GATCCACATATCAATGAACTGTATTGGATTAGTACCCCTCCTCCTCGCCGGTCAGCTGCTTCTTGAAAAACTCCCGTTCGTTCATCTTGTCCTTAGTATTAGAAAAACGAATATGGAAGCAGACAAAAACTCGTATCGAGAACTGTGATTGGGATCATGATCAGATGAAAGAATATCAAGACTCTTGAAGAGTAGATCAGCCTTACCACTCCAAATACTTTTACTCATCGCTGCAAATCGATCTACTTAGTAGTCAGGTACAACTACCAGTTTTAGTCAAATGAAATCACGTCGATCGCCCCGTCTCAAGTTTCAGGGGGTTTCACTCCAGCTAGAACTTTTTTTTGTATCCCGGGGCTACTAAATGAGCGGCCTCAGCTTTATCCGGTTCGCAAACCGACGGCAGGTGGAGTCCGGTTACCTCCTTATAATACAGCGCACTAATTGCCTACGAACCCGCCGATTCTAAAATGGTGAACCCTAGGGGCAAAGGAGGCGGATTACGAGTCTTATATAAACCTCCACCGGCTGCCAACCGTCCCACTCTTATACGCCTACCTTCAAGGCACGAGCGCAGGGGATGCCAACCCTGCTAACTCTTGACTAATGCGCAGTCAACTGACAAGTGAACAACTAGAAGTAAATGCCTACTGGCGTAAGGCCCTAAGTACAACATGTTTTGCGTTGTTGGGAGTGCACTAGCCTAGTTTTTCTAGAACGCTAAGTGCGACAGCCTGGCGAAAGTAGGATTCAGAGAACCTATCTCTATTGACAACATTCATTGTGACTGTTATTGTGGGACTACGTGCGAAGCAAGAAGATTCATTCATGTGGTTGTCACTAGTACATTATTGTGGGACTACGACTATCTCTATTGACAACATTCATTCTGACTGTTATTGTGGGACTATGCCTTAATTCCGAGAGATACGTTTCTTTCTCTGACCACCAAATCAGCATGTTCGTCTTCAATTGCAGCTACCCGTGCCTTTGCCTCTTGCTGAACCATGATCTGAAGATGATTGCTCAACACGTGTGAAGTAAATACTTATAGTACGGGTGGAGCCAAGCTAACTAGGAAGAAAAAGTAAAGGAAGTAAATACTTATAAATAGTGTTATACTTCCAAGAAGTTGAACTGGTAACTTCCCACCACTTGCGAAGCAAGAAGATTCATTCATGTGGTTGTCACTAGTATCCATTCATGGGGTGTGGACTTGGATTTACTTAGGATTCACGTGTGAGTCTCAGAGAGTGCTAATAATGTGGCATTTTAGCCTCTACATGCGAAATAGGTACTACCTGTGGATACGGCTTTACAAGTTCGCCCCGAGGAGTATAAATTAGAGATGTTGGACCAAGTTTTTCCAAATTTTCATCAAGTATCACAAGAGTCTTGGAGAGCACTTCTCTAAGAAATACACGAAGTGCCGTACTGCACACTTCTCAGCAAGAAGAGCAGGGCTCTGCTCTTAGTTGTCATCTTCATTGGGAGACTTGAACTTGATGAGAAGAGCAGAAAAACTCTATCTCTAGGAGCCATAAATATAGCATTTGACAAGGCTCTGGCTCGCTAATCTCCGGTTCGTGATCTGGCTCGACTTCCACCGTATTCTGAACCAAAATATCGCGTTGCATCTCGCTGGTCGTATTGAGGTGGATTGGTGTTGCAGCTACGTCGAGGAAGAAGATATTTGAAATAGTACAATTTGAGATGAAGATGATCTTCGAAGTTGATTGGGAAGACGAAATCATGCATCTTCAATAAATTGTGGTGGAGCCGACCTAACTAGAAAAAAGACAGACCAGAGGAAGATAGAAAAGAGAAAAGGGTAACTATCAACAAGTAAATGGCGGGAAAGAACAAAAAGTTAAATGGCGGTTAATATCATCCTTGCATTCAATCGTGCACAGAGTACAAGGGACTTGATATTCATTTTCTGCACCTCCTTGATATTCAATCGACACAACCGAGTACAACAAGGGACTATAAGAAGTAGGGAAATACGTGTCATTCACTCGACGTTCAAGAGATCTTGTTCGCTTTCCTTTCTTAGAAGATCGAGATTTTCTTCCTTCTCGCTTTGATTTCGTTGCTTCCTTCCATGCTGGTAGCCTAGGAGAGTTGATGATTCTAATGTTTGAGCCTGACAATACTTGATACAGATACTGGTACAACGGATAAAAAAAGATTAAGATAGTAGTTTGCTCCCCGGTTGTTATCGATCCTCATACATACATATGCATATCCAGCCCTATTAAAAAATAGTCAAGGGTAGATGATGTTGATTCCGTTTATCAATCCCGTTCCCGTAGTCTACTACTTCAAATCGTACAACTAGTAGTACTTTTTATCAATCCCGTCTACGACTTTGGCAACAATCGGGTTCAAAACGTAGGTATCGGCTGCTTTGGCTGCAAATTGCCCAATGCCGAACAGATCGAAGAACGGAATCGGAATGTGGTTGTACACAGTGTTTGCGATTTTATTAGACAAGGATGAGATTTACCTAGGACTTTTCAAAGTCAGTTTTTCTATGGAGTAAAAATGTAGTGTGGAGGACTTATAGTCCGACTATGGAGTAAAAAAATAAATGTAGTGTTCTTAGACAATGAGTATTATGAACAGGTGATGTTGCAGCTAGAGCACCAGAACCTACCTCCTAGAGGAGGAGGTCGGACCTCTAGGTCTAGTACACCTGCTAGATCCATGTTGGTTGTGGAAACTAGTACTAGAAGAAGAACTCAAGTAGTCTTCATCAAACCTAGTAGACCCAACGCTGACTTCTGGTAGACCCGACCCAACTTTCTAGTAGACCCAATCAAGTTTTCTGTTCCCATAATATTTGCGCCTCCCCCATCTTCCTCCGGAGTTCCACTGCCACTGCTCTCGTCTGGAGTGTTTGCTGTGCTTTCGCTGAATGATCCCTTGCTTAGATGATGATGCAAATCCTGGACAGGACTACAACCAAGTATCTAGTAGAATATACTCCATGCTGCTGGCTGGTTTTAGTATTCGGTAACCTAATTTTGATCGCAAGAGTTCTCCTCTTGCTTCCCCTGATGATCAAAATCAGGCTACCAAATGTCAATACCACACACATTCACATACACTTGTAGCTGAGCATGATCACGACTAAAATCATAAACTATCTTCAGACGCGGCAAGTGGTGGTTCTGGCAGTACCGAAGTCCTACTGCTTTCCACTTCGGATTTAGAGATTGCTTTGATTGTAGTCTTCTGGGATATTTTCTTTCATAGAAAGGATAAAACCACAAGAAAAGCCGTCATGCACTGTGAAGAAGACGAGGACGACACATATTTCCATATATCGGGTAACACGGAGTACATAACAAGAATAAGTGTCTAATCTACTTTCAAGTAATTGGTAAACTAGTCTTATCGCTAGATGGGCAAGAGCTTCCTATCCAATGAACATTTAAGAGGAAGACGGATGATTTTTTGATCATGACATAATATAATATCCGCCCTTGTTTATTTCGTAGCCGCAGCTGCCTCGGGAGGAAGCGCAATCCTGCTGTCTTAGAGTATTTACTAGACAACATTTAGTCTATGCAATGCAATAAATCTCGCACAAAGTTCAGCGCAGACTGCCTTGAGGGCGTCGTAGTTGTTCGTCACGATGATAACTCACGCAAGATTTCAACATGCTATTTTGTATACAGCTAACCCTAACGCTTCTGCTAAGGGTAAGAAGTGCGGTAATAATAATGTTCTATAATATGCTGAGAATGTAAACCACATTTGGCTAGAATGTAATCAACTTTTCTTCCGAGAATGCAAGAACTGCAAGTCACGCAAGTAGTTGTCCTGCGAGAACTTCTTGTCCCGTAATGTTAGCAAGTCCGGATTAGACGTGGATGAGGTGGCGCGTCCACTTCCGGTTAGGGCTCGTCCGGTGAGTAAGTCATCTGAACGTCTCTGCAACACTGCTGGCGATACTCCACCACCTCGTGTGGAAAACTTACGAGTAGGCGACGGCGGAGGCATTCTTCTTCTACGACAACCTCCAGAACTATCTTCTACGAGGATCAGGACAACTAATAAATTATTTTTACAGTCTAAAAATACAACAAAAATGTTTGAAATAATAATTGAAACCGAAGAAGACTAAAATCCACCTTACAATGATTGAAATAGAGGAAATCGGTACTTCTACAACTACATCAAGATCAACGGCAAAAATCTCCAATTTAGGAGTACTTCTGCTTGTAGATGACCAGGACACACTAACAAAATTTCTAGAACTAATATGGTGTTCAACTTCTCTATGGCAATGGCGTGCTCTAGTCTACTTGTTCCATTTCTTCTCTTTGTCATTTGCTAGAGGCAAGGGTCGTGGGCTTATATCGGTATCGGATGGAAATTGGAGGTGGATGCAGAGTTTTCTTTTGAGGACATAGTTGTATCATCCATGCCATAGGGGAGCTTTCGAATTCATAGATTTGAGGTTGCTTGTTTAGACCGCAACGGCAATTTCTTATTTTGGGTGCCCGTCCTATTATAGGGGTGTCCGTCGCCTCAAAGAGGATTGGAACAGATACAGATTGGTCTTGACCGATATAGCACAAGACAGAAATCCACACAGAGTCTCAAACTGGAACTTTGAATCCCAAATTACAGTAGTCTGAAACGCTCTTCAATCCCACCAGAGTCTGAAACTTTGTTGCATCTTTCCAAATTATACAACTAGGTATTTCGCATGGGGGACGACCAGGACCGATCATGACGATATTTTTCCGTGAAAAATGCGCGAGTCAGTAGACCGCGCATCAACAACATGCTTCCCTGAGTCTCTTTCGAGTTCTGCTGATTTCGCTGATGTTGAAGCTGTGAGGATGGCCCGGTGCTTCTACGTTGTTGAGAAGCTGTGAGGATGGCCCCAGTGGCGCTCCTCGTTGTTGAGAAGCTGTGAGGATGGCCCCAGTGGCGCTCCTCGTTGTTGAGAAGTTGGCGCTCGAGGTCGAGCTTCTACTTCTATGCTAAAGCCTAAAGACTGCGACGGATAAAAATAGTAGGCCTTCTTCTTGAAGAAAATAAAGTCCCTTGATATGATTACACGAAGACAGAGACGCCATGCCTATCTCATTTTTCCAAGTCAGTGACTGACTCCTCAGGTCAGTGAAAGAAAATGACGCCTGTGCCTGTGCCTTTTGCAGAAGGTCTTTAAGTAATTCAACTTCCTTTTCTTTTCCGTGCTTTTTTATCATTCTTTTCGTTTACTCTTTTCATTCTGCCTAGGACGAGATCGGCATATGCATATGTCCCTGAAACGAGGCTCCCTACAACAATCTCTTGGCAGCCCCCCCCCCCGCGTGTTCAGCGACGTCCATTTCGTCTTTCCTTTTCATTTGGCCTTATTTCATACCCAAACTTTCCAAAACCTGTCGACGGAATTCATCTCCTCGCTCTCCTGCATAGTGTTGAAAGTTGTAAGGCATCTTCTGCTCAATGAAGGCATCACCCTTTACCACCTGCCCGGACCCTTCTTCTCCCTGCACGAAGCCTTCCTCTGCAAGCTCCTGCGCGTCAGCCATTCTGTTTGCAGGGACTCTGAAAGATATGCTCGTGGGCGCAAAGCTGTTCGCTTCCTTAACAAGCCTAGCCTGAGAACTGCCAGATGGGCCAGGCCTCTCAAAAGCCTCTTCCCCTTCCAGCGCCTTCATCAGCTCTTCACCTTGTTTTCCTTCGTCGATGTCCATCGGAACCTGATGCCGGCTTTCCTCCATCTGAACCTCCTGAGGTGTTGCGCCCTCCTGAACCTGAGGCATTGCTTCGTCTGCTTTGACGAGATCCCGGCTTTCTTCACGACCTCCGTGTCCGTGGGCAGCGGAATGAGCACGCACAAGCTTCTCAACCTGCGTTTTGATGTACTCGCGTAACACGTTTTCTCTCTTCTTCCCATCCTCGCTTTGGTCTTGATGGCCCTCTCCCAGCAAGCGACCTATCTCTGTGGGAGTCCAACTAAGTGTTTTTTCAGGAAAGCTCCCGCTCAGAAGGGTGCGCGCTCTGTTGCCACCAGCCTCCAAGGTGCCTGCCCACATCACTGGCCCTCCCGAAGCAGGGTTCCACTTCTTGAACTGGCCTGCAAGTGTTTCGGTCAAAAGTTCGCCGGTCTTTTGGTCTACCCATGCCCCCTCAGCGCCGAAAAGCTCATGCCCCAGAAGATACCGCAGCAGCTTCTTTTCTTTCGTCTCCGTAGCCTCATCAGCGCCTTGCTGTAGTTGTGCTGCCCCTTCTAATTGAAGCTTCGCGGCCGTTGTAGCGAAGAGGAGCAAGCCCGAAAGGAAGACGCTCGTAAAGCTTTGACAAGTGAACTTAGAGTTGTACCAAAAGTGCGATCGCGCCCAACGCACATGGGAGAAGGCCCCATCCACTCCCGTATAGTACCACGACGTCTCATGCAAAAAGCGTTCTTTTAGGCTCGCCATCTTTGTCACGGGCTGCACAACAAGATCTCCCTGTCCTCCCCCGGTGAATCTCGTGAAGATGCGTCTGTTCTTGTAACCAACGTTAGCAGTGGCGGACTCCATCAGTGTCAATATGAGCGAGCGAACAGCGCTGAGAGGCACTCCTCCTCCATGGACCGGCATTCGGCAGCCAATGAAATCGTTTAACAGACCATACGCGTTTCCGCGTGAAGTCGCAGCAATGTTTGCACGGAAAGGCGTGCCGCTAGTGGCTCCCGCATACCCGAGCAAGTCTCCTGGTGTCACGCCATACTCTTCATACATCCTATTCATGGAGATGCCGTGGACAGCGTATTTCACATTTTGGAGCCATTTCCATTGCTCCTCGCTGCGTTGGGATTTATTGCCGAAGCGCATGCGTGCGTCCAGGATTTTGTCGCCTGACGTGGCCCAGGTCTCAGATGACTCTGTACCGCTCTCGTTCGCGTCATACACGCGGGCGGTAAAAAATCTGCACAGCTCGCCCAAACTATCAGCAAGACCAGAGGTTGAGGTAGTTGCACGTTGTTGGTCTGGATCGCTAGTAATTTGCGCAGGAGGCTTGGCTTGCCAGACAAAACCCAGTTTGCTCAGCTTGTGCTCGCCCTCCCCTTTCTGGAGCCACTGATCCCGACGCTCGGGCCACGTTTTCCCCTCTTCTGCGTAGTCCTCGAGCCCGGATGAGCGATGACTCAAGTCCTTGGGAAACTCCTGGAAGTAAGCCACGTGGTGAGTGTTCAAGTCAACATGAAAAAGCTTCGGGGAGCCTTCTGCCTTCCCGAGGCATTGATGGTGCACCACCGGAGGCTGCAGGACTTCCTCATTTCCGAAAATCGCTTCGTCCCGCCCCAGCCTGCTTGGAATTACTATGCCTTGCATTTGCGTCTCATCTCGATAGTAGCACTCGACGCGCTCGATCATGACGTCACCTTTGTCTTCCACATGATCCACTTGGTTTCCCTTGTTAGTATAAAAATCAGAGCTAGCCCCCCCAATGGGCGGAACGGTCAACTCGGAGAGAGCTGACTCCGCCTTGATGTGTGCCATCAGTGGGTACTTCAAGCTAGGCACTTCCGTTCCCTGCACAACATCACGGAGTGCGCCCGCTAATTTCTTGTGCGAGTCGCCGAGGCCCGCAGCACTGTCGTGATCGACGAGCGAGCGCATTTCAACAAGGCCGTGCTCGGCGTCTTCCGGCGACATGATTTTCACTTCCGACGCCCCATCTTTGAAGACGAGTTGCGCGTGCGTGCGTGGGTCTTCCACGGTGATGCTCTTAGATCCTCCTTCGGGTTTAAATCCTTTCATCTCAGCATACATGCAACAGCGTCCATTTCCGTCCCTGATTTGCATGTAATATTTCACTTTGAATTTGCAGCAGCTTTCTTGTAGTTTTACCCCGTCAAAAACTAGCCGCGAGCCAAAGACATGACTTGGATCCAAGAAGACAACGTGGGTTGCACGCGGAGCACCTTCCTCCTCTTGATGAAAAGCCTTCAGCATTGTCTCTGTAGACATCAAATCCGAAAAATATTCAGTCCTCTTCTTGGTGCCTTGTGAATTCGGTGTGTAGGGCGCAACTCCTAGCGGACCCTTAAACGCTTCACTCCACGGAATCCAAGAAGGAGTGAGCCCCTCCGACTCCACGTTGGCGAAAAGCTTGAGCCAGGCTTTCACTTCCCCATCCATCGGAGCCGGAACTTCCTCCGGACGAAGAGGAGCCCCAGGAGGGTTTTGGACAATTTTGCCATCTTCTAATCGACCACTGGGCAAGGTGGCCCAATGAATGACCAAGGCGAACTCAAAGGATTCTTCTTCCTCAGGCTCCTTGGAGCGATCGGGATCGTTGTGGTTGCGCAATATACAAGCCCGAGTCAATTTGTCCAGCATCTCTTGATGGAGAACCTTATCCTCGTCCAGCCACGACTTCGAATCTTCTCGGCGATACACGATCCACGTGGCCAATTTTTCTCGCTTGCGAAGCCACTCCGAGTCCATTTCTGGCAGCTCGGAGAGGACCCAGCCGCGTCCGTCATCCGCCAATGGGCCACCTTCATCAATGGGCATAGCACTGGCCACGCGCTCATTCATCAACGCCTTCGCCTCCTCCGTGTGACCCGTCGACCAGGCTCCGTGGATTGGCTTAGCAAGCAAACGGAACAGGTTGATGTCAACTCGGGTAACAGCTGTCTGATAATTCCGAGGCCAGTCGTTCAGGTACTGCGCCAGTCCGTGGTCCATCATGATTTCCTTGACGCTTGTCAGTGAACGCGAGAATTCTTTCTGGAACTCGGTGCCGCCGATCGGGTGAAAGTAGCACTTGTGCAATTCCCTCACGGCCATAGGTGGCTTCCCCTTCCCCTCCACTTCGCATGCCTTCACAGCCTCGTCGTATTTGGACTGAAGATCGTCTTGTTCTGTTTTCTTGCCAACCTTGTCGTGGGCGCGATGAACAAGCGAAAGCGAAAAATACCCACTCACGGGATAGGCGGAGATGACCAGTGGCCAAAGCTTTGAGTAGACAAGAGCCATCTTTTTTTGCTCCTACTTCGTTCGACGGATTACAAGTAAAGCTAGAATGAAGACTACGATTACTTTGCAAAGCTAGATGTATAGTACCGAGTTGAAAAAAATAAGAAATTGAAGATTCTTGATCTTGATGATGTTATAATTCAACTGTTATTAGAAACCTCTTGAGATTCGTCAGAAAATAAAACCAAGCTCGACATTCCACATATATCTCGGCTTTGAGTGCCTGACTGTGTAATTAATCACGTTTATTATTGCATGCATATTTTTTAAAAAAGTCGACTTTTCACCCGGATAGAGAACTCCTGCACCCATATGTTGATACTGTAGGAGTAGAAACCCACTACATTCCCAGCGCTAGAATTCTTCTCGCATTCATAACACGAAACAGAAAGTTTTTTTTTCGTTGATTGTAAGAAAAGATGGAAGCGGGAATCTATTGGAAACCCGGGCGAGCCACTACCCGGAGCGGAGTCCAGCGCACCCTCGTGAGAACATGCGGAAAGAAGCGCTACTTCGCATACAAGGTGGCCATTTTAGTTTCAGATTTCAGGGGATCTCGCTTCATTTATTTTTTGTATTCCAAGACCGCCGGAAGGGTAAAGTATTTCAAATTCTTCAAACAATGAGCAAGTTCTTGCGTAAGTAAGTAGCTATTTTGAAAAGAGTTTTTTGTTTTATTCTCGGAAATAATATTAGTTCCCAAGAACTACTTAGAAGGGCTCCAGGATCGTTGGATGAACCACCTAAAATTGTTCAAGTCTGAAAAGTCGAGGAGGAAGATGAAGTTTCAAACTCTACTAGCAATGCGTGGTGAGCTAATCTTGAGCCAAAATGGCTACGGATAGCGATAGCCTCTCAGAATAAACGGAAGCAAAGGCGTTCTTGTGTCCCTGTTCTTAGATTGAGCGTCCAAGATTCTTTTTGCTAGCTTAGGTGGAAAAAGAAGTTTTTGTTTTCACTTGATATTACTTACTTGTGCTCTTAGACAAGAAGTTTTCAATACTTGTGCGGTTAGACAAGGAAGGTCTTTTTTAACTACTTCTAGATCTAGTTATACTCACCTTTTAGACCAAATAGATCGTTTATGGCCAAGAATAACACAAGCAAACGAAGTAAGTAGATACGACTTTAGACTCCTTAGGTACAAAGGATGTGAGTTCGATCAGCGTCAGTTGTTTCCTTTTTCCCGTTGATCTTCTATGAATAGAAAACAAACAAAAAGCGACTTTTCTCGGTACAACTACAATGCTTTTAGACGTCTTACAAACCCGTTGTGGGTTTAGGGTACTATATTACTCTTCGTGTTTACTGTTTAATTTTGGTCTTTTCTCTACTTTTTTTAGTCTTTTCTGAGGTTTTTGGTTAAGAGAATGACTCTCTTGAAAGCGTTTTTCTTTGTGGAAGTTGTGGTCTGGGTCTCTTCTAGAGGGTCCAGATGATATCTTTTCGCTGTGCCTGTAAGTGGAAATCTTGCAAGATCGTCATCATTATATTGCTGCATGGGATAAGCCTAAGGTTGAGAGGTAAAAACTAACCGGTTGTTTTATTTAGTGCTTTGAGCGTCGCTGGACCTAAACCTTCGCCGTTTTACGGGCAAAAGCCAATCAAGATTTGCAGCGCAACCTCTCATTTATATAAGATCATCATCATTATATTATAATTCTAGCTTTATTAATGATCGGCAAAAGTCGAGGTCTGACGTCAGGGTTTTAAGGGCGAGCAAGGAGAACCACAAGGGGCACAAATCAACGGACCACCAGGACTCTCAGAGTTTTAAGGGGAAAGCCAGGGAATCCCAGGGTTCCCAAGGAGGGCTAAATCGCGGTCGGGTCAGGGTTTGGCATCTCAGGGTTTGCAAAAAGGGGCACAAAAGTCAGGGTCCAGTTCTCAGGGTTTTGCAGGCACAAACGGCGCCAGGGTTCGGCATCTCAGGGTTTGGCATCTCAGGGTTTGGCATCTCAGGGTTTGGCACCTCAGGGCTTGGCATCTCAGGGTTTGGCATCTCAGGGTTTGGCATCTCAGGGTTCGGCATCTCAGGGGTTGCTTGGCATCTCAAGGTTTGCTTCCCGCCTCAGAGTGGCGCAGTGTCAGGGTTTAATAGCGCCTCAGAGTCTCAGTATGTCAGGGCGTCCCGCCTCAGAGTTGCGCCAGGTCAGGGCTTCGCGCCTCAGAGTTTCGGCAGGTCAGGGTTTTCCGCCTCAAAGTTGCGCCACGTCAGGGTTTAGCGCCTCAGAGTTTCGCACCTCAGAGTTCCGGCGGGTCAGGGTTTAGCGCCTCAGAGTTCCGCGGGTCAGCGTTTTGCCGTCTCAGGGTTTCCCGCCTCAGAGTTGCGGAATGTCAGGGTTTAGCGCCTCAGAGTTTCGCCCCTCAGAGTTTCCGGAGGTCAGGGCTTCCCGCCTCAGAGTTGCGCAATGTCAGGGTTTAGCGCCTCAGAGTTTCACGCCTCAGAGTTTCGGCATGTCAGGGCTCCCCGCCTCAGAGTTGCGCCAGGTCAGGGTTTACCGCCTCAGAGTTTCCAAGGTCAGAGTTTCAGCGGGTCAGGGTTTCCCGCCTCAGAGTTGCGCAATTTCAGGGCTTAGCGCCTCAGAGTTTCGCGCCTGAGAGTTTCGGCATGTCAGGGCTTCCCGTCCTCAGAGTTGCGCAGTGTCAGGGCTTCGCGCCTCAGAGTTGCGCGCCTCGGAGTTTCGGCATGTCAAGGTTTTGCGCCTCAGAGTTCCCCGCCTCAGAGTTGCGCCAGGTCAGGGTTTAGCGCCTCAGAGTTTTGCGCCTCAGAGTTTTGCCGTCTCTGGGTTTCCCGCGCCGCCTCAGAGTTGCGTAATGTCAGGGTTTAGCGCCTCAGAGTTTCGCGCCTCAGAGTTTCGGGATGTCAGGGCTTCCCGCCTCAGGGTTGCGCAATGTCAGGGCTTCGCGCCTCAGAGTTTCGCGCCTCAGAGTTTCGGCATGTCAGGGTTTAGCGCCTCCGAGTTTTGCGCCTCAGAGTTTTGCCGTCTCAGGGTTTCCCGCCTCAGAGTTGCGCAATGTCAGGGCTTAGCGCCTCAGAGTTTCGCGCCTCAGAGTTTCGGCATGTCAGGGCTTCCCGGCCTCAGAGTTGCGCAGTGTCAGGGTTTCGCGCCTCAGAGTTGCGCGCCTCGGAGTTTCGGCATGTCAGGGCTTTGCGCCTCAGAGTTCCCCGCCTCAGAGTTGCGCCAGGTCAGGGTTTAGCGCCTCAGAGTTTTGCGCCTCAGAGTTTTGCCGTCTCAGGGCTTCCCGCCTCAGAGTTGCGCAATGTCAGGGTTTCGCGCCTCAGAGTTTCGCGCCTCAGAGTTTCGGCATGTCAGGGCTTTGCGCCTCAGAGTTCCCCGCCTCAGAGTTGCGCCAGGTCAGGGTTTAGCGCCTCAGAGTTTTGCGCCTCAGAGTTTTGCCGTCTCTGGGTTTCCCGCCTCAGAGTTGCGTAATGTCAGGGTTTAGCGCCTCAGAGTTTCGCGCCTCAGAGTTTCGGGATGTCAGGGCTTCCCGCCTCAGGGTTGCGCAATGTCAGGGCTTCGCGCCTCAGAGTTTCGCGCCTCGGAGTTTCGGCATGTCAGGGTTTAGCGCCTCAGAGTTTTGCGCCTCAGAGTTTTGCCGTCTCAGGGTTTCCCGCCTCAGAGTTGCGCAATGTCAGGGCTTAGCGCCTCAGAGTTTCGCGCCTCAGAGTTTCGGGATGTCAGGGCTTCCCCCCTCAGAGTTGCGCAATGTCAGGGCTTCGCGCCTCAGAGTTTCGCCCGCGCCTCAGAGTTTCGGCATGTCTGGGCTTCCCGCCTCAGAGTTTCGGCGGGTCACAGTTTCGGCGTGTGACACTGTTTCACCGAGTCGCGAAGACGTTAGCGGGCTCTAACGCGGCCGCCAGCCGCGTTTGGGCCGTCTAACGTCGGGCCCGCAAAGGGGCCCGAATCAGCTCGCGTACCGGGGGGAGATCGCCCGCGGTACGGTGAGCCCGGAGGCTGGAGCCCGCCCAAGAGCTCCGTGGGGTTGTTTTCTCCGAGAATCTGCGGGGAAACCTGCACGCGCCGGGGGGCATTGCCCTGAAGCTCACGGTCTCTTTGTCTCCTGCTCCTAGCAGCTCCTTCTCCCTCGTTCACCTTTCCCTCCTCTCGGACCGCTAAAGCTAAACACACGGGAAACGACTAGTAAATATATATAGCACAATGCCCATGCATGTAGTCCATTGGAGAAAAATCGTCTTGATCATCTAGCATGCCAAGGAAATAAGCATCAACCAGTGGATACGTATTTTACATACATCGACACTTCATAATTAAATATGAACTTTGCCTTTTTATTCTCTCAACTTTGACTACCTGTATCGGAGATCACATGCGGTTGCTTGTTTCTCACAGCAGATTTCTGCTTCGGTCCTCTCACGACAGATTTCTGCTTCCGTTTTCTCACGACAGATTTCTGCTTATCTTTTTCGCGCTACAGACCCCCTGTATGCTGAGCAGCAGACTCCTCATCTCTCCGTGCTACGCCAGACTTCTCCTGCTCATCTCTTCTCAAGATAGATTTCTGTTCCTCTCTCAGTCTCCTCACGACAGACTTTTTATTCTTTTGCAAATTCAATTAGTGCGAGCTACTAATCGGGATAAATTAAGCCCGACGTCGTGCATCATTGATTCCAATTGACTACACAAAAGTACGGCATTGCAGACGTCATGTGTGTGTCGCTGTCGCAGTTCAACGTAACCACCTAACAGACATTATGACATACAAGTCATGGACGAGCCACCTTCTCAGTGAGACGATGTGTGTGATAATTCTTTCACCTAATATTAAGATGGACCGTGGAAGACCAAAGGCCAGATTGTCTTTTCAAAAGAGTAACATCTATCAAAGCCTAGACCTCAGAACAAGTGGAGCCAAGAAGGCAGCGATCTTTCACCTAATATTTTGTCCTGTAGTGCTTTCTCCTCTGTCCCACCCGACGATATTCATGATAGAAATGAGCGTCATCTTGTTCCTGTTTGTCACCTGTAAATTCCAAGCCTAGCACTAGCAAACTAGCACTCGAAGCAGGCTTTCAGTCACTTATAATGTTTTTTTCAAAACAATTTTGTTGGCTTCTTCTTTTTTGTTTTTTTTCTGCGAAGAAACCGGCGATGGGGAAAGTTCATCTTGAAAACCCCTTCATTTCATTATGCATTTTTTGTCTTGCACCCTAACTCATCTATACTTCATTTTTTATTCAAAACATTCATTCTTAATAGGCGTAGATCTTCCTAATATCATGATATTCCCCAAATTTTCTATCTACAGAGTGTGTGAAGATGGCGCCAAGCCCAAGCGACCTTTTTGTTGAAAAACAAGTCAAGTCGCAGTCGAGTCAGTGCTTGCTTTTGCTGCTCGAGTCAGCGTTTCCTTTCTGTAGTTCTTCGCTTTTACATACTCAAGCTCTTCAGTTGGACTGTCCTTCCAAACTGACAGACTCATCTAGTACATCTCCTCGCAGTCGCATTATTTCTAATGAATGTAAATCATTCTTTTTTTACTGGTCTAACACTAACAAGGTCACATGATATTACTCTTAATAAAAAGTATTAAATATGGAGGTGAAAACAGCAACAAGATAGCGAGGAGAGCTCTGCTTTTGCACTTCTTGGATAGGCCGCAGCTTCTACGCATAGCCCCTCCCCCGTCGTCTTGTTGAAAAAAAAACATCATGCAGGGCAATACCTGGAACTTGGCCTGAGATCAAGTGAGCCCAGGTAAGTTGTGGATTATTCTGCAGCGCTTTCATCAGAACGCATTCTGCGCAAACAGCTTCGCGATTTGGGGTTTTTTTCCCCTTTCGTCAAAAAGGGGGACACGCTCATGACGAACATACGGGCTAGTGATGGTAAAGTGAACCCACACGATCGATTTCGCGGGAACATCATTACGGGCGAATACAATGTCCACGGGCCGAGCCTGCGCGCCATCTGCTTGCCCCACCAAAAACCCGGCAGTCCACCCGAAAAAGACCGCGCACTCGGCGGAAGGAAAAAATCGCACTTCTCCGTTATCTTCAAACCTGATGTTAACCCCGCTTACTTCATGTGGCTTGCCGGACTCGGAGTGGAACTGGAGGCTGTCAATTGTCGCCTGGCTTCCACGTCCACGCCCCCGCTCCGGAAACGCCAGAGAGAGAACGAGTTCCGTTTTGGCAACATTCATGATGGCCACTGCAGAAGCAGACGGAGACGGCGCTGGGGAGAACGGCACAACGAGCACCTTGACATGCGTCGCGGTGTTCTCCACTCCATCCTGCATCGGATAGGCCAGCGCCATGCCCCGCTCGCCCTCTGGGTCGTTCTTGAATCTCGCGGCGAAAATAAAGCTCTGACCTCTGATTTGTCCGGGACTCATGTCGGGCTCGCGCACGTCATGGACGCCAGAAGGCCCACCAGTGTGCTGGTTCTTGATCAGGTGTTCTACTGCGAAACGAATCACAGACAATCTGGCCTGGAGCAAATTGCTCTGCGCAGCAGGGTGACCCCCAAACGTGTGCTCGAACTCCTGGTTAGCGATTGGTCCAGGCTGCGGGTTAGCTTGGAACGATATCTTCTTCGAGTCGAGGCCGGCATTGAAATTCTCTTCGAGTTGCACCTTCAAACTATAATCCCCATAGGCTACTTTGCTGAACCATGCTGCGAATTTCATACCTTCTTTGACGGACGAATCCAGAAGCCACGGGCGCTGACCGACCAAGTCCGTGGAGGTTGTTTTCTCTAAGGCCCTCGCATCCTCTACTGAAGGCAAAACACTTTTGTCTTTCAGATACATGATAGAGGACACCATTGCCTTGCTCAAGCGCAGCTGCAACGCGAAAAGGGTGACAGACATTTTGGCCTGATTCAGAAGCTCTAGGGAATCAAAGATGCTCGCGTGTACCTTCGCAGAGCCTTTCTCGAACGATATCTTATTCGCCTCTTCCTGTTTGTTGAAATCCGTTTCCCTCTGCACCACTAAACCACCAAAACGCTCGCTGAACCAGGCCACGAACGTCGAACCGGCTTCGCCGGGTGCAGGTAGCTTGTGGGGCCTCCTGCCTTCCAAGGTGCTGTCATCTGTCCCGTGTAAGTCGAACCCATTCGCTGTAGGCACGATGCCCGCCTCTTGCAAATGCAAATGCGTGATGGCATATTGAAGTTGGTTTTCGAACAATTTTTCGTTTGCTCCTGGCGTAGGATTCCGCAAAAATTTTTCAAACGCCAAGCTTTGGTAAACGATCTCTGCCGCACTACACCCTCCACAATCGGTCGCACCCTGTCGGCGCGTCAGCGTCGCATCGGCCTGATAGTCGATCAGAAGTTTCGAAGCCGCATCGAAATCGCCCCAGTGCGCAGCAAACATAAGCGCCGTGTCGCGTTCAGCCTCCCCGGCTCGAACATCGACCAAGTCTCTGTTTGCGTCAAGCATCTCGAACACTTTGTTAAAATTGCCGTTCTTGGCCTCGTCCAGAAAGGAGTGCTGATGAATCTGATCCGGCGCGAGGGCCAGGACTGCCTCATGATGAGGACGCAGCGTCATGGCGGTTTCCTGGAATGATGAGTGGCAATATGAGGCACGAACGATTAGGAGTATTGTGACCACTAGTGTTAGTGAAGACTAGTATGTGTCGAAAAGTAAGGGCGTCACCACTGCTTGAGGTCTTTGATATTTTTGAATTTATTGAAGTCAAACCTTATGAATATCATGAGGATGCACTTGCTCGAGCAGTTGTTCCATACTACCACCCGCGAAAGACTATGAAAACACTAGCAACCAGCAAGCGCCACTTGCACTTGCAAAAATCATTCCAACACTGGCAACCAACATCAGGTGCCACTTGCGAATCGAATATGCAAAACTATTACGAGCTAGGTCCCCGGATGTGGCGCGACACAATTATACGTGTGCCTACTGGAGGGCATAAGTCTTTATATCGTCAAAAATGGTTAATCAAATAGTTTAGTATGTATTAGAGAGCTAACAAGCCCTTGTCACTTTTTGACAACTACAAGAACCGCCGAAACGCAAACTCCTATGAATGTAAACTAGCATCAAAGCGATAATCCACAAAGACAATGAAAGCACACGAAAACCGCAAAGACAAACAAGACGCAGCATCATTCATGAGCCCAGCAAAAATCGAACACGAGCACGAGGTTAGGAAGTGAAGGAAGGGGCCGACATGGGAACACGTGAGCAGTCTGCAATATTGCCGCTGTGGCGCCTACGTTGGGTTTGGGATGACATCAAATAAAAGCACCGCCCACGTGCCCCCGGCATGTACACACGCCGGGGCAGGGCGGAAGGGTCTTACAAGCCTTACGCACTACAGTAGAGATGTGCGGCCTCGTTGGGATGATATCAAATAAATGTTGTTGCAGGTGTTACCACATCGATCAAGAGTAGTTGTTCTTGTGTGTATCTTCTGCACTAAAAACTGTATAGTCTACTTCGTCGTATACTCCGTGCAACGAGATTTTTTGCAAATAGAGCTTAAGCACAATAGTTCTACTATGTAGGCCTTACCCCATTGCCAGTAACAGGTCCACCACGGCCAGACGCGGAGTTTACCGAAGCCCCCGTGATCGCAGATGACGCAGCGCGAGCAGTAACCTAGGCAGTGGTCGTCGATTCAATCGCGAAAGAAAGCGAAATGGGATAGGATAGGAATCGGCTCGCCTACCCTAAGGAGAGGTGAGAACTCATGACTATGATTATGAAAACGTATATCATGATGTCTAAACTGAATCTTCTACTAAACTATACAACTAGTTGAGATGAAGGGCTGCAACCAAGTATAAAAATCCAGAAGATGCTGAGAAGTGAAATCATGTTGACAAGGACAACTCGTACTAAAACTGCACGAACTGAAATAGCGCGTCTTTCGGATTACCAAATCTCTCTTGAGTACAAGCAGGATTCTAAACCATGATGCCCATCGTAGCGCCCAAGTTCAAACTCAAGCTCAAGGTCTTAATCAGCTCAGGACGCCAGGTTGGTGCACCGACGTCACTTGGTGTTATTGGTACTTATTAGAATTACTTAGTGCTGGTATATATAAACATAAAAATAATCAGCTTACCCTTACTATACATAGAAGGAGTTATAATTCTAGACATGGAAAAAGCAAAAATACCGAGGAAGTTGCGGCCGCTGCGGCCTCGTCTCCCATTCCAGCACACCCGCCGATGCATGCCACAGGAAGGAACTTCTCACGCGTTGTCATCTTGACTCCGGGCACAGACGCTGCCGCGCTGGCCATGACTGCCATACGCGCAGCGCACGAACGGCGCCGAGGGAAAGCCCGTCCACGAGGACCCATTTTTGCGGGATCAAGGATGATAGGCTCTCAGAATAAACGGAGTAAGCAGATGCGACTTTAGACCTCTTACTTACAAAGAATGTGAGTTCCTTCGATCAGTATCAGTTGTTCTCTTTTTTACCGTATTTATATTACATTGCCCGCCGAGAATTTCTTTTAGTTTTACTTTTTTTTAGTTTTTTGGTTAATAGAATAATTCTCTTGAAAGCGTTTTTCTTTGTGGAAGTGGTGGTCTGGGTCTCTTTGAGAGGGTCCAGATGAAATCTTTTCGCTGTGGCTGTAAGTGGAAATCTTGCAAGATCATTATAGTACAATGCCCATGCATGTAGTCCATTGGAGAAAAATCGTCTTGATCATCTAGCATGCCAAGGAAATAAAAAGCATCAACCAGTGGATACATATTTTCCATACACCCTTCATAATTAAAAAATGAACTTTGCCTTTTCATTCTCTCAAGTTTGACTACCTGTATCGGAGATCACAGGCGGTTGCTTGTTTCTCACGACAGATTTCTGCTTCGGTCCTCTCACGACAGTTTTCTGCTTCCGTTTTCTCACGACAGATTTGTGCTTATCTTTTTCGCGCTACAGAGTCCCCGTATGCTGAGCAGCAGACTCCTCATCTCTCCGTGCTACAGACCTCTGCTCCTCTCTCCTCACGACAGATGTTGTCTGTTCCTCTCTCCTCACGACAGACTTCTGTAAAGAAACTATTCTTGTTCTGTATACATGGAAATGTGCTCCAGTGGGGATTCTTACGCTCCTTTGAGTGCTCTAGTCATGGGTCTAGATAGGGACACTGCAGATTTGAGAGCGAGTGGTGGAGTTCAATTAGAGCTCAAAACAATTCATTTCTTGCCTATATTTCTCCCAATCCTAAGAAAGAGATAAGTAGGGAGAAATGACTTGTAGAAGCGAAATATATTGAGCCTTAATTCAAGAACTAAATAGATGTGACGAGCTGGAAACTGAAATACTACAATAGAAAGAGGGATCAATTTAAATACTCATACCACGAGCACGACATTAGTTGAAGGGACTAACTAACTATTATTTTTGCAACTTAATAAGTGGTGCCATGACAGTTTTATTTTTATGAGAGAGTGTATTACGGCAAGGCTTGCAACGATCTGTGGTCCTTTGCAAGTACTTAACGGTATCAACTACACGCGAAAGTTGTCTGGGAGTCTTTTGCGCCTATGCCTAGTTTTAGTCAACAATCTGAATCTTTTTAGTGGGTTTGAGTAACTTCTCCTTTCTGACTTATTAACTTGCTGTTCCTGACTTCCTTATCGAAGTAACGCACTTGTTCCTTCTACTACGTAAGTACTTCTACGTGCCCTCCTTGGGTTAAGACAGCGCCAATCGGTCAATGTCCACAATGATTGGCTTAGAGCGTCGTATTCAGTAGAGGTGTCGCGGTACCACTAGAAGCTGCACTGCTTGTGGCTGATCCCGGCTCCGTGGCAGATCCTGGAGATTAGAAAGACCGGCTACATCTAGTGTAGTGTGTTCTAGGTGCTTCCCCAACATGAAGAGTTTCACAATATGAAAAGTCCTTCTAGAAGCTCTAGGACCTACATGAGCATTATCTTCAAACAATACGCAAAAATACTTCTTCTAGTAGACTAGTACTTAAGAAGTGATCATCTTCCAGCAAGATGTACTAGTATCCTCTAGTAGCATTAGGAAATGGCCTTAAGATGCACTCGTCTGTGTTTTGCCGAGTTTAGACGCGAGTTTAGACGTCGACTCGAACTCGAATACGGCATCAAGGCCCACAGCATGCTTGTAAAGCTGTACCGCGGACTGTGGTCGTGACAACGCGGCTGACTGTGGTCTTGACGCAAAAGCTGACTGTGGCCTCGAGGCAAACGCGCAAAGATTAGAAGTGCAAGTGCTTCTGCGTCCACATAATGATAATCCTTCAGAAGTGACGCATCCATTAGTCACATCTTCGGACATTACAAATGGGGAGGAAGATATAACAACGCTCGAAGACTGAAGTACAAATGTTCGATATCTTCAACAAACAGGAAGAATCAACTAAGTACAAATAGGGGAACGATAAATCTCGCTGACATAGACAAGTTGTCTGGCGGTGATGCAGTACTGAGGAGTTGGAGCAGACTTCTAACAACAACAGCGAGTGTTGACTAGTATAACAGTTGTGCCGAGTAGACTAACTACATGAAGAGCGATTATTGACAACTAACATCAAAGATATCTCGAATCGAGAAAGAGCAGACACTAAGGGGTGAGTGTGTTGAGTATTAAGGAGTGAAGAAAAAAAGTCAATTCTTAATAGTTGGTCTGGAGGCAGTGAATGCACTTGGCGGACGAGATGAAGTGAATGCACTCCCCGGTCGCGAGCTGAAGGCACTGGTAGGTCGCGAAGAAGTAGAAGAAAACAAACACTGTGGCTCCACTTCTTCGCTGTTCGCGTATTCTTCATCGGTAGATTTGGCTTGACCGCGTTCTTTACCTCCTTTAACACGATCGCTCAAGTTCGCACTACTGAAGGCTCCTGCGGAGAAGGGCCGCGTCGTTGAGGCTGATCCGCCTGACGCTGACGTGTTGTAAAGACAGGAATTGTTTTCCTCGAGGTTATCAAGAAGAACATGTGCATCGTTTTCTCCTGTGCTCTTGAGGTCTTGTGTTTCTTTCACGAATGATAACACATCCTGCAACGAAGCAGCGATCTTCGTATAATGTCCACTGCTCCTCCATTCTGCATCTGTATTCCCCATTTCTTGCGTGGACTTGTTGTGTTGTGTTATTCCGGATGAACTACAAGATGAACCACTAGTACTATCCCTACCAGATCCAGAACTACAAGAACCACTACTAGCACTACCAGATGAAGGTCTTCCTCCACTCTTAGCTTTTTTAGAACTACCGGAACCGGCGGTGCTTGATGTTCTTGTGCCACTTACTGTAGAAGCAGAAGTGTCTGTGGTCTTGTAGTTCCTTCTACTGGAGGTGCTGGATGTCGTTGAAGACATCAATGTTGTTCCACTGTAGTTAGCATCTTCAGTATCGCTTTTCTTTTGCATTTCGTCTCCCTCTCCTCGTCCTATGGCGTCTCCTCCTCCTCCGCTTACGGCCCTCACAACAGTTTCGTTACAGTCCTTTGTTTCCCTAGTTGTAGTAGTACCTGTCGGAGCAGAAGATGTTTCTTCATCTTGCCGATTTTGGCGATAATTTCGAGGCTTCGTAGACGATGGCGCACGCTTACTAGAGTTAGAGATACCGTAGTCCATCTTCCTTGAGAGCATAATCCGTGCTTGTTCTTTACTTTTTCACGTAGAAAAATAAAAGATGAACCAAGGCCAAGCAAGCACCATGATGTTAAGGCTATGCTCCAGCTGTAGCCGCCTTAATAGAGGATGCTTCCTTTCGGAGAACCTGAAGTGTCTCCGATATCGCATTTCGGCTCGATCTGGGAGTAAAACGGCCAGACTTTGCTGTAGGGATACTTAGATGTTGAGGTCGTGCAGTACAACTATGACGATATTGGTGGAGCAGACCTAAGTAGAAGAAACAAAAACCGAAAGAAAGGCGATATACCCAGCCCTTAAGCGGGTATGGTGGTGTAGTGCTGCTGGGTTGGTGTATGGATGCGGGGTTCATTCTCTTTCCTTGAAGATGATGATGCGCTTTATAAAAATTTTTCACGACTAGAGGTGCCGCTTCTTGTTCAAATGAATTTCTTTACTATTTCTACAGGAGAGGAGTACCTGCTTTAGCGTTACATTTAGATTCTACTTGAGGTAATAAGAGAAAGAGGTAAAAATAGAACACAACTACAATCCCTAAGATACTGCAGTTTCGGATCAGGGCAAAGCGTGGATCGTTGAACCGCCAACCTGTGGCCAGACCTGCTTTGTTGCCACGTCGGTTGCCGCTCGTGGACGGATGAATCTGAGAATAAAGAGGTTTCCGATGAACATTCTTGGAGGTAACATTCTCATCTTGTCGTGAAATAGAAGTAGTTCCAACAGCATCCTGCTGGGTCTCAGGTAAGTTCTCCTTGTCATCACCTAATGCTGCGAGATCTACATGACGTTCCAGTCGCGCTGCTGCCGCGCGTAGTTTTGCACTAGTTGGGTTCTGAACCAAGCGCACAACACCTTGACGGTCTAACAAATTCATTGACGCGCCTTCTACCTGTGCTTCTACTACCTCCAGCCCAGCTTCTCCTCTTTCATCTGCTCCTCCTCTTGCCGGGACGAGCGCTCCGACCACAAACTGCATGTTCGAAGAGGAAGCAGGAACTATCTGAAGGTCTTCACGTTCCTCTCGATGAATATCATCCTGATCATTCTGAAGATCCTGCTGGTTATCCTTATCATCTTGGAGGTCGCAATTATCTGGCAATTTTGTCAGTACGAAAGTAGCACTAGTGGTCCTGGTCGGGGGTACGTCGTCTACTTGTTGTAACATTCGATTCACCTCCTCCGACGTCGAGGCCACAACTTCTGACTTCTGTAGTACTTCTCTTAGTGGGGAACGGTCCTGGTATGTTGGTCTTGTCCTCCTGTGGAACTGCTCTTGACGGTGTTGATGCGCCGAAACTACTGGTGGAACAGGCTTCTTAGAAAAACATTAACATTATTCTATTTACGCGTTAGCGTCTACTACATCCACTCAAGAATACGCAACCTTTACCTTTGAAACAGCTCAGAAAATCAACTCCTGATGTTCTTTCACCAGCATTTTGATAGCTAGGGTCCGTAAGCGTAACTGATGTTATACTGTACTAGAAAATCTAGTACTAGTAGGTTGCTCTGGTTTACAATTTCCTAACGACAAAGAGCCATATATCTATATGATTGACAAACTTTTAACATCCAGGGGAGGTTAAGGTTTTCTATCTGAGAATAAATCGTTCACGCCTTAATATGTCGTTGTTCGTTTGCTGGTTTATCTGAAGATCCGGCCAGAGGAAAGAAGGTCTCGGCAGCCGCTGCTTGCGCCCTCTGCAGCTCTAAGCTGAAATCCTTCGATAAAACCTTCTTCAGGTCTCTTGAAGATCGTGTTCTTGTTTCTTGAGTCGCGGTAGTCCTATGATCTTGTTCAGTATCTGTGGTTTCGTGCTCGAGTTCGTCTGTCTTAGATCCCATTAGGAGACCGTACTGAGATAGTAACCAAGCTGAGGGTGGCCGCACGTCATCGAGGAGCTTGGCGTTCATAGACGCTACATCACGCATAGTACATCCGATAGCCTGCTCGGTGATCGCGTGGACCTGGCGTAGCTGGGATCAGGTGGTGGGAACAAGCATTGAATGAGTGCAGAGAATGCAGCAGTTAGAAGAAGAGGATGAAAAGAGCTATGTTGTACAAATTGCTGCTACGTACTTCCGAAATTTTCTGCGGAAACCTCAAACTTCTGATTGATTTAACACTTCGATCTGCTCATTACCTCCTTCACGCATTTCCTCAAATTTGTCTGGCTTTTCTGCATCAACATCTCTTGCGCGTGTTTTGTAGCGTCCCATCGCCCTGCAGCTTGTTCCTCGATTTTTTAGACTCTATTAAGAATCAGAACTCACAGCGGCACATAATGACGTAGCCCTTCTGCCTTATTTTTCATTGAATCATAAAAACCAATGTAAGTACTTAGCTATGGAAGGAGTGCCTAGCAGCGATTTTCCCATGATCTCATAATCAATGTTTTTGGGTCGAACTTCAGGACAAAAAATAGAGTCTTCTTAGAGTAACCGTTTTTTCCAAATTTTTCATTGCCATAAAAGTTGTTGTACAACGCATTGATGTTCTGTCTCACCAATTGCTCTGCCTCGCGTCGCATTACATCGCTTTTTGCTGGATCCAGTGCACTTGAGTTAGAGACATTGCTAAAAATCGGTGCCGTCTTCATCACCCACATCAAGAGGCACGGCCGGCCCCTCAGCATGATTGTATTTCTGTCATCAAACTAGGCATACAAATATCCCATCTGTAGTACTGTACTACAGAAGGGATGTTATGCCTAGTATTACTACTAGTACACTCTCTACTTCATAATCTACTCTACTTAGAAGTGTTAGCCCTTTTCTGCATGATCTACTAAGCAGACAAGTCCATAACAACCGACGCTGGTGTTCGCAAAACTCCCTTCAAGAGATCGAATTGAGCTCGATCAAAATCTGCGTGTTTTTCTCGAAGATTCTGAATGTGTGCTCTGAGCTGAAAACACTCCCTCTGGTAAGCCCCAAGCATCTCGTGTTTTTGGTCATCATGCAAGATGTCCCAGCGACCGGTGTGGGCTGAGGCACTACATGTCGTTCTATTACTACTTCTTGTCTTCTGGCTCCATCTGCTGAAGTTCGCTTTGTCGTTGCGCAAGTTTTTCTTCTCGATGAAAGCCTGCAGCTGGTGGTTTCCATAGAAGTTGTCAAAGTTGGAAGATGATGAGCTCGTCCTCGTCCTCTTCTGTTGTTGATCTTGAAAATTCAGCACATTCTGTCGTAATTGATCACCTCTTTGTTGTCCTATAGGAAGATGATGACGCTCTCCACCATCGTCAAGTCGGGAACACAAAGCTGCATAATTTCCATCGCCATCACGTCGCAGCGACATCAATGCCGCGTTTCCTTCACGCGAACCCGAAAAATGTGGCTGAACCGGACCTCCTACGATGTTCGGAACAGCATGCATCAGCCGCTCCTTTCCTTGTTCTCCGCCAATGAGCACGTGGCTCAAATCTTCGACATAGACGTCGGTCATCTCACGCAAGACATCGTCGCGCGCGCGTGTCTCAACATTATCCAATCGGGCACTCAAATGTTGGGCTTTCGCCATCAGATCCGCGTTTTCGTCCGCTAACCGCTTTGCTTCACTTGGTAACGTATCCAGTTCACCTTCTAGGGTTTTCAAACGTGCTCCAAGTTAGAGGTTACTTCGGTACCACCTTACTTCATCTTGTTAGAGGTCGTCTTTGGAGGCCGGCGTGTTTTTCATTTAGAAAAGCGACCAAAGAAGCTCCTTCTTGAGATGAATTTGGGGTAGCCTTAAGTAAAAAAACGAACGAGGGGAACGCATCTATCAAAGTCGCTTTCGTCTAGAAAGTAACATACTTCTGTCTCTTCCGCAAGGTCATCTTCGTCTCTTCCGTGGTCCATTTTACCATACCTTAGGGCTACCGCATTGACATCCTTACCCGGAACCTCCTTGGCTTCTTTTCAAATATAGAATGGATAATAATTACTTAAATTAGATCTCCTTAATAGGTAAGTAGCCCTGTACTAGAAAAAAAAACCAAGAGGGATGGTTTGAAGGAGACATCTGCAGTGATTAGCCTTAAATAGAGAAGGTCGCCGGATCTCCTGCTGGTATTATTCTTCATGTTGACGTGCTCTGTATCAACGTTGGTGAGACCCACGATTTGTCGATTCTGCAATGGCCCTCCTGTTAATGGAGCACTGGCTGGGCGCGTTGCTGTTGTACTAGTGTGCAAACGACCTCCACGAGGTACTAAATGGTGAAGATCATGCTGACCTAGACGGAGTACACCTTGGGTTCTTTTTAGACTATCTTCTTCTTGTATTTTGCCGACAACTTCTCCATAACGAGCAGTATCGTTTCTAGTTTCTCCTCGACCTCCGGTTGGGGTCGTGATGGCACTCATAGGACGCTGTAAATGTGGTCGTTCTCGTTTGGTAGAAGATGGCTGCTTGGTGGTCTCCCTCAGATGTAGTGACGCCTTCGGTCTCGCACTTGGTGGTCTCTGCGCACTGGCTGGGCGCGACGAGGTGGACAACATAAAGGAGGTGGAAAGATTCACAGAGTTCATTACATCCTCGTCGTCGCCGTCATCCTCCATTATCATTAACAAACGGTCATCATCCTCAGCATCTTCTCCCACGGCAGCTGGTCCCCCATCGTCGTCGGCTATGCCGTGACGATCCCTTTTGATGCTCTCGTCACGTTGGTGGCAAAGTGCGGGCGTTGAGGTCGAAGAGGCTTCATCAAGTATGCGGCGCTTGTTAGAGGTGAATTCAAGAAGATGCTTGTCATCTCAGCATGATCATGTTGGACATCTAGTATATACTACTACGTTTATACTATAAACGTAGTAAAGTTCTTAACTCCAACATGCTCATCACGTTCTTGTCCTCATTCATTTACTCTGTTTCATCTTATTTATTCATTGTGGTCATCAAGTAAAAAAGTCCCTGTCCCTCCTCGTCCTGTCATAAGTTTCACCACCTGGATCGAGAAACAAGGTGCTAAGATACCCTTGGTCTTCAAATGCTGCATGTATTCCATCACGAGGCGAATTTGCGTTCCTCGGTCGGCTTGAATCACCAACTGTTGGAAACTAGGGAATTGCGTGTCAAAAGAGTAGAGCAACTGAACTTTTTCCAAAAAAATCGGAAGCGTTTCCAAACTCAGCCGGGTTTTCTTGTAGTTCAGTATTAGGTTACTCGTGGTGTTGAGATTCGCTTGTACTCCCGAGGTAGGTCTCGATTGATCCGAGGAAGTGCCTAAATACCCTTGTTGCTGTAGTGCTCCTACTTGTTGACGTTGTCCGGTGCCGCTCAAATTGGGTAGTTGTCCTTTCAAATAGCTGGGCGAGGTATGAAGATGTTGTGAGCTTTTACCTGGACTCGACGTTTGATTGTTCCGCATGTTGGACATCATGGAACTCCTCTTATTTGACGATGAAGACGGGCTATGTTGATCCGCCGAATAATTAATATCCTGTTTCCTGGATCCATCAGAAGACGAAGGGCGACTATGCTGTTGGCGCGCCAGAGTGGCTGCTGAGGTGGTTCGATTGGAAAACAAACCCCTTGAGAGAGGTGTCTTCTCAGTGCTGATGTTTCGAGGAAGCAGGAGTTCGGATAAGTTCTCCTTCAAGGTGTTCTCGTCCACGCTCTGAAATGCAGTCGGCGCGCCAGATTTCTTCTTCCTAGGTGAACTAGACTTGGCGTTTTTCGACGTATTAGAGGTGTTAGAGAGCAGGGATGTACAGGAAGAATAGCTAGTGCTGTAGCCGTAGTGATGATGTACCACCTGCACCTATCATACTTTACTAAAATCAGATGAGCGGTCGTTCGTTTCTAGATAAGTAAGAGAAAGAGATACATTTGGACTCCACTTCTGGGTCGACGACGATAGATTGATCAGTAAACGCATGATGAAAACAAGCCTTAACATTCGTCGTATCTGCTTTCTCATTTATTACGCCATTGCCTCCCATTCCTCCGTCGCCTTCTCCTTCTCCGTCTTCATCGCTCTCTTCCAGCAAACCCGGAAGGTGCCTCGTCGGAGCCTCATCGTCCGAAGCAGCAGGTTGCTGGCTCAGTTCTAAAGGAACACTTTCTATAGAACTTTCGATATGCTGCCATCCGCGGTTTTGCCACAAGGCGCTTCCGGAACTAGGTACAGAAACGTTAACATGATGTACTGTTGTATTTTTTGATGCTTGCCTTAGCGGTGGGGTTTTGGTGCCCGCTGATCCTGTTCGTTATCCCCTTCCCCCTTGAGAAAGGCAAAACGAACGGTATAACAGGGGGAACACCTTTAACCTAGCCGTAATTGATGATCACCAGATGAAGGATCATCTTGACCACTAGCACTCCCAGCGGAAGCTGTCTCATTCATCCTCAACAGTCGCTGCTCGTATTCCTCGTCATATTGTTTTTGCTGCTGTTCGAGATAGTCTAGCTCACTTTCTTGTTCATCTTCATCTCTTCGACGCTCTTCACCTCCTTGAAGAACTACGTGATTTGCTGCATGTTTGCTCTGGTGCGTGGAGGTTTGAAAAACTACATGATCTTTATTTTGTGATGAGGCTCGTCCTCTCCGACCAGCAATTTTGTGTAGGAACCCACCGCCTACTTCACGCCCACCATTCATCATTGTTCTCTTGTTGTTCTGTGTTCTGTGGGTTATCCCAGCACTAATGCTCCCACTGGATGCCCAAAGCCTGCTAGCGAGCCTTGGGCCAACGACTTGCTGCGAAGGACTATGCAAATGAAACAGAGGACCCGCCGGTACAGGCGGCTTATTTGGCGATCGTTTGCGCCCTCTACTTTGTGGAGGTGGAGCACTCCCCTCGAGCAGCACACTGGAGTAACCTCCACTGGCAGGAGCGGTATTGTTTCCACTGTAGTTACTATATGCCAGAAACTTTTTCGATGCGGGAGAAAAACCTCGTTGCCCTCCAACAGTAGATTGCTCTTGTTGTTGTGGACCGCCAGGAAATGGACCATAACCAGGAGCGGATGGTGGCAAAACTTTTTCTCCGTGCAGTGTTCCCAGTCTGAGTGCGTGAATGTGCTGTGTCGGCTGCGTTGGCTCTGCGTTGTAACTCAAGTACGGTGGTGGCGTCGTTGATGAAGTGGTAGTACCCCGGTCGTTGACATTTGCAGCAGTGTGTTGCTGATCTTGCTGCGAGGGATGTTTGTTGGACGTGAGACGATCAACCAGTCGTTGACTTTCCTTTGGAAGCACTGCTGTGTCATCCTCAACCACAAGATTTGGACCTCCACCCAGGTCAGACGGACTACTAAGTGTAAGTGCTTCTTGAGCTTGAGTCTTAGAAGGAGCAGCAAATCCCCCTACAATTGTGCTTTTGATCGGCCTCGTGCTTCTCTGGTGCTTTTGTTCGGAGCTACGCGGAGATGTAGCATCAAGCTGCGGCGAAACACGATCACCAGGATTGTTTTTTCCACTTGATGGAGTTCTTCCGACAGTGCCTCCTCGGATCATAGGATGCCCACCTGCGCCGACGCTCACTCCATGGAGACCATTACTAAGTTGTGTTAAGTCTTCTCTATCGGAATCGACCTCAAAGTTAGCGGAAATGAGTTTACGACGTCGTTTGATGCCGAGAGGTGGTGAGTCGTCGCCTTCTGCGCGCAGTTTGGATCCCTCTACCAGAACAGAACTCGTATTCTCCTGTGGGAGTTGGAGTTAGACTTAGAGCTCAAAGCAATTCATTTCTTGGCTGCATTTTTCCCGGTCCTAAGAAGGAATAAACAGGGAGAAATGCATTGTCAAAATGAATAGTACTGAGCCTTAATGGAGTGTGCCTGGCGGTTCTCCTGTTGTGCTTGTGACTCCTAGAGAAAAGGAAAATAAGCCTGCTAGATTGCCACTACTTGAAGATGGTCCTCTACCACGTGACGATGGCGGCACGACAAGGACGCGATCCTTCTCGCAGTTATTACGTCGATCCGAGGTCGATGACGGCGCAAAAGCAGCGCTTAAGCCTCTACCAGCGCTGCTTGGTCGCGATGCTGCACTGCCTGGTCTGCTACTACCCGAGGAAGCTGGGCGCGAAGACCCGCGAGAGGAAGCTCCTCCACCACGCGAATGGCTGCGAGCTTCATTTTCGTCCTTCTTGTCATCGTTGTACAACCCTTCGCGACGACGCCCTCGAGTAGTTGCGGTGTTGTCTTTATCGCGATCCCTACGCTTTGTCTCATCAAAAGCGATTCCGGTAGCGGCAAGCGGAACAACACCAGCAGCGAGGGGAATTATATCCCCGTAACTTTGATGTTCCTTCTTCTTGTAAATGTCATTCATTTTCTTCTTCCTCTTCAGATCTAGACGTAGCCACGTCCTTCAAAGTGGAAGTTGTATTTGTGCGTAGTGGCGAGAATTGATAATCAATGTTGGTTTCGTCCTTTTCATCTCGTCGCTTCAGTTCTTCAATTGTGTTCTAAAATTTAACTACCAGCTAGACGTTCAGGATGAGCTTCAGCTTACTCGACGAAAAGTGATGATGTTCTTGATAACTACAATTTGAATTTTCTTTATATGCTACGCTATCTCTGACTGTCGGGGATTGAAATCAATATTAATAGATGTCTTTGATCTGAAGTATATACAAGTACCGCGGTCGAGGATAACTCTATACTCCTCGGGTCTAATATCTAAAACCGAGTGAAGCATGCAGTGGTCCACGGTATGAAGTGTTGACTGGCTCCTCTTTTCGACAAGCGACCGAATATACCGAAAGAACAGACGAGGACTCAAAACTGGGAAAAGTAGAAGAAGATCCAGAACCAGATGCTTTTTTTACAAGTGAGTACTACAGATTGTTAGCCATCCTCCCTCGAAACCGACGATCGATACCTTCAAAATCTTCATTACAGACCAGGTTGTTTATATATTTACTTACCCTTACGTTGCATGATCATAGTTGGACTCCGGATCATCTCACGAAAGTCATACTCCGAAGTCGACAGGTGATACGCATACGTTGATGTCGAATCGAAAAGTCGTTGATAGACGAAAGAGAGATGTTGACACAGCTTCTTGGATATGTTCAACTTCAAAATGAATGCGCCAGGCTTGCAATCCTGTGTTGCCCTGGAATCTCATCTTCAGATTCAATCTTCATCACGTTTTTCCAAAGGTCGTATCCATTGTGTAGGGCCGAGTAGAAGACGAAGTAGTTGTAAGTAGATATAGTAAGCAAATCGTAGTTTATCTTTTCACGGCAGAAAATCCCTAGTACACATTCCTGTCTTGTCTCAAAGAAAACCGCCCGGATCTCCCAGACATTCTTGTCTCAAAGAAAACCGCCCGGATCTCCCAGACGTATGTTGTATCTATGACATTCCTCCAAATCTGCAGGTTGTCCCGAAAGCCAGAAATTGCATCGACCTAGAAAACCCTCCAAGTCTCGCGCATAGAGCACCTGCGGACGTCCAGTACTCGGCACGACGAACGTTCGGCGATACTTGTAGTGCCCTCCAGAAGATCCTGAAAACAAGTTCGAGAAAAACGCGCTAATCACACCCGACCTGCGATCAAACGTGTCTGCTTCCTCAATCCACTTTCTGCTGTCGTAGTTCCGTTGCACCAAGAAAGACGTCGAATGAACATGAAGTTGCATGTGGTCGTCCTCAAGAAGAGAGGCAGAAGACAGTGCTCGTTTCATTTTTTTGATACAGAGTAGCTCACCTTCACGTCACCATATTATTCATTTGATGTAGCAGTTGTAGTTCTTGTTCCCTCGGCTCTGATAATGTATTTCTATTTGGTTTCTCTTTTTAGCCCTAGGTAGAAGATGTCGCAGTGGTTGTTGCATCGACTTACATGACACACAGCACAAAAAGGTGTTGTTCTTGTCACAAAAAAGAAACAAAAGCTGTGCTACGTATCGAGGTTGTAGTTGTAGTCAAGCACATTCATCCGATGTGAATGTCTATTTCGACTGGGTGATTGTCGATTCCTCGACGACGATCCGATTCAGATGAGGTAGAGCCTCCGTTGATGTCAAAAGACAGGAAGGGAGGTGAATACTTGCTTGTAGTCCGCATCGGTATTTATTATGACTCCTGCGCAAGGGTCTTTTCACAGGAATGACTGTTGCGCGTCCGTGGCCCAGGGAGTGAGTCTGAGTCACCGAATGAAGTGTGGATGAAAACATGGGACATCAAAGTCAAACGTCGCAAGGTAAAGGTAATGTAGAAGGTGGAGATGAGCATGAGCAAGACTTAGACATTCAACGAGGACGACGAGAGAGCATATTTTATAAGGGTTCACTCAATTTCAATAGCGGGTTAAGCGTGAGAGAGTTCATCTAATAAGAGGCATCCTAGACAATCCGTGCCGGGTCTTTCCTGAAGTTCCTGTTGGTAACAACTTGGAAATTACTATTTATGAACTTCCGCAATGTCGCGTTCTCCTGCCTCAGGACATTGACTGCGCGTCGCAAGCTTCGGGCTTCCTCTACACTCTTTGGCGCGACCCAGCTCATCGGCGGATGCGTCTGCGCAGGTGGTCGGTGCGACGGAGGCGGGTTCAATGCGGGATAGGCGGTTTTTTGTATGAAGGAGGAGAGGGAAATTCGTGCTGGTGGGTGGACAGGTGCAACAGAAATATCTTATATCCAATGCAAACTATGTGAATGACAACGGTGAGGAAGAAGGACGTTCTTGGTCAACTCCCGTCTACTCAGAAGTTCATCTTGTGAGTAACATTTTTAGGTATGAAAATACACTCACTGTACTACCAACTAGTGAAATTCAACCGGATAAGTTTTAAGTTCAACTCGATGAAGTCAAAATAAAACCTTGTTGACCTTCATCATATCTTGTGGGTACATCCCTCGGAGCCGCTCCTGCTTTAGCGCGCTCTTCGATGTCGGAGCTACTTCTCGCGACTCACGTCGTGGCGATAATGAAGCAGAAGCTCTGCTAGAAGCAGACCTACCTCCACTTGGCTTTCTCACAGTTCCGCGTTTACCACCCATTGCACCAGCTGCGAAAGATACAGATTGCCCACGTGAACTACGTGTAGATAAAGGTCGTCCGTCTTCTCTTCGACCGTCACTGCCAACTCCACCGTGCAAAGAGGGGACGCTTTGTTTAGACTTTTCATCTGAGTCTGTCAGTGGGTGAACATGATGTGACCTAGTGACTTACTAGGACTTGCTTCTAGTTCTATCAAGACTCTCTTTGACTTACTTAAATAATAGAGTTAGACTTATTTTGCTACCTTTACAACAATTCTGAGTGACCATTTCCAAAATTCTAAACATCACGTAAAGCTGCTTCTCTTAACTTTAAAGCCTCCGTACACCCGATCGTTCTTGGCCATTTTGCCCTGATGCAGTTCATGCATGCGCTTGTGAGAAATTCCGTAGTCGTATGGCGCATAATAGCCCTTTTTACTACTAACTTCTCCTATATTTAGGTACCTCCCAGCGTTCATATCATTAGAGGGGCCACTAACTAGGTCATTGTCCCTGTGAGGATCGTCCCTCTTCAGGAGAAATGTTCCTTTCAATTCCTTGTATATTTTTGAGGAGGGACCCCCTATTGATATCTAGAGTCAGTTGTAACTCCTTGATGTATACTGAGGAGGGATCCCCTTCGTTCCTATGTATCTATAGTACTATCTAAAGATGGAATAGACGTTCTTGTAGCCTTAATGCCAGGCGGTGCGCCGCTTCCTACCCAAGATCTGCTACTTCGAGGGGTTCTAGATGCAGATCTGCTGCTTCCTCCTCCAGGCGTGCTCCAACCTCTAGAGGCTGCCGTCGATCTACGATGTCGAGGGTAATTGCGACCACCTGGAGACCAGGAGTTAGAGCAGTTTGGGGAATTCCATTCCTTCAGTCCATGGGCCAACCTGGATTCCTTTCTATCAGTAGTAGGAAAAGAGCTAAGGCTGGTTGTACTGGTCGACGTGGTACTGCGGAATGTAATTATTCGAAAATAGCCCATAAAAGAATGTCTGCTACTGACACTGCGGTTACTGCGCACAGATGAGGCAGGGGATCGAGAACTACGAGCTCGTGGTCCGTTGTCAAGACTTCTACTCCTGCTTGAACCTCTACTTCTCCTTCCCGTCGCCGCTTTAGCTTGTGATGTAGTATTTCGAGAAAGGATCTTTCCATTAGATTTTGAGCCTGCCGCACCTGCAGCCTTACTAGGATTATCGCCATGCAATACCTTGTTGGCGCGTTCCATAGCGGCAAAGGACGCGGAAGAGGCATTCACAATCCGTTGCTCCTTTTTTGCGCGAATCAACTGTTGTGACGCGACTTTGTCAGGAAGGTTATCTTAGAGGTTTTTCGAAAGGTCACATGTCATCCGAGAACAATCAAGACCGAAAGATAGCTGAACTTCCAAATCCAATCTACAGATTAAATATGTACTTAACCAGATGCCTGGCACACCCCTATCTATCATAATTTTCACCCCCAGGCGGTGGTGCTCTGCCCCTACCTCGCGAAGCCGCCTCATGTGTAGGTTCTTGGAAGTTGTATTTCGGGATTCCACGCCTCTGGAAATTCTCGTTGCCCATAGTTGTGAGATGTTTTCGAACTTCGACAGTGCTACTCACACGATTTTTCATAGCATGATATGCATCTATGCGACGCTTCTCGTTTGCGGGCTTTAGAAAGGCAAAGGAAAAGGAGATGATATAGAGTATGAGTTATAAGAGCTTATAAACCACAACCACACTAGTATCCCTTATTTTCCTATTCTTGTTATGTAATCATATGAGCGGACTCCTAGGAGCTTAAGAATTCGTAGAATTTACTTCGGGCAAATATACATCACCACCAACCTTAACACTCGACTCTGCGCAATCGCAAGTTCTGGTGATACTGCACGCTTCAAAATCGTAGCAGGTGGCGTATTGGCACGCATGGGACTATTCAACTTCAAGGGATTCTGGACTTTGGTTACAGGGTAACCAGCAGGAGTAGAAGAACGTCCCCCACCTGATCAGGTGAAATGAACATGAGGTATTCTTGGTACTATTGCGGGATCTTACTTATCACAACAAGATCTATAGAGAAGTCCGATGGATACCGACCAAAAAACTTAGTTACTATTCTTGGACTAGTGTAGATGTTAAATAGTAGGTCATTATGTTAAGTAGTAGGGCATTACGACTATCTACGACTCGGGTAAGTCGTGCGCCTGACCCTGAGGACAATGCAAGAGAGCCTACGATCTGAAGTAACATCAGTAAGTATTTACTTCCACTTCTCGCCAATGCACTTCGACTCCGCTCCCGCTGTGCGTGCTTTACTTGGGACAAGCGGGCGTTATAACGGCCTTCCTTCTTGGCCTGTAGTTTCCATTTGCGAGCTTCCTTGCGTCGCGCTGTGAAGGTCATTGCCCTTGGGCTCAGCCCGTTTGGCGCATGCACAAGACCCTGTACACTCGTGAAGCGTCGCTGTGTCTCGGAGCCTGGTACTTAGATGACGTCCGGAGGACAAAAATGGGACATTGCATTCTTCAGAACAATGGCGATCCCGCAATTGACTTCTTTCCACCTCTTACTGAAAAGAGCAAGCTCAAGGATGTCGATCATGTTACATACTTAGAGGTAGTGGAGGAAAGACAAAGATATAGCAAAAGGTGCAACATCATGCTATTTATTTTTCCATAAGGAGCAGCTTGCCTATGTGCATCGTACAGCCGAGATCGTTGTTGTAAATTCGGAACACTACTAGTCGCAGTTCGCACGTCAGTGTTCCACATCCTTTGCTCCCGTGCGTCTCCAATCGGCTCGCCGGCTAAAAACTTGCCTTGACCTCCAGGGCCATGGAATTTAGAAGATAGAACTGGGACTCTTCTAGTTGTACTTTTTTTTATACCACGCTAGAATGTAATGCTGCATGAACTAGGCGAAAGTAGAATGATGTCAGATGTCTTCAGGAACATCATAAACTGAACTTCACGACGAGTTCCCCATGAACATTAGAATTGAGATCATAGACATGGAGAAAGGTACGTAGTTCAATCGCATATTATTCTTTTCCCTGCTACTTACTTCAACTTCCTTAGCGGCCTTAATAACACTTGAGGATCCTCCAGTTGCTCCTCTTGCTGTTGAGCCTACAGCTCCGCCAGTTGTCCCCGAAGCCCGGCTAGGTGGTGCGAAAGTCCCTGCGCCTGAGTTTCTTCTATAATTACCTCGAGAGGAAGAAGACGGCAATATGCTGTCCGATGCTCGTCGCATGTTTAACTTGTATGCTGCAACTGCATACTCTTGCATGCGTTCTTGTGCGGATGCACGTGGGGGACGACCGCCAGCTGGCTCTCGTGAGGCTCCGTGAATATGGGCATTGTTGAAGTCCATTAAATGGGAACTCGGATGCGAACCGGGTACAGTGTGTCGGTGATGGGGGATTAGAAGTAGTGGTCGTGGATTGATGTTATCGTCGTGACTTTGATCTACTTCAGTGACATTTGCTTCTTCAGCTTTTTTTATAATATCTTCATCTTGAAGTAGCTCCTAGTACGTCGAGTTTTTAAGATGTATTCGTATTCCTTTTCAATTCCCTCCTCCTGAGCCATTTCTGTAGTACACCTACACACAATCTAACGATGGCTCGTGCTGCTCATAACGAGAAGCCTCCCAAATTCTGGGCGTACACGTGGTCATGATGGCGGCGAGGAGCAGCTATCGCATCCTCAGGAGCAAAGAGGAATGGCGAAGCTGTACTAGACGCATTACCATGTGAGGCATTACGATGGGGAGAAGCTTCTTTTGGGCCTTCTAAAATCGGACTAGGATCAACATTTGGGTATACTTCTAAAGGCCTCCAGCTGGCGGATCTTCTCAGCGAGGCTTGCTGTTCTTTTCGCCGTGGTGCTGTGCTGGAAGTAGGCATGCTGATAGTACCTGGACTTGACCGTGCACGCTTGGGTGCAAAAGAGGCACTCCTATACGCTCTGAAATCTTGCAGAAATGGCGCACGGGTAACGCGCTCAACGCGCCTTATCTTCGGCTGCGATGCCGAGGTGGAGTTGGGCTTGGGGTTGAGGCCCTTTCTAGTCTTATTGCCGTTCATCGGCTGAAGATTATTTCTCGATGAGGTTCCTCTTGGTGCAGAAGAAGCGCGTCTCACGTTGCTTCTAGGGCCGACGGAGCCGGTAGCATTACGTGTAGTTGTGGGCGTAGTAAAAGAGTGATGTTTAGGTCCCATATTAATTTGACTTCTGGAAGTGGTTGTGGTTGCGCCTCTTCCTACATTGTTGTAAACAGCAGCAATTGCAGCAGTTCCAGTAGTTCGAGTTCCAGGAGGCCTTGTCCTGACTAACGGACCAAAAGAACTTGTCCCGCCAGGGCCCTTCCTGCTAGGTGGTGAAAGACCCGACAAACTTCTAGAACGGAGGACAAAAGAAGCGTCCTCGTCATCATCTAGTGTCTCCGAGAATTTTCGTCGTAGATGCTCTGTTTTCTCCCGTAGACGTCGCGCTGTCGGAGTGGTATCCGCGCCGAGGAGAGGCTCACAACAAGAACTGCTGGCTTTTCTAGCAGTACTCGAGTAGATGAATTTCTTGTTTTGAGAGAGAGGATCTCCTTCTGGAACAAGAGGTATTTCATGATTCTCCACATCGTCATGATCATCGGATGAATGCAGTTCCCCAGCATAGTCGTAGAACAACGGCTGACTATTTCCACGATCATTATCACCCACGACAGAGGCACCTCTGACTGTAGTGTTCTCAACATCTTGTTCACTACCTTCTTGTTCGATGATGAAAGAAGGCTCCTCTGCCGCTGGGCCAAGGCGAGTCTCGCCTTCTGTTCCCCTTCCGCTTCTACTCATTGTAGTTGCATGTCCCGGCTGGGATGTTGATGTTCTCCCAATCCCATACTTAGAAGTACTAGCAGTACTAGCATGATTATGCTGTTGATTGCCATTCCTTCTCATGTTAGAAGAGGAAGACGATGATAAGTGTGGTGCATTTCTTCGCACATTCGTCCCTCTGGAACATCTAGTGCTAGGAACCCATTCGTTGCTGGTCTTTCCGGTGTGGACGTCTTCGCTCGTCCTAAGCGTTCCAGCCAGAGTCCGAGAAGATCTTGGTAAAGCTGCCAAACCCAAAGTTCTTGTGCCACCAGTTGTACTAGTTGTTGTTCTAGGATTAACCTTTTTAGTACTTCTAGAATTGCTACTATTCCGACTCATGCTTCTTGCTGCATAATCCCGCAAAACTCGTTTTACTGATGGAGGCACTTTACCAGGGAAAGCCTCTGAGAACGCTTCATCTCTCTGACCGTCGACCTCTGGCATACAGTTTGCTAGAGGACTGTCAAGAAGACTTTCGTCTACTATCTGACGAATTTTGGTTTCCTCTGCATCGTCAAGATCAACGTTCAAAGCACTAGAAGTAGTGCCGACACGACGAGTATCCGCGACACGGTATGAAGAACTGTAGTGCTTCCCTTTTGTTGATGTCGTGGTGTTCCGTGCTGGCTTCTGCCGACGAAAAACGTCGTAAAAGTGGTCACCACTCCGCAACAGCCTATTTGGCCGCCTTCGCTTTTTCTTTCTAGGAGTCCTAATCGAAGTTTCGCTGCTCTCATCGTCAACATCTGTTCGAACGGACGACGACGAAGAGCTCCGCTTCTCCACTACAGGTCGTTCGACGACGCGGCCGTACTGAACCTTGTCTCTGAGAACATTCAGCTCAGCACGAAGCTTACTGATGTCGTTGGCCAACGTCATGATTGCTCTTTACGATGTGGACGAGATAGCGACTTTATAGTCGGTGTTCTTTATGTAGTGGAAGACGATGTTAGGTTGTATACTATTGTACTTTGAGCTTCAGCTAAGAGCGCTCCCACAGTTGTTGTCCTAGTAGTGTACGAGATCATACCTATGTACCTACTAGTGCGTTTCCTCGTTCACATCCCAATCGACGTCACTAGGGATAACGAGCTTGAGAAACTGATTGGATGTTGTAGGGAAGGTGTTGTGCGGTCGTCTTTATCAATGTACTTAGCCATATTAGCCTTCCTCCCTATATCATCGAAAATAACCTGCTATTTTCTGTTCCTTCTGGGGTCGCAATGTAAAACATAAGGAAATCAATGGGAGCTGCGTAGCCTTGGACGCACACTCATTTTCACCCGAAGTGTTCGACTCGAAACCGAAGTAGATGTACAAACAACGGAGGGACTCTCTCTCTCGAATCCTCAGGGACCGATAGTGGAGACAGTACAATTTCATCGGCGTCACGACCGAGCATCTCAAGTAACATAAAAATGGCGCTCACTCTGACGTCTTGAGCAAGGAAAGTAGAGGTTGCTGCATACGATAGAGCCTGTGGAACAGGATTCGGAATGTCAGCGGAGGTTTTTGCTTAGTAGTAATCTAGGTGCGCGCAACCAGGTTATTCGTTAATGGACCTGTCTCAAATCCATCAAATCCTTTGATTTGTTGAATTGAAATTTGTAGTGAGTGTCGTTGTAGGTTGATCAACGGTTCTTTGTCTATTTCTGGCATCTATTTTCGCGCAGACTTTATGTAGGCCTTTCGAACGTGCGATTTGATAACCCGATCTAGCCACCGAGCTCTTGTTGTCCCGCCAGTACTCGAAGAACGGCGTTACGGCAGTATCGAATTCAGGATGTTCCGCGAGAGCCATCGCCAGCTTGCCCATACGGAGATCACATGCGCGACTGAAGCAAGTCCGACCTTCGTTGCTTTTATTAGAGCTCACCCTAATCCATCTCGAGACGCATCGATCGTAGGTGCCTTCTCCCCTTTAAAAAAGGACTCTTCGGGATCGACGTCTTTGAAAAAGATGGATTAGGTTTAGGGGAAGCCTTAATTTTAGCATTCAGCATGGTATCAGTGATGTCGGGTCGCGTACGCAGAATTTCCAGTCCCAGCTCCTGTGCTCCCGGACCCGGCTTCAGCACGCCTAGACAGGCCTTGCAGAACTTATCATGCCGATTCAATGCTGCACTGGAAAGTAAGTGGAAAGTCTCAACATTCGAGTATGATGGAGTCGCACTATCAACAGCATGATGTTCTTGATGAAGTACAGCATGTCCGTCTGTCGCTCCTGTCGTGTTAGGGTCATCTTCGCGTTCTACGTGAGCGTGCTCCACTTTCGGTCCGATCTGTGACGTCACTATCAGGTACTCTTCTTCTGAACGGCAGACGACTTCGGTCGTTATCGTAGGTATCGGGTCTTCGAATGTGTTTTCCCATATGTGCCGAGCTCTCTTGGACAAAACCCGCATCCAAATGTCTGACGGCGTAGCTCGTTGTTGTCGAGCTCTTGAGCCACTTCTTGGGGAGCCACTTGGGGCACCTGTTCCTTCGTCAAGAAAATGATCTGCACCAAGATTATAGCCGAGATCGCGGCCTCGTCCGTGATGGTAATCTTCATCATCACTCCAATAATCTTGCTCCTCTTCATTGTCGTGGCTCCTGCCATCCTCAACACGAAGATAATCTCGGATGATCCGGACCCTTCTGCGTAGGAGCAACGTCGCAAGCTGAGCATTATTGGCACAAAGTTCGTAAAACAGGCTGATCCCTAGTAAGCGATCTATGTAGTTCACCATCAGTGGCGGGGTCTCCTTGCTTACCAGAAATGCAGCGACGATAGCCTGACGACCAGCGACGCTGCCACTAAATTAGAATACATATTATGAAGCATGATATTCTTGTCTTTCACTGGATTAGAATATTCATATTATAATATGAAACATCATATGTTGTTCTTTGACAACAAATCTGTTCATGATGAAGGAAATTAGTGCTCGTTGTCGATTGTATCTATTTTCATTTTTTCTCTGAAGATTTACATTAAGAAAGAGGACGACCAATTTTTCAACTAAACGATCTGATGTTATTACAGGCCTTAACTGGATGACATTCGCCATATTCGAAAGAGGTACCCGTCTTCCCAGTAACCATGGGTTGCTGCGTTCTCAACCGACGAATATCGTGTCGTAGCAAGATCTCCCTCGGAGGAACTCCTTACCCTGTTCCGGTCGCCCCATAAAACCTGTTCTTGCCACGGTTCTGTGCGTAGTGCTGCGTCTGTAGTCGTGGAATTTGCTGCTTCTGTATTCGTATTGTTGTACTTAGAAGAACAAGGTCCTCGTGTATCTTCAAAATTCCAAGAACATCTTCATAAAGTGGTACAGGTACTACAGGGATCAACGTGTACGAGGTACCAAAGAACCTCATCACTTATTGGATGGACGATATGGAATATTCATATTGGTGATCGTGAAGGTGAACGTGATGGCGACCAGGCCTTAACTGTAGCTCCTCCACCCAAAGCCCCACCTAGCCGCGGCGGACCGCCTTCTTCCTCCTCTAAACTGTATTGCCAAAGCGTAGGCATGCAAATACTTGAGGGAGCATGGAGCTGTGGTCGTTGCCGAAAGTCTTTGAATCTACAGAGCAAATCTTGGTGGAGACAGACGTGCAGCATGCTCGTGGTGCAGTACAAGTGAGCTCTGTTGGGCCATACATTCCACGGAGTGCGCATTGGCCGTTCGATGTTAGAAGAGGCGGATAACCACGCACGCAAGGCATCCGTAAAGAAGAACCTGCGAAAGGCTAAAGATTTGACCTGTCGTCCTTTATAACATTTACTAAGGTGCCTAGTAGCTAGTGAAAAAGAGTCGTGTAACAGAAGCATCAGTCTGTGAACGCCGATGTCCTCGTGGGTGCGTGTGAAATTATCAATCAACACGCCTCTAAGACATACTTCTTTCTTAACTTTAGGCTGTGCGAGTGAGAGGAAGGAAAGCCCGCCGTTGTTGTTTCCGTTGTTTGCATCAGGTGCATGATCTTCTTGTGCCTCTTCTTCTTCCTCTAGATTTTTTGCTAGGATTTCCGGTACAATATACCTGTCATAAAGAAGGATGGGAAAATACCCGTCATCAAGAACACCAGTGTGAAAAAGAAAGTTCACGGATCGCATTCGGTAGTTGTTCTTTTCTTAACGCTAGGCAATCACTATCCGTGGTGGAGTGAGTTGCCCTTTTTCCGCTCAGATTTCTTTTGACTTCTGAGGGGAACCCCGTCCTCGGCGTTGTACTCCACGTGACTGAGAAGTGAGATAGTGATGTACTAGCCTTAATCTTCGGCGTCGTATAGTCCTAGCACACGCTCCAGATGTCGCCGACCCGTGAGATCCTCATTTTCTTGTAAGCACTTTTGCATCCTACTTCGGTTGAGGACGATATGAGCAGAGGATGCAGGTCCTGGCCACGGATAGCACACAGGATAAGTGTCGAAGGAAACTTCGCGTACTATCAGCTGAAAGGGTGCTGGACCATCATATTCATAGTTTGTAGGTGTTAGTGGACGACCATGATCATATTCATGATAGTTTGCTGTTGTTGAATATCGAAAATGATCATCTTCCTCGGACTTTCGTGGTTGCTGATGCTTTGTCGTGTGAGATTCCTCTGTAGTACTGGTGCGTCCTGTGCCAGAGCCAGAAGTTCCTGCAATTTCACTATAGTTCTTGTCATTGTTCCTCTTGTTCTTGCCTCCAGTTGTTGCAGTTGCAATATTCATTACGAGACCATTTTTCGTGCTTCGCAAGTGTCCTGGCTGTGATCTCGTCCATGCTTTGTTCTTCTTCGACGCAGCTTTATTTCTTCGGTTTTTCATTTTTTGAGAGACAAGTGACATGGCAACCGGATCGACGTACTCGGGCACCCCCCAGAGATCCGGACTGTCATACTCCCCTATCGCCCGCACGCGTAAATAAATCCGATTCTCATCGACTAGTTGACGTCCAGGATCGACAATAAAACGCGCCTCATCTTCGTCGTCATCTTCTAAACGTGGTCCATCTCTATCTGTAGTACTTCTAATACAACTATCTTCATTACCATTAAGTGATTCTTGTAAAACACCTCCTGCAGGAGTACGAGGAGGAGGCCTTAGTTGTTGTGGAGCTTCTGCAGCTTGCTCTCGGGGTGATGTAGTACCAACCACCGGCCACCCATAGAAAACGTCTTTGCGTCTCGAGTACAGGAGGTGCGCCAACTGCACTGGAATGCCTCTTTGAAAATACAGAATGTTCTTCACATCACTGTAGCGAACCGTTGGAACTTGCTGTTTAGCTGTGGTCTTGGTTTTGCTGCTGTTGTCTTTGGTGTGCTCGCCCTCCTTGTCGTCCACTGCCCTCCAAAATATGTACGGCTCGAAGACACACAACGAAACATCGTTGCCCGACAAGTCCGACAGACCCAACACAAACCGCTCCATTATGCTTTTCTTCTAAATTTCGCTTCTTCAGGAGGTAGCACATAAATCAATTATGAGAGGGTGAGAAAATAAGTAGAACAAACTCTATCAAGCAGAAATTAATGCGTCCAAAAACTGTCAAAAATGCAGGTTTGTCTCTCCTATGAATTTTCCTCGTAGGTGCTAGATGTGCATCGAGTAAGGAATGTAGCCATACATTTTGGGTGGAGGGAACAAGGAGCAAGTAGTTTGGAGGATAAGCTGTCTCTGGAAAAAATGAGAAGCGAGTTGAGGGCGAGGATAAAAAGTACAATCAGAGAGATGAGTGTTTGTGGAACACGTGGTCTTGAGATCATACCAGGTTCGAAGACGACGACCGTCTTCCTTTCGGAAAGGTATCCTCCGTGAACAATGATCATTTCTTTTTCTCATCTCCAACAACATTATTAAGTTCAGTTCGACGATTTTTTTCATTAGCTTCTTCATTAGATGTTGGTTTGAAGTATTTCATCATGATTACGCAGAGTGTCGCTCATCATAACGCAGTAAACGTGCAGTTCATCAGGGTAGTTCTTTCATTGAACGTTTCAACACCACGACGACCAATTGTCTCGTCGTGTGTTCGTCCCTTGTGAGTTTCCTTGTTATCGTATTTGTAACATGCTCCATCTTCGTTCTTTATGCTTGAATATTTTTGCTTTTTTCCTTATATTTTAGTGATACTCGTCATCAACTCTCTTGTTCTTCAGCTGCTTTCAGCCTGCTGCGCGGCTTGTTCAGCTTCCTTCTGTAGTTTGGCTTTTTGCCTCGCCACAACCTCTCTTTCGACCATGGCCAGCTTCGTTGCCTGCAACTGCTCTAAGAGCTGCTGCTCCAGTTGTTTCTGGCCTGGCTTTTCTTAGAGCTATGTTGTCCTGTGTTGTACCTTGTACTGTCATGCTGCAGGTGGCATTGCATGCAAAAAAACTCACAGCAAATGACCACTGGGTGAACCTCCTGAACTGCTTCTGTTAATACTGTTACTGTGTTCTGTATGTCAAACCTACTATAACAGAAGTTGTCTCCCTTTCCGATTATACTAGAAAAAGGATAAAACAAGGAAAATCTACTTCCAATTATGACCCTTAAATTTCCGATAGATGCTCGGCTTTTGCTAGACTGTGCTCCAGCATCTTGATCTTCTCATCGAGAAGCTTTTTTTGCTCTTGCTTCGAAAAGACGCCATATTCCATTTCCGCACGACGCGAGGCAGAAGTTAGCAGTTCTATTTTCATATGAATATTTACAAGTTTAGAAAGGTGCTGGTTCTTGTTACAAATACAACAATTTCTACTCCTTGCCTGCAACATAAAGAAAGAGGAGCATGATCTGCGTCTTCTTTTGGCTTCAGGAGTCCCTGTCTAATGCGCGCTCGCTGTCTGCCTGCAGCTGTCGGGAATAATTCCGGTGTCGCGCCAGCTTCCAGCCGTGACGCATCCTCTTGCGTGAAATGATCTTCTGGCAGAATATCGTAAGACCTGGTGCGGGAGTACGATTCACACGTGACTACTTGTTCACACGTGACTGACTACTTCTGGGAAAAACTGTGCCTACATCTACATCTTTGAAGATTAGGAACAAGTTCAAGCATCTTGATGGGCAAAACTGTCCATTTCGAATCGATACTAGGACGCGGTTGAGCCTCATCTTCATCAAAACAAGAAGAGCAAGAACGCCTGAATTTAGAAGATGAATAAGTACTGTTCCTTGACTTCGGTCACCAGATTTTTCTTCTCAGGTATGCGTCGATTTTTTTGGCGAGGAAATTCTCTGGCAGCACCTAGTTGCCTCATGACATGAGGAACTGAGACATCCCTATCGAACAATGCCTCACTCACTTGCTCTCCTAAGAGCTCCCCGCGCAGATCGGGCCTACCAGAAAGAGCTTTGTTCGATTTTCTACCACCCACTAGATTTGATCCTGAATCTTTCTTGTCGGATAATGCTGAAGGTGTGGAGCCCAGTAGTGCGGATGCTGACGAAGTGTCCACTCGAGATGATCGCGTAGTAGATGAAGCAGGTGAACTAGCCTCTTTTCCTGGTTCTTCTTGTACTAACCGATTCACGGGTGCTCCAAGATGCGTGGCTGATTCTGCTAGGCCCTTACTATAGAGCGTCTTATTTTGTGCCTTCACTATCGGATCGCGAGCTCCTAGTGCAGCCTGATGATGCACCAAATGTTCAGAAGCACCGACGAAGCTATCGTCAGAGTCTCGGTCACTATCGGAATTATGAAGAATCCCTGGATCTTGAACAAAAACGTATAAGACACAGCATGCTCTAGTACTACTTGAGGTAGCGATATAGTATCTCTACAGACACTGACACCTTAACCTAATATATCTTTAAGAATAAGACGAGATCATAACTGGAGAACTGCATCACTAGTATAACGGATAAGAACATCTATGTATGAAGATATATGATCAGTGTAACTGTACTAACTAGTACAACTACAACCTCCTTGCAAATCTGTCAAATGAAAAAGTGCCACATCTAATAATTCTAACAAATTATCTGTCACAATCACTATCACAATCACAACATGCCCCGTCATAAAATTCACTCTCTTGTTCGTTTTGTTGAGGGTGTAACTTGTCGAAGACCTCAACGTCTCGTTGCCGATCAACGTACTCGCTCAACCAGCGCAAACGACGCATCTTTAGCCGCGATCGGCGCTGCATCTGAAAGATCTGCGTCACTTTTCCATCAGTACGAAGCAGGTTTTAGAAGATGGAGATCATATGGAGCTGGTAATTGATTGATGCGGACGCGGAGCTACTTCTTCTTTTGTTGCTACTGCTTCAGCATGGCATTCAGATCTCTTGTTTAGGGTTTAGGACAAAGACAATCTCCTGTGTGAGTGTGAGCCCGTAACTATCCCGAAGTATTGCCCGTCTCTTCCGGTCTTCGCATTGCTTCGCTAGAGCTTTCTGCTTTCGCTCTGCACGTCGTGCCCGTTCCTCTTCTTGCAACTTTTCTTCTCTTTCTCGTTCCGTCTTGGTTACTTCTTGCAGTTTCTGTAAGTATTGTGCGCGATAGATTCGTCGCACCTCTGTCAATTGTCTCTGCCACACGCGTGATTCGACTAGGTAAGGTGTCGCACCGGCAACCATAGGTGCTTGTAGCTGTTGTTGTATCGCACGAGGACCAAGGAGCCATTCTAGGCGGCGGTCCAGCACCTCGCTACTCACGTTCGGGACGTCCTCCACATCTTTGAGGACATTATAGAGGACCAGTGGGGAGTTTTTCGAGTAGATAAATTTTGACGGCCTTGGCACTGGCACCTTCCGTTTATCATGCATGCTTGCGTCGCTAGTTTAAGGTTTACCTGCAGCTTGCTTCGCCATCCTTAGTTGTTAGACCTCTACCTTTCCGAAGTAGTTGTAGATAAGGGAGTTTTTCGAGTAAGTAGATAAATTTTGAATATGCAGACGGCTACCTGAGACATTACTCAAATATTATTTCTTCAAAAGCATAATCAAAACCGTTCCCGGTGAACTCGACGGCCTTGGCACTGGCACCTTCCGTGGCGGCGGCAGCGCACAGAATTGTTTCGCCTTTTCCCGTAGTCGTACCCATCTTCTAACGGGATTTTCGTAGGGGCCAGTCCATTTCCTAGGTTTTTCTCGCATTTGCACCCGCTTCATATACCCTGGGGGGCGCAGGAAGCGGGCAGCTTCAACTGCACGACGAGAGCAAGTAGCAGACGACATTCTTGTCTGTCTTTTTGTACTATGGCTCTGTAGTTAAATTGAACTTCTTTCTGTTTATCTTGATGTGGCCTTGGATTTACGGAGAGCTAATTTGTTTAGATTTCTCTCTCCCTCATGATCAAACCGACTTGTCGTTATTCTAAGGTGTCTCAAAGCTGGCATCATGACTCTTCCTTTCTTCGATCTTCATGATCTTACATAATGTACAAAATTTCTTTTTCTTCCTGTGTTCCTCGGATGTGATAGAAACTCTTGGTAACAGGGGAACACCGTACCACTAGTCTGCAACTCACTACTTAGAGTGCAAAATCCGTCGAGAGTTGTGCGGGGAGGCACTTGTGGCCCTCGGATTTATTGCGTTGATATGGACAATCACTACGTCTAATTCGCATAATTCCACAGTGCGTACCAGAAGTATTCATCAGAAAGCTTTTGTGCGCGCGAAGTATCAGTATGTGGTCTTCTTCACTACTCTTTGTCTACAAACGAAACACGTGGAGTAGATCAAATTCAAAAAAGTAATCTCCCCGCGGAGCTAATCTTCCGCCCGGTTGAGTGGTAGCTCTTCTTTTCCTTCGCGCCTCCAATGACCACACTTACAACACACGAAGATGAGAGCCATCGCGTCGCTCACAATCGACTCCGCTAATCGGTAGAAGACTGCTTCTGTCCCATCGCAATGATCGCACGAGTAATTATAACTGTGGTGTTTAGTAACATGATGATGAGATGTGATTCACGAGTTTTGGAGGTTGACGAGTTAGGAAAAGGAATGCTGTTGAACTTTGTAAGTAACTACCAAGACAGATATGAAATCATGTCCACGAGGATGAGACGAAGCATAAGAAGCTACATCAAGTTCATGCTGGAGGAAGTACTTTCTCGCAAGTGATGGGTCGTAAATGACTCCTTCTGGCACGACGATATCCTCTTTCGCTATGAAAGTTATATCTCTTCTGTGGACGCATTGTTCCTCGACGACTCCTTCTCGCGCTGGCCTCGAATACGTACAATTCCTACACCTATACCTGTACGGGAGAGGGGTGGAGGCAGAGTCTTGTTGAGAAAGAGAATGAATCCAAATTTCGTGGATGAATTGCTGGATCCAATCTGTCTTTCGTACGTTTATCTGGTAAAAAATGTTCTAAAAAACAAATAAGGGGAAGCAACCCATGAAAAATCGAAAAATAACTTTAAATCCAAAGAAAGAGTGGAAGGCAATGATTTAACGAACTTGTTGATGAGTAGTACACAAGCTTCCGCAAGTGCTTATCCTCGTTTGGCTGCAGGAGGTTGTTGCATTCTGGACAGAACAGGAAAACGGCCCTATACTTATCCGACATTTTCTTTTGTCTTCTGATTTAGTAGGAAGATCGATAATATGGAGAGAGGGTGACAGAGAAGAGGACGACGAGCGGTAAGCGTTTATTCGCGAAGGTATTAGATTCAAGTATTCAGTTACAAAATAACAAAGGCAGAAGTTTTCGTTCGAAAATGATATTTAATAGAGGGATTCATAGTGCTGCCTAGAAGGGTGTCTTCAAAAAGCGCCACATCATTTGGAGAGGTGATCGCCGCCAGAAACTCAAGTAACACAGGTTCAAGCACTTATTATCTGACGCTCATCTGAAAAATCACTGTAGCACGCCGCCTGTAATAAAGTCATAGTCAGATTTCGAGTGTAATTCTTGGATAGGTATTGGACCGAAGAAAATAAAAGCCAGTCCACATTTTTCTAGTCCTTGCTCTTTTGTTTTCTGTCATAATTATCAACAAATCTCTATTGGGAACTTTCACAACTCTCACAGAACTCTTACCCGGATCGCTTCCCGTCCTTTGCTTTGTAGTCACCAGAATAAGTCTTGTGGTAGCTGTCACGCGTTAGGGTTACAACTTTTCTTTTGAACAATTCATATCAGTAGATTTTCATTCGATTGCTTCTCACGGAGCTAGCATGCGCTTGGGTCTAGTTTCCTTCTTCTCTCGCACGAACTAGTGACCATTATTTTCCTTGACGGGTTGATCAGTCTTTTCCATATTAGAATTCACAAGAAGATGACTCATGTTGCTGTAGCTTATGGTCGGTTTTTACCACACCCACAAGGAGAATGGATTTTGGTTCATTATATCTGAAGCAGACCGATCGCATACGAAGATCCTCAGCGAGTTTTCAATTCTTTTTGTTTATCTAGTATCGACGATCAATTTTGGTAGATATCCATGTCAGCCCACGGAAACGACCTAGACGGCACTTTCTGTTGGGCAAACTTTGTTCTTCTTCAACGTCTTTCACTCACTTCTCATTTTTTTCATTGCTGGCTCCTCAGTTGATCCTCCAGGAGGTGAAGTTCTTTTTGAAGTAGTTATAGTTTCTCCTCCACCACTACCGGCGTCCACGTCTTTCATGTCAACACCCTTGAAAGGTGGTGGCCACGGCGGACGCTGCGCAATGCATGTCTCAAGGTGTTGCTTGAGTTTGGGCATGTTCGGTGCAACGAATGCGCCGCAACAACAACGTAATTCTGTAACAGCCATGCCAGCTTCTGCACGCCCCTTCAGGAATTGCACGGAAATTAGAGCAGGACCAACATGTTATCAGAAACATAATGGAATCGAAATGCAGAAGAAACACTTTTTTACACGTTGGCTTAGAAACTAGTATGACTTTGAGATAAAACTGGTTTTGCAACAAAACTCTTCTCCCTACACAACAACCACTGCCCTAATGCTGTTCATGAATTTTTACAACTTCCACCATAACAAGACTTGTGATCGTTCGCAGTCTGAAATTGCCTCACATCCAGTAGACTCCAGGCAGCTCCAGACCTTCACCACATGCTCCAAAGGCACTAAAAACGGTGGTTGGAAAGATAGCCAGTGCTTTTTGTTCTTCAGGCAATCAGACCGAAAATCCTCTGATATGATGTGGCAATGTAGTTGGGTCAAGCTGGGATCCGCGTGCAACCCATATCGAAAGGAGGCTTTAGGGAAGAGGCGGCGCACGATGCGCAGGATACGGTTCACATATGCGAGATAGTCTTCGAGAAAACTACTGTTTGGAGAACTTGAAGATGTTCCCACGTCGTCTGTGTGCTGTCGTATACCTGTGGTCCGTCGTGTGTCACTTTTAGAAGTCCGGGTAGGTTGGAAAGTCTCCACGTCCTGTTTCACTGCTTGCTGTTCTCCTTCCGCCCCCTGCTGCCCCTTTCCCGCTTGATCTTGTCGTTTATCATGATCACCTCCCAAGAACGCCACATCCTTAAGCGAATCCAGACGGCGTCGTGGGACTGCTAGGAGGTGTACTTTTGCTTTCGGAAAACCATCGTAGAGGGTGAAAAAGTCTTCGCTCTCATGGAAAACGAACTTTTTATCCACGACTTTGTCGAAGTGGAGCACAGCTTGCGTCAAAAACGCCGAAAAATGGCCACAAGGCCAGTCCCAGCGAAGGTCGCGTGGAGGGTTGTAGAGTACGAAACGATCAGCGTGATGTGCCATTTTTGCTATTCGACGCATCTAAGAAAGCCCACGACAAGGTTTTCAGCTACATCTACAACATAATTGAAGCACTACGAAAAACATCAGATGTATACATAGTGTATCCTGGGATTCTAGACGCTGTAGCCAGTTCTCAACATGTACATGCTTCAGCTTCTTCTCCTTTGTAGAAGTAAAAGGTGAAAGGATAGCCCTTGCGCGATCAATTCCTTCCATGTGAAGCAGATCGATATTTTCTACACGCGGAAGTGCGCACCATATGGAAGCGGAACCTTCAACGCATATCAAGAAAGAAAACATTGCCCTTACATCTTCTTCCTCAATTGTTGCAATCTCATAGACAAATCTTTCACCATTTCTTGCAGTTTTCTTTTCTTCTCAATGTCCTCCCCTTTGACTCCTACTGCGTCAGCTGCTGATTGGACAGCTGCCACTAGGGATTCGGCACGCCAAATCTCTAGAAAAGTGTCCTCATCCGCCATACGGTGTGACACACGCTTTTCTAAGGTGCCCATCCGATCTGCTAATGCCTCCACTTCAACTGCTCGTTCGCGGACCCACTGCGCATTGTCTTTTTCGACATAGTGGCCTTCCCTAAAAAGGAGCATGACGGAACAAGAAAGTGCTTTGCTGCTCGTCCTGCTTGTTTCTGAAGAGGACGTAGTCTGATCTGGGGGAAAAACGCGCGTGCTCAAATCGGAAATCTCGGACCATGAAGAGGAAGGAGAGGGGTTCTCACTCTATCGAATATGAGTTACAACATACTGTGCTGGTGCTGGTCATGTATTTCTGTCTCTACTAGGTCTACGATTCCATATCCTGCAGAAGCAATCGTGTAGAAACATTATTAGATTCTACCTAAGTAACCCGAAGTACTCTGTGTGTAATTGTTCTTGTCAAAACATCGGATTAAATCTCCATAACTTTCCTTTCGCCAGGAACCGGTAATGCTTCGCGGCAACCTGGGGAATGCAGTAGGCGTGTAAATGGGCAGCCAGATCTGCCCACGTGACTCCCGCTACTACCTTACTGCCACCAAGCGTGATTGTATGCGAGTCTCTACCTTGCTTGACCCTAATTGTAGCTTCTTGTCCGCTTTCGCTTGTAGCCTCTTGCGCTCCTGCTCCATTCCCATTGGAAGTAGTTGTAGTCGTTTGGTTACTATTTGTAGTTGGATCGCGGTGGTCACCATCATGATTCATCGAAGAGCCAGACTTGTCCTCTGGAAGAAACATCACGGTTTTCGTTTCCACTGGTGCGACATCGGTTGTGTCTGCTTTCGTGTCGTCTGTTTTTTCTTGTGCTGCGGCTTCGTTAGAGCAGCTGGACTCTTTATATTTTTTATCAACATTCAAGTTCATCAGCGACGTGAAGATAAGAAAGCAGCTGCTTCTTCTTATAATTTGTCCTCTTTTTGAGACAGGTAAGCGGTCCACTTTTTCCACAACACTTATAAATCTACACGACGAGTCGTACTCACTTACTTTCTTTTATGGTAAAGGTTAATAAGGTCAACGCTTTGCTTCCCTAGAGTATCTATTATTGAGATAAGCCTAACTTCTCCATCCCCCTCTTTGAGAACCTTCGTCCTTTCAGGTGCTCCGGCTCTGCGCATGATCATCACTTTAGCACCGTCTTGAAGCGGTATGTCAGCCAAAATGACGTCGTCCAGGCGTTCTTTTCCCTTCGCTAGTAGCTTCTGGAACTCTATGGGTGGTCCGTCGCTAAAGTTAGAGGTCAGTTACCAAGAACATTGATTTATTCATCTTGGAGGAACAAGTCATCTTTATTGACGTTTTTCTTTTTTCCGCTGGAAACTACCTACGTATCAAAGATCCTCGCGCCTTAAGATGAACATGAATTATGTTTACGGTCAGCCTTAATAGAAGCCACAAAAGCCTTGACGTCTTTGATGGTCTCCCTGCCAGAGACCTCCATTTCGAGGCGCCTTTTACCATCTTGGATTTGCAACTTCATTTTTTTCTTGTGTCAGGGAGTTGATTGAATCTGTTAATAGTGTTCGTGTATGTTGTACTGGATAAAATTGGAATGTGCTAGAATGTAGTTCGTATTTCTACTTTTGTTCAGCTGGTGCTAGAAGGTGCTAGCGGCTCAACAGGCTAAGTACACCAGTACATTCTACAAGAACCAGGGGACCGCCATGATCTGTTTCAACACTCTTTCTCTTTTTTCATCCTGTGGGTCTTTTCAGGGAGGGTCAGCAGGATTACTTTTTCCTTTTGCGCTTTCTCTCTGCTAAAAGCATAAAGTCGAATCGTCATCAACAATACAATACAATACAATTAGTCTCGCTTTTTTATTTGTAGTGCGAGCGAGTTCCGATAAGTCAGAACCTACCTGCGTATTTTCCGCGTAGCTACCGGCGTAGGGGGGAGTTCCTAATCTCCTTAACAAACTACGCTACTGCCCCTACGATTTACATTGATCAAGAACGAGGAGCAAAGGCAGGGAAAATTACACACAAAGTTCAGTGCAGACTGCCATAAGGGAAAACAGATCATCATGATTGTTATGTACAAGGTCCAGGCACGAGCAACGAACAGTCAGACAGCCATCCCGCATGCAATCATTAATCTTCTGAATAAAACAAAATCTCCTGTAATAACGTGTTGTCACAATCAAGTGCGCATTTTTGGGTTAATGTTTAATAGACCATAGAGAAACATCAGTGGGTCAATGCTCTGCTATCCAGCACATCGACAGCCTTGGCTGGTGTGAATGTGATGATAGTGAACGTGTGGGCCATTAGCAACGGGGATGCAGATGCTGCATTGTGTGGGATGTGTGTAATATGTGGGGCAATGTGGACGGATGATCTGATGTAATATTAGTACTCAAATTTTTACGGTTCTTAGAACATCAACATCAATGGAGGTCCGTCGTAGGTGAACAAGATTAAATAGTATGAAGGGGTAGCAAAATCATGATGAACGTACTATAATCTTCAACATGGAAGAAGTAGACCTCTTCTATTCTTTTAGCATGCTTACACCGTAAGTATGTGAAGATGTCCTTTTCCTCTTCTCGACTGGAATCGCTTCTTTCTGAAGCTCCAATCGACTGAAGAAGTCGCTAGAGCCAGCCTTTCGACTCCCTCCCTATCATCACGAAGAAGCCCATCGACCCTATCATTATGTATTTCAGCCAGGGGTAATCGTTTAGAAGGATTGTGATCATGCCTACGTAGGGCAGGAACCCAAACGCTCTACCCATGACCTCATTTTTCGAAATGAAGTTCTGCTTGCTGTTGTAGAGACCCCTGTCATCTACCTGGTTATTGTCGCCTTTTGTCAATATTGCAAACTCCTTGTCCCAGCTCTTGTGCGCATTCACTATTCCTGAGGTTCAAGAACGTGGAGTAGATTGTATTTTTTGATAGATCATAAATCCGGAGGTGGTAGCAGGTGTAGTGAAGGAATTCTATTGTTGATGTTGTTGTTGAGGAAAGAGGTAGATGAAGCAAGTGTGGTCCAGCATCAAACACAATTTAATTTTTGTTTACAACTTATGAAAGAAGGAAGTACAAGGCAAGAAAATTTGTAGAAAAAACCAGCCACATCATCCACTTACTTCAACGTATCTCTTATTGCTTATATCATCGTGGAAAACAAATAGATTTCATCACTTGTAATCTTCTATGTACATAATCAGTACTATGCACAATCGGGATGCCCCTGCCTTCGACTTGAAAAACAATGACATCGCCCGGAACAAATCGCTCCTCCCGCCACATGTTAAGGAACAGGATATCTCCTCTATAGAATCCAGGCTCCATACTGCCAGAGAGCACCACAACTACTGGACTCTCACTCCCCGTTGACAAGGATAAGCCTCGCCAGAGCATCAACGCGGTAAAAATTATACCTTGTTTAGTTGCAGGTTGTGGAGAAGGTTATCTTTTGGTTGATGTGAACAACTCTATCATTATTTATAAGCAGGAGGATTTTCACAATGTTAATGTTATGAAGGTCTTTCTTTGAGTACTAAGTCGCTCATCCCCTCCTGTCAAGGGATTTGTATTCAAAGTTAAGGTACATGCCAAGTTGAGCAGCTGGGTGAAGAAAACTCTTGGTCGCTTGAGCAGAATCGCAAATTCTGTCATGTAGGTCGCGAGCGGCCCTGTAAAATATGACAACATCTTGATGTTGGGAAGGTATTGTTCTAGGAAGTCGTTGAAATCTTGATCTTATCGCTTCTTCGTATCGCCCCACGGTTGCCGTCTTATCCTCGTTGTAGCCGCAACGTGATGTCTAATCGCTGCAATTGCTGCGGGTCGCCGGACCTTCTTCAGTTTAAATATACAACTTCATCGATGAACAAAAGACACCAAAAATCGAAGCGGAGGTTGTGCTGTTGAGAGGTCTACAAGATAGCAGCTGGGTCTTCATTTTTCTTTCTCGTCCTACCAAGAGCAATATGTATCTCGCTGTACCTAGTTGTATCTGACCGACTCGGTACTACAACTCTATTACTCTTCTAGGTACAACAACACTTGCTCCTGCATTCAACGTGCAGCAGGTGTCACTCAAGAAACGACCAAAATCTCAATCATCTGAACAGAAAAAAAAATTTGAATTCAAGCAAAGTTGATGTTGATTTGAAGACACACTCACCTCACCAGGAAAAATTTGTCGAGATGAAGGATCGCATTCATCATGTGTTTCAGAGATGAAGGTTCTTTGTCGAAGATTCACACCTGTCTTTCACCGTCGATTCATTGGGATCATGATCATGGGCATTCCCAACTACTAGCATTGCAGTACAAATTGAACACACCTCTGTCACGGACCATTCGTCCCAATAATATCTAGACCAAAGAACAAAACCTAGAAGACAAATCCAGCAGATTTTATTCAACAATACCCCACTACGCCGCCACATTGATACAATGCCCGCGCTGATTTCGAATTAGATCCAGCAGATTATATTCTGCCACCACCTCCGAAGCCGATCGTGATTCTCATTCTTATATATTGTTCAAGATGGAATCAAATTGAGTGTGGACCACAAAAATACTGCTTGAGGACAACGCAAAAGCTGCACGTTGTGAAATTCACAACCAGCTTCTGCATATGTATCGATAGAAGTTGTAACCATTGACAAGTTAGTATGGTTAACAAAGATGTAACAATCACAGCGTGTTGAGGTGGGGCCGAGGAAGCTAAGAGGAGAAAAAAAAACTTATCCATTCGATGTTCTTCGTTGTTTCAGACAGAGAGCACCAGAAAAAAGACTAAGTAGTATAACAAACAAGATGACAATAAGCGCTGATATGTGCCTCCAAGAACTGGGGTGTACAAGTTCGTTATGTGAGACGAAGTACGAGTACCGTGATTCTTACAATTCAAAATAGCGAAAAACAGTTCGCCTCAAATTCAACATGTTATTCTAGATACAAGTAATCATGAAGATGATCCACCAAGACAGAGCGAGCGCAACCTGCATGACAAGACATACAAATTTCATCTGTATATTTGCAGAGCGAAAGTCCAAGCCGGTTGGTTTCTTTCTAGGAAACAGGTAGGAAACAGGAACCCGGCTAGGCTCTAGCGCGCTTTAGTTTGTCGCTCCTTCTGATTAACGTGGTGCTGGTGTAAACGGGCTACAATGCTTTAGCACGCTGCTTGACCGGTCTCTCCAGTGTTGTACTGCTGCCGGCGTTGAATTATGACATCTTCAGGTCGATGCTGGCATGAAGATGAAAAATAGCAGACTACGCTCTAGCACGCTTGATTGCTCCAGTGGAATGAATCGGCTACGCTTTAGCACGCTTTATCGCTCCTCCAGCATTAGGCATGTCGATGCCATCTTCGGACACCCGTTTGGCTGCTGACGTCAACGTTATCCCTGCTCCACCCCTTGCTGGGTTCGGTTTTAGACTCACAGCACCCCCACCTCCGCCGTTATTCATACTATTACTATTTGTATTACCTCCGGTTGTGCTATTTGTGCTAATATTCATGTTCATCGTCAGTCCTCCTCCAGCCAGGGCTGCCGGAGAGCCTGCTTTTGACATGGTTGTGCCTCCAGCTCCAGCACCAGATGTCCCAGCATTAATACCACTTGAGGATGGTGGATTTAATTGGTGGTAGGGGGTGGAGCCGTTTGAAGTCCCGGGATAGTTGGACGCCGAGGAAACGCCATGTGCTGTTATTGTTGTAGTAGTACCTCCAGTAGAAAGTAGCCTAGAGCTAGTACCTGTGCCTCCAGCTAGTACACCTCCTGTCGTATGAGCAGTGGTGTTGTGCTGACCACTTTGCGGTCCGCCTGTAGCTGATGTACCAGCTATGATGTTACTAGGTTGTATCGTAGTGGTACCCCCACCACTGGTACTACTAGATCCACCTGTAATGGCACCGTTTCCAGATGAGCCTCCTCCGCCTCCAGGTATGACGCTATGAGTCGGCGGGCTACTACTCAAGTTCGCGTATAAAGACTGTCCACTTCCTGCTCCATTATGTTGAAAAGAATTTAACACTACGCCTCCAGTAGAGGAGCTTCCACTGCTATTCGCGTTTAGGTTGTCTACGCCACCTGCTGACGAAGATGATGAGCTAGAGTTCCCATACTGGTAGCTACCTCCTACTTTCTGGTCGTGAGGAAAAATAAGGGCCGTTTTACTACTCGTCTTCATAAACCCGCTTTTGAGACCGACACCGGTGCTATTTCTCCTGTTATTGTGGGGGTTTTGTATGCTAAGATTCGTAAAGAGATAGACGAGCATAAGGAATCTGATAGATAGATCAGGTGTAGAAGGTAAGTCGTTCTTGTTAGTAAGCTATATGCAGTTGCTAGTTGTAGTTCTTTTCATACCAAAAAATTACATTTCGATATCTTCAAGGCAGGTAAAAATATTACCTCATATGTGCTACATCGTTGGCGTTTACGATCTGGAGATGGAGTTTTACGCCGTTACTGGTTTTCGTTTCGTAGGCTACTGACGTGGCCCAATGCGCGCAGGCTGACCGGAGGTCAACATGCTCATGCTCTTCTGTACTTGTGTAATCGCCACCAGGATCGAAATCAAAGCCGATATACCTGAATAATTTGGATATATTCGAAGAAACAAATAGGTGAGAGAGTATGGACAATTATTGATGAGCTCGAGCTCTTTCCCAAGAAATTCAAACCTTCCTAATTATTTGATCTATAAGTACCATTGTGACTCGTTGCTTTCGGGCGCTCCCATATCGTGTGGATGGAGATGAAAACGCGCTCTTTGTTCCCGCTCTGCTAATTGAATCACTAGATTCCGAAGCTTTGCCTCGATACTGCCTGTATTGTTCGGCATAGGAATGAGCATGATACTCTGGAAGTTGATTCCTCAAGCAGCGTAGTATCTAAATACGGACGGATGAACTTTTGCAGTTAGACTTAATACTTATTTTCGGACAGTGTCTGATGTGCATTGTGAAAAATGTTCTAAGAAGATCTTTGTCCAACAACTTCAATATCATGGTCTACAGAATCTTAAGTAAGCACCTTTAAGCCTGCAAAAATCCTCTCTGTTCTTGCCCGTTCCGTCAACGAGTACTCGCAAAAAGATATTGTACGAGTCGAAGAACGGTAATGGAGTGAAGAATTCACTCCAAACCGCCGGGTCCTCCTTGACGCGCTGACATAAGGTCGCCGCCCTAAAAAACTGTTCCTGCATGACCCACAAATTCTGCTCATTCACATTGTGACACGAATTCATCGGAGGAAAACAGGGGGTTACCTAGTTGTATCGATGTAAGTACTTAGTTGGTGGTGCTGAGAGGGACCTTTAATCGTTGTGTATGTTGATTCCAGTTCAAAACGAAAGCAATGTCTTGGTCTTCTAGAAGAATTCAAGCCTTAGTTATAATTAATGTAGAAGTAATATAGTTATAGTTATAAAGTGGTAACCCGGTAGTAGATGATATGGAGATATTGATTTGTTCTTGTACAGAAGGTTCAGGTTGTCCACAGGCAGTCCACGGTTTCGGTTTCTGCCTTAGTTATGCAGAAGTGTAAAATACCACCGCCACTGATGCATCTCCTTTAGTTGTTATTCAGAAGTGTAAAAATACCACCGCCACTGATGCATCTCCTTTAGTTGTCCAGGCGCTTTCCATGGCGATGAGCTTCTTAGTGGCTTCGTCTGTATTCGGTGCTATTGGCGTTCGCAGTTCTACTGTCTCCTTATCGTAATCGATTTCGGTGAAATACTTAAAAAATTGACAAACGAGTTCCTCCGCACTCCTCTCTTCCCGATGCTTCATGAAGACCTGGAAATTTGAAAGATTTAGCATTATTTGTAGGTAATTCATCATTTTCGAGGCGTGGTTTACTCTTAGCTTGAGATGAACTAGTACCTTTCAATTTTTTCATTTTTTTCGAACTGTAAGTACCTTCGCAACACAAAGAGCCCACGTAATGCCTCCGAAATATCCGGAGATATTGTTGTAAACTCCGCGTGCTTTTGCCCAAGCCTTGACGAAGCGCAGTACTAGCTTGAAGACAGCTACGTCTGGCACTAGAGATCTATCGGACAACAGCAGCCGCGCAACGCGCACGCCGTTTAAGGAACGCTGGCTAGCGTCGTCTAACTCAGCTAGCACTGTGTCGTCTTGAAATGTTTGCCCTGTGATGAATGATGTGTTTGAAAGATTTTGGAGACTGATTCAATTCTACTTGCGCATGGTGCAGTACCTCCAGCTCCAATAGTCGTAAAGGTAAAACTCCTACAACTACTTCCTCGTAATACAACTACTAAGCGAGTACTAGAAAACACGAATTTGCCTAAAGCATCAAAGAAGTACAATTGTCATGTGTCGCATTGACTTCCAGGAACTCAGGCTCGATGGTGGTTTTTCTTGGTAATATACTGAGAAGAATGTCCAAGTCGACGCCCCTGTACTTGCAGCACAGTGTAGGATTGGCGGCTGTGTCTATCTTACTATAATCTTCCACGTGCTCATTTTGTTGCAGTAAGGCTCCAAACTCCTCTATCCACCTGTTTCTGAGCGGCGATCGCACTTCGCCGTTCTGATAGAAGTGGAGTAAAAATGATAGAGATAGTTACAAGTGTTAGTTGAAGCTCTAAGAACGACCTAGTAAGACCCTTTCACAACTTCATCTATGTGCTGTAACAAGTATAAATACGATGAAAGGACTAGATTGTAGGTCGTTTCGGATACTAATCCCTGCATTAAATTTAGTGATTAGAAACGAGGTTGATTGTGGAGAAGATGGTATTGAGAGTAAATATTTATAAATACTTCATCCACCGCTCTGTGCGATTGTCCTGGCAGTGCTGGGAGTAGACAGACCAAGTCTATATCGCTTTCGGGTGTGAGGAGTTCCAACGTCCCCGTTCCTATGGTCATCACCTTCCCTCGTGGCCTTGTAATACTAGTTTGTTTTAAAGGTTGCCGAGTTGCATTTTTCAGAACATCCTTGATCTCTTTTCCCCTTGAAAAGGAGCTAAGGATGGTGGTGAAGGATGCACTGTGGAAACCCTTAATTGTTCCTCAGAAGGTAATAAGGAGTCGATCCATTTGTTTAGCAATACTTCGATTTCCTCTCTTATTGCCCTTCTTGAGTCCAGCTCCGCACTCCCAATGAGCGGCGAAGCGCGTTCTAAAGCGGCTTCCATCTTGGTTCTGGACTTCGTAGATGGAGGTGCTGGACTTGGAGGTCGTGCGGTGAAGAAGAAGTAGTTTTCGTTACTACTAGTACTAGTAGAAGTAGTACATACTAGCAGCGGTAGTTCAGCTTTATCCTGGTGCTTAATACGACTTCTTATTGGCAGAACTGCTAACAGCGTTTGCGTTTATTCCCTATACAGAATACGCCAAGTGATCATGCTCCGATCATGCTCCTACGCCAAGTTTTTTTGATGGAGTAGGGTCGCTGCGTTTGATGGGTATATTCGATTGCGCAACGAGGATAGGCACTACAAGTCGCTCTTGTTGGTCTTCCAAAGTACTTTCTATTAGGCGAGGTCGCTTTCTTGCTCCACTGGCACTAAATGAAGCTACTAGAGATGCGTTGTTGGTAGCGGGACCACGACCACCGTTTTCACTGGCTGCAATCTATTAGTATTGTTCGCAAACCGAAGTTCTTCTAGCGGCCGTGAACGAAGTAGCTCCAGTTGGTCGCGACATGCTCTACTTCGTTCTTCAGGCCGTTTGCCTTCTGAACAACTAGGACGAAAGAAGCAGGCAGTCGTAACAACCGAAAGCACGAAGACAACAGAGGAGACTCATCTTTCTCATCCTCCTTGTTGCCAGTTCTCATGTATTTTTACCTTCGTCCTTTTCAAAAAACAAAATTCTCTTCCAGGAAAAGAAAACCAACATTAGTTAAATACCAAAGTTGTTTGGTTGCCACCACATAGAATTAAAGTAATAAAAGTTGTCTGCCTAGATTGATTTTTGTCGTGCTCGTGTATCTCTTTAGTATAGATCAACAAGAAACTTCTATGGAGGTCCGCATCCGAAACATCAAGTCAAAAAGTAGATCAAAATTATTCGAGGAATGAGGCGATCCTAGATCGAGTACTCTGCCAGCGAAACACGAGCAGCATCACCCTCACCGTCACCGCACGATGAAGTATAAGATACATATTCGACCAGTGTATGATCGTGAAACAAAAAGAACAGAGAGAGAGAAGATCCTCGTGGTCACCGATCTAGTGTCATGTCACGTTATTTCATTCACACACGTTCTTTTTATGCTGAAGATTTTCTACAACATCTCATTCGCAAAGGAGTTTGAGGGTTTCTGGCCACCACTGTCCAGTCGTCCTCTAGCAGTACAACTTCATTTTTAGTTAATCAGTGTATTCCTTTTCCTTGGACATTCCTGATTCAAGACATTTGGATTCTTACAGAGATCGGCAAAGAGGGCACGATCGTCAAAACTTGACACGGCCACATACTTTGTTTTTGAACACTGTAGAGAAAAGTTATTGTTGGCTAAGGGGCTTAGGCGTTGACCTGTACACTTATCGAAACGCTCATCACGACTCGTCGTGTCGCTGAGCAACGACCTAGACCCTGTTTTCAAAATAATATCTTGACTTTCACCTTTTTGCATCTTTCTGCGGATCCCTCGTGCCCTATTTGGTCTGTGCATAGCGACTTTATCAAGACTCCACAAGGACCAGACCAACATGACGAACATTTTTTTTTTTGGTTTTGATATAATCTATTCGGCAGCTTGCCTAAGTACATTTCTGGGAGCTGCAGGCATTGAATCCGACTAAGTAAGGACGAAGTTGAATGCAAGAACGTCGTTGCACCGTCGATCACTGTTCAGGCAGCATCCGTTGAACTTGCGCTGTCAAGAATCTCGACAACGACATAAGAACTCATCAATATTCAACATCACTGTAGTATGTAGTAATGCCTGGATCTGGAATTGGATACAACGCTAATATCAACCCAGCCGAATAGGAAAAATACACATAGAATCCTAAGAGTTAAGTAATAAAGGTTGGCTAGGTTAGGCAAGTAGATAACCTAACCTAGTAAGTAGATAACTCCTATTAAGCCTATAATCCGTAAAGAAGATGTTGATCATGGCATGTTAATGTTATTTCCAATCTGTAATTATTCACTGTTCTACATGGAGGCACTTCTTTTATCAACTCCTCACTATATTATTTCAGTTCTATTTGATCATCATGAATATTCAATGTGTGATAATGATGTCGATGTGTTGATTAGAAAACGTAAATCTGCTGCAATACTGACGATGAGCATGAATGTAAGGATCGAGAACAAATGTAGTAAATACGAAAAATCTTAACTGTTTATGCAAAAAAAACTATACAAGAAGAAGAACCACCATACGTAATCTTGAAAACTCTAGCTCTACCTCGAACTGGAAAGTAATTTTTGGATTTGTGCTGCAGTCTTACCGATATCTTAGTTCTTGCAGCTTGAATGCTCTGTGCCGGATAACCCGATCCGGATTTTTCTACGTGGCACTTGATGGATGCAGATTGGTTAAAATCCGAGTCCCATCCATTATCCCCACTTCTAGGAGGCAGCAGCAGCTGCTCTAGCAGCAGCAGCGCCAGCTGCTGTTCGAGCAACACCGCCAGCAACTGCTGCTCCGGTAGTAGCTGCTGCTCCTCCGGCGGCTCCTGCTGCCCCAGCTCCTGCTGTTCCTCCCGCAGCACCAGCAGCTCCTCCGGCAGCTCCCGCAGTTCCAGCTCCTGCAGCAGCTCCCGCCGCTCCAGCTCCTGCAGCAGCTCCCGCTGCTCCTGCTCCCGTTGTAGCAGCTGCTGCTCCCGCCGCCATTGCTAGACCCTTTTTTGGCGAGAAAATGGTCATCATGTGGTACCAGCGATAGTGATTTCCGTATACGTCTTCCTGTAAGAAGCCTGTGCACAGGTTCGACACCGTCTGCATGTTGAGTTAGAACCAAGGGAAATTTCAAAAAAAATCTTGGGTCCCGTTTCCCCTTTAAAAACGAGACCAGGATGCCTATGCAGGTGGATTTTTTGTAGACTTAATTGAGTTTAGGCCGATTCAGCAGTCTCGGCAAAGCGACATAGTACATCAAAATCGCCAACAGAACGGGCGACAACACAATCAAAAAGTCTCGCACAGTTGCTGCTGGAGATATATCCCGCTTTCTTTCCGAAATCGGCAAATACCGCATCGTCATGGAAATTTCCACCTTCTGCCTGCGAGTAACCGCGATCGCGTAGACAAACATCTGCAACTGCACTACGATAAAATAGTTGATGACACTGTCCAGAGCGTTGCTCGAAGGCGTGGCGAGGACGAATTGCATTCCTTGCATTAGGAGAAAGAACAAAACAATCAGCTGGGGAACGGAGACCAGAAAGAAAAAAGTCCATCTCGTTGCGCGCGTTAAACCTGACGGGGGTGTGCAGAGGTTGTGGGGATGTTGTGCAGAGGTTGTTGTGGAGAGGTTGTTGTGGAGAGGTTGTTGTGGAGAGGTTGTTGTGGAGAGGTTGTTGTGGAGTAGTAAGTAGTCCTGTGATATAAAGAGGTGTATGTGGAGTGGTTGTTGATGGCGTCAGGTGTGCAAGTGAAGAAACGCTTGTTGGTTTGTTGATGTTGGTTGGTTGATGGCATATCAAAATCACGCGCGGCATACATAATTTGTTAGTATCATTAAATCAGAAATACAAATACCACAGAAATGGATCATTATGACAACGTCCTACAACTTCATGCTAGAAGACCTGAGATGTGGAGCGAGCTGTGGAGCATGTTATTCCTATGCCAACAACAACATCAATAGTATCATGTACCAACAATAACGAGTTCTCCAGGTCTATCCTCGATGTGGGCAAGTCCTTCCGCTGAATCGGGCACGGTCTCCGACACCGTAACGACCCAGCGACCTAGTTTAGAGCTCAAAACATTTCACTTATTGCGTTCATTTCTTCAGATTCCCAAGAAGAAAATTGCGAGAAATGACTTCTAGAAATGAAATATTCTGAGCCTTAACTAGTTGGTAGGCGCTTCGGAGTTCTACGAGCAACTGCATCAGGTACACGATAAGCATCCCAATGGTGACTGCAGGATTAGCTACTGACCAGCCGCATATTTTCTCCAAGTTTTCTTTTTTGGTCTCGTCATTGCGCCAGTCTAAGGACCCACCACGCTTCATCGCTTCTCGCATAGCGCTACTTGTTTCGGGTAAAATCTTCTGGGCATCTTGATAATTAGAGGCTACGGAAATATAATATTCCTCAGAAGAACATTCCTGACTCAGTTCCTACCGGAAAAAGAGTCAGGGAAGTTAGTGCAGGATGTAATGTGGGAACCCTTAAGATAATACTCCGCTGCTTCGCCTCCGCCCATCTGAAACGAGATGTACTGAAGCAGAAACCATTGCAGGGCAAAGCACCCAAAGAGCAAGAAAAGTGCCACAGCTAGACGTAAGGAATGCTGCAATTTCGCGCCCTTATTTTCACCAAGAGACTCCGATACACCGGTTGAGACGGAGATCAGCCCCAGAAGGACGAATATTAGAAGAACTACAACTGTTAAATAAATGCAAATGCAAATCGATAAATTGGATGAAGGGACTAACCTAGGATATATCAGGCAACGTACATTCGTGCGTCTCAAATGGCCGTGCTTGGTCAACATCGGCAACAAAACGAAACACTTCCTGCGACGGTCCAAGACTAGCCGAGAAAGTGCACAATCAACCTATTTTTAGGGTGATACGAGAACCAATGAGCCTCATTAAGATGAGCCTTAAAATGACGGCAAAGCTTTCTTCGAATTCCTCGTAGGGCGAATGTCGTGACAGCCGCAATTGATCTCCTTCGTGGTAATCTTGTAGCAACTCATTCTCTTCTTCCTCCATTCTTGAGAGCCTGCTCTCCACGCGAACTAGATCCTCCATTTCATCTTAGCGCTAGAAAAACACAAAGAGAGAGACTACGCTACTAATCTGCATGGATTGGGAAGGAGCTATTCTATTAATCCACTTGTTGGTATGTGTCCTTTGAGCGAGACTACGCTACTAATCCACAGAGCTGCCGCTAGAAAGAGAATGCAATTCATTAGCTCGTGACCTAGCCACGACATGAAGCTCTAAAAATAAACGAGCTGAAGATTTATAATTGTGCCACGTATCTTCTGGTGCTTCTGAACTTACATTACATAGATGCAATCCGCCGGACAGAGACAATGTGCCACACTGAGATTGAGATGAATTTTGAAAACCTTGAAAGATGACTGCAGCACGTCGTATTAGGATCAATTGAGATAATCAGGTACTTACTAGACCTTAGAAGGATCGATTGAGATAAATCAACTCTACAACTACATGTAGATCTATTATACTAGTATTACTCGGAGGGATTAAAAAAGTCGAAAGAAAATAACCGGTTCAAAATTTTCTTTACACATCTAGATCTACATCTATCTATCGGAGATATTAAATCAATTCTGCATCTTCTAGATCTTGTATTACGTATAATTGGCCATAATCTTCATGCCGGGGTGGTTCGTCCTCACCCTTTTGGCTGTGCAGAGTATCGTAGTGTGCTCCTTGGCCCAGGAATTGTTGAAGATCCTCGGGGGAGTCGTCCCTAGACGCGCCGCGTGCCTGCTGTGGCGGTTCATCGTGCTGTGGACTGCTAACTAATAGCTCTTGATGTTCTTCGTGGTGCTCCTCTGGTAAGGTTGCCGCACTAGTCCCTTGCCGCACATTCTGTTGAGCTCCCGGCGCATGACTTTGGTGCCGACGCATAGGTGCAAAGCTCTGGTGGTGTCTTAGGGGTTGAAAGTTGACCGCTCACTAGGTCCTCGCATATCTACGCCTCATTTCCTTCTACTTGAAAAGGTTATACCCGAAAAACTGAAATATTAAGCAAGTAAATGACTAGAATAACGCAGAAGATAGCACTGACATGAGAGTTGCCTTGTACTAGTAAAGCTAGCTCATCTATTTCAGTTAGCTACTCGCATAGACATGCTCACAGAAGACAGAGATACATTGATAGCTCACGGAGATACAGTGATAGCTCACAGAAGACATAGATATGCTCACAGAGTATCTATATTGATTGACATGCTCAAAGAGACAGAGAGGTGAAATGTCCAACCCTTAAGTGTCGGCGTTTTGCCCCGGGAGGGCCAGCCATCGGACCCACATTAGGCCCTGCGGCGCGTCTCATCGCATTGCCCCGTGCGGTGGGAGCTGCGGCCACGTGCTTCATGTAGTGCGGGGAATTGGACAACCGGACGAAAGGCCGCGCTCCACCACTCTCAAGTGCTGACGATGACACCCGAACTGACTCTGAAAAGTGCACTCCACCTGCTTGATGTCCTCCTGGTGGGACCACAGGAGCTCCTCTTGACATGCTGCCAGGAGGAGTGGTCGTGTTTGAACTACGGATACTGCTATTGTTCATAGGCACCAACACAGCGGCACCGGCCGCAGAACTGCCGGACGTTGGCGATTGGGCTGTAGGCATGCTTAGAGCTCGCCCTGCTAATCCATCTTTTGTCATTCGTTTCGGATCTGACTCCTTTCCCTTTGTAAATGTTGTTATGGGACAGCTCCTACGGGACAGATTCGAGATATTTTTGCTTATTCAGATGGATTAATAGAGGCCGAGCCGTAACATACGTCCAGAGACAATTGCCGCACCCGGATTGTTAGGGCGCCCTTGAGATGAAATCCGCGCAGGAGCACGCCCGTAAAACCTGAGGGCGCCGCCATCTGGCGAATCCATGACCTGCTGCTCTCTGACATGGGTACTAGCGCCTCCACCATCGTCTATCCGGTTCAGAACCCGTTGGAGCTGATCATTCGCAACAGCATGTTTAGAGCTGTCCGTAATTCTCATCTTTCAAGTGCATCCTTGAAAAGTACTATCGTATGGGAGAGTATTATTCGTTCCCTTAGGTGGATATTACTCCTCGTCCTCCATACATTTCAACATCAAGGATGCGATCATGTCCAAAGTAGATACGTTTATTCAAGCTACAACAGCCTTAACATGTACTCCTTCGCTAACTTCCACAGTGGTAGTCGTCGTGGTCGTGGTGGCCTCTTCCACGACAACTTCCTCTTCGTCATCCACGACGAGCTCCGACTCAAACTCATCGTCGACGCCGAGAAGAATCCGGCGATCCTCGTCCGGCGAGAGAGATTCACGCTCATCACGATGACCCGCCATCCTCTAATATGGTTATATCTATAGTTCTTGTTGATGATCCTGCTCTATCGTTATCTCTATAGTTCTTGTTGATGAAAAATAAGTAGATACAGTTGCAGTCTCTATAGTTCCTTCTTGTTGATGAAAAATAAGTAGATACAGCTTTTACAGATATGTCTAGATTTTTGCAGTAGTTCGTGGTCTCATATACTACATGTACATAGATAAGAGAACGAGAAGTACAGCAGGGTTAGACTCAATGGAACTAGACAGCACAGGTGACAATAACCAAGTACTAGAGGTCTTCGAAATGTAGTCAAGATGGACCGAGAATGTCTTTAATGAGGTCAGTAATTTTCACCGCTTCTTATGAACGTAATGAATACGACTACAACATCATCGAGAGATGATACAAGAATCGATTATAGTTCTAATTCAGACAAAAGAACGATTGAGGAAGCAAGAGACTGCAAATTTAGTAATTATATTGCACCAAGGTACTTACTACATCAAAAATATCTTGACATAGTTACAATAAGAATAAGTACTAGAGGTAAAAAAGTACAAGGAGGGGATGAGGTGTATACTAACTAGTAAAAGTAATATGTGGTCGTCAATTATGGGGGAACAAGGGACATCCATGTATAAAGATGGGGGGGGAACACCGTGTGTTTGGAATTATAAAAATTCCAAAACCCAGTGTTCGATTTCGTGCCGACCGCACCTCTATGGTGCCCTGTTCATTGTAAGTAGAGTAGTTATAAGAACTCTTAGCGGTTGTAGCGTTTAAGTTTTATGTAGAAGACATTACTCTTCTTAGAATTAGAAAATAGCTCCAGACATCTTGTCGACAGAGTTATCTCCATGTTACTCGACTCAGGAGACAGAGAGGGACGTTCTAATAAGGTTCCGCAAGCTTTACTCACAAGTACAAGACAGTGACAGAGTATGGTCGATGACCTCTTCGCTCAAGATAGACACGCTCTACTACTACAGAGAAACGCTCTACTACTACTACAGAGAGACGCTCTACTACAGCAGAGAAACGCTCTACTAGTACAGAGAAACGCTCAACAGGTCAACGTGTAGATAATCAAGGCATCACAGACTCGCCAACGATCATGTTCTCAAACAGGTAACCCCTGCTCTCTTTGATGTGATATGACCTCATCTCCACATCTCTTTCTCTGCATAGCATAGGAACCTTCTCTTTTTCTCTCAGAACATTTGACTATAATGTTAATGCATCGAAGTGAGCGTCACGGTAAGAATTGATCATGATCATGATGTCATAAATAAAAAAGAGCCCCGAAACTTGGTTGATCATGCGAGAGATATCCACGACCTATCTATCATAGTTATATAGTGGCATCCGATAAGGAAAAATTAACTTCTTGGAAAAGAGGAAGTCCGAGTGAAGAAGGCTTTAGAAGACCGCTTTGACTTGGTTTTGGTCTCGCGAGGAACTCATGGGTCAAACGCGCGCTTTCTTGGTTTGCGGAGATGAGGAATCCAGTCCTGCGTTTTGAACTTCGGAGCCCTGTCGCTGCAGCCCTTCGCTCCCAGGCTTGGAGGGTGTATCAGACGGTTTGGAGGCTGTACCTGTGGTCTCACACAGTTGTAGAGGATCTTCTGAAGGCACTTCTGTTGCTTTATTTGTTGCCGCTGTCGAATCATCTTCGGGGGGAGCCGTATTTTGTTGTATTGGTGCTGTTTTTGCTGCCTTTGGCGAGGCTTTTGGTGACGCGCCTGCTGCTGTCGGTGACGCGCCTGCTAGTGTAGCTTCCGTCGCTGTCCGAAGCTCTCCTTTGGAAGAAGCACCTGCTATTCGCGTTGTTTCTTTAGTTGCTAATGATGTCGCTTCATCTTTGCCTCCGGAACAAGATTTTTTACCATGATTTGATGTAGTTGGAAGAGCGCCAGCACTTTTCACACTCTGTGCACCAGGAGCACCACTTGTTCCGGTACTAGTTCTTTTTGGAGCAACAACAGCAACAGAAGCGGGATCATGCCCTTTACTAGAAGTAAAAGTATTTGTACTAGAAGTTGTACTTGCATGTTGGATCCCTTTACTAGTAGAAGTATTTGTAGAAGTACTTGCATGTTGTGCTTGTTGTCCTTGCTCAAGGTCGTGTGGTCCTGTTTTTGGAAAAGAAGTAGAAGATGTACTTGCACAGCCATGTGGACCAGCTACTGGTGTTCGTGCTGTAGTAGTTGCAATACCAATAGCTCTATTCATAATTGACGAGGACGTCGTCGCGGTTCCTGTTGCAGACCCAGCGGCACTAGAGGTAGTTGTAGCTCCCAATCCCATACTACCAAGTGATAATTTTTCCTGTTCCGCCACCAACTCTTCCCTGGCCAGGACTTGGAAGGAAAGCTGAGACTTTGGGTCTCTCTCAAATTCCAAAGCGACTAAATTAAGGAACTCTGCCACAGCAGGCCTCAGATCTAGAACCACTGAGGCAGAGCCGGACGTGGTTGAGCTTCCGCCTAAGCTACCAAAAGAAGAAGTGAGTCCGAGATACCAAGAAGCAGTCAACGAGTTGGTAGAGGCAGAGGTAGTTGGTAAGTTAGTTGGTAGTTGTTGAGTAGCACTACTGCTAGTAGAAGAGGTAGTAGTATTAGCAGTTGTGGTTGTTACTGGAGGACCACAACTAGTGCTACTTCTAGACGTAGATGAAAGACCACCACTCGTCCTAGACGCGGAAGGATCACCACTACAAGAATTGGAGAATACAAGGTTGTGAGCACCAGCACCAGGATGAGCAGCGTGCGGCACTACCCCTCCCTCATAGGGACAAAGATGGACATGAAGCCCCTCGATGCGATCCAGGTACTGGACCAAGTAGCGCAACTTCGCTTCTAGAAGCCCTCGCAGACGCATGAAATTCGCTACGCCAGCATGGGAGGTGATCGTGACCCGCAAGTATCTGGAATAATCACTGAAAAAAGGTAGAGGAGCGTAAAAGACTGACCAATCTATCTCTTCGACGATGCTGGCTGGCGTCTTTGAGTTCGATGATGCAGTTGATGCAGAAGTGTCCTTCTTGCTGACATGAAGTGGAGTTGTTGTACTCGTACTACTATTAGAGCTCAAAACATTTCATTTCTTGCGTTCATTTCTTCAGATTCCCAAGAAGGAAATTGCGAGAAATGACTTATAGAAATGAAATATTCTGAGCCTTAATACTAGAAGAATTAGCAGTACTAGCACCAGTACTGCTATTACTACTGTTAGCTTTATTGGTACAAGCGCCTCCACTTGAAGATGAAGAACTTGAGGAGCTGCTCGCCTCACGAAAAAGAGACCCTTCTCCATTGTTTGTTGTTTTCCCAGCAGTAGAAGCAGGAGAAGAAGACGCACCTTCAACAGCTGAGAATGTACCTGTGCGGCCACTACTAGTAGTTCCTGCTTTAGGAGTACACCTGCTCATGCTGGTCGCCGAAGTACTGGTCGTCGCACTAGAGGAGGTTCCCCCAGCGGTCGCACTACTAGCCGTTGTACCACTAGGGCATACCCCAGAAGATTTTCCTCCTATAATTGGTCCTGCTCCCGTTCCCACAGGGGGTCCTGCTCCCGTACCATTTATTTTACCTCCTGTAGTAGTTGTGGTTTTTGTACCGCAACTTCCACTTCCAGGTGGTCCCTGTACCACATAGGCTTCAGGTCTCTGGACCATGTCTTCTACTAAAGTGGCCATCGTGTGTGCCCTGTAGAGCTGCTCTTCGAGCACTCGGCGCGTACTTTCGGTGACAGTTTAGAGCTCAACACAATTCATTTCTGAAGCTCATTTTTTCAGATTCCCAAGAAGGAAGAAAATGATGGCCCTTGACAATGAATTGGGGTATAGAGCCTTAAACATTGTAGCAACTGTTCATAGCGGGAAACACTGGCGTCAGAACGGCCATATGCTCTACGTGCCCGTTCCACTGATGCTTTCCACTTATCCGGTGAACTAGAGATAGATCTGGTCGGGGGATCATTGTTTGGAAACTGCAAAGATCCTCTGTCTGGGAGGTCGCCCAGCAGTAGAACAAGAAGTAGCAGTAGTTACTACTGCAACTACTGCTAGTAAACCCAATCGGCCAGTTTGTTACTTTTAGTTGTAGGCTTTTATTTCTGAGACCTTTTATTTCATCCGGCAAGGGCAGCAATAATTTTCTTTTTCATTTAAACTTCTGTACTTAGCAATTGTACATGCTAACCTTAGCAATTGTACAAATGTAATTATACACGACTTTTCATCATCTAACTTATTATGCATGTTGGTGGAGCATATCTAACTACAAAAAACAAAACATGTAATCAGAAGTACCTGCCACTTTCGGCGTCGGTGCTACTTCCCTCAGAAGCAAAGGCTCGTTCTCCCAGTCCCAGGCGTGAAGATCCTTAAAAAATTGCAATATCAACTGCGCTTCTGTGTAATCCGGATACTTTTTCAGTACGTGTGCCACACAGATGGACCACGTAATCCCGCCGAAATAGCCGCATATATTTGAGTAAATGCCCCGCTGCTTGGCCCACCACTTGACGAACCTAAGGACATTGCGGAACTTCTGCACCTGCTCTTCTCCCTTATGTTGATTCCCGGACAATTTTCTTCATTAGCATTTTGAAAAGACGCAGCTGTGATGCTAGTAAATTACTGTCTGGTGGCACATCTATGGATTGATAATGATATGGTATGGACGAGACCAGGTTCTTACGCATGAAACAACAAGTCCAACCACAGATGCTCTGCCTCTGCTCTACCTGTACCTCTTCTAAATGTAGAGTAGATTAAGTAGTAGAAGATTATGTACCTCGAAATATGTCTCTCTACAACTCAGACGTTCACTCCTCTTTTTATCTCGTTTTTGTAGAACAGGTCGGCAATGCTCCTTGTCTGTCGACGAATGTAGCTTCAATCCCCTGCTAACACTGCATTTGGAAGAAACATGGAGGAGTTTTCGGGTTTTAACCACAAGAAGACTTCGAACACAAACATACAGCCATGACAATGTGCTACTAGTCAAGATAGAAGTAAATACGGCATGTTATAGTGGTAAGATGAAGGTTGCATGTGGAATAAAATGTGAAAACTCTATGGCTGTATGGACGTGTAGAAAAGAACATGTAGGGCAAGGAGAAGAAAAATATAGTTGCATGGTCGGAAATGAGGAAAGAAAGAAAGAAACAAGAAAATAAAATAAAACGAAATGAAATATCTCTAAAAAGGGCCATGTTGACGGAGGATCACCAAGACATTCGTAAAATCGAAGCCAAACGAAAAAGTTCAAACTTCAGGATGTTAGGGTGAGAGCAATCGACGAACTATGTCAGCGAGATAAGTCATTGATTTTTCACATGGGTGGCATTTCATGATTTTGTTGTTCAGATCTATCGCAGTATTTTGTTTTTGATTTTGATCTTCGTTTTGGATCCAGCAGCACAAGGCATGTTTCACGGTTCATTCACCACAAAGTCACCGAAAAATGCCTCATGCCCTGTCACCATCAAAGGTATAGATAAGTGCTTCTGCAAATTGCTTAAATTCTTGAATAGTGATATTATGCGAGTAGCCTTGTTGGAGAAGTTTTTGTACTAGAGTTGTCGCTTCTTGTTTTGGTACGATGTTGGACTGTAGTCTTAATCTGGCGAAATGTCCTCTGCTAACACCCTTTTCTCTGCGATCCATCCCAGCTGAGAAGGCAGAAGCCAGGGGCTTGTCTGTTAAGGCTGCTGTGACTACTATTTTGTTTCTATGGGCTATGTCTACCTTAAGACCACAGAAAGTAGTAGGCTCCTCTACACCATCTTGGACTAGAGAACATCCCGTATAGAAGTTAGGTCTTAATGAAACAGGTACTTGTTGTAATTGCATAGCTCTCTGGACAGTAGTAAATACTATTTTGTCGTCTGCGTAGCGTCGTGAGGTCTCTAGCATTGTTCCTGGGTCAGTAGATTTCACCATCTCCTCATAAATAGCGTACGCATTAGAAAGTGGAGTGCTAGTTGGGCTCCCCATAGGTGCGCCTTTAGTTTGTTTGAAAATTGTGCCTAGTGCTCTAACATAGCTAAATCTGACATCGTGCAGTAGTATTTTTGTTAGGTCGGTAATTCTTACATAATCATGAAATCTTGGGTCCGGTCTCCCTCTAGTGAAGGAGATCAAAGACAAGCGCTTTTGTAGTCTTCTACCCTTTTGTACAAAGTAAGTTTTATCTCTTCCTATCATTTTATGTAACACAGGCATCAAGTTTTTGCTAGATTTGAATATTCTAGCAAAGTTGTGTCCCGTTCTTCTAATAAATTCATCAACTACTTTTTGTATCACGACCATACTACTATTTAGGTTGCAGTTAGTGAAAAGCTCCCCAATGTCTCCCGTGAATACCGCTAGTTGTAAGTCTAGCCTAGATGCTTTTTCTGAAACGTTTTTAAGGTACTCAATGATAGAGGCCGGGTTTGTCAAGAAAAATCTGGAGGTTGCCGGGTCTCTTTCAAGGAGGTGGTTGACTATTCTCGTGGCAGTGGTATATATTTCTTTAAAGCAATGGCGCTGGTAGCTAGTTAAAGGTCTCATCTTGAGGTCCACGATTCTGCGCTCCTGCTCTATTTTCTCAAAAATTCTATATGTCTTCTTCTTCATGGTGATCCTCATCTTCGCCCATCTATGCTTTTTCTTTCGCTTGATGGACGAATCAGGGAAAAGCCAAAAGAATTCATTATTATTGTCATTTTTGAGACTTTCCCAGCCTGGTAGTTGTATATATGCCCCTGAAGTGAACATGTGCTTTGTTACGATCTTGCGTAGGACCACTGGGCATACCAAACTCATATCAACTTCTTTATCTACTACATCCGTGCTTAATCTCTCGGAAATATCTAGGTGCCTAGGTTTAGTTTGTTCGGGTCTAATTCCTCTAGTCTCATACGACTTCGCGAAATCCTTGTATGAGTTAGGAAATCTTAGTGTGGGGCGGGTGGTTGGGAAAACTCTCGAGGTGAATTTGAGTAGTTCCCGTCTGAGGCTGGTGGCCGTAGACTTGGGGCTGAGAAATCTCGACCTCATGTTCCACTTGCCCACCGGTAAGTCTGTCTCTATGAAGTCATAGTCCGAGCATTCAGTCCTATATCTTTCTAGTGATGATGCAATGTGTCCTTGTACTAAGTATTTGTTGAGTTTGGGATGGTCCATGAGAATTTCGCAGCATCTACATACCTGTGGTAAGTTGTAGCCAACGTTAGTTTTATTTGCTATGTCTATCAACGTGGGCCCAGTTTTCGTCCGAAAACATAGGTTGACCGCAGGCTTGCCTTGCTCCTGGTGTTGGTGATATATCCTTATGTATGCTTGTACATATCTCCAGAATGCTGGAGTTTTCTTCGTGTCTCCTATGTCTACTACATGGCGGATGAGACGTTGCGGTCTATGCTTAGCTAGATTCCTGATGAGGATCTCATACTCAATTTCATCCAAGACAAATTTTGCGCGTTTTGTTATGATAGCACTGGCATGTGTATGTGTGTCAAAGAATACGGCAATACTCTGGGGAATGACATCAACAAGTCTTCGTGAGAGTGCTATGCATATTGCTGTTGCTTTGGATGAGGCAAGTAGAGTAGTTAGTGCCAGGTTAGGTGTAGCACGTGAGGTGGTTGAAGTTCTCGGCTGTCGTCCCTTCCTTCTCTGGTATGGTCTAGATCTACTATTTTTCGAAATATATAAGGATGCTGTGTGTAGATATGGCGACTGGTGGGTGTCTGCTGCTATTTGTGTGTTCTGGTTAGCAGCAAACTCCGTTATTAAGTTAGCCTCTGCTGTTCTAATTTGTCTGCTAGTAAGGGTGGGGGGTAGATAGACCAAAGGAATGAAGTAGTATTTGAAGAACTCGAAGGTGTTACGATAGAAGAACTGGGTGCCTGTCTGTGCTTTTCGGATATGTGCAGCTGTTCTAATGTCGATTCCACCCGATGTTTCCCCTACGTATGATTTTTTGCAATGTGGCTGTAGTGCCATGTATACTACATTTGGTGAGCCCCTATATCTACTATTAGTTCTATCATATCTATTTATTTTCTTCTCTAGTGCCCTTTTTCTCCAAGTGTTGCCATCGAGTAAGAAAAGTCGTATAATGATCTCGTCTATGGTGATCATGTATTCACGAACGGTGGATATCACTTGATTGAGTTTTACCAGAGATGTTTGGAAAGGGCCTGTAGTAGTTAAGATCTCGAAAGGTAGGAAGTCAAAATGTAGAGATCCTTGAGCACATTGCGACATCTTATGTAGTCTCTTAGTGACTTTGTTGTAGCTATAGGTGCATGCGCAATACCTATGTGATCTAGTGCATCTTAGACATGTTTTTGTCTGGCTGTGTTCATGTGACAGCTGGGATATAATATTTCTCATAAACGTGATCTTATTTAGAACCATCTTTCTTACCCTTCGGTTCTCTTCTATTACCGGCGCTATCCTCAAAAGTTCCCTCACAAAGATATCTGCGATGTTGAGAGCGAATGATGGCATGGCTGGTATTCTCGTGTAGTAGTTCGTTCGAAGTTCCCACATCGGCAGGCTGAACCTGGGTTGTAACCAATTGTAGATGTTGTCAGTCATGGTGATGGGGTGGTTGTTTTAAAGGTTTCCTAGTTCCCCAAAAGGGTCTGCTTCTGATGTATCCTGCCATGTGTCACCGTGGCCCTTCTTGTCATCGTCGTTCTGATATGTTGCCGCCGGCAGTTGACTTCCTTGGTGATCGTAGTATCGGTCATTCTTATGGTAGTCCATGTCATCATAATCATCTCCCAGATCCATCTCCGCATCTGCTTGTTGATTCTGGTCAGGTGAACCGTAGATCTCATCGCGTATTAGGTCGTAGAGCTGTTCTGCATCTGGTTCCTCTTCTTCTTGCGGTGGTGCAGGTGGTGACCATTGTGGTGGATCCCCTGGTCTTCCCCCTAGTGGTGAGAATTCGTCTTCATCCTCATTTCCGATGTTCTTCAATGACGTGCTCTCGCTCTTTCCGTCATTAAGAATCTGTCGGTCTCGTGCTCGTATTTGCCGTTCGCGTAACTTCGGGTCGAGAGGGGCATGCTCTTGTGGTGTACGTTCGATGACATCGCTCAGTTGTAGTTGTTTCTTGCGCTCTTGTACTTTCTCCTTCTCCAGTTCGATGGTGAGGATTTCTTGTTGTGCTCCTGCCGCAGCTATCATCACGAAGAGCGCAAATTCCGTCGTGGTCCTTAGTTTGAATAGAGGTCGATATGCCGCGATGTACTTCTCTGTGGTGAAGTCCCGGACTAAGTCAATGACGTTTGATTTGATCTTGTTGGACAAGGTGGTTAGCGGTATTTCGTGCTTCTCATATAGCAGGCAAGCTCCAAAAAGTTGCTCCTTAACTCTTGTAACAGGTGTTGCCGGTCTCTTGTGGCACAGTGTCGATCGGAGGAAGCATATGGGACGTGACATAGCCTTCTCGAAGTCTTCAGCCTTGTAGTCCTTCGGATTCCTCTTGATGTTGTTGTCCAACATGTGTCTGACAGTGTCGCTGTATGCTTTACCGCACGCCTCCTCTATGCCTTGTATGGCCTTCGTGATGCGTCGTTTCTTCGTGTTCTCATCTTCCGCTCTCGGCATATTCTTGTCCCCCTCGGGGGCAGCTGAGTAGAGGTCGCTGAGCAAGGCTGCTGTGCTCGGATCTCTACTGTTCTTCTTTCCTTCACCCTTGGTGCTGGATTTCTTATCCGTCGGCGGATAGGCTTGATGCTTCGCTCTATCGCGGATCTTTGCATATTGCTGGTCGACCATGTTCTGGATGTATGACTTGTCCTTCTGCTGTTCCTCCCGTTCGTACCAGCCATCATTGAAAATTGTTTTTTGTTGCGTTGCGTCCTTATCCTTCTTCCACCACGGTTGATTGTAGTCATCATTTTCCCACCACTTCTTATCTGTTGTGGATCCTGAGGCTGGTGGCGGTGTCTGATGCTGGTATGATTGTTGATGGGCTTCATGGCGTTTCTCGATGCTCTCGATTCTAGAGGAGATTGTCGTGAATTGCGTTTGTAGGTTCGCCCCGAACTCCTGGAATTTGTTGCCAATGGCGTTGAGGATGTCGCTCTTATCCATGCCCTTCGCGTCCTGGCCTGTTGTCGTGCTGAGCTCTGATTCCGGTTCATCCTTAGCCAACTTGAGGGTGATAGGGAGGCTCTCAAGTGCTTTCTTCGCCTTATCTGCTTTTTCCGTTGTGGTAATCCTTAAACAGATTTCTTGCAATTGTTTTGCCACCAAGCTGTTACACACCAGTAGCGATAGTGAGGCCGATCCATCCTTCATCTCTGATTCATCATCTACCAGTCTGCGCGCAATAGTCTGCGGGATGAGGAAGTCCTTAGTTGGAAGTTCAGTCGACTTGAACATCATGTGCTCATTCATTTCCTTCATTACTTGCATGCTGGATATCACCATCGGGTAGATTTCTTCTTCTTCCTCTTGTGCTGGCTTCATCGTGATTGTGGGCACGAGTCCTCTGGTCTTCTTGATGTGGATCGTGCCGGCTGGGGGCGCAACACCGTGCAGGTGGGTGTTTTGTTGTTGTTGTTGCTGTTGTGCAAGTTGTTGCTGTTGTGGTGCGGTCCAGCCAGATCCCTGGCTGCTTTGCGTCTGCTGTGGTGAGCTCCCTAGTTGTATGGAGTTCGAGTTGGTAGCATATGGCTGCTGTGATTGGTAGATCTGCTGCTGTTGTTGTGGTTGGATCTGCGTCGGGCTAGGTGGCGGAGGTGATGCTTGTTGCTGTCGAGCTTGTTGTTGGTTGGGCAGATTGTTCTGCTGGTACTGAGCGTTCCCACCTTGGATCGGTTGCTTTGGTTGGTGTCCGTTCGCAGTGTTGAATTGCCCAATGTGCATACTTGTGCGATATATCTCTTGTGGTAGGCTCTCCTGTGCTACCATATTTCGATCCTTCATCCACTTGTTGTATGCTAACAAATCCTGATATTGGTGTGAGAATTGACAGCTGTCACCCGCCGCGCATGGATTTCCACTTGATGCAACCCTGCATGCTTTCACGTACTGGGGGTTGTGATTGAAGGTCTGTGCTCCACCTCCCGACTGCTGTGAGATGTTCATGTTGTTGGTCATCGTCGTAGTTGATTGGTAGTTCACGGGAGTAGGGGCGTTTTTCCGCTGTGGTCGAGCTCTTTTACTTCTTTGGTGATTCCGTAGTGCTCCTGCTACTGCTTGATTTCTGTTCTGGTGTAGCGGCTTTCGTTTTTCTGTATCCAGATCGCTTTAGGTTAAACTTCGTGATGATTCTTCTATGTTCTTCCGTGCGTGGCTTGATATCAAAAGCGATGTCGTTGCCGTCGTGGTGCTTCCGGATGCTTTCCCACCCGTCGAAACCGTTGCTCGGTTTTTCCGTTCTTAATTTGTAGGTGTTGATGTGGGAGAAATCGCACGACCCGGAAAATGCGAGTAAAGATAGGGCGCTGATCAAATCTTCTGTTCGGTTCATGCACTGGACCACTCTAGCGATTTTTCCTTCGTGCGTCAGTGCGTCCGCTACGTTCTCTGATCTTTCTTCACGGTTGTAGTATGGGATCGCTAGTTCAGATGTGGAGAATCTGAGTTCTGGAGCACAATCTGTCCCAAGGTCGTAGTCTAGTAGCCAGGGCCTCTCTGAGCTATTGATCTTTTTCACAAGTTCTTCGAATAGTTTCTTACCTAGTACTAGTCCGCTTTTCTTAGTTTTTCTTAGTTCTTCAATTCGGAGCCACATGCACTTCTGCTTGTGCGTGAGGGCGAACTGGGGCACCTTATTTTTGCTCGTCCGCGGCATCTTGTGGCATCTTGGTGTAAACGTCGTAATATTTATAGACCTCGATCTTCAGGCTCCTATGTTCGATGCTGCTCTTGTGAGTTCAGATAGTTGTCTCACAGATTTTTCGTGGTCTTGGATTCTGGATGAGTTCAGATGATCGTCTCATGTGCGCCGGTCCTTGTTGCGTGTTGAGTTCAGGCGATAGTCTCAAGTGGTAGTAGTTCTTATTCCGCTCCTCCTTCTTTGTCATTCAATAGTTTTAGTTTTTTCGTTCTAGTTGTGTTATGACATACAGTATATTGTGGATTTTTATATATATCTTACGTTCTGATATGTTGGCCGATGTGTATACGAGTACTCACTATTTATCTACCCGTGGTTGAGGTCCATAAATAGTTTAAAAATCTCTACAACTCAGATGCTCACTCCTCTTTTTATCTCGTTTTTGTAGAACAGGTCGGCAATGCTCCTTGTCTGTCGACGAATGTAGCTTCAATCCCCTGCTAACACTGCATTTGGAAGAAACATGGAGGAGTTTTCGGGTTTTAACCACAAGAAGACTTCGTACACAAACATACAGCCATGACAATGCGCTACTAGTCAAGATAGAAGTAAATACGGCATGTTATAGTGGTAAGATGAAGGCTGCATGTGGAATAAAATGTGAAAACTCTATGGTTGTATGGACGTGTAGAAAAGAACATGTAGGGCAAGGAGAAGAAAAATATAGTTGCATGGTCGGAAATGAGGAAAGAAAGAAAGAAACAAGAAAATAAAATAAAACGAAATGAAATATCTCTAAAAAGGGCCATGTTGACGGAGGATCACCAAGACATTCGTAAAATCGAAGCCAAACGAAAAAGTTCAAACTTCAGGATGTTAGGGTGAGAGCAATCGACGAACTATGTCAGCGAGATAAGTCATTGATTTTTCACATGGGTGGCATTTCATGATTTTGTTGCTCAGATCTATCGCAGTATTTTGTTTTTGATTTTGATCTTCGTTTTGGATCCAGCAGCACAAGGCATGTTTCACGGTTCATTCACCACAAAGTCACCGAAAATATGTGGTAGATTAAGTAGAGGTACTACCTCTAAGAACAATCTCTCTGAAGATAAATGACAACAATTACAATTTCTCTCCTGGAGAACAAATAAGTAAAGAGCATAAGAATCTTCGGGGACCGCTGACGACATTGACGTCGTTGAGGATGCTGACGACGCTGTTTCCTTCATAAGCTGCAAAATGATTCGTGCCACTCGATACCCGTTCTCTTAGAAGAGTGGTGGTAACTACCTGAAGCAGCTGCAGCATCTAGCACACTACAAATATGACAAGTTTTAGTTTTTCCCCTCGTTCATCTTGGGCTTCGCATCTAAATGAGATTCTTGAGATCCAACATCCAACTTGGATTCAAATAATAAAGTCAGTGCTTGAAGCCCATAATTAAGCGCTCGAATACAGGACTCATCCAAGTCGACTAGGATGTCGTCGAGATACAAGTCGCGGCCATCCTTGAGAAAGTTTTCAGCGATAGTACTTCTCTGCAAGTCGCAAAAAAGGATATCTATTAGCTGCGCTAGTTTTTCACTATGACTATGCGTGGTTGAGTGCCCTTTAGATTGTTGCCCTTCAGTGCATCCTTCTCCCTGCTCTAGGTTCTATGTATAGGTTCTGATCCTACGAGGACCTCAAACATGATGTTGAGTGCGATGATCCAGCATCTGAGGTGCTAGCTGTGTTCGTTGCCCTTTTTTCTCTCTTTCGCAGGTTGTTCCCCATTAAATCACAAGGGGAACGCGCGCCACTTTTTAGCATAGAAGTACGTGCACGTGGGATAGTGAAAAACTAGCCTTAAGTCTAGGTCCACTCCCTTCCATCTGCAGCTCAGAGTGGGATTTGCTGCTGTGTCTATGCGTACGAAGTCCTGAATTAGACCTCTCCGAAAGAGTTCAACTTTCAACTGCATGATCTTTGTCTTTCTTGAAGAGTTTATTCACAGAAAAGGAAACAAATACCTACTCACCCATGTACTAAGATAAAGACTTTTGCTTTTCGTAGAAATTTAAGGACTATTCAAGAATGTTCTTGCAGTGAGTCGAAAAGGGTATGATCGCAATGAAATATTGCCCCATACATTTCAAGGATGCTCTTTCAGTCTCAGTCAAAGATGAATTTCAATTTCTATGATAAGATTTACTATTCATGTTTCACGCAATTAGGATTCAATTATCTTTTACAGTCGTAACTTAACGTGGGGTAAAGCCGCCAAGGTATCTCCGAAGTCTTGCATGAAGTGTTCGCGGAGTGACACACGTCCCCCACCCACGAAAATGCCGCTAGGAATCTGAGGAACGACGCACACTAAATCAATGTCACTCTCCTGACTGACGACGCCGAGTGTGGAGGAACCCATGGTGCAAACACGTCCCTTCGGAAAAGCAGTATTTTGGCTCTGGAGGTTCTCCAACAGTGATCCGCTCTGGGAACAACTCTGCGTCACGACCTTTCTCAGCCAGTCATTCAGTTGTTGCTCGACTGCTTGCGCTATGCATTTTCGGTTTCGCAGCCCCTCAGCAGTCTCACATGGATAGTCCCGGTCGAGATAGCGGAGTAGTCGCGCACTCTCACGTTCCCAAACATTCGTGGCCTGGTTTTCTTTTCTCGGTTCTACATCTTTTGTGCGGGAAGAGGAAGACGAAGATGTGGAAGCTGTAGCTTCTTTTTTGTTGAGAGCACTAGCAGCTTCTGAAGTGTTGACATTTGCTGCAGTGCTAGTTTTCGCTGAAGCGTTAGTATCCGCTGAAGCGTTAGTATCCGCTGAAGTGCTAGTACTTGCTGAAGTGTTACTCGCTAAAGACGTCGCTGGTGCCGTGCTACTAGTACTTCTTTCCGTAGCGGTAGCGTGGATGCTATAATTGCCGACTCCTTTTCCTGCAGCGCTTGTTGGTGATGTTGATTTTAGTGGCGATACTGGTTTCGTAGTAGTGGGTACTGTTGCAGTGACGGGAGACTTTGCTGTGATCGCGGGTATTTCTACTGCTGTAGTGGCCGCCAATACGACTGTAGTGGTCGCGGATACTCCTGTCGTTGCCGACACTCCTGTAGTGGTCGCAGGTACTGCTGTCGTCGGTGGTGCTGCTGTTGTCGCCGATACTCCTTCTTCGGTAGGTGTAGGCGGACCAGCTGTAGGTGCAGGCACTTGTTCTGCTGCGGTTGCAGGCAACACTGCTGCTGGTCCTGATTTTGCTGCAGTTGTTGGTGTAGTCCCTGATAATACTACTCGCGATGATTTCACTGATGCATCTTCTACTCCAGAAGAGGCGCGCTTTAACGAAAGCCCAGACGTCGAGCTAGAGCTCGGTCCAGTGCCGACTGCAACCTTCATTCTGTTCTAATTCTGTAACCTAGAGAAGTTAAGAGCAGGGCACGAACAAGCGAAGACTTACCATGTCGTCATAAACATCAACATCAACGAGATGGATCATTCATCAAGCAGAAGTCAATATTTTTTATCAGGCAGAATTAGTACCGTTAGGTGGGAAATCTTAGGCAAGTGTTGTCGAATAGATGATTCGAGTAGTCAGTACCTGCGAAGTTGTGGTAGACATACTTAGAAGAGAAAGACTGACGCACCTACAAAGTAGAAACAGAACAAGACACGTGAGGACCTATTGTTGATCAAGTGTCGTCGTTCATCTGTGGCCTTACTTAGGGTTTATTGTTCGATCAACAACAAGAACAAGAAAGGACCAAGACAGACTCCAGGGATCTTGCAATTTCTCACTGCACTTGATTCAACTCGAAGATGCCGATTGTTCTACTACTTCTCATGATTCAACATAGTGAATAGATAGGTTTTTTGGCTTTCTTTATGGCTTTCACACGGAGAAGACTGTCATAACTTCATGGACAAGCTGCTTAAAGATGAAAGCATTGCGCAGGAAACACATAGCCTCTTATGATCTGGTACTGCGGAGAGAACAAACATCACCCACACAGTAACAAAATATTGCCAGAAGAGTGGCCGAACCAACGTCAGCCACGGCCACACCCGAACAAATCTTGTTAGAGTAGAGTCGCTTTGCAGGGTGGACCCGCGGACACGACCCCATGGAAACAAAAGCTTTTTCTTCGAATCAACATTGTGTGAAAGTCATCAATGTAATTCGTTACCTGTTGGAAGCCTCGTCAATGGCGGCAGAACGAAATCGTTATGGAACTTCAGTCTGTGCCTGTGGTCCTCTGCTGCCTGTTGATGAAACTAGAACTACCATGATAATTCATGATGAAACTCACATGATAATTCATGATGGAGCTACCATGATTGTGAATGCCATTATTCTTCATGCAGCTTGATAAGTGAACAGGCCAACGAAGGAGATTCTTGAAGAAGTATTTTTTTGTCTAAAAAAATTGATCTAGTCTTTTTATTCAGCCTCCCACCACCTGACCTTCCAATTTCTGCTCTCCATCTTCACCGTCACGGTTTGCTTCTTCCTCGTCTAAAAATTTGCTCCAACCTGCTCCCCTCCTAACTATAGGTGGACTTTTAGGCGCTGCCTCTCTTCTTCGCCGCTTGTCTTAGAGGAATGTCTACCTCTACGTCACTGGTCACTCACTCACACTGGTACAACTGACTACTAGTACTGACTACGTACTAACTAGTACTGACTACTAGTACGTAGACTACGTACTAGTACTGATTACTAGTACTGACTACTAGTACTCGTACAACATGAACAACTGATGATGTTGTTATATTGCGATAACAGTCACTACTCTGTTTGCACCATGCCGCGTGCGAAAATATCATTTGTTCATAGATGTATCATGTAATAAAGTCTTGACCAGAACTTCAGACTTCTGGTACTACTACTTATTTGTGGTGGAGCCAACCTATCTAGGAAAGATAGAAAAAGGTAGAGGTATATACTTACAATAGGACTGTAAGAAAAATTTGTCCATCGAGTTTAGGATCCGTTTATTCTAGGTGCAGGTGCACTATTCATTAGTTTGTTAATATTAAGGTCTCAACAAGCCGTAATCTTCCTCTTCCGCTCGCAGCGCTTCCTTGAGCCACGTATCGTCGTCCCCGATTTCTATATTGGCTTTTGTTAGAGCCACCTCTTAAGCTTAAGCCCCATGAAAATAGGAGGATGCAAAAAGATTCTGCTTCGCAACAATGATTTGAATGTAGTTATCACACAGACAACTTACTACCTTATCAATCTACATGATTTGATTATGACTGAATTGATGTGCCCGGCAAGAGGTTGATGTTGGAAGCTATCTATTTCTTCTTTTCTTCCTTTTTTACTCCTTTTTTGCTACATGATTTGAATGTAGTTATCACACAGACAACTTACTATCTTATCAATCTATATGACTGAATAGATGCACTTGTGGTAGGAGCCATAATTCTGTCAACAGAGCATGTTCGAAGTTGACATATACGCAGTACTGGTACACGAGATTTGGAATACTGGGACGGAAATGGCAAGGCTTCACGTTGAGGATTTCTTGCATCATCTGTCTGTTCTCGAAGACTGTCGTGCAAAGGAGTTGCGCAGGCGCTGGTGCTGCTCTTGCAAGGTAGTTCGCGCAAACAGCATATTTTCGCCAAACTTCTTCGGTGATGTAGGGTGGGTCGATCACTACCAAAGAGCAATCGTGCTTGTGTCCTGTCAGCTCTCCTGCCTCGGCTTCGTCCGCAAAGGACATGTTAAAATCGTAATAGACAAACCCAGGATCATCTCGCCACTGCTCGTCGATGTCTAGCACAATGCAGTACTGTCGCAAAGCTGCTGCCACTGAAAAATAAACACATTAGAGCAAAAATTTGCATTCTTGCGCACGGCCTTGTTGGCTGAGGGTCTTTGTGCTGAGGAACCAGACAAGACGAGTCGAGAATAACATTGATGTTGAAACAAGGTTCGTTAGAGCCAAGAAGATGCATCTTCTACACCAGAAAAAGTCAAGGAGAAGGATGTTGACGATGACGATGCATCTTCTTCTAGTTCTACACACATATCATATATATTAAAGGGCTAGGGAGGATGCCCACCCTGATATCAATGTGAGACACGAGCCGAGCTTCTAGCTGAGTACACGCCTGTAGCTATGAAGCGAAGCTAGCTAAGTACACGACCACAATTGCCTTAAAGCGAAGGACAAGAAACTAGCGCTACTTTCGGCTTTTGCCCTCCTGCAGCAACCCCTTTTTCGATATGTCCTTCGATAATTCGTATGAAAACCTTGATTGTCTTCTCTGAGAACCAATACTGGTTTAAATCGCCTCGCTCCTTTGTCGATTTCAAAAAAGACTCTTCAACGGCAGGTGAAGATGAAGCTTCTTTTTTATCATCCCCTTTCATCTCGGGTTTGATCTGTGACTGTCCTTCTGCGGTCGCAGACGAAGAAGAAGATGCGGAAGAAGATGCGGTAGTTGCAGACATTTTTTTCTATTTTCTTTTCCTTGAAAAAGTTAAGTAGTAGAAGTAAGTCCAAGTTCTAAATCTAATGATTAAAAATTAACAGCGTCATCCGACGTGCGAGAGCGTCATACTGCCGTCTGAGGTCTCATAAACGGAGACTTACACTTTTCAAAAAGCAATGTATGATGCCTAGCTTTTCCTCTGAAGATGCGTTTTCCTATACAGTACTCCTTGAAAGGATGATGTAAACTAGTATTGGTAAGTACTTTGTTTATTTCACTGGGTGGTCTTTGTTTCAATCTCGTGCTCTCTTAATCTTTCGTCCGGCGCGAACAACTTTTGGCACGCTCAATGGCCAAGATTTCTCCAAGTGTTTTTTTCCGTCTCTTGCGACATCACCCAAAAGCAAAGTTTACGACTTCAGAAGACTTCTTGCTACTGGCTTCCTCTTTGTATGTCATGATGCGGTCGTTTTCATGTGGTTACGTAAAGTTATGTCATCGAGTTATCATGAATTTTTCACTCAGTAAGGTACTAGATAAAGCATGTTCATTAAGTTTATGAATGAGTCTATAATATGTTTGCCCTACCATAAAATCATAGATGTCGAGAAGTCACAAAATATTGTACAATGTTGATGTTCCTTGTGATTGATGCTGCGTATGCGTTCCACCAAAGTATCAATTACAATTTAGTTTCCATGCTTTCCATTTTTACTATCTACGAGTAGGATGTAGTGACCCTGTAGAAGACCGACTGGTGCTCAGTAATTTGAAAATCGAACCCCTCAAGCACTTCATCATCAACTTCGTTCTGCTGTGAAAAAAACAAACACTAAGAAGAGTTGTATCAGCTCTGGATAGCTCGTCGTGTACTGTTCGTTGTGTGCGGTGTGTCCTGTTATGGCATGGCCTATTTTTTTATCCACAATACAACCATCCATATATATAAGTGGAACAACTCACATGATAACACATCCCCTAATGTCTCCACTAGCTTCAAGAGCCCACCACTACATTTGATTAAAAACCACTTACCCTCCCAGGAAAGTTGTCAAGAAAGGTTCATCCTCACAGCGTATTTGCTTCTCCTGACCTACAAAGAGAGCAGCCGAGCCGAAGGCCACCTGCTCGGCAGGAGGACCTTGGCTCCTAGAAGGCGCGCTCGAACTGCTCGAAGATCGATCCCCATGTGCTTGACTAGGGTAAGGCGCTTGGTCTTGACCTAACATGCAGGAGCGAAGTTCTTCTTCAAAACGTTTTTGCTGTTGGTCTGCGAGAGACATCAATGTACTCAAGGAAGCATCCGTCGGACCGTATACGGCAGCTCCTGCAATGGCAGCAGTGGAACTGGACGAGGAGAACGGAGTCAATACAAATGGACTAGACCCAAACGCAAATGGTAGTGGAGGAGCTGACGAAAATGGGCTTGATGCACATGGCCTAGATCCAGATGAGGCAAAAGGTGAAGACTGCTGACCGTAGAAAACCGGTTGACCGGAAAGGGCGACCGCGTCTTCAAACGTCATTCGCTTACCATCAGGATGCGAATTTTTTCCGTCACTCGCAAAGATCGCACGCTGCGGATTGCCTGGTAGATGAGCAGGACCCTGATCAGGGACTGGACCTTCCAGACCCAAACGCCGTTTCATATCATCGCAAAACAAAGCAGCCCCCCGGCGACGTACTGTCTCAAAATCTTGTAGACCATCTTGTTGGACATGAAGGCCTCCGTGTCCTACTTGTCCAGCATGATCTTGAAGATCATGAACATCTTGCTGGAGGGCGTGGCCTTGTGGTCCATCTTCATGAAGATCCTCATGTCCGTTTCCTTGGTTCTCTGCGTGTGCGTCTGCAGGGCAATCCTTAGGACCAACAAGCAGTGACATCTGAGGACGGAGTTCGGCAAAGGACAGGAGAGGGCGACTTTTTTCTTTACGAGTTGGCACAGCTGCTAGGCCAGGAGTTGACAGGCGTGACCGTACAGCACGACTTGTTTGTGTCTGTAGTTCTTGCTGCTGAGAGGATGAGCGTGCTGTCTCACCATGGAGGTGACCTTGCACACGAAGAAAACCCGGCCGAAATTCTTGTTGCTGGGTCGACTCACCCACTCGCAAGGGTTCTACTTCATCTTCTGAGCGTCTGGCTCGTGGTCGTGGTGTAAGGGGTCCAGAGCTTGGACCAGGAACCTTTTCGATGTTCGTTTCAAATTCACCACATGTTTGAGGCCTTTCCACTTCCTGACTGCCTTTCTTCATCGCTTCTCGAATAGCCTCTGCGTTTCTCTGAGACACCATTCTTCCCGTTCCCGGAGGAGAAAGGACAGCTCCCACGTTGGACAGCATGTCCTCATCGGATGTGAAGATGCCTTCCCAAACGACGCGCCCGGTGCCTGTCAAGGCACTTTTAGGGTCTGGCGACATAGGAGATGAATCTTTACTCCCACGACTGTAGGTCTCCTTGTCGAAAAAACCAGCCGCATTTTCTACTTGAAGACTCTTGGCACTGCTTGTAGATGTTGAAGATGTCGCTGTGACATGAAATAGTTGCCCAGCTGCGTGCACGCCCTGAAGTACACCCCCAAGGTGGATGAAGCTCCACGATGCGACGGCCATCTTCAACAGGTTGCAAAAGATGTGTGCCCAAGACGCACACATCTTCGCGTTTGCCATTTTCATTCTCAACATCTTTCTCGTCGTATTATATCTAGAAGCAGTTAAATAACTAATCTACTGGCTCGTATCTAGTGAACGGGCAACGCGAGTACTGGCATCTTCTTGCTTGTTGTATGGTTATTCTTATAATTTCTAGTAATATTAGTAGTATTGGTAGAAGTAGTTTTTTACCCTGAAAATGGCCTCAAAATCATATACAATAGTAGTAGTTTACCCTTTCTAGTATGGTCTAATAAGTTGTATCTCCTACAGTCAGTATCTTCTTGATAGTCAGTATTTTCTTAATGTGAATCGGTTCTAATGAGATTAATGCAGAGACACTAACCGTGACGAAATGGTCTCACGCGAAAGATTCCCCTACAACATCGAGTACGAACAATCAATGTGTCACGTTCTTTCCCTCAGATCATCCACTTCCAGACTTAGACTCCTCACTTCCTACAGCATGAGCGCTCCTTTATTACACACACACCTAGCAAAAAGAAGAGCTAATTAATATTAATATTATCGATGTCTATGCCGAACTAATCTCTTTACTTGTGAAGTTTCGCCTTGGATTTGATTTTTGATTTAGAGTTTAAGTTTTAAATTGTATGCTTCGAATTTTGTTGGTCATGTATGGTTCAAGCCTCTCGGATGTCGTGTCGTTCTGTTCTCAGTGGCTCACGCCAAGCCTCGTGCTCGACTGTCACCGGGATGATCTCACACGGACGCGAATGCCAATGATCATGAATGCTACTTCCAAAGCACAATCAATGCATAATCATAATGATCAATGCGTAGACTAGGCACGGCCGTGCTGATCCTAGTCGTATGATGCATGTTCAGCCCGATCCCTTCTGGCATGCTTATGTTGGTGATGTATGACTCATCTTACCCAATGAACCAAACAGGGACTACACCAGCCAGAGACCATAAGTCTCAGGCAGGGATGTCAAGACAGACTTGCTTGCTATCAAGATTCAGACATTGTGTCTCCACTGAGAAACGAACCTGGCGCGGAGGCCTGTGCTCTTGTGGTCCAGCACTGGTCTAACCCTTGAGCGGCAAAAGTATCAATAAAGCTTGGAAGTAGTGTAGTAAAATAAACAAATCCATCAAAATGTCCTGCGAGGCCAGGGAGATCCTCAAGAAGTTGGGACAGAAATCCGACTGGCGCGAGTGGCAGCGAGCCGTGCGTCAAGAAGCTAGTCGCTTAGGCTTACTTGAGAACTACACGAATGTAGTCAACGTGCCGGCCGTTCCGCATGGTGTGCCACAAGGTAACACCAGTCGCGAAGACGCGATCCGCCAGAAGTGGCGCAACCTGAAAGACGCAATCGCGCGAAGTCTGAAAGGTGCGGCCAAGTCGTTCGTCGACAATCGGAATAATGATGGCGCGGTGGACGAAATGGATGCTGGTGAAGTTGTTGCTCTACTTCGTGATCAAGGGAACTTCAATGCGAACAATCGCCAGGAGCAGCGCATGAAGGTCAAGCCGTTGTCGGAGGGACTGACGAAGTTCCACAACAGCGACCAGCCTGCTGATGTCAAGGAGTTCCTCTCAAAGATCCGCGACATCATGAACCAATCGCCCACCGTCTTTCCGCCGGGTGCAGATCTGCCCGAAGCTGATCAACAGAACGGAGCGATCCCGCAGAAGTTGCCCGAGTTGTTCTGCAAGAACTTCAAGGCGACTACCGAGCAGATGCAAGAAGAAGACGGCCTGACATTTGACCAAATTGGAGACCGACTTGAGAAACGTCTCACAACGTTGATCGAGGAGGGAACCTACAAAGTTGAGAGCGATTCCTTCGGGAAAGCGTTTCCGGCCAATGTTCAGGAAACCTCGAACAAGCGTCCTCGTGATGATAAGAATGAGGACGATGACGAGGTAGAGGCCAATAAGGCAGATGGTAAGGCCTTCACTTCCGCTAACGCCCTCAAGCGTTTCAAGCAGAAAGAAAAGAAGAAGGCAATCGCCGAGGTCTACAACTCCTACGGGTACCAACCCAAAGGAGGAAAGAACGGCGGACAAAAGCCGAAGAAAGATAAAGGAAAAGGAAGTGAGAATACCTATCCACCCCGCTGTGCTTGCTGCCACAAGGTTGGACGCAAGTCCTCCGAGTGCTGGCATAACACACAAGCCCTGCAACTGGGACAAGGAAGATGGACTACCGGAGCCTCATCTAGTAGTTCTAGAGGCAAAGGTGGAAAGGGTAATCAAAGTGGCACGATCCACATGTCGCAGGTTGCGGAGATGCTCAACGTCATGAACTCGCACAAGCAAAGCTGAGCGACGGAACCGTACGAAGCTGGGAAGTGTTCGCTGAATTTCGAAGAAGATGAAATAATGACAAACGTTGTTAATCATGCTGATAGCTACAATGCAGATGGATATAGCTTCACACACACTGAATACTAGAACATCAGACGACGCAACTCTAGTTGAGAGCTGCGCAAGCAAATATCTTTCACGACACAGAGAAGATTTCGACGAAATTGGTAACAACATTTGCAGAATAACAGGTAGCGCAGGCACTAAAGACGGAAGAATCGGAAAACTCAAGAACAACATACTTGGACTAAAGAACGGAGCTTACTATGATCCTCTACCTGGAAACATAGATCGCGCATTGCCATGGTTAGGAGACGGAAACTGCTCACAATTAGGGTGGGAGTTCAATCCCAAAGGCACTGACTGGTGGCTGTATCGTCCACACGGACACCGGCCAGATGCTACCCATCAGAGCCCACCCACGCTTGCAGCTACCCGCACTCGCATGTAGTTTCTTTGAAAACAAGCATGAAAATGGTTTCACTTGTGCATCCATTGAAGAAGGTGTCTCTAGTTGCTATCTTACGAGATTAGAACTACACAGAAGATGTGGACACTTTCACATAGATGGTCTACCCCGAATGTGACCCACATAAAGGACAACGAAAACCCCACGCAAAATCTAGAGACGTGACCACATACAAACCCGAACCCCTCAAACTACTCGCAATAGACTTTGCTGTAGGAATAAAACCTGTTTCAGTGACACCTATGCGATGTGTTCTAGTTGTCATATGTGACGCAATTAAGAGGGCGCTTTGTCGACCGCTGAAGCTCAAAAGTGACTGTGTGGAGGAAATGGAACAAGTCATAAAAAGCATTCGACAGGACTACTCCTTATCGCTAGATGACAAGGCAGTACGGTTCATCCGGAGGGATGGAGAACCAGTCCCCGGCAGTGATGACATGACCAAACTCACGCAATCGCTGCGGGTCTCAGACAGTCCGGCTTTTCCTTATAATCCGGAAACGAGTGGGACTGTTGAACGTTTTACGCGGACCTTGTTTGGCAGCGTGAGAACAATGCTACCGAAGGTTAAGGCTGATCGACGTCTTTGGTGTTACTGCGTTGAGTGGGCTGGTGACTGCTGGGATCGTCTTCCGCATAATTACGCTAAAATGCCAGAACACGACGGAAGGAGTCCAATAGAGACTCTAGAAGAAAGAACTGGTGGAAATTCTTCCAAAAGCAAGATCGGCATGCTCCGCCGATTTGGTTGTCTTGTTTACTTTCGTGAACAAATCCAAGCCAACACTCCTGAACCCAAGCTCTCGGCCAAGTATCGCCGTGGCGTCTTCCTTGGACTCTGTCGGTCCGAAGTCGTCTGGTTGGTTGGTTGCGACTTTCGCTCATGGCGATCGTTGCAAGCTTGGACATCGATGGGCGGAATACTCTACCCTAGATGTCAAGTTCAGAGAGGGCTATCTAATAAAGGACATAGACTGGCTAACGCCAGATAAAAAGGGCTTTTATTATGAGCGCGATGAACTGGAAAACTTGCAGCGTGGGGCGTCGTCGCTGGGCTCCCCCTTGATTGGGCAGCCAGTGCAAAGGCTGGGCCAGCAATCGGGGTTCTCTGGCACGGAGCGCGCCTCAGGTGGACCGACCGGCATTCCCGAAGAACTACACGCTGAAACCTTAGACAAGAAGGCTGAATCCGACGTGGCTGACTCTCCTAAAGGTGTTCCACTTGAGGAGGGGAAAGCTGAGGCGAAGGGTCGAGTCTCTGACCCACCTCGTCCGACTAGATCGAAAGCGCTACCTCCCGCGCGCGTTGTGGCAGGCGAACGCCATACACACGACAAGAAGCGTGGCCGACCGAAAGGAGCCAAGGATAAGGCTGGAGGAAGGATTCGTAGAACAAAGAAACAGATGGAAGAACTCAGAAAGAGTCCGGCGCTGTTCGCAAGTGCTAGCGGTGGCACGTGTGAGATAGACGAAGATGAGGAAATCGTCGAATCACACGCGATGCTGTCCGCTGCCAATGCATTAGGGAGTCCTGAAGCTGAAAAGTGGAAGGAAGTCATTGACGTTGAGCATGCGAGACTACTAGCCTCTAAAACGTGGGAAGAAGCTACTGACGAGCAGCTAGCAACCGCGTGGCGGGCTCTACCAATTGCCATCATATTAACAAGAAAGAGACGCGGAAAATACAAGGCAAGAGCCTGCTTACTCGGTAATTTAGATCGTTCAGGAGAGCTAAACACCTTTGCTCCCGTGGTATCACATGCTGCTAATAGGTAAGGCTGCTCCTCACTTCTGCTGCGTCAGAAGGGGGCTATGTGATCCCGTTCGATTTAGATTCAGCGCTCCTCAATGCCGAACTCGATCGAGATGTCTACTGCCGTCTTCCACCCATCTGGGCGAAGCAGCATGGATACGAGATCGCGAAGCTCAAGAAAGCTCTATACGGCTTGAAGGATGCACCACGAGCATGGTTCAAGAAGTACCACGAGACTCTAGCCAGTCTTGGTTGGGAGCCGTGTACTTCTGCGCCTGGATTGTGGCACAAACCGAGCAGCAAAGCACCGGGGAAGTTCCTGAAGATGTCTGTCTATGTAGATGACAATCTTGCTACAGGTCCTGACCAAGATGAGCCCAAGACCGAACTAGGCCTCATTTTCGCACGTGCTCCTGGCCGTGCGATTGAAGTCGAGTCAGTTCTAACCCCCTGGGGTCTCGAATGGGTAAAGTTCGACTTCTTCGGTGCGATCGTGTACTATGGCCGCGAAGCTAAGTCGTTCAGACTGTGCATGGAGCAGTACATCGATAAAATTGCTAAGAGGTATGAAGCTCAATGAGGGAAACCGGTTTACTCGCCCAATTTTGACGAAACAACTTTTCTTGAAGACGGGATCAAGATAGTTGACGCGTATCCCTTTCGTGAGGTAGTTGGTGCCTTACTATGGGTAGCCGTAACCGCGCGCCCGGACATCTCTGCACCGGTGGCAGCGTTGGCTAGACATGTCAGTAAACCCACGCCAGCAAGAATGGCCAAAGCAGCCAAGAAAGTCCTGAAATATCTGGTGCCAACAAAAGACCAAGGAGTAGAATACTCACCAGAAAAGGAGGAAGAATTCAACAAAATATATGAGAAACTTCGACCAGACGGCAGAGATATGCCAGAAGTGAACATATTCAGTGATGCTGGTTTCGCCAGCTGCATCATCACAATGAGAAGCACAAGTGGATCCATATATAATGCACTACAAAGGTACGCCCATACATAGCATGGAGGAGTAACAGACAAACGGCTAGAGCCTACTCAACGGCTGAGAGTGAGTATATTGCAGCTTCTGACACGATAGTGCTCAGTGAGATGCATGACTTCGCTGACTTCTATAAGCCTCTTCCAACTCAGTTGGTACACACACAGAACGGCTTGCCACCCTCCCTAGACAATGCTGTATTGTGGATAGACAACCAGTCTGCGATCACAACAGCCAAAGCAACAGACGCTCGCCCTAAAAGTAGACACTATGCTTTACGTTGCCTAAGAGTGCGCGACGCTGCTAGTAAGATCGTGCTCTGTCCTACCAACTTGATGAAGGCAGACCCACTTTCGAAACTAACGCGCAGTGCCACTCAGCGTAGACCTATACTACATCACGTAGATAATCCGATAACTCAAAGTACAGACGATGACTGTGATTCCTCTGATGATGAAACAGATGAGGACGATTTAGCTTACTATAGCGTAATATATTCGGTTTATTTTGGTTTCTAAGCTACCGTAGCCAGGTCGCATACACTCAACAAGAGATGTGACTACCGTGACTCGACACACAGTGAGGCTGTCACGTGAGACGGACTTCGACCCGCATCGATTGAGGAGGGGCGTTGGTCATGTATGGTTCAAGCCTCTCGGATGTCGTGTTGTTCTGTTCTCAGTGGCTCACGCAAAGCCTCGCGCTCGACTGTCACCGGGATGGTCTCACATGGACGCGAATGCCAATGATCATGCATGCTACTTCCAAAGCGCAGTCAATGCATAATCATAATGATCAAGGCGTAGACTAGGCACGGCCGTGCTGATCCTAGTCGTATGATGCATGTCCAGCCCGATCCCTTCTGGCATGCTTATGCTGATGATGTATGACCCATCTTTCTTACCCAATGAACCAAACAAGGACTACACCAGCCAGAGATCATAAGTCTCAGGCAGGGATGTCAAGACTTGCTTGCTATCAAGATTCAGGCACTGTGTTTCCACTGAGAAACGAACCTGGCGCGGAGGCCTGTGCTCTTGTGGTCCAACAAATTTTGAACTTTGCTTGTGATTTTGAGTTTTGAGTTTTAATTTTTGAAGACCAAGACACGCGGAGACAACACCGCAAAAGCACGCAGCTCTTTGCTATACTTATGAACTTTGCAAGTTACTTAGGGCGCGAATTCTGAAAGCTGAGGCGTGAACTTTGAAAGTTAGGGCGTGAATTCTGAAAGTAAAAGCGTGAACTTTGAGAGTCAGCGAATGAATTGTGAAGGCCAGGCCATGAAGTGCGAAAGTTAAGCCATGAGCCCTGAGCGTTAGTACATGAGTTTCGAAATTTAGGGCAGAATTCTGGAAGTTAGTTAGGACATGAACTTTGCAAGTAAGTTCGTTAGGGCATGAGTTTTAAGTTACGGCGTGACTTCTGCAACACGTTCGGCCAACATGCGTTTTTAATTTAGGGCGTGAACTTTGAAAGCTAGGGCACGAATTCCGAAAGTCAAGACATGAATTTTGAAAGTTGCAGTATGACTCTCGAAAGTTAGGGCATGAATTTTGAACGTTCGGGCATGAATTTCATGAATTTTGCGCCAACGTTAGCACATGGATTTTGAAGGTTGGGGCGTAATCTTTGATGGCCAAGGCGTGAATTTTGAAGGTTAAGGCATGGGCTTTGAAGTTAAGGCATGAACTTTGAAAGTTTAGCCGTGTGCTTTATGCTGATGCCTAACTTGCTACGATGAAGGTGGGGGACTAGTTGAGGCACGACACTGTTCCCGTGAAAATATGGCGACTCGAACAGGACTGACTCTCTTGGCAAAGAACGTTGGTACGAGCAGAGAGCCTAAACTAGATGATCAAGAGCCGCCATTTGGAAGACTTTGCCGCGCGACGCGGGCGACTGTCTTCTTTATCGTGCCAACTGGGAGTGTGCGCAAAAAAGAAAGTGCGAGCACGCCCCTAGTCACAATTACCTGTACACACCGCAAACAAATGACGGCTCGCGTGAGGCAGAGCCTTAAACAGCGCCGCGTGTGCATAGAACCACCTGTCGGGAGGGTAGTGGGCCGGCTGCGAGCATGGAGAAGCTCGCGCTGGTGTTGTGAAGAGGATCATTAGTAGCAAATGGTGTAGCAAAACGGATAGGTTGATGAAGTTCGGAGAGGGGGGGAGGATGTGTAGCTATGTCAGGGGGGGGGGGAGTCAAAGTTTCATCCAGGAGGGAAAAAGAGGGGACTGTGCTCGAAAGAGCTAGTCGGTTGAGACAATCAATGCATTATCATCTTCTTCGTCGTCGGTTAATGAATCAAGTTTCGAGTCCTTGGCAGCCAGCAGCAGTGCCGAGCACTCCAGCGCGCGTTCGTTGACATATCTACGCCAAGCCTGCCCTTTCGAGCTCCAGCGGCCGGCGGCCAGCACCTGGCCATAACTGGCGCCAGACGCAGCTACAGCTGCGCAGCCTCCTTTCCTCAACGAGTGTGTGGCAAAGTTGCCGCATTCACCTAGCCTGGTGGTCACGTCCTGCAGCTGCTTCAAAACGTCGGCGTAGGAGAAGCGAGGAAACAGAAGTCCTCCTGCTGGCGCAGACCTCACGAATTTTTGGTAGAAGCAGCAGAAGGGGCAGAAATCAATTGCCCAGTGAAGATGGTCCAAGGCGGTCGACGCCGATGAAGATGAGTGAGCACCGCGATCTACTGCTTCACACGTGCATGACCGATGTACAAGGTCGCCTTCGAGAAGGTTCTTGCGACTCTTAAGGCGGATGATCAGCGTCTTGTGGCGGACGTCAGCGAAGACTGCAGAGGGGGCGATTAATCGTTTTGAGGAGTCTTCCTCATGACTGCCGGCACTTCGGCGGAGTTGCAATGTTTCATCTCCGCACCTCAGCAAGCAGATCCAAGAAATGGCGAATGCGTACTTCATGTGCAATGAGACGGACTGCAAGTTGATGATTCGGTTGAGGCAAGCGGGACTGATCGGGTCTTTGATCCTCGCTGGAGGTTGCAGCCGTCGAAGTCCCCGGCTGAGAGCGCTGGAATCTATGGTGATCGGCCAAGGGATGTTGAGAGACATGGCCACTTTGCGCAGCGCAGCGCGTGCCACGCCCATGGTGCTTGCGCACTTCTGTAGGGCTAGATACCCTTCGACCTTGTAAACGTGGAAAGGCATCGGGCGTTCTGAGATGCTAGTGCAGTACTCGAGGTACTGGCGGAAGTGAGAGAGGTAGCTATCCCACGTGCGAATGGACTCACCTTTAACGAAGCTGGTGTTGGCCGCGACTGTTTTGCGAGCTAACGTGGGACCTCTGGACGCGAGCAACGCTATCTTGTCTTTGGTGGCCATGTCAGGATGAAGGACCATGGCCTTCTGCGTCTTAACGAAGTCGCGAAAGCGAGAGAACAGCTTGTCGTTAGTCAACGAAGCGACAATGTGATCGGTGGGTGCTGTCAGAGGCGGCGCCCCGGCGGCGGCCGCAGCTTCCGGTGACCGGAAGGCGCCGGAAACTACGCGCGGTAACCTGGAAAAGGAAGAAGAAGATGAGCTTCCATTCGACGAAGAAGGCGGAGCTAACGCTAAGCCACCCTCTACCTCGTTGATGCCGTGTTTGACGAGGCACTTGCGGAAAGACCCATCAGCGAATTTTGCCCAGATGAGCGTTTCGCCTGGGCCGCCCGGGCCTCCAGTGGCCGGTGTGGGTACAGCGGCATACGGCCCATTGTTGTTGTGAGGGGAGGAGAGCCCATCTTTTCGTCTGTGTAGATAGTACATTGCAATGTAGGCGATGCGCATATCAGAGAAAAAAGAAAAACTAACGATAACAACTGCAGGCTAAACTTGATAGACAGATGACAGGTGACAAGACTGCTCATATGTTAAGTATTCGCAAAGTCGCGAGAAAGCGGAGCTGTGAATGATGTGGTGTAGCTTCTAAGGCTCTCAATTCGTGTGAGAGCGTCGCCCCAAGCATTCATCCGCGCAGAACCGGCGGGAGGAGACGATTGCCCCACGTGGTTAATCGTTTGCATGTGTAATTTCTTAAAAGACGCAGTACGTACTGGAGAGCTAATTGACATGCTCAATTGTGGAGAGGACGGCCCAGTGGGACTTGACAATGCGCCCATGCTCCAACTCATGTTCTTACTGTCACCTATGCTGATTCTTGGAACTGCGAGGCGTGCATGAGTACGAGAAGACTAGTCGAACAAAAGCAACGACGTGGTTGAAGTGCAGTGGTTGCTTGATATATAATTAACAACAATTCATGACTTCGCTTCGAATGATGTGAGCTAATTCTAAGTAGCTAGTTGGCAGCCAGTTTGTCGTTGAGTGAGTTAAAATATCTGATTACTTTTGAATGATTAAATCGAAAACAAATTGCAGACACTGACATGAGCTGATGATGGTTCTAACTTGAGTTCAAACTAACAATTTCACATTCTTGGTAATGAAGAGGAAAGATCGAGATGTAGCATGTGGCTGATTGTTGACAGTCACGAGAAAAAGAAAGTTTTTGCTTAGCACTAAACGTCTAATACGTGAAAGGAAGTTAATTGCCGAATTCGGCCACAAGGTCCCACTGGGATAAGCCCTTCGATTACTTCTTGATTTCTTCACATTCGGAGCGAGGTGGCACCGCATGCAGAAAGCGGCACGCCTCGTTGGTGCACTTGGCCGGACGAGGTCTTTCCAGCTTCAGCCACGCGAAGCAGTATCGCGGCTTCTGTGGTGTAGAGCTCACGCTCGACGACTTCGAGTACGGTGAGCTTCGGTTAGACGAGTTGGCCTTTTCCAGCTTGGCCTTCAAATCATCAGCCTGCGCCACCATCCTCTTGTTGGTTTCACGATTTTCCAGACTGTGAATGAGTGTAATTGAAATGAGTAGAACGGAAGTTAGTTCTTCAGAAAAGCTGAACGCCGAATAAAGCTTAGTAACAGAGAGATAACAAGTTTTCAACAAACCATGTACGGCCTACCGTTCGAGACAGAATTCCATCGCGTCCTGAAAGCCGCCGAGAGAGAAAAAATCCTCGACGCGCTCACCGTAGGTACGACCGCCGACAACTCCAGCTCCTGCAAGTCGCACCATCTTGCGGGAGTAGGTGTCCTCAGCTGCCTCTTTCAGATTATCATCAGAGGCTTTTCTCACGGTCTCAGTAGTGAACAGGTGCATAACGTTGGTACCGAGGAGACCCGCGCGGTGAACAACGTCGTCGGGGATATTCTCCGGGACAGCCAAAACTTGATTCTCGGCATCGGCCGGGACGGCGGCGACGTACCCGTCGAGCAACAGAGTGATAACGGCGTGACGGGTGACGGTCTCGAGAACTTTGCCCTTATGCATCTTTGCTTCGTGCAAGCACCTGGAAGAGTAAATGAATGAACTGAGTAACGCGCGCCGCGATGAGTGACAAGAGAAGCTACTGCTCTATGAAATCTAGGATGTTGAGAGGATGACTAAGGGAATTGCGACGCAGAAATGTGTAAAATGAGGAAAGGAAGTTACCCGGCCACTCTGAGCTTTTCAATGGCAAGAGTGTCGGAGTCAGTGACTCCAATGAGGAGGAGGCCCATGCGAGCCTGGCAGACTCCTTTCACAAAACGGCACTTGTGCTGGTCGGGGCGGTCGATTGCCGCCTCGTTCGCCAGGACGGCGAAGGCGTCCTGCACGTTTTGTCCTACAAGAGCCATGCTTTTTCTGAGTTGAAACAAGAAGCCCGAGAGGCTCAAATCTGATTTATGGCGATTGACTTAGTGACCAAATGCAGAAAGGACAAATGAACTTCTTAACTGACAGACGCTACGTTTGAAAAATGGGGCGCGAGGTTGGAATGAAGTAGAGAATAAAAAAGGATGGCGATGGTTATTGAGAGGGCCTATAGTCCTTGATGAGTTGACTCAGAAACGAAGTTTACTCATTAAGACAACAACACAGCGGAGTGCTGGACCTGCAAAAGCAGCACCTGCCTCACTTCGACGATCAGAGATTCAATCAAAAATTCCTCGGTGACATCAAAGCTATTGCGCCAGAGATTGAAAACATCTCCAGGCTTCGTCGGTAAGTCAGCGACGTTGTCGTTGGATGGGACGCGTCCTAAAATAGGGGCTATCGACATTCTTGATACATATTCCCAAAACAAAAAAGAAAGGGCCGCTAAGTGCCCTTTGCCGCTGTTCATCCGCACTAGGGTTCCCTCTGCTGCCGTGTTGTCGACGTAGAGAAAAACTCTGTGTCCGGCAAGCAGGGGGCCCCAGTGCTTGACTGCTACAAGCGCGGCAGCACCTTCTAGAAAATTGATTGGAAAGGCGTTGGTCCGTTCGTGGATCATTCCTTTGTCGACGTTAAGGCGCCAGAACCGAAAAGGTCCGTTGAAGGCATGCCCACTTTTAACGCTAGCTAAGTCTACCAGTACTGCTGCTATAACTCCGCGACCTTTAGACCAGGACGCGTCCGAATAGATAAGAAAGCGAGTAGGTAGAGACAACAGCTTTCGGGGTGGTAACGAAAAAAGCAGCTCGGCACATGCCGACAACGACGCCCGAAGAACACGGTGGAGCGTGGCGTCACCGTGTTGTTGGAACATGCGCAGCATCAAAGGGCGAAGGAGAGGATGCAGTCTGCGTTCGCAGACTGCACAGAAGGCGAACGAGAGCTTGCCATACAGTTCAGCGGCCTGCGAAACCGTCAGACGCTCCTCTCGCAGGACGCCCTCGATAATGTCGCGATAGGCTGCGGCGCGGTCGGTACTAACTTTGACCGACGGCTGCCCCACAAGAGAGAAAACTAATCCAAGTAACGTGATAGAGGTGGAACTAACGTCCATCTTCTCTTCACGGTAGCCAAGCCCAACCTTATCAAGGAGTCTACATACAGCGGCGGCGCACCGGGGGCCAAAGTGTTTCTTAACAAAACTATGATAGTCGTCGATATAAACAGCAACGGGAATCTGGAAGAGGCCCCGGATCGCCGCGGCGATCAACAGGGACACCCTGACCCAAACAACGACGCTATGAGTATTACCAAACAAAAGCGCTGAGGAGCGAAACGCGAAGAATTTTGAACTAGAAGGGTCAAAGACTGCGATATAGTTCGCGTGCTGTTGGGTGGCAACGATGCCCACGCTTTTGTATGCGCGCTCGATATCTATGACAAAGCCGTCGATCCCTAAGAGATCATCGGGTGGAAAATTCAAGTTTTCGAAGAAATCATTAATGACAACGTCACCGGAAAGAGAGGCCGGCGGACAGGAGTCGACGTCGGGCTTCTCGATTCTGCGGCGCTTAGGATTAACTACGAATTTGCCGGCAACGCCTCGGCCCAGGCTTGGATCAAGAGACAGGCGGGCCGCAACAGTTGCGGTGGCCAGAGCCTCTAGTGGGCTCGGTAAAGGAATTCTTTTAGACAGATGCGCAGAGTTGTTAAAGACTCGTGCGTCGTCTATCATACGGTACTTGTTCTTCTGCCAAATAGCGAAGCGAGGCACAAGTGCCTCGACTTCGCTTGGCAGAGAGTCAATTGGGAAAGGCCCATGCAGAATCCCTTCGCGTGCCTCGTCGAGGGAAGTATCCCAGATAAGTTGCAGGACACTATCATCCATGAAGGCGGGCTTTACTCTATTTGCTATGGCATGCCTGGAGCAGAAACGCTCACACATGCTAGAGACGTCATCGTCTAGCTTTGGTTTCCTGTCCACCCAACCGGGCGGGCAAGTTACCTTGCCGACGCAGGTGCCGCCCCGTAAAAATAACGTCCAAACATCGGGATCTTCAGGCATAAATAGGGTATTTAGCTTCTTGATAAGAGCAATGTTTTTAAAGCCGATAACGGAATTGTTTGAGACATCAAAAAAATTTTCATGCAATTCAGAAGATGGAGGACACCAAGAATTTGCGTCCAGCTCTTCAAGGAGAGCCAGGCCGGAGGTAACGGACTCGATGGTGGGATAGCCTTGCAGGTACAATTGAAAATTCTTCTCATCAATGATCTGCTCTAGTTTGACATCATGCACATTGGAGATGTCGCTGCGGATTCTAGTGAGGATCTGCGCAGCGGAGTCTGCTGCTGACCAGCATACATTCTTCAATTTTTTGTTTCCCATTCTGAAACGGGCTATGACAAAGAGCGACAGGGTTGCAATTCAAAGGAACAAACGAGGTGACTGATTCGTTGAGTTTGGAAGTTCGATGGATGAGTTGATACTGTTGAGCGAGAACGACGTCAGTGCGTTACGACTCTTAAAGTGCCTCATTGAAACTCACTTTCAGACGAGATCGCTCGTAGAGCACATTACAGACAGGATGACGCCATCTCAAATTCACACGCACCGCACTCAGGTGACAGAGGCAGAGCTCGACCACTTGTCGCGTTGATAAGCGCGCCTCCCTGGCTGAAGTGGCCAGAAAGATTCTCAGGACTCATGCAGAGACTCGCCAGGACGAGACTTTGACAGTAAACGACTGCTATAAAATTGCGTACTGATGAAAAGTTGCGCTATGAAGTTGGTTGATTTCTTTAAAAAAAGAACGGATTACAGAAGGGAAGAGCGTAGCTCGATGGATTATTAGTAAAAGCGAATGAGCTCGTCCTGGCTCTGAGGGTAGTCGCAGCCGTGGCTGGGGACTTACGAGCCTCTGTGAGCCATGATGAACGGGACGGTGGGTGGGAAAAAAACAAATGAACGGTGATCACAATGAGAACGTGATCGCTGAGTAATGAGGGCAACAAAAGTGCCAATGAATGGAAGAATGGTGTGAGCTTGAATAGGGTCATTGCACTCACGGCCCCGGAGGAGATGAAAGAGTTCACAAATGTGAGAGCTCCCTCCCCTCCGCTAGTAGTCATCGGCATAAACCGCGATTTCTGCGGGCAAAAGTCGCCCCTTTGATTTGAGTGCTAGAGCATGAATTTTGAAAGTTAAGGCGTGAGCTGTGAAAGTTAGGACATGAATTTTATGAAGTTTGAACGTAAAGGCGTGAACTTTGAAAGTCCCGGCATGAATTGCGAAGGCAGAGGCGTGAACTTTGAAAGTTAGCGCATGAACTTTGAAAGTCAAGGCGTGAGCTTTGAAAGTTAGGGCGTGAATTTTGAGGGTTAGGGCGTGAATTTTGAAAAGTGAGGGGCGAATTCTGAAAGTTAAGGCGTCAAAGTACTGCCTTGGTGTCCCGCTCTCCTCTCCCCCCAGTCCTGGGCCCGCGCAGTTACGCCATGAGCTTTGGAACTTAGTTAAAGCGCCCGCTTTGGCGCCGCGCTCTCCAATCGCCCAAGCCCGTGGCCCACGCTGCCCAGTGGTGGGANTCGCTGAGTAATGAGGGCAACAAAAGTGCCAATGAATGGAAGAATGGTGTGAGCTTGAATAGGGTCATTGCACTCACGGCCCCGGAGGAGATGAAAGAGTTCACAAATGTGAGAGCTCCCTCCCCTCCGCTAGTAGTCATCGGCATAAACCGCGATTTCTGCGGGCAAAAGTCGCCCCTTTGATTTGAGTGCTAGAGCATGAATTTTGAAAGTTAAGGCGTGAGCTGTGAAAGTTAGGACATGAATTTTATGAAGTTTGAACGTAAAGGCGTGAACTTTGAAAGTCCCGGCATGAATTGCGAAGGCAGAGGCGTGAACTTTGAAAGTTAGCGCATGAACTTTGAAAGTCAAGGCGTGAGCTTTGAAAGTTAGGGCGTGAATTTTGAGGGTTAGGGCGTGAATTTTGAAAAGTGAGGGGCGAATTCTGAAAGTTAAGGCGTCAAAGTACTGCCTTGGTGTCCCGCTCTCCTCTCCCCCCAGTCCTGGGCCCGCGCAGTTACGCCATGAGCTTTGGAACTTAGTTAAAGCGCCCGCTTTGGCGCCGCGCTCTCCAATCGCCCAAGCCCGTGGCCCACGCTGCCCAGTGGTGGGAGGCGGCGGCCTCATGCAGTCGCGCCGCTTGCTTGCGTGCAGTCGCGTCACTTGCTTGCAGCGCCGCGCCCCACGGGCAACGCCCGACACCTCTGAACCCCCGCAGACCGGCGAGGCCCCTGAACTCCTCAGACCCCGGCGAACAAATCCCCAAGGCGTGGCATGTGCCTGCTTATGCCTTCCGCTTGAAGATAGGCCCGCAGGCGCTTCCACCCCTGCCAGGTGTCCACATATCCTCCGGAGGCAAGCGGCGCGCACTCATGAGGCTCGCCGCCCCGCGGCAGCGCGCCCGATGTCGCCGCGCCAAGGCTGACACCTCTCAGGCTTTTTCTCGATTGTGGCGCCTGTTCAAGCATGTCCGCGCGTGTGTTTTGTCTAGCAAGTGGCTCTGGTTCCCATCATATCCTCCCCCTGGGGAACCACACCAGGGGGCTAATCCACCACCCTAATCTTCTGTCTACTTTATGGTACAGCACCTTCAGAGTTAATACACTAGGACGCAAATTGGCTGCTTATGACTGGCCAACAAAGGCTCAAAGGCTTAAATAAGTTTATGACCAACTACGTGACAACAAGGCTGAAAAATGGGGCACAAGTTGGTATGAAGACGTAGCAAGTTCCTCACTGTTTTCGCCTTATCCTGTGTCTTTTGTTCTTGATGAAGATAGACGAAGCAGAGAAAAAAGAGGAAGAAAGGAAGAAGTGTAAACTCAAGTCGTGGATAAACGTCAGCAGCAGTACCAGTGATATCGCATCCATGCATTCATTCATTTATTTGGATTTTTTTGGAGATTTCAGAAAAAATTTCTGGTCACCAATTAGGAATTCAGTCACGCTACCCCCCTTGAGCCAAGGGAGGCATTTGTAAGTGCAGCAGTGGGAGATTCTAAGTCTTCAGCAATAGAAGCTCTTTAATAGCGTGTTCATCTCACTCGCTTGAGAATGATCCTGATCGCTGCTTCTGCGTATGAAGGTTGAGTCCTCTTCTAGTAGGAACAGTGGTCGCGCTAGACATCCTAGCAGTAGCGATGTACAGTGTACAAGTCATGACATGGTGAGAGATTTGACATTGATGAGCGATCTCGAGACTATAGCGACGCAATGAAGCTTTTGATAGATAGAAGACGCAGATGAATGTTGCTGCCCAAAAAAGATAAGTGAGAGAGCTTTGAATATTCTTTATAAGAAAATACCCCTAACTCCTCGAAGCCTCAGGCCGCTTGGCTGTGCAACTAGATATCGACATAAATTTAGACGTAGGGACTTGGATCTTCAAAGTCTGGGAAAAGCTCACACCAAAATAAATGCTAATGTCATCATCATGTAAGTGCTATTAAGTGCTATCTATGGTTTCCTTTGTTATTTTCCTGAGCAGAAGATTCACAAATGGTATATGAATGCAGCAGCTCAATATGCGTTTCTGTTTGCGGAGTAAACGAACAAGAGGCTTCATCAGTTTCATCAAAATTCGAGCCCCACAATGGGTGTCGACGATGTTCTCCGGTTTTTAACATCTTCGTGGGTCCGATTATATCTTGCTTTGCATCCTGACGTTGAGTTGAGGGGGTGTGTGGTATTGACGTTGAGCATTTCTGATGAGGTATCAACAAAAATTCTACTACATGTTAAATTGATGATGATGATGATGATGATGATGATGCTGATTGTGCCTAGTCTAGAGGTGTTTTCTGTGAAGATGAAACAACATGATAACGCATATCGATATCTTCGGTAACGACCTACAAGCACAACGCACCATAAAATCAAACAAATTTTAGCACTAGTAGCTTCTAGTAGAGCCTACTCCTTTTACTTCTTCAGCTGATGTATGGAATTAGAATTGCATCATAAGTACTGCTACTTGCTCTACTGTTGCTAGTCATACTACTTGTTACCGTTTACTACTTATTACATACTGTTGCATGATACAACTCCGTGTTACTGCTACGAGTGATCCAAATGTATAGCACAGAAGTACATGTAGCTTAGCACAATATGATCTCGCCGCAGCCGATGCGCGCACCTGCGTTTCCGGTGGTCAGCGAGGTCTTTCCATTAGTGCCAGGCTCACTGTGGTCTCCCTTGCCCAAATCATCCTCGTCAGCGTGGACCATAACGCTGCGACCAACGACCGTGAATTCACCAAATATTTCGGATTAGAGACAGGAGAGCAGGAGAGAGGTGAGATTCTGGTACCTCATCGACTGCATCGAGTTACATTTTGTTATTTCGATCTACATCTACGATCTCGGTCCATCATCATATACCTTTGAGTAATATACATTGTTATTTTTTTTGTAAGGGCATTCTGAAGATGAAAGACAAGAGAAATATTGCCGTAATTGATCAGATGATCCGTCAAGGAACCTTTTGACTCGCCGTTCTCATCCACGGTGATATTTCCCATGTCACCAGCGTGGCGATCTTCATCCGAAGGTGCGCCGTGATTTTTACCTATAAAAATTGTTCAATATATTTTGCTAGAGGCATGAAGTAAACATATTTAAGGACCCCTCGAGCAGGAACTACGAACTACGAAGTTGATGTTGAAGACTATTTGTTTTTTTTACATCCAGGACACGAGTCTCAAAGTCAATTGGTACTATGCGAGGCGAACAGGGTGTGATGTCCGTTCTTGATTCTTGAATTTGATAATGGTGATAAAAGTCAAAAGTAGCCAAACTTCCATCGAAATAGACGCTGATATTCTTTTCTCTTCAGGCTCCTCTTTCACAAAAAGAGTAAAAAGAGCAAGAGCAAAATGTTGAAGATGATCGATGTACACTAGTACAAACAATAAAAAATAGAGTAGTAATTAGTACCATGAGGATTCCAATGGGGTCCAGCCGACATACACCCATTCGAAAAGTCAGCTTTTTCGTGAATATGGAACCCATGAAGTCCCGCTTTTCCGCATCCAAGGATTAGAGGAGGACTGTTGGAGGAAGTGGAAGATGAGGATGTGGAAAATGAGGTTGTTGTAGGAGTGGGAAGTACAAGCTATAACCGGCTCCACCTGGCTTGTTTGCTGCACTTTCGAAAACTGGCCTTGAACTTGATGCTGTGAATCTATTCGGCTATCTGCCTAACAAAGGGACCAAATAAAAGCGGAAAGTCCGTTACCTATCAATGTATGATTTCTACCTATCTATGCATGATTTCAAAATGTCTGATTAGCGCTGTGGTCTCGAAAACTAGCCATAACTTGAGATCCGAAGATTAGACGAGATAGAAGTTTCCGCTTACGCCAGATCCTCGCCAGAGTCTATCCAGTGGCAGCGTTTTTTTGGATGTTCTCGGGCAGCGACGGAAACAAAAAACACACGCACGCACGCACACACACACTCCAACTTTTGAGAAAAAGTGCGCCTTTTACTTTTTGCACATTTCTTTTCATAATATCTTCACCCAATATTAGTATCTACTATTGTCAACAAGACAGAAACCATGCTGATGCTATGACGCAGTTTACTTTCTCGTCTCAACCCGATAAAGGTTCCCGCGAGGCTAAAGCATATTAAGCATACGTGGATAGTTGCCTTAACATGTAATCACGCACTTGTCCTCGGATTCAGGTATTAGACGTGATTTTGACTTGTTTCTGTCACTATCGATTTTTTCAACACTTCTATGTATCAGTATTCATGTCTCCGATGATTAAGAAGTGAAGTAAGATCAATATTTTATCCAGCATATCCACCAGTCGACCAAGTCAACACTTCTGTAGTCGAATTTTTCTTGTAGTTTTCACCTCCGATTCCGAAGATCAAAGTCAAACATGCCTTCTATTCAACATAACTGCACGAAAGTGACGACACCGGTGCAGCCGGGCGCCTGCTCCTCTCCGCCGCCGCACGGTTTTCCCTTCGGAGAGATGGAGCACGTAGCTCGGATCGGAAAACTCATTTTCGATTCTTGTTGTTGTTCTACCGCGATTTTAGAAATAAGTAAGTTGTATCAAGAACTACTAGGTTGTTGAGTAGACGGGTCCATTAGTACTGTCGATTGTGAGTGTTGGGTAACTATTCCTTCGTTGAACTTGAGCATGATTTTTAGCACAAAGTAGAAGTAGGCTCTGTATCTTTACTCTCTTGTCCCTTTTATTCATCGCATCGAGCACCAATCGATATCATCGTCATCGATATGGATATCGTTCGTAATGATCTTGAACGAGGAGCACGCACTTATTTGACCACGTATTCGTAACTTATTTAAGTGATGATGTGAACCTATTCGGCAAGCTCTTTTGTAAGCGATCGTCCTTTTTGTGGAAACTAAAAGATTGAGTGCCTGCTAGACTGAATTTCTACAACAGCAAAACACTACTACTCAGGGCCACCGATGTACTGTATACCTACTAGAAATCGAAGAAGATCTCCTTTGAATCAAAGCGTACATCCAGAATTGGATTCCGATTTCCCATCATCTTTTACCCCTTCGTCTGGAGAGAGTAGCAGAAACACAAAGTTGTGAACACCTGCCGCGCTGTTGATTGATTGATGTGCCTATCATGAGGTCGATGTTGAAGAGTTTAGTGTCGTTCAGCAGCAGCAATCACAAGTGAGGCTCCTTCTGCTTGCAATGAATGTTCTAAACGATGATCAAGATGTTCAAGATACTTCGTCATCGTCAAGATGTGGTCAAGATGTAGTGGCAGTTAGTGGTAGGTGGTGTTCATAGTATCAGAAGTCGTGGCCATGGTCGTGAAGGTGAGGGACCAAGGTAGTATTTAGTAAGAAGTAGGAAGGTGCTATTCATCCTTTTCATGGAGGGATCATGGTATCTTCTCGTAGTCAGTGGGATTGTGTGTTTCCTGGTGGTTCGACGAGGTAGTAGTAGATTATATAATTGATGTTCGTCATCGATCCCATGCATAGATACTTCTCGTATAACCTCTTCTGTGCCACATCTAGGACTACCGAAAAGAGTTCATTCTCATGACACGACCAAGACAATTTAGAGTAATGGAATTTAACAACTTGAACTTTTTGTTGAGCTACGCAGTCGTGTTTTTGTAGTCATTCACCTCACCTTCACCTCTTGTTGTCCCAAAAGCTACTATAAACACTTGAAGAAGATTTCATTCGAACCTGCTGTGAACTGGCGGACTTCGTCCTTCTCCTTTTTTGATAGGATAAGGACCAGCGCCTCGAGAACAATTCGTCTAAACGAGAACCATTCGGCTGCGCTTTGTTTTTCACAAGATGAAATGTTCTCGTGGTCCCCTTCGACGTATAAAAATTACCTCAACGACAATGGTCGTCGTTATTGGCGGTGCGTCTCTACTAATCATTCGTTTTCGTCATTCTCATTGGACCCTCTCGATCCTATTAATAGTCATTCCCTAAATGTATCGTCAAGACGAAACAGTTGTCAGGGCGAAAAAGTTCCTCCTGACTACTGATGGTCGAATTCTGAATTCTTTATGAATTTTTTCACCAAGCATTCACTCATGATTCATTCATACAAATAATAAGATGAAGTTGAAGATGCATTTGGACTTCAGATTCCGAAGTGGTCATATTTATTAGTGTATTTCATCTCGGGTAGTGGTACTACTGTAGACCACGACGAGATCATGGAAGTACATCTTCATTAATACATCATGATTATAGAGATCATTATAGATACAAGTAGTTACTTACTAGTTAATACATCAACTTCACAACTAGTACAACTACACGACAATTATACTACAATTATGATCATCTCATTTGACGTTGAGAAGCATAGAGGTGAGAGGAAGAGATACAGAATAAATGAATGTACCCGCTCTGTCTTGGGTTATCGTATGTCACTAACCCAACACAGTTTGCTGCATGGATGACCGTTTGCATGGATGAATAAATCAAACGTCCAAATGAATCTTCTTCCATGTCGTAGGTGTCGCCCACCCGTGACAAAAACTATAAATGATAGGGTAGAGGGTGGATGTATAAGTGGGTTGGTATGGCGATAATAGCTTTTGATTTGGTTGACGAGGCAAAGCTCCTGGTAATAAATAAGAAGTACATACATAGCATGTGAAGAGGAAATTAAGTGCCGTGAATGAAGAGAGTTGCACCTAGAGATGCCGTGTGTGAGAGTCTTGAAAGATGAAAAAGAAAAAAGCACATCAACATAAAGAAAACCTGTGCTCGTCATTCATACACATTATTACGACGAGCACATTCTTTTTAACAGCTACATGATCTAAAATTTGTCTTCTAATTGAGGAAGTGCTGGCACTCACTACAAGACAACAACAGCCAAGACCAACACCAACCTGAAAATGTTGAGCTTTTAGTCTTGACTAGGAAGGTGAGCATATTACCAATTGTACAACGACGCACAAGTCGTACAACCTACTCCTACAGCAGTTTTTATCACCTCAAATCTTCTAGCTGTTGTTGTTGCGATCCTCACTCTATCTGATACCTCATCTAGGTGAACGATAAACATCTAAAATAATCTACCTTCCTCTAACATCCTGTTCTTTTTGTCGGATAAGTACAAGGAGGAGCAAGATTGATCGAACGAGGAAGAAACAAGCAAAGAAAATAAAAGCGATAAAATTATCATTGACCTGAAGTTGAAGTACATCATTAAAAATGAATTTAGCCTGAAGCAAACTAGTACTTCTTTTAGTGTTCACGACCGATTTAGAACTGTAAGCACATTGCGCCAAGCAGAAACATATGAGCGGAATCGGATTGTTATTTGCATACTTCTAGTACCCTCGTCTTAATCACGTTGATAAATCACATCAAATCATGTGTAGTTACTCAGTTAGATCGTCTCGGAGAAGAATGAAGGACGACTTCCTACTCCCCAGTGCTCTTGATCAACCTAGTGAAAAGTCTAAGTCTCGGAGAAGAATGAAAAGTCTTGCTCTGTGAGTGACCAGCATATTAGAGCTGGAATGGGTATAGCATACGACGCAAAAGCATTATAAGCACACTCCGAAAACACTAGTTTTTTAAGTAAAAACTCAAACGCGGTCTCGTTTTTCGAATTTTCCCGTGAGAAGAAGTACAACAAGTAGTCAACCAACACGTCATTGAAACATCCATCGCGAATTTCGTCCCCAACTACATCATGACTCTGGGTTCTGTCCAACTACATTGTAATTGTTCCCCTGGTTGATAGTTCCCCAATAAAAGGTATTTCAATTCTTTTGCTTCAACAAGCCTATCATCAGCACGGACAACCTGACTGGAAACGCACACTCGTTCGACGACTACCACGACGCGATCAGATCAACTCGTTACAGCTGAAAGAAAGACACCGATGCTTCACCACGATTGAGACTAACTTACAAGATTCGACACATATTGTTCCCGTGGTTGAAGATAGAAGTTCCCCAATAAAAACTCGATGAAAAATCCCTTGCTTAGATATTGATGTTTTTACTTGCCAAGAATGGTAACGAAAAACAACGAACCCTGTATGACGGGTGCACGAAAAACATTAGCCAGCATAGGTGCCTTTGAGTACATTCTATTTTTTTTTGACAACATGATCCTTTCTAAGAGCAGCAAGGAACAACGATAATTTAAGAAAGTAGTTCACCCAGTAGTACCACGACATTCATATAAATATAGATCATCACCAAACAGAGGGGTTCACGAACATCAAAGAGCCCCTGATGACCTGCCCGAATAAAACAGGAACAAAGTACCTATGTATATGAAGAGAAACCGAAACGACCACGTTTCTTCTTTCTGAAAGTACTTGCCCCTGATCAGACAGAACCCGACTGATCCAATCGATCCCCACGAGTGATTACTACACCCAAAATCCCTCCAGAACCCTGATTACAACAGCCCGCACCTGACGTGCACGTAGTACTTCCCTGATCAGACAGAACTAATACTTCCCTGATCAGACAGAACCCAAAGACATTTCACAACCTTCCTCACTGTACTTCGTTCGCAGGTCGTACTGGTGGCTGCTGCGGTGCTGCTCCCCGGTTGTAGTCCATCATGTCGTGGTCTTGCGGCCCGCGACCTCCGCGAACATTCACGTTGGACATTTCTCTAGGCATCTGCTGCATCAGATCATTTCCTCCACGAGTGTGATCTTTGCCTCGACCTTTGCCTCCGCCATTGCGATTGTTTTGGTCTCTATCACCTCTATGATCTCTATCACCTCTATGATCTCCTCGATCGCCTCTGTGGTCTCTATCACCTCTAATATGGTCTCCTCGGTCTCTCCTGCCGTCGCGTTCTCCTGCATAGAAGTTACCCGACGGACCGCCTCGTTCCAGGTGGCCTCCTTGATCTAGATCGCGGTCGCGTCTTGGCGGAGGACCAAAATCCATCTCATTCTGAGGAGGACCTCCACGTCGATCATCCCTTCGATCTCTCCCAGGCATCAGTCCAGGAGGACCGTTGTCCATGCTGTGGAGCCTGGCATCACGCATGCTCTCACGCTGGCCGCTGCCTGGAGGAGGTACCATGAGGTTGACGTGGTTGTGGTCCATGTTATTGTTGTATCCTCGCGGGTCTCCAGACCCTCTGTAGAAGTCTCTATCACCTCTGTGGTCTCCTCGATCGCCTCTGTAGTCTCTATCGCCTCTGTGGTCTCCTCTACGATCGCCCCGATCACCTCCACCCCTTCTGTCTGTTGTATATTCACCTCCTCGTCTCTCTTCTCCTCGTCTATCTTGCATCTCCCGTCTGTGGTCTTGGAAATGGTCGCCTCCTCGGTCTCGTCGTGGATACATCGGCTCGCCAAGGTCGCCTCTCATCTGCATCTGCTCGCGATCAGGCCTAGTTGTATGATGATCGCCTCTATGGAGGTCGCGATCACCTCCTCTATGGCCTCGGTCGCCTCTGTGTCCGCCACTGCCTCTGTGCACACCGCCTCCACGACGATCGTGGTCTCGCCTGTCATCTCCACGATCGCCTCTTCTGTCGTCCCTTCTGTGGTCGCCGTGATGATCTCCACCTGTTCTTCTATCCTCTCTCGTGCCACGTCTATTGTCAATGTGGTCAACCTCGCCTCCTCCTCTGCGATCCATGTTGTTTTCTCGACGAAACTGTCTTGGCTGTGGCGGTGGTGCATTTACGTCGGAGGGGTCTACTAAGTACCCCCCGTCAGTTGTACCAGGTGGCGGCATCACTCCACGACCCTGTGCTGCCCGTCGCGCGTCTGTACGGTCGCGCTCTTGGTGTCGTTCCCTCTCCTTGCGATCGAAATACGCTTTCCTTTCTCTGCGCTCTTGCCGTTCCTTCTCCTTGAACAGGCGCTGCGCTGCTTTGGTGTAGTCGCGTCTCTCCTTCTCCAGACCCGACTGACCGCGGTCTCCACTAGGCGGAAGGGGCGGGCCACTGCCAAAACCGTCTTGCCAGTAAGACCCGGAGGGAATGTTGAGGAAATACCCGTCTTGCTGATCCACATTAAAGCCACCACCGTCAAGATCGGAAGCTGCTCCGCCAGGGCCATCCTGTAATGAGATCGATGTAGTGGTGCGTCGTGATGCAGATGAGGCTTTTTTCGTGTTGAACAAGAACTTGCATCTGTTCCATCTTCAATTTTATCTTCAACTAATTCTTCGTAGAACAGAAATACGAAAACACAAAAACTGAGTTCTTTTTGGACTTCCTCCTGCTCATTGTGTACTCGTATCATCTACGTACTTACTTGAATGTAAATCGCGTCAGATGAATGCTGTAATAAACGTAGAGTAAGTACTAGTACCCCAGCCCCACCGCTCTGCATTTCGTTGTTTTTCAGGAGCAAACTTTGCATTCGCACTATCTCCTGTCGCATCTCATCCGGGCTCATGTTATGGTTAGAGGTGTCGGGAATTCATCTCAGGGGTCATCTGGGTCCCTTTTTCCTCTTGTCTTTCTCTTCGTCCAGATGACTCATTTGGAGATGATGAATTCCCTACACCCATAATAAGGACGTCTCTCCCACAATAAGGCGCCGCACTATCCTCGGATGTAGCATTCATTTTCTGTTTGATTTCCGCTACAATACGATCTCGCTCTGTCGCAGGAGACGCGTCTAGTAAAGCCGCACTGCTACGTGGAGGACCAGCATTGCTACTAGTACTACTACCTGGAGCACCTCCTGCTCCTCCTGGGGTATGGTAAGCTGAACTACTTCCTGGAGCACCTCCTGCGGCGTAGTCCTCGTCCTCGCTGCTCTTTCTCGGAGTTGTAGGCGAGGCGTCTTCGACCGGAGGGGGTCCGGGAGGGGTGGTGGCGGAGGAGGATGCAGGTGGTGGCGGAGGAATCTCATCTTGTCCTACTATATGATGATCAGGAGGATTTAGCGATCCATTTGCGTTCCTTGGAAGACCTTGTCCTACTATATGATGATCAGGAGGATTTAGCGATCCATTTGCGTTCCTTGGAAGACCTAGACCTGGACCTCCTGGACCTAGAACTTGTCCTCCTCCTGGTGCTCTAGTTGTACTAGTCCCGTTGTGAGCTTGTTGCGGTCCCGTCATAGGATTCTGCTGTGAAGAAGCAACAGGAGGAGGCTGTATGGAGGAAGAGGAGGAAGATGCAGAGCTTCCGACTTTAACCATGCCTGGTGAAGGTCTGGTCGTTGCTGCGCTCGAAGTTGCTGCGCTCGCAGCACGACCTGCAACTGTGCCATTCATCTGCTCTGCGCGTTGTCTCTCTGACATCACTAGGTTGCGCAGCTTCTCCTGCTGTTGGTTCTGAGGTGGCGCACGTGCTATGGGTTCCATGTGAGGTTCTAAATGCGCTTCCATCTGCGCTGCAGTCTTGGCCAGGCGGCCACTGGGACTTTGGGTACTAGAACTGGCAGCTCCACTTGCACTTATTGATGCTCCAGGAAGTGGTTGAGAAGCAGCACCCGCCTCAGGTAGTTTACTAGAAGACGATGCTGTCGCTTGACCTAACAATCCTGGTGGGGGCAAGACGTTAGTCCTCGGCGTTACTTGTTGCGCTGCCTTCGTTGGCGTGTAGACCTCACCTGCATGCAACACCGTAGTGGTCGCTGGATTTCCGAGTCGCCTTCGTTCCGAGCCCTTGGGCGTGCGACTGCGGTCACGCGGAGAAACCGAGGCGCTGTTCTGCCTCGACCCTGCTCCAGTATGAAAGCCGCCTGCGAGTTGAGGCACTTGGAGGCCCATGCGGTGCTGCTTGTGGACATTCACGATCTGCGCGCCTCCTCTGCCTTTTCTAAGCATCTGGAGCTCCTTCTCCGCTTCTTCCTGCGGAGAGAAGGGTCGTAGAGCTGGCCCACCTGCTGTTGCACCTCCTGGAGCGAGACCTGGTCGTGCGTACGCGCCTCCTGGCGAAACCCCTTGCTGCATCGGCGGCGGATAGAACTGAGCATAGGCCCCCTGCTGCTGCTGCTGCTGCTGCAGCAATCTGGCTGCGGCGGCGGCGCGTGGGTGCAATGTGCCCTTTCCGGCTGGCAGCATCGGCGCAACAGCCGTCGCACCTTTAGAACCACCTGGGAACGCACTTAAAGCCGCTAGAGCTATTGGATCGCCTCTTGCTGCGGCTGCCGCAATCAACTGCTGCTGATGCAGATCCATCAAAGACCCGGCGCCTGCGCCTCGCGCTGCTGCTAGCAGTTGCTGCCGTTGTCTCAACAATTGCTGTTGCTGCGCCGCAGTCGACGATGGTGGCCCAACTCCTAGCTGTGGTCCTTAGACGCAACTATACTTAAATGTTCATCTTCTTGCAGAGCATCTTGGTAGGTATTTTCTCGTCTCACAAAATCCTTCCAAGTAGATGCTGCTTGTTAAGATGAATTTCTACTGTGAGCCATAATGTCCAGCTCCTCCTCGCAAAAGATCTGCTGCAGCACCTTGACCCCTTCCAGCGGTATCTCGATCATGACTGGCTGCATCCATCCGACCCTTGAGCCACTTCTGGTAAGAGACGCCGTAATCCAACAGCTCGGCCATGGTCTCGAGACTCATAGTGCCAACCTCCTGCTTCTCTTTTTCTACTCGTTCCTGTTCGCGTTTCGTGCGCTCGAAATTCGCTCCGACAGGATTATTGAAATCTAAACCGGTCAGCCGGTCGTAACCGCTTTGCGGCTCCTTGCGACCCACAGGTTGTGCGGCAGCGGTCTGTAGTTGAGCGGGTGTGGATGTAGTACAGGATGAGTTCTGATTTCATGTCTGGATCAGCAATTGTGATGCTATTACCTACGTACTTACTCGAAATTACTACCTACTGGATCATCAAAGACCACAATTCTCAATTTTTCTTCTGATAAACATCACTACTTCTCTATCTCTATCTTTTACAGCAAAAAATGGTGAAAGTACCGTTGCAGCCAGGGCTTTGCTATTCTCTGGATTGAAGACGGGGTCTCGCATATAAAGATGATAAAGCGGAGGTATTTCACCTGGATGTAATGGATGATTGTTTGAGATTGAGTGAAGCAAGATGAGAGAAAGAACAAAGTAGAAAGTCGATTAATTTGCTGCCTGTTAATGTAAATTCAAATCCAATTCTATTCTTGTCAGTAAGGCACCATAGCTTACCATTTTTACCCAAAGTACCTCCTGGAAGAATCTCTTATAATTTCCCTAGTTATATGGACCTGGAGGAATGTCTTATAATTTCCCTAGTTATATAATACCATTGGCTTCTTGTCCAGGCGGCAAGTTTGATGTTCTTTCTTCGTCCGTCGTTGGATCGTCTTCAGAGAAAGTTGAAGACGACTCGTCTTCAGGACGATCACCGCTAGACCACTTTTCTCTTCTGTCGTTTGCACCCAGAAGACTAGTATCCGAACCTCCACTCGTATTGTTCGCGTCTCTTGATTTAGAGGTAGGGTCTTGGTGCTCGTGGACCCTGCTTTTTCTGCCTTTCTCCCACCTTAGGAAATAAGGCATAAAAAGCGGGAACAAAAGCACCTTTACCCTACCCTTAATTGATTTCTTATCCCGATAATCATCGTCCTCAACGTCATCTAGACTGCGATTGTAGGGGTCGCGACCTCTTGTGTGCGGTGGCGAAGCAGCGGAGCCGGAATCCACTCGATCTAGCAACTGGACTTGCTCCGGAGACTGTGGTGAAGCGGCATCAATATTGTTGTCTTGTTCATCCTCTTCACCATTTTTAGCAGCATTTCTCATGCCAACAACGTTCAAAACCGTGTGACTCGTAACAACGTCGCGCTGTTGACTAGAGGTTGATGAAGTGCTTCCCCACACTTTGTTTTTACCTGAGGAAGAAGAACCACTTCGCGGATGTGGTGAATTCGAAGTCGAGGATGTGGGTTCACGGTCGTCCCCAGTGGGTGCGCGCGGAAGCAGGACTATCGGGGAACCTCCTGATCCCGAGCCAGACTCTCCATGAGAAGTACTTGCATTTTGACCAACTGTCCTCACAGGCATTTGGAAGTCAGGTGCGGCTTCACTTTCGACGGACAGGGCGGTTGATAAATTCGAAGCCACAACACTATTCCCAGTACTTGTTCTCGTATCTGCTGTGTCAACATTGTTGCCTGAAGATGCTGGTACTGCAGGATGTGAATTCGTTTTCTCTAGTGTTGTAGAAGTTGGTTGAGCAGCTGCTGCTTTGTCTTTTTTATCTGCGTCTCCGCTACTACTTGTAGTTGATGCTATATTTTCTTCAGAAGATTTCTCCTTGGCATCTTTGGCGTCTGTAGTACTAGCGCTCTTGTTCGTGGATGTTGACTCAGTTGAAGCTAGAGCGTTAGACGTAGAAGCTTCTTTCTCCTTTTTCGCCTCAACAGCACCGTCACCAGCTGCTTCTTCATCCTTTGTGGGTCTATCGTATTCTTCGACTCGCATTACGAATTTATCAGCCATTCGTGAAGACGCCTCTGAATCTTTCCTACCTCGTTTTTCTTTAGCAGGTGATGAAGAGTCTTTATTGCTTTCTTTCAAGGCACCACTAGCACTACCGCTTGAAGTATTTGTGTTGTCTTCTTTGCTGTTTTTTTTCGACGATGATTGAGGAGAGGCACTACCTGCTGCTGCTCCTCCGCCGCCTGCTCCTCCTAGGCCTACATTGGTCTTTCCTACTACAGTGTTGTTTTTTCTGTTTGAGGTTGAAGACGCTGCTGCGGTCCAGCCCATCATAGATAGTTGGGCTTCCATGATCCCTTGTCGGTTCGCATCCCAGTCAGAGCGACCTTCCTTAAAAAGACCGAAAAACCGGTCTGTGTCCTCGCTCACACTGCCTTGAACTCCCTCTCCCGCGCTCTCGGCACGCTGCTCCGACAAACGCCCTGATGTCGATGAAGATGTTATGTTGTGGGAGGAGGTTGTAGTTGTTTTTGAGCGAGCCTTGGAAAGATGCACATGAAGAGGAGGGGGAGGGGGTTCCTCCGGCATCGTGGGACCCTCCGGAAGCGCAGTGAGCAGATCTTCTTCCTCTTGTTGAGGGATCAGAAGAGGCACAAGCGGACCAAGAGTCTCCTCGTCTACCTCTGCTTGATGAGCAGTGAGACCGTCTACTTGTTGGAAAGGCAGGGCGTGGTCTTTTTGCATCAAGAGAGCACTAGCACAGCGAAGATCATCACCCTCTTGGAGGAAAGGTGTGTCCTCGTTGTCTTCGATCAAGAGACTGCTAATATCACTGCCTGTGCTGTTCTTGCACATGCTAGTTTTCCTCGTCGTGCTAGAAGTCGTAGGAGGAGCTGCATCCTCATCAAGATTAACGTCGTCCGCTAAATAATTTCTCTTAGTCTTATCTACTATATCTACTTCATCTTGTTCTGGAGGTGGAGTTACTGTTACAATAACTTCCGCTTCTCGTCGAGGTGTCTCAATAACTTCAACATCTAAATCTTCGGCGTGCATCTCGTCTGGGCTATCAGCGAAAGCTGCTTCTATCCTAGCACTAGAATTAATATACATAGTTGTATCTGCAGTAGATAGCAATGCTGTATTGAGACCTACTATAGCTGCCTTACTAGTGTTATTTTCCCTATTTGTCGGACTAGGTGTACTATCTATGGCATCTAGATTTTGAGCATTATAGTATTCCGTCGTGGAGGTTTCTAATCTACGCCCTTTCTCCGTTCCTGCTCCATTACTATCATCTGCTTTTCGACTATGATGCTCTAACGATTCTAACTCTTGTTTTAGCCTTATTTCTAGCTGGAGGTTTTCGTCAACCTTACTAGTATCTATTTCTCCACCAGCAACATCCTTTTCTACTGGTTGTCCGCCCTCGTGAGCTTTACTAGTATCTATTTCTCCACCAGCAAAAACAGAAGTTGAAGTTGAACTTGGTAGAAGTGGAACTTCTGCATCTACCTCCACGGAAGTTGAAGTTGGTGGAACTTCTACATCTACTTGTTCTTCTGCGTCACTTTGAGCTTCCTTGTTGTCCTTCGTCATTTTCTTTTCGCTAACCTGCTTTTCAGGCTCAGCAATGAGATCGGTGGGATGACCCGCGTGGTCATCACAAGAAACCTCCCCCTTTATAGCAACACAAGAAACATCAGCTGCCATTGCCTGAACTTTCTCTTTTTCTTCATGTAATTCTACTAATGATCTTTCGTCCTGACCATCTGGTACGCTTCCTTCCTCATCTCCTACTTGTACTTGTCCTCCTGGTGCTTGGCTTGGTTCATCACAGCCGTCCATCGAATCACGGAAAAGGAAATCAACTGCCGTCTTCGAGGCCTCTCCCTCGCCAAGGAAGCGAAACTCGTTCCGCATCCTCCACGAAGTAGAATCCGTACTGCTTGAAAAAAACTGGCTTGTACTAAAAACTTCTACTGGTTCTGGTACTTTGTTCTGCGAAATTCTGCAACTATATGTACTAGCTCGTTTCAGTAGTAGTAGTTGAAAAGACTTCACTGTAGTTCTTGAACAAGAGAAGTAGAGCAGTGCTCCATAGAATGAAGATTCAGCAAAAAATGAAAGCCGTATCGTGGATATAATGCAATGAATTCGTCACGAAGAGGACGTCGAAGAGGAAGTTGACCACCACAGCTACGGTGTAGAAGTAGTCCACGACGGACGTCGAGAAACTGGTACTCCGTCTTTCCTTCTTCTGCAAGAAACTAATACTTCTTCGTCTTTGATGATGTTCTGCTTCTGCGTTTTCAGTGGCGTCGATACGAAGATGTTTCTTCTACTTCTATTACTTGTGGCTCTCGGTATCGCGAGTTACCAAACGATCAAGAGAAACTAAATAATATGTTGCACTGAGAATAGAATTTGAAATACTCCTGTAAATAGAAGAAGAAGATGTTCTGTAACAAACTTGAACTTTTACACAAAAACAACTACATTCACTAGTAAATTAGAATCAAATGTAGTTGATGAACAGGACGTAGTTGAAAGTAACAAGTAGATACATTCATTGAAAATTTAGCAGCTACAATAGGGCTGCAGCCACTCTGCTCAGCAGGTATCTAGGATAGAATCTAAGCCTACAAATAATAGATACTTACTAGGAGCAGATACTAGGAGCAGATAATAGATATTTACAACTAGGTACTTCTCGTACCCTCCCGATAATACAAGATATACTTTCCGGACACCCGGTTCGTTCAATCTCTTCCTATTCTTTTTGATGAATGTTGAAAGAGATACCTCATTATAACATATGACGTGTTTTTTCTAGACAGGTCTGTTTGGATGCTCTTCACAAAACAATAAGTCGGTCTGTACTTCTTGTGAAAAAGATATAAGTAAAACAGACCTTGAACTACGTACAAGTAAAGATGAACTCTAGTATGGGTAAATAAAATCAAAATAGACAATCAAAAAAACAACAACTTCATTCGCTGAGTTCCATAGAATCTTCAGACCTGAAAAAGAAGAACGAAGGAATGTAAAATTGGCCACAATTGTGAAGAGATGAAGTACCTTCCTTAAGCATGGTCAGGCGTTGATCTTCGGCGTCCGCCGGTAAGCTGGAGGAGTTTTTTGGAATTCAATTCAGATTCTTTGGCGTGGATCTTTTCAGAAGGGAAGAACTTGGATGGAGATTTTTGTCTGCAAGGATAGCAATTGAAATTCATGGAGGAATCAAGGAACTTGAATTTTTTGTGATGAGCATCAACCAAACAACATTCTGACAGCAATTTTCGGATCATGGAAGTTTCTTTTCTTTCTCATTTGAGTCAAATTGAGATTTGATCACCCAGGACATACACGCACATACGGAAAGTGACGCACAAAGAAAGGTCATCTGAGTAACGCCAACAAGCATATGATCAACATTTCCATGCAAGAGAATTCCTTGATCGATCAATCTAACAACGGGGGGACAGGAGTTCTTTCACTTATCCTCGTGTGACCACGAGGTTCTTGTTCCTTAGTAAACTTTATTTTGGTGTCGGTCTCGGTGTACTTGCTGCTCTCACTCAGAATGTAGTATTAGAGAGAAAAAGAACTACACGATCAAAAGTACTACCTGGAGGAGTTCTTGGGAGTAACGGAATCCGCTTTGTACCCCATCGATTCAAGCCTCGATAGCAACGTCTCGTCTACTTCACTCCCGCTCGGCGGGGGAATTTCTGATGATGCGACTTCCATTTTTTTTCGATTGTTTAACAAAGGAGATGTTATCTGAGTACTCCTGTAGTATGTTGGTATCTGGAAGAGTAAGTGTAACTAGTCTTCATTCCTCTTCCTTCCTTGTCAATAACAGGACTTAAACAATCAAACATGTATTGCTATATATTCTACAAGAACTTCGAGTTAGAAGTTTCTTGTTCCTCGTAGATTTGAATCAATCTGAATTTGCGAAATGAAAATCAATATAGTGTCGTTGACTTAATATTAGTGTCAAAGAACAAGTGTCTGGTGCCTATGACAAGGTGTGCTTGTCTGTCATGGCATAACCCAAAAAAATATGCGCTTCAGCGACAATTCCTATAAGTTTTGAGAGGTTTTGGCTTGTTCCTATCCCAGAAGGTTTTCCGTTTTTTGTTTGAAGATAAGCCTTTTTTTCGATTTTTCTGATGACTTTTTTAAAAACACCTTTTTAATGCACGAAGATACGACAAATAATGCTGTCGAAGAATGCATAAACAAAATTTCCAAAGTGCTAGGTTTCACTACAACTTTGAATTACAAAAACTACACTACGACAACTTTTATACTACATACACCGATTCCGATTTCTCTCCCTCACTACTCAATACGACTACATCGAATTTTTTCGACAAGAACGCGGCGAGAGGGGACAAAGAACTGTGTTTTTTACAATATTAAGAGAAGCCCTTTGATGTTCCTTTTGTAAGTAACCTAACCCCGAGCGAGCCCAAACTACGGACCCGCCAAAGTAGAGACACTTAGCTTCAGCCGGGTGTTTCCTTTCTATTATCCAAGTACTTTCAAGCCTTTGCTCTCTCTCTCGTTCGCTCCCCACGTCGACAAGAAGAGTACCGAGTACTAGAGTGTGTTCTCAGGCACTATCTAGCAACGAATAGATAGACAGATAGCCTAGGCGCCCGAAGCTAGCACCGAATCTTTTTTACAATATTGACATATTCATGTTAATACTTCCACTTGAAGCCTCACTTTATCGAATAACAATTCCCTAAAAGTGACATAATATTCCAAAATTTCCTCAACAACAACAACAACCCATGTTGATCACTACTCAGTACTAGAATTAAACTACTTGTGTGTTCTACACTACTTACATGCTTCTAGTGAGAAAATGGGAGAAGAAGATAATATGCTGCCAATCCTGCCGGCCGCGGAAACACGAAAGACAAGCGTGGTCTAAAAGAAAGATAGCTAGCTAGCTACCGGTAAAGCAAAAATTGTTATTGATTCATGGCCAATATGAAATTAGCTGATACTGTATTGTAATTGATGGCCATGCTGTATCTATAATGCCACTGATCTCCACACAAAAGGTTTGATAAAAATTACGACTTTCAGTTTTACCTCGAAACAACGACTAAAAATACTTCGACTTCCTCACTTCTGCAGAGGAGCGCAAAATCTTTTTTGCTTCTTGCTACTGAATTACATGCAGCGAATACTTCTTCAAGGAAATTTGTTCCAGAAATCAATGAAATAACTATCACCATTTGTTCCAGAAATCTGTATCTCAACAATCTTGCTTCTACACAGTAAATCAATTATCAATTATTTACCCTATTGACGGATCTACAACACGCTGTGTGAGTTATTAACCGACGAAGATAATTACAAGGTGAAAAATTCGAATGCAAAACACCTAACTAACCTGAACATACCTAATCACGACTATGTATACTATCTGTATTGTTGTTATATATTTTCATCACTTGCTGCCGTCATGCGCATGAATAGACATCATGACATTATACTAGCGGAAATTTTTTACAAGGATATTGCGACTTGCTGAATCAATTCCATACAAAAACAGCACAAAGCTCTGGTCCCAAGACAGGAATGAAACACTGAGTTGTTCCACTGACAAAAATCAATGAAGTCACCAAAACTTGTGAAAAGCACCAGGGCTACAAGAACAGTCGCTCCTTAACGCTATGAAGTTCATGCAAAAAATCTACTAGTATTTCCTTTGCAATAAGGATTCCGATGGATTAATTCTACTCTATTTTATCATCAATACACAAGCCGTATTTACGAACACGACAGAACCTTACAGGAGACGGAATACAATTTTGACGGAGCTCGTCGATGTCTCAATCATTGTTGATACAGCAACCTATTAGAAGATCCAACACTTGGAAAATTATACATTTACAACTTCTCGTTTATACTGGCTATTTTAATGCACGACCATGAGTATTCTCTACCTCACTCTCGTAGTTGACCGTAATTCTCTCTTTCACGAGGTGGAAATCTATGAGTTGTGTGCAAATTCGTAGCACTGCAATTGGTGGTATCTAAGCGATAAAAGCTTAAATTGTGAAGTAAAAAACAAGATGATACAGGATGACCATCGATCAGCGAATCATAAGATTTTGTGTCAATTATAGACGCAAACCGGTTCAAAATACCTACAAGTTGTTACAACAATCAATGGGGAAAACGTAGAAAGATAATTAGAAACATCAGGGTAAATGCAATACAGGTTTGGTGGCGACTTCTTCTAAAAGTAGAAAAACTCCAACTCCGCCTATATCCATTCTACCCAAAACAGAAAAATCATTAGCAGGGGACTTTTTAGTAAGTAAGTCTAGGTTCTACTTTCATTCAAAACAGAGAGGTCCTTCGGATGATGGGACTGTAGTACGTTCGTGGGTGTGGTGGCAGCAACATTGAGATTCACACTCATCATTTGAACAGCCTCACCTAGCAGTAGACCGACGTAGAGCCGACGTAGACTAGGTGCATGGATTGATATATGATCCAGGGTGCAGGGCAGCGCCCCCCCCCTAGCGTAGGGGGGGTCCGTGGATCCCCGGACCCCTTTGGAAGGCGTCAGCCGGGGGTGGAAGGCTTCCAAAGGGGTCCTCCAAGGCGCCTCCTCCGCTCCCTTCCCGCTGCCTGCATGTACTCTACAGGCCTCCTATGTGCTTCGCCGCCGCAGCAGTGCAACGGGTGGGGAAGGCCTCCGAAAGCGGCAAAAGGCGCAAGGCTGGCCCCCCTGAGCCGTGTGGCCTGTACCCTCCGGGCCCTTGGTCGTTGGCCTGCTTGCTCTTGTTACCGTCCCCGCCTTCGGCGGCCTTCTACCCCGCAGACCTCCAGCCTGCGAGGGTCAGCAAAGGCCAGGAGGTCCCTGGGGGACACGCAGAGAGGCGCAAGGGGACGCCCGCGCCCAGTTTTGACTCCTTCCACCCAGAGAATCCGTGAAAGGCAGCGCGGAGAAGAACGCGTAAGCGCCACCACAGGGCCATCCACAGGGGGGGGCGTGCGTCCCTGTATCAACGACAAAAGCGAGGAACATATTTGCGCGCCCCCTGTATCCTTGTAGCTTCATGGCTTTTAACATGTGCAGCAGAACCGTAGAAACATTCACGCGAGTCACGCAGACCGTGATCCTTTTCCCAACAGATGACGCACGGAGTCGCTAACTTTTTTGTGAATCCTCGCTCACCGGACACGCAGTATTTGAACTTGAAGATACCAAAACGACCTCTTGACAGAAATACTTTCTCAAACAGACGATATTCGCCATAGCGAAGTGCCTTGTTCTCCACGTCACCAACCTGCGGAAACAAACACTGTTGTAGCCGTTTCCAAAGCTGCTTGCATTTTTACCGCCATGAGTTGTGCGTGAGTAAACGAGTGAGCGAATCACGAGAGAGTGAGCCGATGGGGCAATACATCAGTGTGAGCGAGAAAGACTTCCTATTGAAGGAATGAAAGCGAATGTCACCAATCACATCTATATCATTTACTGTCCCGTACCAGCATTAAGAACCCTTTTTAATAAAACACTACGTTCTTCGTCAGTGCGGCAATCTTTCCAAGCAGGCCTCGTACAATCCAATATTGCTACCCTAAACCCCATTTGTCTTAAAGCAAAGTGTTTTGCAAGGATAAACTCGCGAATCTGTGGTCGTAGTTGGTGTAGGTGTTCGTACCTCGAGTCTGGAAAATGTTCGAAATAGAAATCAGCCACATCTAGGCAGTCGAGCAGCATATAGCGGTCTTTACAACTGGTAGCGCTTATTGTTGCCTGTTCGTAGCTTTCACCTTCCTTGTTTTTCCCGACACAATTTTGAAAGCCATCTTCCTCATCCATTGCGGAAACAGGCACTGCGAACGATACACGGAATGGGCCAAGCTTTAGCGGACCTTTGACCACGCTTCTGTTTTTCAGGTCTATGTCCAACTCCAAATTACCTCCTCGTCCCCATGACGTAGATGATGCAGAAGTGTTGGCACCAGGATAACGATAAGGATACTCAACTTTGGATAATAACCGCGCAACCGGACGCTCGTGATTTTTTAGAAGGCAAGAAGAGCTCGTCTCATTGTGAGACCCAGGAGCGCCAAGTGATTTCTCAATATCGTCCAGAAACTCCAATCGATTTTTTCGAAAGAATACACTTTTGTCTGTGGCCGATTCCTGCTTGACGCTATGAAACAGTCCTAAGGCAAAAGCAAATGACGCCGATTTTTGCGTCAAAGTCCGAAGCTTGGATACCATTTTCTCAGAAGTCTCTTGCCGAAGATTGTCGGGTAGATGATCGTCTCCAGCAGCGGCATTGCCTTCTTCATGATCATGCATCCCAGGAAAAGCAAGCTGTTCCACACTCACCCGGAATAACTCCCAAGTAACCACCTCTCGTGCCTTCCTCTCCTTTCCGTCCACTGCAGAGCTAAACCGTGTTCCCATCACCGCAGAGGCAACGCAGAGACGTAAAGCTGTGTCGTGAGGAATGCGAGTGCGGCTCTGCACGGAAAGAAAAGTCTGAGCAGTTGTATCGTGGTGGCGAATATCAAGGTCCAGCTCATTGCACAAATGTCGAATAATTCCCAAAAGCGACGAATCATCGCCATCCTGTTGCACAAAACAGCCCAATTTCGCCATCGTATAGAGGAATTTAGATATAGCAACTGTCTTTTCATCGGGCATCCGTGTTCTTGCTCCTTGGGGACCTCCCCTATTCATCTGACGGGGGCATGTACATGTTGATGTTGCTAGAATACTCAATACGTCCCTGAACAGCCTTGCATCCCGGACATCGTGAGTGCCAAAAGCCTGTATAACTTGACAACACAGCTCGATTAGCTTGCCCTCGCCTGCAGAATTCATTTTTTTTGAGATCTTCGCTTTGGTTTCCCCCAGCTCATCTTTCTCCTCGTTGAGGTCCCCCAAGTACGATGCTAAACTCTGCCTGATTTCAGGTGCTAACAGCCTGCACTGATCTGGAGAGGACAGAAACGGGATTGCAGCTGTGAAGAGGACTGCCAATGATCCTCCTCCTGCAGAAGACGAGCGGACTTTGGCGCACAAAATTTTCAGCATATGCTTGCAGTCTGGTAGAAGAAACTGTTCCACCTGATCGTGCTGCTTCTCCTTGTTACTACAAGCGGAAGCACCCAACCTCCGCGTTGCTGCACTCTGCTCGCTTCCAGAAAGTCCTTCTCCTCGTACTAATAGCCCCGGAAAAACCCCAAAAGTTCCAATTGCAGGCAATCCACCATTAACAACACAGTGTTGTAGGCGCTCCATGAACTGCACCGTTTGATTGACATCCCATTTCCTCTTACTCGCTACAAACACTTTCTGAGCTGCGGTAAGGAATCTAGGATCTTTTTGAACTAGAGGAGCGCGTTGCAAGGCACGACAGAGAAGACCAGGTGTCCAGCATAGCTTTTTATTTGCGTCTTCTAGTGTTTTTGAGGAGGTCTTTTTCTCAGGTTTCCTCGTCTGTAACCATTGCTGTTGCTCCTCTAAGCTCCGGACTAGGGTTTGCGAGAGTAGAGTTAAGACAGCACGATCGCCTCGGGTTGAGTTAGACAATTGCCAGCCATAACGACAAAACAAGCAGATTCAGATTCTAGGATCACACATAGAGATACATATTCCTTGGTATTAACAAGATGAAGTAGGTCAGATCATTTTTACTTCATTTGTACACCACCATAATCGAAAGGCCACCTGCAGCAAACCGCGAACTAGCACTACTTGTACCTGCTTGCTCTGCATTCGAAACCCTGCCCGCAATCCGAGGATAAGCCTCTGCCAGAGAAAGGACATCATCAATCGCCGCAGAAGTTCTCAAAGCGGACGAAGAAATGTTTCCCGGTCTCACAACTATTTTTTTTTGGTTCTGCTCCTCCTCTCCAGAACATGACAGTGCAGGTAGCACGCTCAAAACCATGTCTTGAATCCGATTTGCGAGCACCGCACTAGGTTCAACGACCATCCCAGCACTGGCAAAGGCCTGCATTGCCGCGACAAGTGTGCTCATCGAGGATTTCGAAGAGGACGAACTCAAAGTTGTGAAGAGGGAGTCTTTAACCATTCCTCCCTGATGCTGATCGATTGAGTGCATCTTTAACATGCTTCTGTTCCTGCTTATTTTTCCAGCCGTGGAAGTTTCGTTCTCATCACTACTCATACTTGTTCCCGCGGACCTATTACTATTTGCCACGAAAAGGTCCTGCACTGTGTAACAAAGTTGTGCCAGCAGCTGCTTTCCCTGTCTATCCGCAGGTAATAGGTTTTTGGCATAGCTTAAAGCAACCGGACAGCGAAGCGCTGTTTGTGCTGAGATTTTGTTGATGCCACGACTACTTGATGAAGTGGAAAGACTTTTTTGCGTTTGTTCTGGGGCAGTCGCAGCATTAGCGTTTGCTTTCAGAACAAAAGCAGTAAGCAGCGGTCCACCAACCTCTGAGCGGACGCTGGAGAGACGATCTTTCCGGAACTCCCACAAGAGCTTGCCTAGATGGTCCGCAGTCATAGTAGATTTCCGTATACACCGTTGGACAGCTGATATTAGCTGAGTTTCGCAATAGCTGCGGTCAAATGGTCCTTTAGAAGGTGGAAATGATCTACTAAAGGTTGTATTCCCAGTCGCCTTTTTGGCGGTCGACAACAATCGGTTATACGCGGTGACTGGAAGTAGAGGTGACTTCTGGAGAACCCTTGATGTTGTAGATGTTGGGCCGAGGTATGCTGCATCATCCCAAGTCGTATCTAAAGTAGGGGTATCTACTAAGCACGTTGAACCATCGTAGCATGAACTCGAAGAAGATGCCATCCCAAGAACCGGCAAATTCCCAAAAGCTCGAACCAAGTCACAAGCTGTAGGAGCATCTAGCCGATGAGTGCCTCCGAAGCACTTACGTGCGAGACTCTGGACTGTGAGCTCCAAATTGTCTCCTTCTAAACTACTTCGCAATTCCCTTGACAGCTTACTGTAGCTCAGCAAGAGTGAAACAGCGTCTCGAAATGAGACTGAGGGAGGTTTCTTTTGGTTGGAGGAGGAGAGGAGAGATTTTACCGGTATTAATGATTTCCGTGCCAACAAATCCGCGATCCGCCTGTGAAGAATTGACAATCCCTCACTGTCCAGCAAATGCAACTGGTGCAGATCAGAAAAGATCTGAGCTACCTCTCGTGCGTTCGCGATCCGACCTTTCGCTACGTCATCAACAATCGACTCCGTTAGACCTGCCAGAAATGCGCCATGTTGGTTGAGAAGTCTCGCTCTTGTTCCGCTTCTTGAGTTGTTTTTCGACTCCTCTGCAGATCTTGAAGATTCATCACTATTATTATCTTTCAAGAGTTGTCTATTCAGAAATCCAGCTCGCCTGCGTGCAGATACCAGCGCGTCCTCTGTGTGTCGTGCGGTACCCATATTAATATCATCTTCGTTAGAGGTTGCGACATTGCATTCTTCAGATCATCTCTGACCCTTTCCCTACTGGAAAAAAAGTCAAGGATGGTAGTGAAGGATGCAATGTGGTAACCCTTAACTTCGCCAGTATCAAAATCGAAATCGAAAATCGTCCCAGACTTGCTTCTCTTCTGGGTTCTTTGAAACACTTGATGTGGCGCTTGTTCTTTGGGCTTTTCGAGCTCCTTCGCTGCACTCTCGTCATCTTCAGTCCTCGTGCTATTTCCTGAAGCTCCTCGACTTTGTACCAGCTGCAAATCGTCGAACATTAAGTCACATCTTCCGGAGGAACCATCGACGATGCTGGCATCTTCAGTCTGTGCTCGTGGACCTGGACTCATCAACTCATCAAGAAGCGACTGCGCGTCTGCAGCTAAACCACGCTCTTCTCTTTGATTTTTCTGGTCGTTATCGAGACACGAGTGGTCTGACTCATCTTCGACAGCAATAATAGAGCTTTTCTCCTGCTCTATTTTAGGCTGTGATACAGGAGAACAAGAGCTTCTGTTTGCGGACTTTTCTAGTTGTAGTAGAAGCTCGTTCTCTATCGCTTTTAGCGAAGGTTGTAACCCAGCCTGTTGACACCGCACTATGGAATGAAGCAATGTCATTCGCGTCGTTGGATGTAGGTCTGGGAGTCCTCTGATGTCGGTCAAAGTGGAGCGTCTTCCATCACCACTTCCATGTGTATCATGAGCATGATGCAAACCGCTTATCAAACCAGTCCAAAACCGATGAAGGTTCACAGTATTCGGAAAACAGGACACGAAGTGTGCTAGTCGTGAGATGTCGAATCCGGTCAGCGGAGTCCGTATCTTTGACGAGGACGCCTTGTTGTGAAGCTCGTGATGATCTACTTGGTTTTTATCATGCCCCCGTACAACTTCTAGTTTATCCACCCAGTCTAACTGGTTGATCCTTTGTCCAACCAGACGAACTAGAAGTACGGAATCGACAGCGGAATCAGGAACTACACTCGTCTGGAAGTATCTCGAACAACAATGAGCAGCCAAAGAAACTTCCTCAGCCGAAAGGTCCTCACGATGGCGCAAAGCAACGTATAGCAAATCTGCGACGACGTCTTCAGCCTCCGCAACTTTAGGCGAGCTGGATGGGGCAGTGCATGGAGTCAGTGCTTTTGAATCTGGTGTTGGGCAATCTGACGTAGGAGCGCTTTCCACCTGCAACTGATCCAACAGCGATGTTGAAAACGAGCTTTCATTTCTTTTACCAAGATGAACCTCAGATAATGGAGCAGATGTCGTGCTGGCCCCAGTACGCAGGACTTTCTTCTCGCCACACAAAAATCCGTTCGCACTCGTCTTCGCGCCCTTGTTTACGCTTTTACCGTCCGGTATCACTTGTACTGCATTCGCAGTTTTCTTCGCCACAAACCCTATAAGTTGAAAGAGCTGCTGTCTGGACAGAGCATCGGAGGCCGAAAGGAGCTCACCCCAACGGCCTTCGGTCACTAAGTTTTGAGCTGTAACGAGAGGACTATTTCTCCAAGAGGAGGAGGAGGGAGATGTTTGACGACCTTGTAAGAACTCTCGGCTGTTCGTAACCTTCTTGCTGTTCCACTGCTTTGTGGCATAAAAGGGAGGATCGTAGGCGCGGTTCTTGCTCTTGATCCTATCAGCGTCTTCAACCTCATGACCTTTGTTGATACCCCTGGCACCGACACCAATCCCGCGATTAACCTTATTCCAGTTGCCGTTTCTCTTGTACTTGCTCGATGACGCTCTAGACCTAGACGAAGTAGGGAAGGAAACGAAGCCAAGCCAATTTTGAGCCTGTTTTAGCGTTTCCGCCTCTACTCTGTCCACACTATGCAATAGAAAATCTTCGAAATCTATATTGTCGTCTGCTTCTAGTTGCCGAACGGAGGTCGACTTAGGTTTATTCAGTCCTACTTCGTTCGACTCAGGTTTTAGTCCTCCTGCTCCTCCTCCTTCTCTTTGCCTCATCTTACCCGACTCATCCGCCAAGTCTCTATTTAGGACTCCCCGTTTGGTGCTTGACGCACCTTCTCGTCCACGGCCCTTTCCCGTAGGCTTTATCGCTGAGCATACCCTACCAACATCTGCGAAGAAGGACTCAATCGCTGCCTTAGGAACAGCATGAGAAGGGACCTGCTGCTGAACATTTACCATTTCGATTGATTACGACTTCTTTTTACACCACGAACAGCAAGAACAAGTGGAACAGTCTATTCAATTCAGTGGGCGGGACAAGTGGAAGTAGAGCCTACTTCCTTATATCAAAGTTCAGCAGTCAGTGGTCACTGATGCGGAACGGAAGAGACCACCTTCAAAGCAGCTCTACCCTTTTCCCTTCGTTTTCGCCTGTTCTCTCAAGGGGCCGCCACTTCGATCTCAGTGACCAACCCCAATGACCAATGAAAGTTGGGCCTTAATTATAAATACATAAAAGATCATGTGTGTAAGAACTCGATGTGCATCGGTCTCTTCTCTTGAGTGCGGCCTTATAGATGGCAAAATCACACCACGTTGCATCTGACCTCGCTTGCGCTTGTCCTCGTGGTGTCCTTTTCTACCAAGATCTTGCATATGAACACCACATAGAACTCGATGAGAACCACACTCGCTCCCGAGAGACTGTGAGTACCGTGGCCTTATTTTCTTATACAAGTCAGCGCATAAAAATTTTGAATGTCCCCATTAAGTTCATTTGAAAGGATATCAGAAATGTCTCTGCCAATCATGCCTTTTAGTACTACTTGTGAAGAAATGCCAAGTAGTAATGTCGTGATCGGTTAAGAAAATTCCACCCCCAAAACCAACATCAAACTACTAAATACAACAACAAGTAGGGAAGTATCACAAGAAATTGTTACATTTTTTTTGTTTTTTGATTATTTTTTTTTTGCGTGTCTTTCATTTTTCTCGCAACAAAGAATGATGTGGCGCAGCGATGCTGGATTTAGGTCATCCATGTAGTTCTTCATTACTGTTGCGTAATATTCTTAATTAAATTCCCACGTGTTTTCCGCAAACAAATTGCCGCTATCAAATGGCGGATAACATGGTTGTGTTTATTGAGTCAAATCCCAAATTAGTTTCAATTCCAAATTATGTAGGTTGTTGTGAATCAAATATTAACATCAGGAGGTAAGATTCGTATTATAACAAATTGTCCAACTATCTACGTCTAGTACTACGTCTATGTCTAGTTGTTCAATGAAGATTAAATCAGAGAAGGTACATGCAAGCTAGCATCTACCTTTTAGTTTCTCGATTATCGACATCTACTTCGATTTTAGTTTCCTAAGGGATTGTACAATAATTCGATTCCTGGCCTTTTGAATCTTCCTATCACTTACTTAGGTTGTGCTACTTATGATCTTCATCTTGGATCTTTCTCCTCCTAGTCCTAGTTAAGTACATACAATTTGTTATAGTACTTCTGTTAAAAGGCTCTTTTCAACATCCACTTCCCGGTCCTCCCTTCGGAACTCTGATCTTTCTTATACCACTGCTTGGGACCCCCGGCCGAATTGCTGTTCGTAGAGGAGGTTGCGGGACGGCCCACGAGAACCGGCTTATTCTTAGAGGAGGTTGCGGAATTTTTGCATTCTTCACATCATCCCACCTGTTGTTGACACCTTTCGTTTCCTACTGGAAAACACGTCCTCAAGGATGGTAGTGACATCCCAGTAGAAGACCCCTCTCCTAGTGGAAAACAAGTCAAGGATGGTTGTAGTGAAGAATGCAATGTGCAATGTGGCCTTAATCGCGTCCCACTCCCATGTTTCTACGAATTTCCAGACGTACAGGCCAGCAAGAACCACGAAGAGAGATCCGATAACCAATCGCCATGCTTTGAAGAAGATGGACGACTTAGTTGTTCGCGGAAGCAAGCGACCGTCTTCGGTTAAGAGTGCTCCGCATTCGTAGATTAGAGGTGGCGGTGACGTGGTGAGGTAAGATACAAGAGTGGTGACGTGGTGAGGTGGAAGCGTGGCACAAGAGAATGACGTGGTGAGGTAGGTAAGGTAACAAGGGGAAACTCAGCACTAGGAACTAAGGCTTAGGTAGGTAAGGTTTTCTACGAGGGAGCTACTGAACATGAAGAACATGGAAAATAACATAGAGCGACGTGGAGGACGGGATGGTGGGCGGGCGACATCAAGAACTATATGATCATTATTTACAGAAAAATGCTCCCTGACTCTGAAAAATATGTCTTCATGGGCGTTCTCACGATTCACGTTCAACTTCATCTTCTTCAACTACTTATGTCCTACAACATTGAACCAAACGTCGATGGATGTAGTGAATGATCCAACAAATAAATGGTCGCCTTAAAAGAAGTAAGACATCGCGTGTTGTTTCCGATTCTGCGCGTCGCTTCCAAGGCTGTTCATCATCTGGAGATGCAGCCTTCTTAGATTGAGCCTTCTTACGACCCTCAATATCCTCGCCTCCAACCAAAGGCTCCTCCACATCGGCTGGGGTGTTATTAGAGATAGAATTGAACTAATAGCACTAAGTAATTTAAGTGGTGGAATTGAACTAGTATTTAAGTGGTGGAATTGAACTAATAGCACTAATAGCAACAGTGGAACAAATCAGAGCTAGTAGTAAAAGATCGACTGCTACTCCTCCTCCTCTAGGTTTCTAACCTAGACCACGAGGTAAAATTAGTACCCCGGAAGCATGCAAATTCGGTCTATCATCCATTTCATGCTACTCTCAAACAAAGGAACGAGTCCTGGTAGAAATGATCAGAATCTTATTACTTCAATAGACAACCGTCGAAGAAGAGAGCTCATTGATTGATTGATGTGGATGTGCCCACTCACGGGGTAAAGCATCTTTAATTAGGGGTGCAAATTTATTTCTTAGTTGTTCTTCTACCCATAATGATCTCCTGCTCCCCACCATATGAAACGGCTCCATCCTTATTTCCTCCTCGATTTTCGGCGGCTTGGCGCAAAATAGCCGCATAAGTGATCAAGTTACCTAGAAAGGCAGCGAACAAAAGACCGCAACACCATTCTGCAAGATTGTGCAAATTAGAAGAATCTTCTGGAGCAAGCATCAGGAGGATGAGATATATTTATAGAACCAAGGAAAAACGAGCATTAGGATGGTCTTGCTCCTGATGCTTCTTTTCATAGCACTAGAAACGAAGCCACAAGACCAAGATTTTAGTTCTTGGGAAACAAACACCATCAAAATATGAAAAATACTAGACTTCTTAGGAACAACAAGAAATCTAAAAGATTATACTAGTAAGTACTACTACATTTCTTGCATTTATTGTTGTCTACCTGTGCCGTCACTCGAAGAAGAAGAAGAAGATGCCTTTGATCTTGAACTAAGCGCACTTATGATCTATCAACTTCGCCATAAGAGAAGCATAAAGAGCCGCAAACTGATTCGGGTTCTCGAATTCTCGCATACGGAGAGCGAAATTCACAGTGGGAGCGAGAAGATTGAGAGCAGCGAAGACTTCAAAGACCACTAGGACAACTTTTTGGCCCGAACCCAACTTCGTCTGCGTATACTCTGTAACGTGTTCTTGTGGTAGTTCGTCGTGCGCAGCATCGTCAATAGCAATATTGGCAGATGTCTGCGCGAAGAAGACGTCTTCGTTCAGCATCGCATCATCCTCATCATTCTTCGCCAGCATAGCGGTTTACATTAGACGAGGTATTTTGGATGAGAGGAACGGTACTAGTTCTTGTGCTGTCGAATGAAGAAGTATCATTTTACCATCAGCAGCTGTATCGTCATCAAAAATCAAGAACAACAAGCATGAGCAGAGCCTTAATTGGATATCGTCAGCAAAGAAGTCTTGCTCTCCCTCGGTGACTGGAACTCGAGTAGGGCAACAGGAGCAGCAATGCAAAACAGATGCTCGGAAGTGGGGTACGTAGCATAACGCCAGCGCGCCACTGAATGCATTCAGCCAAGGTACGACGAAAGCCAAGAAATTCGGTACCTCCTGCATAGTTGGGAAAGCATGGCCTTGGAGGTTATCTGCGTCATATTAGAAGAACATCATTGTAGGTCACTTCCTATATTAGAACATGATCATAGGTCGCCTATAGCTATAGCACACATATTTTTCTATGCCTCGGTCATATCACGACCTCTTCATGATCATGGTTTATGATAGGTGTGGTCCCTTTTGCCTTCTCGTGTGGACATTTATTGCATCACAGCAACAACTGTTCTTGTATGCTCGATTGGCATACGAGAAGATAAGTTGTAAGACTAAAAAGTCTATCAGAGGTCGTTAGGTTAGGTTCAGTTATACCTCGTCTATTCTATTCTGTGCCTGATCCCTAAAAGGCATGTAGCACCTAGTCGCAGTACCGACGTATTCCTTGATCTATATTTTTACTTAGTCTAGTACTCAACTAATCTCACTTAGTCTAGTACTCAATTATTCTCACTTAGTCTAGTACTCAAACAATGATTCTAATTATTGATGTAGTATTTTTACTTTATTTGCCATAAATTCTCACTTGTTGTTTCACTTTTGCGTGTCCGTAGGCCATCTCCCATATCTCTCCGCCAAACTTATGTGCATAAAGGAACCGCACAAACACCACGACCAGAATCACGATACAGCCGAACACGTACAGAAAGATTAGAGGAGCTCACATCATGACGACGATGATGATGATGATGATGACGATGATGATGATGATGATGATGCTAGATTGTAGGTTGTTGGAATTGATAAGTGAACAGGCCAACGCCTAAACCACTAAGCCAACTGCAGGCTAAAACCTCTGCACGAAATATCTTTTCTCTAGCTCTCGATGTCGATAGGCTAAGCAGGAAATAAGGAAAAATGCAAACGGCCTGACGAGTGTGAGGTTTGAGAATGACTTCTCTATCAATCCACAATCGCCTGTAGACATTATGATTATCTGTTTTGAGCCATAAAAAGAGACCACTTCGGTAGAGTAGAGCGATCGCATATTTCCTAGGTGAGAGCGGAAGAGCGTCGGCAATGTTCTTTTGCCGAGGATCTTTGAGTATCGCAATCCACTTGAACGCGAAGCCACAGCATGCGAATTGCAACACGGAGAGTTAGACCTACCTTGCAGAAGTCGATCCATCTTGGTGAGCATCTCCGTTGTACTCCTGGTGTTGTTCTCCTCCAGAACGGGAAGACAGAGATGCCCCTGCTGTTCCCCATCAGAAAGAACTGGAACACCAGGATGCTAAGGTGGAACAAGATGGATTTCCTCAAGCCTTAAGAGAAGGTCAGGTACCATTCGAACGCAGTGTATGCATGGTCTGGTATTTTGCCATCGTGTTTCTCGTAAGTCTCGCTGAGACTGACATTAGAAGATCGTCATCTTCTGCCCTAAAACGTGTACGAATTGAGATTGACTGTATTCTACGAATCCACATCTGCTCCTCTAAAACTAAATCCATCTTCTTCAACAACAACAATCTTTTTTACCCACTGTCAAAACGGAGGAAGTCTTACCAGGATTGTACATTGCGTAATTACGGAAGATGGATTTGTCATTGTCTTTTACAAAGCACAGGCCATTAGTAATATACGACAAGCTACTAAGAACTACTACACGACCCCGACTCAAGTCACGTACTAAGTGAATGTTTGCGGACTTGTAGACAAGTAGGCAACAAAAACATTGTCTTTTACTACTACAGGAAGGCTACTAAGTAAAAAGAACTACTATTTATTAGTACCATACGACAAACTACTATTTACTTAATTGCCAAGTGAGTGTGAGTTGTCGTTTTGTCTTAACTATTGAGCCGAACAGCAAAAAGCCTAGGCCCATCAGCCCGTGTATGATCCCGAATGCGACAATCGAAAACGTAACCGACTCCGCCATCTTGTTGTGTCTTTAGTTAAACCAACTGCAAACGAAATATGAGAGGAGTCGCCATGCACCAACGTACAAACGAAATAAGAGAGGAGAGAAGATCTCTGTTGTTCCTGCCGCGTGGTGTATTAACAGAAATTTAAGCTAGCTTAAATTCGTCCATAAAATTCAATTTGTTGTAGTTGTACCTATTTTTCAGGAGTAAATGTAGTAGAGGGAGTCTAGTATGCTGGACGTTAATATCTTTGTTTTGTAGAACAGGGAAGTAGTATGGACGTTATCTTCTTTGTTCGCCGTTACTTATCTTAGTGTACAGAAGTGCCTTCTTTGCACCAAATTCTCTTCCTAGATCTACGTCGAAACTATTTCTGATCAAGTTTTTGTTGATAGAGATCAGAAAATCGTATGAAAATCGAAATCCTCTTCTTCTATCCTTCTATCAGGAGTGGGAAAACAAGCGATTCTATCTTATTCCTGGAGAGGAACAGCAGAGATGAGAGGTTGCATGCGAGAGAAAAACTCCTGTCGATGAGTAGAGTGAAAGTGATTATCTGGGTGACTCACTGAGTCGGATTTCTATCTTGGTGTACAACTCGAGGGTCCTCACATCACGACGCGTCCGAAATCTTCAACAGATTAGAATCTCAACAGACAGCAGAAGTTGTACTGACTCTGCCATGATCTCGACGAATCATATACTGTGTCTCACACTCTCACACCCAACAGAAAGCTGATCGCTGCAACTCTCTCAACAGAAAGCTGATCACAGCAGACATCCTAGTCACGAAATTCACTGCCGAACCATCATCTCAACAGAACGATCAACGTGAAACAGACCTATCACATCACAACAGAACGAGCAACGCGTCTATCCTCAATCGCACTTACTGTAAGCGAGAGAGAAGAGCCGGGAAATACAGGCAAAAATGATAGCAAAGTTACTTCTTTCTAGGATGAGCACTTTGTGGTCCTATCACCTGGTACAGCTGAATCGCTGCACAGTAGCACCTAACTTAAGATTACTCAGATGCTAATCTAGCCGTAACGACTGAGGAGAGATGCGTTTCTCCTTCTGTTGGCTCCTCAATTCGTACTTAGACAGTACAGAGATTGGCTTTTTCCTTTTGTTCCTGCTGTAGTGAACACATCAGTATCTGTCACATCAGCTTGATGCCTCAACACTGCATCTTCTACCTTTCGCGTCGTTTACTGACTTTATCATGTGTGGACTTATGCACGTGTTCTTCCTACCTTGCGTTGTAGAGGCTGGTAATTCATAGTTTGATCTCAATGTCTCTTCTATTTCACAAACTCATATGAGTCCTTTCTCCGAGCAGCTGCGTACTATGGGTTGTGGATTTTTGACGTGACGACCTTGATGAGATGCTGCGATACCCACAGGCATCACGCTTCCTCTTGAAGTGTCTTCGGCTCAGCCAGACGTTGCAGCTTTCTTCTTATTTCTTCGCTTTTGCAGTTTTGCGACTTCTGCTTTCTTCTTGTTCTCGGTCTTTTCGATACGCTGGTAGAGTCTTTGATGTTTCTTAGGCATCATGGCCTTCCTCCTTTCAAGCTCCTCAGCTGCTACCTTCTCGGCTTTGGACAGAGGCTTCTTCTTTTCCTCGCTCTCTGCGGCGTCCATATCGTCGTCGGAGGCACTAGCCTCTGCTTCCCCACTAGTGGTCCTTGCTTCGAGACCACAACTCTTTCCACTAGCATTCTTTTCTTGTTCCTTCGTTGCAGTCTGATCTACTGCAGGTGAACCTTCCTCGCCGTCGTCATCTTCGGCCTCGTCATCTTCGGCCTCGTCATCCTCGGCAGCATTGCCAAAGCCAAAGTCTGATGCCCACACTCCCTTAGCTTCTGCCGCAACCTCTGCCAAGAAGGTAGTTTCAGCTGCCTCGTCATCCACGGGTCCTTTTGCGGCTGCTGCTCCTTGATTCGCTCCACTTGAGGAGGATGAACCAGCACCTTCGTCCCTGAGTTTATCCAACATCTCTCGTCGCTCTGGCGTGTAGCCCTCAGCACCGTCATCGACAAACGGACTCAAGTGGGGTGGGCAAGTTCTATCCGGCAGGTAGGGATCAATCGGCAAGCGGAGATTTTCGTTGAAAGAATCTAGGACCCATTGTGGCTGGACGTACTCGCGACCCTCAACCATCTGGAACTGGGAAGAAGGCCGGTCGATAATCTGATGGGTAATGCTCCTGTCCGTCTCCTTGAAGGGGGAGCCGGGAAGCGAGGCCCAACCAACCTGTCGTAAGATAGAAAGAAATTTGAATTTCTTGGATAGGAAGATATGAATGAATGAATGAATGAATGAATGAATGAATGAATGTACTCACTCCAGGGGTTAAAAAAGATTGGATATGAAGATGATGATTATGATTTCTTAGTATTTCGCAAGTAGGATTCACCTGAACATAAAAATCCTCCACAAGTAGCGGTCATGAGGTCATACCTGTGCTCCTCCACACTTGAGAACAAAGTAGATCGAGTGAAAAGGCACTTCCCTCTGGATGAAGACCTTTAGCCCACTGAAAATTCCAGACTGTCCTGCATTGGCGTTCTTCTGGGCCTGCAATTGCTGGACTTCTTCTGACACTGCCGCAAAGTCCTCAATGCATGCAGCTTCGACCTCCTCTTTTTCCTCTCCTCTGCGAACGGCAGCTTCTGAGGAGGCCTGTTGTGCAATTGTTCAAGAGTTAAATGCCTCTTTATGTGGCTTCAAAGATGAAGCGATTCCAGATCGATATAGGGTGAAAAGTTCTTATCTTTTAAAGAGTGAAGATCCACAACGGCTCTAGATCTTGCACAAGTATCAATAGGTATAACCAATCAACGACTTTATCTTCTATACTTGTAGCATGTCTATTATCAGATATTATACCTGTTTCTCCACAGTGTTCGACACGTAAAATTTGGCCATTTCTGCTGCGTTTTTCTTGTAGTTGAATTTCGGTGGATATTCAAAATGCTCTTCGGCATACAGCTTAAAGTTGATGAACTTCAACATGGTTCGGTAGAACTCGTTGAATGTGGACATTACCTGTATGGTATCAGTTTTGGGAAACTCCTCGACTACCAGCGGGACGAATCAGGTTGTAGATGAGAAAGAATGAATTTCGAATTTCAATTTACTTGATCATGTGAGATTGACTCCTTCACTAGAGTCTGAGTTATGATGGGGTGGATAAGGATTTGAAGTTGATAAAACTTAAACTTTTTTATCTCTAATCAGTTGTGAGACGAATTTCAATTTACTTGATGTCCTGCACTAGAGTCTTACTCGATTGAGTCCTTCACTAGAATCTTAGTCGAATTTCAATTTACTTGATGTGAGATGGACCACTAGAGTCTTACCCGAAAATCGACCTCCACCGGCAATTCTTGCGCAAATTTGTGCGGCACCAACCACGTGACCGTTTCTCCTCCAATCAAGGCTTGAAAATAGTAGCCCTTGATACTGGCGAAGACCTTCTTGAGTGCCTTCGTTTGGATAATGTAGAGGAAAAACTCGTGAATCAAGCGTGCGGATTCCTGGATCACATCGGAGCGAATTTCCCGTTTCTGATCAGTAGGCAAAGCGTCGTACAGAGCGACCATGGAAAGAGCATCGTCCAAATCACGGATAGCATCGACGAAGGTTGGATAGCGCTCGCGGACCTGTAGTGGGGTAAAAAAGTGGTGATAATTCATAGTGGTGAATATTGACATAGTCCTGGCGTGAATATAGTGGAATTGGGAACGAAATAGGATAACATGCAGCTTTGAGACAAATAGGAATGGATCATGATTCTACCTAATTGTACCAAGTGATGCAACGTGTAATCCTAATCTGGCATAAATCTAAATTCTTATATTAATTCACTCCATAGTACTCATAGAAGTTGTACCAAATGATGCAGGGTGTAGTCGGGTTTCAAGTCTTCTAGTCTCCTCGCCGAGTTCTTGTCGCCACGACCCAAGCATTTTTTGTACTTTTTCATATACACCTTCAACTCCGCAAACTTGCACAACAAAGGTTCATGCTGCAAAAACTTGATGTCCTTGACATGATAGTAGGTCTTGTCATTGCCTGCCGGCTTCCGCTTCGGATCACGCGGATAAATGCCCTTGAGGATACACAATCTGCGGAAGTCGACAAGGGACAACTGCAGTTTTTTGAGACTTTGAGCACGAGTCAAGTACTGCGCAGCGACGCCTTTGGACCCAGCTTTGAGACCGTGGATCTTGTCCTTACGCGGACCCTTATTGCCACGCTTCTTGGTGCCGCGGTCGTGCTTCGACCCATGCTTACGAAACTTACCCATTTTTGATGTAAGTGGAAGAAGGGTCTAGCGCTTAAGCTGATTATAGACGATTGAAATCAATAAAAGGATAATAAAAAAGTAGAAATAATGAAAATTCAGTTTGAGTTTATGCAAATAATCCAGAAAATGTCTAGCAAGTGAATTCTATATAACTCTTGGGACACCGCAATTCTTGCCCCTTCTTGCCACCCCTGTATGATTGTTGTAAAATGAAAACCCAATCTTGTCCAGTGGCCACATGAGAATCTATCTTCGTTCCGAGGGCACCGTCTCTAACGGATAAGGGCGATTTCCTTAACAGCAGTAATACGTTGATAGTACAGACAAAGGCAACAGCGATAATACGCGATTTGCTCCTAAAAAGAAGAAAGATCTTGATTATCTCACCAGCCCAATATACATTCCACCGATACTCATGATCGTTCTTCTATCACATCCTCTTACTTATTCTCTTTCCACAAAGAAACTCAGATCGATCTTGTTCTTGTAAAAATGTTCTGGTAATCCGTCTGGTATCGATCTTATTCTTGGATCCTGGAGAAATAGATCGTCTTTTTTCTGTGACCAACCTCATCTTGGGATCGTAAAAGCTATAAGGTCTTTCGACAGATCCACTTCTGGGTCGATCCCATGAACGATTAGGATCCTGTGAGATATGATCCTATGAGAGATCAAATACAACCATTGACATGGGTAGCAGGAGTAGAGGGAGCGGGACTGTTAGGAGTAGAAGGAGCGGAAGTATCTATTAGGAGGAGAAGGAAACACATCGTCAATCCTCGTCCTTCTGCTGGCCTCACCCGATTTGTACAACTATTAGATTGAAAAGTAAATCCATGCATGTTTGAGTATTGTGTCGTCCATACATTGCATTTTTGCTTGCATGTGCGAGGGCTAAAGTTGTAGTGGGTTGAAGTAATACGGTGCCACCCGGTTGTTACAGGGTGGCACCTCCTTCTTGACGAGGTAGAAGACATCAAAGTATGCGAGAGCGAGAACAAGTTGTAACAACGAGATTACAATTATACGACTGGAAAGATACAACTCCAGCATGACAGGTTGTAGTTGTCCACAAACGAGGCACAAGATTAATCTTCCAGTCGCATCTTCTTGCGCTTTTTCTCTTCTTCCTTCCCTTGTTTGACGTATTTTGCTTTGCGGTTTTCCTTTGTGTGAGCGTCTCGCAAGGCTTGGATCTTTTCTTCCTTCCGCACCTTTTCCAATGTTTTCGCCTTCCTTCTTTCCGTATTTTTTCGCAGCTTGTCCACCTTCACCGTCTGCAGCCTCTGCAAAGCACTGTCCACTTGGTGCTCCCGGTCCGTCTTGAGGAGAGAAGTGACGGCTCGGTTGATCATCTTGCTCTCCTCAGTAGCCCACTCGTCTGCCTTCTTCCTAGTGCGCATCTCCAACTTAGGTACTGTCTTGAATGGCAAGTTGCTCTCAACGCTCTTCGGGAGCTGCAACTTCGCGAACTTTCGGCGTTCTCGGATCAACTGTTTGCCATAGTTGGAGTCTTCGGCACGCTTTAAGGCGCCCTTGGCGTTGTTGGGAGCTGCGGCGGGCAAGGATTGCTCGAAACGCAGCTCGCCAATGGTCTTCATACGACGCCACTCCGAAATATCCAACATAGGATTGTAAAATTGCTTCGGCTCGACCTGTGGTGGAGACGAGTGTTTGACTATCATTTCCATTAGCTAGTGACATTGTCGGAGTTCTTCATAACCCAGGAACGCAAATAACCATCTGTAAAAAATAAATCTGTTGAGTAACAGAGTAGTAAGGTCATTTTTACCTGAACCCATGACTTGAGCAGGACGAGATCGGACATGAGAATTCTGTCCTCAAATGTCGCGCGAAAATGACCTTCTGTGCCTTCGGCTTTCTTGATCTCACCACGAATCCCTGATACCGTCTGCAGCTTGGCGTGCAAAGCCTTGTTGCACTCCAGATCGGAGTTAAACATGCCCTTGACAAACGCCGTGTGCTTGAAGATTTTGTAGGGTTCACCGGTTAATTTGAGTTTTTTGACCACATTGAAGCTCTGGTTGGATTCAAGGACATGGCCCGTTGCTGACACGCGGTAGTTGGCCACGTTCTTCAGGCTTTTCACGAACACCGCACCAGTCTTTGGAGGCACCAGTGGTCCAAAGAAGGTCATGTGGCAGTGCATGTGCTCTGGCGTGTACTTCAAGAAGCGCATGCGTTTTTCGTTTCGGTCCTCTAAGGAGAACATTGGTAAGGTCTGAAACCTGCGCCATCCGATGGAAGCTAGAAGAACGTCGTTGCTTTTGAGAACGCGAGGAGCCCAACGATGGTTTTTTATGCGCAGTTGCATCACTCCCATCTTCAATTCTCCAGGAAGTAAGCCGCCAACGACCAAGGGCCTGGCCAAATTTAACCCGTCCACACTAATCTTCGGCACGTTTTCGATGACAATTCGCACGTAAGCGCCAATGGGTAGAGCATCTGCGTGCTCGAGCATGTCCTCCACGTTCAATTTTTTGACCACGTTTCGTCGGCCAAACTCGTCAGTGTCGTCTTGCTGGTTCTTGTCCTTTTCCTCCTGCTTCGTGCGCTGTTCCATGACCAAGGCCTTTTTTTCTCGTAATTCATCCGGCGAAAGCTCTGCGTCATCGGTGTTCAATAGTCGCTGTTGTTCTGGATCCAAGTCATCATTGCCCATGATGTTGCCATCTTCATCCTCAACATCACCTCCTCCTTCACGACCAGACGCATTCCAGTCGCCTGTCACGAATCTAGTCTTTTTCAGCTCTGCTCGTGCCTCTTCATCCCATAGGAAACGACTTTCGTTGGGCAAGCAGCGCAGCCTCCAAGATTCAGGACGGTTGTCTTCCGCGGGAGTGTTCATCTCATCGTCTAGCAGGGCATCGCCGTCGTCACCTTCAGAATCTGAAGCGTCTCCGAACAATTGCAGTTTCTTAGGACCGTCGCTGTTACCATCTTGAAAGTCAACCGTTCTCACGATTGACGAGGAAGACGAAGAACCGCCGACTTGGAGTTGACCTTTTCCTGTAGAAGATTTCTTCTTGCCTAGATTATTGCCTAGAAGACCTGACGCACGCCGATTCCCATAGATGAGGTCCTCGAGAGGCACGTCTTTAGCAAAACGCGCCTTCGCATCTGCAAAGAATTGTCGCTTGTGTGCCAACTTTTGCTCATCATCCTCGGGTTCATCACTTGCTGAGTCACCATCTTCTTCGTCATCTGACCCACGACCATTGTTCGTAGCAGCTTTTCCATCTTCTTCTTCTTCATCGTCGTCAGATTCACCTGCACCAGTCGCATTTTTCGTCTCGTCTTCTTCCTCTGATCCACTGTGGAGATCTCCACCTTCTTCATCGCTAGAAGCACATTCTCCGTCTTCGTCGCTTCCAGCTTCATTTCCTTCAGAATGAGTTGTCGTTTTAGGCGCCATCCGTCTATCCCCTGACAGGACTGCGCTGCTACGACCCGTCAGCCTCAGCTTGCCCGCAGCAGAAACGTCATTCAGAGCACCAACTTTGCCTTGCAGCTCACGGACAAGCGATACAGCTTCAGGAAGTTCTGCGTTTTCATCTTCATCTTCGCGTTTGGTGAATCCGACTTGGTGCTTTGGCAAATTAATGTAAACTGCGTCGCGATCCATCAAAACATTGCCGATATCGCATCCAGGAGCGTAAATCTGTTGAATGATGATAGGGAATTTTAGATTGTTGGATGATGACCTTGACAGGGAGGGGTTTACAGTTCTAGCATTTGCGGACGAGGAGGGACAAAATCAAAAACGAATCAATGAACGGATATGGAACTACAATATGAAGAACTGAAATCGTCCTACTCTATGAACTAGCGTGCTAGTCGTACGGACGAAACAAATTTCAGTTCTTCTACGTCACAAGTAGTACCGCTTTATGTTTCTCCTGCAGCGTCCGCAAGTTGTTCACTTTCTTCTTCTTGATCTTGTTCTTTTCTGCGAACTCGATCGCATTCGGCTTGCCTTCTGCCAATTCTGTCGCTAGAGGCGAAGGACAGGGATCCGTGTACTGTTCTATTGATGAGATAGGGAAATCGCCAACTCCGCAAATGTGCACAAATTGGCCTTGACGCAGTCGTGCTCCATAGGTGTAACCATAGAGATGCAACCGCCGGAAGTAGTTCGACTCGTCTGCTGAAGAAGTGTTGAGATCGATTTCTTCTATTTTCTGGTCATCACCATTGTTCTCTAGTGCTTTTGCTTTGCCAGCAGCAGCAAGGGCTGTAAGAGTTGTTGCACTTCTATCGTCATTGTCCTTCTTTTTCTTCCCTGCTGGATCAGTCTGATCTTCCCACCGCAGAGCAAGCAAATACGGGTGCCCCTGTCGCCACTGCACCAATGGTACTTTTTGCACTGCCACAAAGCGTGCTAGGTTCGTCACCTCCGTCTTCGCATAACGTCCATATTGCAGGCCAGAGAAGTAGAACAATTTCGCGCCATCGTAGATCTCTGCCCAAAACCGCGCTTTGAACTCCTTCTTCTTCTTCCTTATCGTCTTCGTCTCCGGAAACTTGTCCAAGTGCGTTAAAACTCCCATCACCTTCGGAAACCCGTGGTTCTGGAGTAAATTGATCCACTCGAAGGTTTCCATCTCGAACCCAACTGAAGCATCAATCATGCACAAAGCCAGATCTGCGATTTTGGCCAAGTCTATTTGTGCCGCCAAGTCTCCACTAGGAGCCTCGTAGAGCGTGATGCGACGGTGCTTGCTGGTGACCAGAGTGACGGGGCCCACGACATCGGAAATATTCTGCTTGGTATAGTGCTTCACCAACGACCGGATCAAAGTGGTCTTACCACTGCCGCGAGGACCTTAGGATGTTGTTTGATTTGGATAATGTAAGTGAATTGGATTCTCTTTGCTGTAAGCAGAAACCTTGGAAGGTTTAAATCTACTTTGAGGAGAATTGATCTTCATCTATCATGCAAGCTTAATTGGCACAAAGATTTAAGTCACAAGTTCAAGTACCTTGCACAACGACCACATAGGGTGGTGCGATGTCTGGCGTCTTATCGAGCTTAGGGGCATGAGTTTTTCTCGTATTCTGGTCTGCTGATTGTTGCACTTTCTTGCGCACTGAGTTCTTACCGCCAGAATAAGTGAAGGCTTTGCGGTTGTGTCGTTCTTTTCCTTCCGCTTTCTCCTTCTTCTTTACCTTCCTGCCGCTAGTCTTAGCCTGGCGAGGCTTATTCGCTCCTGCGGCGGCGGCGTCCATTTTTTCTTACTAGGAAGGCTTGTCTCTTCTTCCACTACAGACTACAATGAGGAAGATGTAGATGTCAATGTGCTGTCATGCATTTTGGCAACCAAGTCACGAATCAACATCAACGACGTGATTTCAGCCGCCTAAAAAACTAATGAAACAAGAACTAACTACTTTAACCTATTTATATTGAAGGGTCTATGTCGTGAGAGACCTGCGCAAAAAGTAAGCAAGAAAAGAATGCAATTGCAGTCTCTCGTTCCAGAGCTCTTCGATCTGCTGTCCTTCTTGATCTTTCCTATGTGTCAGTTTGAGATCCTTTGTTCATGGTGGATAGCAGATCAGAATCAGAATCAGAGACCTTCAAGATGATCCAAAAATAGGACTAGGAAACCAGAGGTATGATCTTCTGACTCTCTAAGCACAGGAGGAGAGAAATTGATCCTTGCATAGACCTCATGCAGCTAGCAGTGCGTAGTAGCCTGACGAGGGCCTTCATCTTGATTCTTGTTTCATATCTTATCTTACTATGGACTGTAAATGGCCCACGAGTTTTCGATTTCATTTCCTATCCAACTTGCTTCGCCTCATCGGTGAAACAGATAATATTATCAGCGTATGTTCTAGTACAATTCAATCGACTGCTTAATGTCATTAACGACTGCTCTCACCTTGTAGTTCACCACTAAAGCCTGGTACTATGTATCTATAGGTTAGGTGTGGGTCCACTAGGTAAACCAGCAGACTTCAGTGGCTACTGAAGAGCCCTCCAATCCCATTGTTATAATAGCTAGCCACTCGTAGCCACAGGAGTGGGTTTTCTGTTCATTTAACGCCTTCATATTCAGTCCTACTTCTATGTATAATCTTCCTCTTTGCTGCTATCTACATCCTGCTGTCAAAAAAAAGTACGAAATTGAAGCTGAAAAAACAAGAGACTCTTCAAACATGTCAATACAGGTAGTCTTGCGCACCTCTAGAAACATCAACAGGATCAAGAACAATTCAAACTTGGAACTCCACTCAAAATCTAACCGTAGTCTGATGCGCTCTCTAAGTAACTGTAAAAACTGTTCAACTTCAAGCGAAAATAAATCAATATCTTTGGAAGTGGGACAAATCTGATCAAACACAGCAAGCATACACATATCATAGTGGTCAAATATCTTATCCTTTGGTACTATTCAAAGAAAAATTACTTGAACTGCCTACTCTTGAAACCACCTGAACCTACGAAGGTAAGCCCACAAACCTAAACTGAATTCACTACTACTTCTTTCGATTTTCACGATGAAAGAAAGTAAGACATAAAGAAAACCTCGAACTACAACAACACGATCTAAAGCTTTACTTCGACTTCTCCAACATATTCATGGTCCTATCAGATTCACATTCCCACTCCTGACTACAATTGCTAATACCAACATAAGGATAATTCGTTCAACGATAATAAGTAAAACACCACTCCTCGTCTTCTAGAAGAAAACCCAAAGGGAAACCCCCTTATTTCAATTTCTTTCCTTAGATTTGATAGATAAACTGCTGTTGTTTCCCTTTCAGGGAAACGATCAGGGATTCCCCGCTCTGCACCACTGCTCCTATGCTACTATCGGAACAGCATGGCAAAGGACCGAAGCTCGATGTGATCCCTCCTGCGACATTGTTAGAAGATGAGGAAGGATTTTGGGTTTGGGGTTGCATTTATAGATCATCAACAGACTACATCAATTACTAGAAATAGATCATGGGGTCTTAACCTTCGTTCCGCTCACCCTTGTAGCTGCTCCTTTACTCCGAGACGAAGCTGCCAGGACTTTTTCGTACACTGGCGTGACCGATTTCTTTGCTGCACTTAGTGTAGTGTAACTTGTGGTTGGCCGTCGTCCCTGCGCTGCTGTCGGGTTCGGCTGAATCTTGCTCTTGTTGTAAGTCAGTACTGAGTGGTGCACTGACCGGCTATGCGGATGGATCATCAATTGCGCGTTCTTACTTCCAGCCGATAGCTGCGCTAAATACGCTGAGCCGTCCGCTGCCGCATGCGACGCGCCTGCAGCGGTGCGACTACGTGGCGCGAATGCGAAACTATTCTTCGTCTTCGACGCTTGTCCTGGCTCACCACCTTGACTGGAAGACGCCTTCTTAGCATTCTCTTCAACATAAAAACTAGTACTGAGCCCGCCTTCTTGTTCGTTACAACTCGTTGTACCTTCTCCTCCCTCAAGAACACCTGAGTCATTACTACCAAGAACAACAGGCCCATTGTAGTTCAGCAAGCTTTTGTCTAGGAATTTCACTTCCGCTAGTAGCGAAATGCTTGGTAGGCGCTGTCCTGAGTGCGTCTCGTACGCGATTCGTCGTCCATCAAAGCCGACTGTCATCAGAAAATTGCCGCAACTGGTATTAGAAATATGGAGGAAATGTCCAAATAAAGAAGATGTCACCAAGGAATGTCCAACCTGGTCAACGACGCCTTGAAAGCTGATTCAGTTTAATCGAAGGGTAATCTAAGTGTAAATATAAGGGAGTTTAGTTGTCCGTCGTGGTCCCTAAGTGTAAATGATAACCTTCGTTCGTTCCTGCAGTTTCAGTTATTAATGAAAGCTGTATTAATGAGGTAAAATGTTGATCCTTGATCTCCACCTTCTTAATACTAAATCCGCACCGCTGTACACCTGGCGCTACGTGGCCTCGCAAATGCAGTACTCCTTTCGGACCAGGTAAGAGAGACAAGTCACTGTTGTTCGCCAGTATGCCACTCAATATCTGATCTCGTTGAGCCGCGAAAGACGAAGATGGAATGAAAGTGGTTGGGTTTCTGAGTTTGTGGGATTATCTTGGCGAGATGGAGTTAGCATAGTCAGAGGGTAGTAAGAAGACTTCGGAAGATTTTTGATCATAGGCAAAGCACTTTTAAGTGTGACGTATACGACGTTGAGAAATGCCAGTGATGTTATTGCACCCAGGGTGGTGTCTGGAAACCTTCAGTTCCTTCTCTGTTGTACTTATCTGCTCTGAGTCTCTCAACTTTGTTCCATACAAGGTTCTCCGCTTCGTTCTGGGCGCCCATCCACTATGCCGCCTGCTGCCCTAACACTAGCGTGACTGTTCATCTTCGTGGTGGTGTGGACGCTTGTCCAGCTGTCGTTCGTCAAGGTGAGGAGATAGACAAGCCCCTCTGCTGATCCACAGGCTACCTGATACGTTTTCTGCGCGTTGTTGAAAGGTGAGAAGGCACACGACGTCAGTTGATCCGTTCCACTACTACCCAGAGCTCGCTGAAAGATGGGTCGGCTGAGGTTGGGAAACGCAAAAATGAATAGTTTGCTATCGGCGCACCCTGCTCCCAAGTACTCTGGTGGCCCGTAGGCTGGGGTTCCTTCGGGTTGAAGAACTTAGAGTTCTAAGGAGGTTTCTTGTTGGGAATAGGCACTTACGTGATTCTGATTGATGCTTGGAGATATAATTCTTCTTCTTGTTTGACAGAGAAAATAGTGTTAGTTAAAGCGCGAACAAAAAAACCGACTCTTGCTGAAGAATCTCAATTTGCCAACAGTCATCATGCCACACCCTGCAAATTTGAAGACCTCAACTCTGAAACACAAACATTCATGACCTCAACATAATAGGTGCTACACACGCTGTGTACTGCATGCCCACCTGGAACTTGAATCGGTGTTCTATCGCTAAAATGCACCCACCCGTCTACACTTCCGATAGCGTAGGAAGTTTTTACTTGCTGTGGCGAATTTCGCTCAAACACCGACGTTGGAGGGACGAGGCAGATACCTGATCGTCGTAAAAGTGCGGTAGTCGTAGTCGGGTATGTAGCTAAATTGAAAATCTAATCTAAATCTTTAGAGAAGTAGTTGTAGTTCTACTATTTAATGGATGAAGTAACCACCTAGCTTTGATTTTACAGAAAATCGTTTCACCTGTGGCTTCTGCTCGCGGCTGTGCCATGGCGACTCGAGCATCGTTACCAGACACCATAAAGACGTGGCTTTTTGACGCCACAATGTAATCATAGTCGACCGCCGCTTTCTTCTTTTTCATGACATGAGTCGCCGTAATACACTTTTTATCGTTAAGTGTGCTCTGCAAGGTGGCTGCGTCTGTTGGTGGGTATTCTTGGCAAACACTTCTCTAAGGAAAGACGCTAATCTCTAAGGAAAGACGACGAAACCGAAAGTAGTACTACAACCTCTAGGAACAGAATCAATACCTGCTTTCCGAAGAAGTGGTACTACATCCAAGAACCCGAAGGAGTACGATAACCTCCAAGAACAGAATCAATACCTTTCCGAAGAAGTGGTACTACCTCCAAGAACCCGAAGTAGTACTAGAACCTCCAAGAACAGAATCAATACCTTTCCAAAGAAGTAGTACTACATCCAAGAACCCGAAGTAGTACTAGTACTACCTCCAAGAAATCTAATGAATCACTACCCTTCCGAAATTGCAAAGCCTTTCTCTCCATGCTTTGTAAGACCCGCTTCCTCGGTGACCTGTCTTTCGCAATCATGACCTTGGCTGCTGAAATTTCGAAGGCATTCGTTTCCACTGCACGACCTTGCAACATCACAGATGGGTTCCCTACTGGCCATTAGGGCAGGATGTTGATGTTGTTCTATTCGACATTGTGTCCTGCGTTACGGCTACAGAATGACGATAGAGGTTGCACTTACAGGAGTCAATAGTTACTCTCCATTTTTACAACTATTATCGGCAAGGATATCGTCAAGTAGAAAGATGCGACCCTAGGGCCTAGACAATCGCAGTTGTAAGCTGATCTAAAGCTCAGGAGAAAAAAAAACAACCCTTTCTTAACCAGAGGTGACATCGAGGACCGAGTCCGCAGGTAGGACAGCTGGCATCTTGCTGTTAGCATATACATGGCTTCTTGCCGGGACTGAGGCTTTGCGACCTGTAAATCATTGAAGCGGGCAAATGAAATCTTTTGACTCTTCTGCAAGCACGAAGGTTATAAGAGAAGAATGACGGTGAGGATAACGAGGCTAGGTTATGGATCACGCACATCGATCAATGACGATGAAGATTGATGGTCATACATGAGGAACAAAGACAACGACCGACCCTTTTTTATCCACACTTTTAAGTGTAAGTCAAGTGTACAACTCTGGTACCTGGCACAGATCCCCTTCCTCCTCCTCCTGCTGCACTTGGTCCGCGGATACTTAGATGTCGAGAGACTTCCTCGAAGAAGAAACCTTCGCCAACAGAAAGAATCTGCCCACTCGCCAGACCGACTGCTACAGTCCCACTGCTTGACGCTGAGTCCTCGCTGTTGCCGACTTGGGAATGAAGATGGAAGAGGGTGGACCTGGACTAGAAGTATCTAAGTCATTATGAATGCCAGGTGTACTCATTGGAATTGATCCGCGATCATCTCGTCCATAAAAAACTAGACTCGTTATCGCGAAAGAAGGTCCTGGTGCTGCCGGAGGGGCGAAAACACGCAAGGCCTGCGCATCCTCGAAAAAGAAAACTTGCGAGTTCTGCACTCCCAAAAGTGTGTGCACACCATCTGCCAAGACACAACACGAGGTAACCACATCTGATTTTTTGAGACATGAAGATGAAGATCAACATGATGATGACATAAACAATTCACAAGGCACTTCTATCAAGTAAGACATGTACGATAGCGTAAGTTGTATCGATGATACAGAAAATGTGATTTAGTTGCGGTAATTATCTTTCTCATCCGATGGAGCGCAATGCACGTAATCTTCGTAGGACAAATACTAGTACGTTGCTCGACGCCTGTATTCGTTAGATTGAGCTCCTCGCAATTGAAACTCGCTTTGGACACACAGAGCGCCTGAGTATGAAGGGGACTCCTTGCTTCTCGCTCATTGTGATGTATAGCATACACCAGCTATTACGATCACGAATACCACTTCTCACTCTGTTATACCAGGTCATACAAGGCAGCTTACTAGCCTCGTTGTCTAATCGCGGTATCTTCGTGAGGGAAGTACCCTGACAACCACAAAAAGGATCTAACATCAGTACCCCATTGCAGGTGGCATAACTATTGTAAATCTGTAAATCTATGATTACTCCCTTCTTCACACTGTTTTGGATGTCGTCGATCGATGGAGTAGAATTACTTAGTCTCCGTTCATACTGTTTTGGATGTCGTCGATCGATGGAGTAGAATTTTGTGGCTGTTTGCGCACCCCAAGTGACGAATCGTAAGGGTGGTCGCTCGCCAGGTATCCGGACCTTGTAAAAATATCGTCCTTCCACTGGACATGCAGTCTTCTCTGAGCGTGTACTGCGATCCGCTACGAGGGGATATGAGAGGGTACTATGAGGTTACTCATCTACGACTTTTTGGGATATTAGGGTACTTCATCTACTGGGTAAGATATAGCCCGAGTACGAAGAGGCGAACGTATCTATGAAATAGAACAACTAGTACGATCCGCCCTGTGTACCAATCCATAGTTGTACTTAATCCTTCACCAAAACCAATTCATACAGCGTTTTTTCCCGTTGGTCTGTAGCGCAGTTCTGAGCTGAAATTTACGACATTATCCCAGGTGGAAAGAACCGGCAGAGGTGTGATACCATGAACAGCACGAAGTCCGGATGGCACCAAACTACTACTCTGTACGCAAGTCACAACGTGTAGTGGCTTATCTGGATGATGTTGATACAAGTCACGACGTGTAGTGGCTTATCTCATTGATATTCATGTTGCTTGATGGTCATATTGAAAATGTTCTTCTCTATGAGGGGCAAACGGTGCTTTTGCTTCATTTGATACACTGATACCGATTGTATCATATCGTATCACTCTCGCTTTCGGTAATCAATTTTTGGTGGTAATATTGAACTTAAATCTGAATACCATGACTAGCGTTCCTTCTTGTGGTTGAGTTGCCGAGGCCTTTCCCTACCAGATCCCAAACGCACATCGTCCGATTGCGTTCGATTGAAAAATTAGAGAGTGGTGAAGATAGCTTTCTAATTCTATTCAGAAGTTATGCATTATACTATTGAGAGAAAATGCGAACAAGTTCCTTGATTTTCTAGCCCAACAGGACTATAATCACTCAGGCATCATTATAGATACTAGGGCAGGAGTCCATGGTGAAATTACTGCTGCTAGGAGTAGGACAATCCAGTTCCAGATCTATCATGAATGCAAGCAGGTCCCTAAAAATCAGTTTGCTGCCATCCGCAGTGAAAGCCAACTGGTCGATCTCCGTCATATGATGGCATAATGGCCCATAGCTCCCTTTTCCGAAGTCTGCTGATATTAGAGCCGTGTCCGCATCATATATGTAGAATATGTCTATGATGATAGGTCGTGCGTAAACTACGTACTAAGCAAGGTGAAGGTATAATTATGGAGCGTCTTGCTATAACAAGGTAGATCGTGCACCTTGTTACATCGAAACTAAAACGGGAACTAGATATGAAGGAGCAACATCTAGACAATGATACCAACATGGTATTCATCATGGTGCATAAGAAAACACGCAGTTCTGTGAAAGTATTGCCTGTCGGAGCACCAGCAGCAGCAACCAAAGGTACAATAGCTGATACTGGGACCTGAATAAGAATTGAGTGACCGACAAATAAAGACAAACTGTGCTCGTATCTTCATCGACGATAAAATGTCGTGTCTCGACTTACTTACAACTACGTGTCATTAGTATATTCTTGTTTTTCTTAGGTCTTTATGCTACTGCTACTGTTAGAAGCAAGAGCAACAAAAACAATCATATATCTTCATCTTCTCTACTACGGTAGGATCACCAATTATAACAATCAGATAAATAGGTTCCTTGTACCGCGCTCTCCACTAATCCACTCTTGCATAGCGTGAGAGCTGTGATGGGAGAGGCCAACGGCATAAACACTTGTGCCGGTCCCTCCGCAGCGACCACGACATTTTTAGACCTTCTCTATATTCATCTTGAAGCGCATCTTTAACCCCTTTTCCCCTTGGAGGAAGTGTTTCAACGTAAGATGCTTCTTAAGTAAGATGAATTTGGCGAAGCCGTAACATTTCCTGCAGCATAGATGAGCTTCTCTTCGAAAGGGAAAACGCCTAAATCCGCATTGAAACCGACTACACTTGCAAGCCGAGGCGGGTTACTCGAGTTTATACTGGTATTAGTTGCCATTGTGGTCGGGCTTTATGCTGTTCTAGGTAGAAGATGGTGGTACTCTGTTGTCCAAGGTGGATGGTGGTACTCTGTTGCCCAAGGTGACTGGTGTTTATGCTGCCCAAGGTTCCAGGTGGATGGACTGATCGTAATCTTCCGTCTAGCAACAGTAGATGGTCTTGTCTGCAGGTGGTTAGTAATTACAACACCAGGTGAGACCTCGTACTATTCGAGTTGTAGGAGTACTACTAGATGAAGAACTACAATATTATCTGTAACAATGTTGTTGTCCTCGCCACTTCTTGTTGACGCAACGATAAAATGTCGTTAATACTTGTTGTTTTCACTAGCAACGGCGCGGATGAGGATGATCCCAATCTGATAAAATTAAGAAGTCGAAGCGTGAGAAGAAGCCGATAAGGGAAGCGTGAGAAGAAGATTTGATAAAGACGATAAACAGTGATGATCGAAGTCTCAAATCAGCAGCAGTCGGAACCGTCCGAGGCAAGCCGCAACAGAATTGGGCTGCTTTCCCTAGGACTAGCTACAGTCTCGCAATGAAGGGCATCTGTGATTCCTTGATGTGTATTACGTCATGTCGAAACCTCAGCTTTTCTGTGGCGAATGCTGTCGAAACCCCAGCTTTTCTGTGAATGTCGACGTCCTTAATTGGGTTCTTCTCTACTAAATTTGAGTGACTTTTTGAGGCACTTTGCTATTTTACTATTTTGATAGACGTATATTCACTACCTTCCGGTTTTGCGTCGTGAAAACAAATAATGCTTGCTACATCTTCCTTCTGAGGGTCTGAGGGAGGGACCCAAGAACCGCATAAGTTCTTTTTTCGGTAAATGCTTTGGATTGACAGACTCACCTAGGGTACGGACTCATCAAAGCACACCTTTCGGTATGGTCTGGATAAGGGAAAACTAAGATGCTTTCCCTCCGCCTCGTGTGGTGTGCTTTCACGTGTGTGGAGGTGCAAAGGCACTCCCGCATGCAATCAAAATGTGAGCAGGCGTACTGTTTTGGTCCTTTGTTTAGTGTGTCATGCTCATTCGTGATTGTGTATGTGGGGTCGTTGGGAACCAAGGCCAATGCCCTCACACATGATGACAAAAATGGTGTTTTTGTGGTTACCGTTACAGATGGATATGACAGTCGAACAACTATAATTATAATTATCAACCCAGTTAATTCATTCACTCATCCACTCATCCGGCACCACCGCCTCACTTCATCTAACTAAAATATGACACAATACGAGTCTAGTCCGGGCGTTCGCATTCATTATCCAGACATTTACTTTATGCTAAAAAGTAGTTTTCATGACAGTTACAACGACACTTACTACGGTGTGTCGATTGAATGTAGCTCATAGTCGTTGCTAGTATATTATCGGGGCACCGGTATGAGTATGTAAATTGAATCAACAAAATCGACATCTTACTTTTTGATAATTAGTGCCTCATGAAATTTGCGGTAAATTGAAACAAGAAAGTTGTACAGAAGCAGCAATCGAATGATTTTGTTCAAAAATGTCAAGATAATTCTTTCAAATGAAAACAAGCCTTTATTTAGTTCGACAGACCACAAACACTTTGATACGAGAAAATACTCACTAGACTTGGCACGACAATGATCTACACTCATACATCTGAGAAAAGACGAATCATTACAGATAGTACATCACATAATTGAAAAAGAAAATGAAATTCTAAAAGCAAATTGTAGGTCGGATGTAGATTAAGTAACAAGTGCGCTGTACTCTTTGTGAGTCGAACTAAGTGCTTGCGTCCGTAAATTGTTAAGTGTCCTTCCATATTCATACTGCTTTTATAGGCACTCTATCCCTACTACCGACTGGCAAAATGTATTTACTGCTATCTATTCCGCTGTAGGTACCTTAGAAGGAACCAACAACATCCGAAAACTTGCATTTCTTACGACATTTGACATTGATTGCCTAACGATGTTGAGGCTGATTGTCTACCTAACGGTCTTGAGGTTGATTGTCTACCTAACGATGTTGAGGTTGCTGGATTTCGTTCTAGTAAGAGAAAGCATAAGCTACTTAATAGACATGTTCTGTAATAATTCTAACGGTGGGGCAAGCCTAACAAAACTAGGAAACAAAAAACACATGTTGCAATTATAATTCTCTTAATTGTTGCCTCTTAAGACTGTTCACTCGAAGCATAAATAGTGGAGGAAGGACCCTTCTTGTTCTTCCATGTATCATGAATTCTCATGATTTAGTGGTGGCATTCGCAAGACGCACATCATCATACTCGATGAAGATGATAACGAACCTCAAGTAGAATACTCCCGTATGTAAGCAAGGCTCGTCGTTCATATCCAACAATAAATCGCCAAACCCACTTGAAAACGAAACTCGCAAAAGAGTCTGGGGATCCTCTTCAGCGAAAAGTCTGGAGATTGTGCTGGTTCTGCAGCTTTTTAGGAGCATCGTTAGGACCAGCAGCAGCACACTCAGGACCGTCCGGCCGTATGCGTGGTTCGATAGTACCAGCACACTGGAGGCACATCCACACTGTGCGTAGTAGAGCAACATCTTGTCCTGTAGTGCAACCACAGTCCTGTCGGGAGTTACTACAATCTCGTCCGTGCCATGGGTATGGAGGTGCAACACCCTTGCTGGCTCCGTCATTCTACACAAGTTTTCACTCTGCACAAGAACTTCCATAGTGATACGAGGAATGCAAATATGGTTGTCCGCCCACGTTCGTTGAAACATCTCCTCGACGCTTCTTGAAGAATACAATATTACCACTGGTGCTGTGCCATTCCCTGAGGAAAAGTTCGCTGAAGAAAATTCATCTTCATATCTTCCATCTGCCGCAGACTCCTCCCATCTTCTCTGCTGGCTTTACCCCCTCATAGGCATATCTAGCATCAACATCTGTATGAGACCCCATTTCTCATCTGAAAAAAACCCCAGCTTATTATATCGCTTATTCAGTCGATCATGCTAAAGACAAAACAGCAACCCAACTCGCGAACTTCGGAGACTGCTCACGTCGCAGTGGCACTTTGAAAATAATTCCTCGTTCTCCAAAATTGACATGGTGATGCACTGAGTGAATGAATGTACCCACTCCAGGGGTATAAAAGACGTCCACACTACGCAATCTTCTCCCACTAAAGTGCTACTGCAACCTCCTCCGTTCGCATACCGAGAAATCTTTCCCCCACTGTTCCGCCCCGCTGCTCGAAACAATGCAGCCGCACGGAGAAATCTTTCCCGCATCGTTCCGCTCCGCTACTCGGCACGATGCAGTTACGGAGAATTCTTTCCCACACCGTTCCGCTCCGCTACTCGAAACGATGTGTCTGCGCTCGCTTAAACAATGACAATGCCCCACCCCCGCATGAGATCCGCATGCGATGAATCGGCGTCGTCATGATCATAGTCATCTCCGTCATGGTGCGCTTCTTCTACATACATGCCTTCCGTCGAGGAAACCTCATGTTCGGTGACGCCATTCTCGACCATCTGGTCTATACTTGTTTGGGACCGACGAGCGAGACTCACGTCTGCGAAACCGGAAGAGCGGGAAGCCTCCAAGAGTGCGGACGTCGCATTCGTTTTCTTGTTCGGGTCATGTGCCGCGTCCGTCTCTTGTGGTTGTGCTAGTGCCGCATCCGCTGGCTCCTCCCCCTCCGCTTCCTTCGCCTCCACCGCTGCTCTCTCCTCCGCTGGCGCTGGTCCCTCCTCCTTTAGCTCCTCCTCCACTGGTGCCGCCTTCTCCTCCTCTGGCGCTTCCGCCTCCTCCTGCGCTAGCGCCACCTCCACTGGTGCCGCCTTCTCCTCCTTTGGCGCTTCCGCCTCCTCCTGCGCTAGCGCCACCTCCACTGGTGCCGCCTCCTCCTCCTTTGGCGCTTCCGCCTCCTCCTGCGCTAGCGCCACCTCCACTGGTGCCGCCTTCTCCTCCTTTGGCGCTTCCGCCTCCTCCGGCCTGCTAAGTTATATACGTATATATAGTCTCTATATCAGTTTCTACTTGGGACTCCCCGTCTTGTAGACTTCTAATCAAGGAAGCGGAATTCGCTCTGAATACCCCATACATAGAGAATGCTAACGAAATAGGCCTTAAGGATGAGCGCGATGGAAGGAAGGACTCCGACTCGGCCAGTGCGATGTCCTCTGCTATGTCGGTGAAGGCATTCTCCTCTCCGTTCCCAAGCTGCTCAGGAGTCTTTACTGCAAGCTCGAGTAAAGAACGCGACTTGGGCGCAGACTTTGCCTGGGGCTTCTTGATCATCGTCCGCTCTATTGCTTTGAGCTCCTGCACAAGCTGCCGAAGATTTCGGTTTTTCGGATTGCATCGTAGCGCGTGAACCGCTATACGATTAACAAGATCCGCTACGGCGTTCCAACCTGAGCCGAGCCACGGCACTTGCGTTTCACCTAAATCCCACCCCAAGGCCCCAGGCCTCGTTAGAAACAAACAGAGGCGCCCGCACTCGCTCCCAGAATTTAGTCAGATTTTGTTTAGAATTTCGCCAGAAGTAGCGACTTCCCCTTATTTCGAAGATTCAAAAATCGACGCCAGAAGTAGTGCCTTACATATATTTTAAAGATTCGAAAACCGGCGCCAGGATCTAGAAGCTGACTAGTCGAAAACCAATGCCAGAACCTTGCTACTGAGAACAGTGAAAGCGAATGCCAGAACTTGCACTCCCACGAGATCGACCGCGGGCTTGAAGCTAGGGTCTGACGACTCAAAAAACACAAAGGCGGCGCCAGGATCGAAGGCCTAAGACCTTCTCGAGACAGTCTGGACCTTGGTGAGTAAACGGCTCTCGCTAGTTCACTGTAGCCCCTTGCGATAGAACAACCAGCACAGAGCCTGCGACCTGCGTTAGTTATTTTGTGTCGAGTGTCGACGGCGTGCCCGTGGATGCACGACCATGCCCAAAAGAGTACCCAGCGGGTCACCATCATGCGCAGAAAAATGAGCTAGCACAAGCAAGCAACTAGTAGGCCATACCATCTCCGTCCACATTGAGCCGAAGCGCATGCTGCACGAGAGCAGTCCCCTGCTTCTGAGGGTAAGCGCCTGCTTCACATGTGAAGAGGCATCCACCGGGGGAAGGTGGGGAGAAGAATGGGCGAGAGATAATAAGTGGCGCGATGAAGACGCCTTACAACCAATAATCTACTACGAAGACAGCACCTGCAAGCAAGGCTGACAGTAGTACAAAAGCAGCCCCCTCTTCCCTCTGAGAGTCATGACGGCGTAAGAATACAGTAACCACAAGGCGAGGAAGGCCACGCTATTCATTTCGCTGGCCGTCTACTGGCCACAGCGATGCCGTGGCTTCCCTTTTTTAAGATCCCCGGGGATTGAAATTGGCGCGAAATAGTTGCTATTCGATTTGATCAGCATCCGAGTCAGTAGCCGCCTAGGCAGTTCGTTCCTGACTGAGGAAAGTTGTCAGCGATTAGGGTGGCGATCGTAAGGCGTCAGGCTCTAACGATTGCCAAGCCATCGCTGCCACTGCTCATCTTCCGCACAGGTATAAGCTGTCCCCGCTTGCACCATTCTCATCGATCGGCGTACCCTTCAGCCTAAGAAGAAGACCCGCGCTCTATCTTGAAAAGTAAGCCACGAAATTTAGGCAGGCTCTCTCTACATCAAAGACGGCTAAGCCCCAAACCAGGGGACGGCATCAAGGTCGGCCTTTTCTCATGGATCACGGGGAGCAATGTAGACGGTGCCGCAATCAATAGGCCAGGCCTTTTTATGCTGATCGATCCTCGTTCTCCATGGTGTTGCAACTAACTTCGTCGCCTCTACTACAATGACGAGCAACAGTCCCCCCTATCGGGTACCACTTCGAGCCCGGTCCCTCGTCATCTTTGCACTCTGCCAGAAGAGGCTTCGAGCTGGGGCGGCGACATATCTGGAGAGGAGGGACGATCCCACAAGCATCGAGTCACCCGCCGAAGTGGTTCATGGGTGCACGAAAATCATAACAGATAGCGCGAGGCAATTGAATCGAACAAGAGGCCGGAGTGCTTGCTGGGTTAAGTTTTTCCTCAGTTGTAGCGCTAGCGCTGGGTAGTCCTTTGATGTGTAGCAAGTAGATCCGTGGGAGTTACCCTGAGGGGTTACAAGGTCGCAAGCCACCGGCGTTAACTTGATTAGGGCACGACCAGGCCCATCCTCATCGTGAGGCAGACAGTGAGGTGACCAGCCTGCGCCGCTTGTGTTCTCGATCGCGGAAACAGCCAAGAGAGGGGCTCTGCATGCAATGACATGACCAGCCGAGTCTCATCTATCACGTAACTCGCCCAATCGAAAAACATGCGCGCGCGCGATGGCCAGCCGCTTCTCTCGGTCAGCTTCTTCGATGCTATGAGGGTGAAAAAGTGCTCCTTCAGTCATGCTCTGCGAGCGCCCTTCTGCGATGTTATGACATGCGAAGCCGAGAGTCAACCGAAATAAGCACAACCCGCAGAAGCAGAATCATAGCAGCAACACGATGCCCCACTTCACTAACAAGGAGAGCACTCCTGCGCATCGTCTTCCTGTCCCAATTCTCTCAGGAATTCGAGATACCTACGCACGACAAGAAGCGGCCTCTTACTGTAATTGTGAGCCAGTTTCTCTGCTATCCTCTCACATTTACGAAGAAACCTCCAGCCCTATTTGCATGCCGTAGATATTAAGGGCGAACACTACAGCAGCACCACCGGCCAACTAGCTAAATACTGAGACACGCAGTCCATTATGGGGAACTGCAGCAGTCAAGCCCTGCTACTGGATTCACAGTCGTAGTCGACAAATAGAAGCACCAGAACCACTCCAGAAGTAGTCTAAGGCAGAAGAGTCCAAGCCAGTAGGCTTGCCGCGGTAGATGAATTTATTAGAAACGCCGACGGCAGCAGCAGCGAGCGCAAAAAAAAGGCCCCAAGACCACGAGGCACCTCTAACCATCTAGGCCGCCTTGGAATGTGTCTGCTTAGGCTCTAGCCCCAGCCAAACAATGGAGAGCGAGCGCTGCCACTTAGTCTTAAAGCTGACCTACGGAGGCTCACCCTATCCTTATTCCTTAAGCTACGCCCCCACTTCTTCCGCCTTTATTGGGGTTACGCGTTCGCGGGGTCATCACTCTGGGAGAGGATCAGCCAGCGCCGTTCTTTGCCATGTGGGTGATCAGGGTCCGCTACCCACCCCATGGCGAACCGAATGAGCCCCCAGGCCTCACCTGTCTGCGCTTTTTTCTCGTTTCCTTATTTGTTTTCGTCCTTGTTCGTGGAGGTAGATATGTCCAGGGAGCTTGACTAGTGTCCACGGAGTCGACTGCGATGCGTCACCATGAGCCTGATGGAGTGACGCCATCGAGGTCGAGCTGCCTCACGAAGTAGTAAGGCCCCCTGTATGAATAATAGCCGTCATCTGCTGACCTGCGTCAGCCGTCTCCCTTCCACTTTTTTGAACAGTTTCACACATTCCAACTCTGACTTTGGTTGCCAGGATTTTGCTAGAGAGGAAAGGCGAAAACCCAGAAGCGGCACCATATTAGTGAGCCAAAATTTCGAACATGAAAAGTGGCCAATTTTAGGCAAACTTCTGGAAGTGTTCGCAGAACAATCAGCCGTCTCTGTTCATTTTACAGCCTCAGACCTGGGCAGCTTTTCTGCGTGTTTTTCATGCTTTTGCCTATCAAAGTGCGCCACTTTTGGCATCACCGGCGTAAAACAGTTTGCAGCGGTCGCGGAACAGTCCGCCGTCTCTGTTCTTTTCTGTGAACCAACAGGCTCAACTCTGGGCAGCTTGTGGGGGTGTTTTTCATCCTCTTATCTGTCCACGTGGGTCGCTTTTGACGTTGCCGACGTGTGAAACACTTCACAGCGTTCGCGAAGCAGTTCACAGTGTTCGCGGAACTGTCAGCCCACAGCGTTCGCGGAACAGTCAACCGCGCCCGCTTCACTTTTTTGAACAGTCTCAAATCTGTGCAGTTTTTTCGGCTTTCCTCGTCTTGTTATCGCTTTGGCTTGGTGTCTCGTTTCTGAGAATTGACGACCGGCAATCGTGAAACTGTTCACGCACAACGTTCGCGAAGCAGTCAGCCCACGGCGCTCGCGAAACGGTTCACAGTGTTCGCGAAACAGTTCACAACGCTCGCGAAACAGTTCACAACGTTCACGAAGCAGTCAGCCCAGAGTGTTCGGGGAACAGATCACAGCGCACGCGGAGCAGGAGTCCGCCGCGGCTGTTTCACTTTTTTGAACAGTCTCAGACCTGTGCAGCTTTTTCAGCTTTTCTCGCCTTGTTATCGCTTTGGCCTGGTGGCCCGTTTCTGCGGTTTGACGGCTGGAAGGTGTGAAACAGTTCACAGTGTTCGCGAAACAGTTCACAGCGTTCGCGAAGCGGTTCACAGTGTTCACGAAACAGCCCACAACACTCGCGAAACAGTTGCCAGCGTCCGCAAAACAGTCCACAACGTTCGCGAAACTCTTCACAAGGCTCGCGGAACAGCTCGGCTCCGCGGCGTTGGTTCGTACAACAGTCAGCCGCGCCTGTTTCACTTTTTTGAACCTCCTCAATTCTGTGCAGCTTTTTCGGCTTTTGTCTTTGTCACCCTGTGCTGTTACTGCTTTGGCCTGCTGTCTCGCTTTCTTCTGAAATTTGACGCCGGACAGCTGTGAAATTGTAGCCCCCAGCGCTCACGAAACAGCTCACGCACAGTGTCGGCGAAACAAGTCCCCACGTTCGCAGAACAGCTCACAACGCTCGCGGAACAGTTCACAACGCTCGCGGAACAGTCAGCCGCGCCTCTCTCACTTTTTTGAAGCGTCTCAAATCTGTGCAGTTTTTTCGGCTTTTGATTGTCGTCCTGTTACCGTCTTGGCTTGGTGCCTCGTCTCTGGGGCTTCACCTAACGGCTGGCAGCTGTGAAGCGGTTCACAATGAATGTCCGCGAAGCAGTTCGCAGTGCTCACGCCGTGAAACAGTTCGCGCCGCTCTTCATGAAACAGCTTACAAAGCTCGCGAAGCAGTTCACGCCCACACTAAGTGGTCGCAGAACTGTGGACTTATTCGCGGAACCGTTCACATTGTTCACAGAAGAGTGAGCGAGCGCACACCGTTCGCCGAGCAGTTCACACTGTTCACGGGGCAGCTCGCACCGCTTGCGGAACGGTTCACAGTGCTCACGGAACAGCTCACACCGCTCGCGGAACGGTTCACACTGTTCGCAGAGCAGTCCACGCTGTTCGCGGAACAGTTGACACTGTTCGCACAGCCAACCGCTCACACTGTTCGCGGGACAGTTCACATTCTTCGCGGAACACTCGGCCGCGGCCGTTTCGGCACTTTCTTGATCAGTCTCAAAGCTATCTGCACACCTTTTTCGGCTCCTGTCGTCTTGTTATCTATCACCCTTGGCCTCTTTAATGCCTCAGAGATTTGACAGCTGGCAGCTGTGAAACAGTTCGCGCCGTTCGGTCGCGAAACAGTTCGCAGCGTTCGCTAAACAGCTCACAACGCTCACGAAACAGCTCACAACGCTCACGAAACAGCCCACAGCGTTCACGAAACAGCTCACAACGTTCGCGAAACAGTTCAAAGACAGAGTGTTCTTGGAAGGGGAAGGATTGGGCTTCGAAGTGGGTCCGGCGTCGTTGGGTGCCGAAGAGTCCTCAGAGGTGAAAGGCAGGAGGACTCAGATGAAACAAACACAGCCAGGGCTAAGGCCACAAATCGCGACCCATCTTTGGGCGCATCTTTTCTGAAAACTAGACTACGACGGGGCCAGTACTCCGCCAACAGTTTTCAAGGGTGCAACAAAGTGAAAGCTGGGCCGCTTTTTCTATATTTTTTCGGAAACGCTACCCGCATACTTTTTACGTTTTTAATATAGCAGGAGCGGTTGCCGGCTGACCCGGTCGGGCCGCTCACGCGTTTCGTGAAGCCCGCTGCTGAAAAGCAAGCGGATCCCTGCAGCTGCCTCACGTTCTTCACTCCGGTAATGTGCTGGAACGGCGCAGCACCAGAAGCACGACTTCAGCCCCCTCACTATAAACGAATAAACAAACCACAACGCATTAGATAGGCCCTCGCTATTGCGAACAAAAGGACGACGAAGACGACCCAGAAAAGGGTCTAGCCGGTCCTTTTTGCATTCTGGCGCCCCGTTCTTTGTTACAAAACACCCGCAGCCCACGCGTTCCCCCGCAGCAAGTTTGCTCGGGCCCGGGCGTGCTCATCAGTCGAGCTGCATGGAACAGCTACCAACTACGCAAACCCGTAAACCGACGCAGGAAGCCGTCTGGCGTTCGCTTGCCTCGTCGCAAACACGCCAAGAATGCCAAAGACGACCCGCCCGCCTCCAAGCATGGCCTCTAGTAGGTTATTGCTTGATAAAGCTCCTTTTTCCCGCGGCTCAGGCTCTCCGGTCGAACTACCGCCGAAATGTAGGCAATTCGCGACTTAATAGGATGGCTAGTTCGTAAATTACAAGGGGGCTTGCCAACATACTGACGCACTTTCATGAGTTTTCATCATGCTGACGCATATTCATGCGCTTACCTTCATAAGGTTACCGCCTACCCTACTTATATCAAAATAAGTTCGTAGCTAAAGGCAATTAAATTTCCGCACCGCCCTCCCGCTGGTGCGTAAATTGTCTTAGCCTACGAAAGGTCCTACATAGTTTTTCTCTGTGACAAGGATGCCCATCACCGTACAAGTGACATATCTAGATCCAGGCCAGATCATATCCATAATCGTCTGATATAGTCCAAGTGGGCAACTCTGACGCAGAGTCTAAGAAAGTCAAAGCCTGCCAGTCTGGCGTCGATATTGCAAGGCTATGAGCTCAGCGAATGCCATCGATTTGAGGTCTGTACTGATTTAATGAGAGCGAGACTTCTGGCATGCCCTTTCGGTATGTTGAAAAAACAAGCTCCACGGACCAAATCAAGGCCAAGAATACTCACTAAAAGCCTAACACTCTCCAAAATTCTAGACAAAATCTGACAAAATTCCAACCCCCTCCGCGGACGCCTCTGTTTGTTCTTAACCTCCATCCGCTACAATAGTTAACGAAGGCGAGCTTCGCTTCATTTGGGTTTTGTGGTTTGTGTCGTCCCAGTTTTTGGTTCTCGTCAAGCCACTTCCGCGCGCTTCCTATCCATTTCCCCAGCTTTTCTTGCTCTTCTTTATTAAGTTCGGGACCGCGACGCCGTGTCTTGATGCTCACATGTTCAACAAGCGAGACTAGTGCCCTAGAAAGGGTGACACCAAGTGACCAAGTGTCCGACTCCTGAAGCGTTACTCCCGGAACGTCTTTACCATCCCTTATCTGACTAGACACAAGCGGATCAGTGTACTCCTCAGACGCAAAAATGTGGGTTTTCACGATGTGAGACCACTTGTGGTTCTTGGGACGCGCAGACGCAAAATCTGCAAACGCCACCCGATGTCGCATACCCACCTTTTTCTCGTCGGCGTTGCTCGCCACATTGACTAAAAACGCACCCGGTGTAATATCCATATGCGCCCACCCTTTGTCATGAAGGAACAAGACCTCCTCAGCCATCCCCGCAAGAAGCCCCGCAACGTCGTGCAAATCCAGCCCAAGCCCTTGTTTCGGAAACTCTAAAAACTTGTCGAGAGTCTGCGCCAAAAGTGGACGCTTCTGGACATACACAAGCTCTGTTCCTTTCGATGTAGAGCTTTAGAGGCCGCCATATTCCACCGAAGCTTTCATTCTTCCTTGACTCGCTTTCTCAGTAATCAGAAACGGAGCCAGGATGAGTTTTCGGCTGGATGGGGTAGCGGGGACTTCCATAAGGGAGCTTGCCGGGGTTCCGAACCCAAACCTCCAAGGTGGGGGCAAACGTTTTCCGCGACCCGCCTCCACGAGCAATATCGGCGCGAACACACGCCTCCAGCGTGGGCATTGTGAGGCCTATTAGCGTCCCCGCCTTTACTGGCTCCTTCGCTATATTCAAGTCGGACGCTGCAACCCGTCTTCCGAATATAGGGGACCCAACCGTCTTCACAGCCAGTTGCGAGTGCACTATGTCAAAGCTTTCTTCTCCTAGTGTCAGTGTGTATTTTGTTCGCGTGAAGGATGGCTGTGGCGACGCTTTGGGACTGTCAGGGGGTGGACTCGACTGGAATGAAAACTCGGACACCTGCGTAGGCTCTACACCCGTCGGGCTGCAGAATGCATCGAAAAGCGAGCTCGGCCCGACTGGTTGCGCCTTCAGCGCGACGCGCGGCAGAACATCGAATAGAGCCCAAGCGCATCGACCTTCGTACGGGGCTTGTGGGTCCCGAAATCTTTTCCCTTCGCGGAAGTAGTGAAAGCCTAGCTGCTGCCATGGTGTTGACCCGTAATCACCATTGGCGGCGTCGGTCTCCGTCCATCTCAAGCGCTTCATGAGGTTGTTGCCACCAGAACCAGCAGTCGAAGGTAAGAACCATGAATCTGTGAAGGGTAACCAACCCGGGACAAAAACGAGCCATCAGCCACCGTTCTTCAAGAGCAGCCGCAAGACATGCATCACGGCGCAGGCCCCGCCACCATGAATTGCAACCAAGGCGACAAAGCCGGCCCAGATACGTCGAATAAGCTCACACACAAGCCCCCTGACCACCCTAGGCAAGCTGCAAAGGAAGCGGGCTACCCCGACGCCGAGACGCTCAACGCAATGAAAAACTACCAGCCGCCCACACGAGACGACGTGGCATTATATTTTCGGAACGGCAAGCAGGTAGGAGCGAAAGAGAGACTGACACACACAAGAAAAAGGGGGCACGCGCGTCAAGATATGCATGGGCCGGCGCCTGCCTCAAACAGTGCGCGCGCGAGCGTTAGTTTGTCACGAGTGTCGCCGCAGCTACTCCTTGCTTTTGTGGCGGAGTGCTCAGGCCATTCCTAGCGGGGCGGGCCTGTTTGTGAACAGGTGCGAGCAAAAGACAAGAAAGAGCCAGAGGCGCCTCTCTTTCTGGCTACATGCACAAGCCCAGAAGATAGCGAAGACAAAGACACCCAAGAAAAGACCACCAGACACAGACACCCAGCCAAAAAGGCTCAGAGAAAGAAAACCAGCCAAAGGCGCCCAACCTTGTCAAAAGAATCCAGACACAGACACCCAGCCAAAAACACCCAGAGAGAGACACCTGGACACAAACAACCCCACCGAGGCACCCGCCACACCCAGAACCGAACACCCAAGCGAAGACACTGCGCCGCCGGACCCCAACGAGCGCCGAGCACCACGGAGCGGGCTGCGCCTCAGCTTCTCGGGGGTGTCACGCTCCTGCCTTTTCTGTCACTCATGCCAATGCCCCCGCTCTTTGACTGCTCCTCCTAAGGAGAGCGTGACGGGCGTCACGCCTGCTCCGCAGCGTCCTCTTCCTATTACTCCACCCCGGGAACGAGCGTGACGGGCGTGCAGCCTGCTCTGCCACGGTCTCTCGGAATTGTTCCACTGAGAGCGTGGCCCGCGGGCATCACGCCTACGCATTCTGCCGCGCTCTCCCCTAATTGCTTCGCGCGCCAAGAACGTCACAAGCGTCACGCCTGATCTGCCAAACCTCCCTCAGACCGTTCAGAGCGTGCCTGAACGGCTCCGTCAGGAGCGTGGCCTGACGGGCCTCACGCCTGGCCTGCCACGTCCCACTTCGCTTGGCCTGACGGGCGACAGGCGGCGAGTGGCAAAAAGTGGAACACAAGAGCAGCGCACCACTGAGCACAGGGGGGCCCTGGCGTCACGTCGATGCGATGCCCCGGCTCATTCTTTTGGCCTTACGCTCCCCCATGAGCAGAACGGCGCAGCCAGTCTGGGGGCCCTTTAGTTTTCGCTTAAGCGCTGGGCCCTCGGCTGTTGCACCGTTCGACCCAAGCGTGCACGCGAGGGCCGAGGCGGCCGCTGTATCATACATTCGGCCAGGAGCTTGGGGCCACGCGGTGGCCCTTTCGCAATGAATTGGCAAGAGAGGGAGCTCGACCGACATAGTAGCAAGGAACCAGACGAGAGCGCCGCTGGCGCTGGTGTCCACGGACAACGAGGGAACCAACGCGAAGAGGCCGGCCCCCTCAGTCTCGTGGAAGCGGCCCGCCCCGCCGCAAAAGGGCAAGAGCCAGCGCCGAAGCCAGCAGCACGACCACCAAAAAGGCGGATAAAGAGAATTCCAGCCACCGCCACAGAACTGCAGCGCCCCTCCTGTCAAACCCGCACACGGCGCGGCCACACCAACGACATAGTTGAAGCCCCTACCCCGTCTACCGAGAACAGCCTGACCCCATCGAGCACAAAACAAAGCCGGCACAACACCCCCTCCCCTCTGGCCAGCCGCGTGCCAGGGATACAACAAAGGAGCGGACCCAGCTCTTATGCGTGATCTCGCTGTCAAAGAAAACGCTAGTTGGCTCCATACTCTCTTTCATACAGTGTCTCCCCCCTGCGTGGCGCCCGGTTGCAGCTTGCGCAAGACCTCGACCAGCCTGGTTGCGCTGCGTGGTTTGTCTCCCTCCCGGCACGTGAGAATATGGTCGCGCAAATTCTGCTCGACCTCCTCGATAGCTTGGGCGCCTCCTCCTATTTTCGCACCTTCACACCACTCCTCCACGCGGTCTCTCAACCGGTTCACGGCGTCTCCCGTCTGTTGGTCTTGGTCCCTACTGTTGGCCTCAAAATACGCCACTATCATCCTAGAAAGTGTCACACCAAGATCCCAAAGGTCAATGGACTTGGCTTCCGACAATAGCCAAGTCCTGGCTTCTGCCGAAAGCGGGCCCTTCGCCTTCGCTCCATGCGGCCGCCGGTTCTCCGCTCCTAGCCACAGCGGGTCCTCTGTTTCTGGATTTTTGCGGAGGCCACTTAAATCCTTCATCGTGACGGACGAAGCAGTCGAGACGGCGTATCCAGCGTCACTGAGAGAAACTTTGGCGCCGTCTTCGCTTTCAGTAATCACAAAACTCTCGGGGCCGATTTTCAAATGTGCCATATTGTATTCGCTGTGCAGACTTTCCACAGCTTCGACCATTTGGAAAGCAGCCCGCCAGAATTGGGGTTCGTCTAACAGAAGCCCAAGGCCATCTGCCGCAAAATAGTCCTTGACGCTCCTCCGGGTTTCACGTGTCCATTTTACGTAAACAAAGTGCAGGCGATATAGCATCGGAGTCCGGGTGTCATTAGGCCCCCTATCGTATTCTACCGCAAGCCAAACGCGATCTCTTGAGACAACCTTGCTGAGAAAACAAGCCTCCAGCCACGCACGCCGCAGCGCAGGATCCTCTACGGTGCCAGCATCTGTTGTCATCGGGCCCCACGAATTCATCCAAGCTCTAGGATCCTGATCTGAGCTCTTGAAAATCTTGGCCGCATTCACTTCACCAGGAGACCGCAGCCGCCTGCCATCGCGAGGTATGCGCCCCCCCTTTGTGTCCATGATACTGCGTGGAAGCTTCAGACCCGCTGCTCCAGCTGGTAGAGGTATTGGCACTGCGACGTGCTTTATGAGCAAGCCAGGAGCGCGGCCTCCATCGTCGCCGATAATGGAGTATAGGTCTCCCCCGTTGAAGTCCTTTCCAATAGCAGGACAAGCTTGGCGCAACGTCTGTCTCCGGACATATTCGAAAACGGAAGCTTCTGTAGCGGCCTCAAGGTTATCATTACCCCCTCCTTCTGTAGCGGCCTCAAGGTTATCATTACCCCCTCCAGCATTTATTGTCGGCGTCAGATCCAAAAATGACATCCCGCAGGACGGCGCACTAGTCCTGCCCGGCGTACTGCTATAGGGTTGGAAGAATGTCACTTCTTGCAGTGGTCCCGGCTGTTCAGGGAGAAGGGGTTCACCGTACACTGGAGCCAGCCTTTCGCTCTGCCGACTCCAATTCCGATCACCAAGTAGTAAGTCTCCAAGGGTTGGCCACGTGGTCTGCAGGCTGTCCAAGTCCTTCCTCGTCGCAGAGTCGAAGTTTGCCCGCAGAGTTTTCTGTTCCTGTTGCTCTTCCACTCTGACGGCTTGGCTCGTCTTCGTCTCTCGTTGTTGTTTTGTGGCTTCCTCCTTTTCACCCAGCTCCTGCTCGAGCTCCATAGTAGTCTCATGGCCCTGGCGCAGTCGCTCCTGATCGATGCTCGTAGCGTAAAAAAGAAGGCTAAGAACCGGCGCCAAAACCAAAGCACGCAGGAGCAACAGCGGATGAGACCTGCCTGATATGATTCTGCGAGGATGATACACGCCAGGCTGAGTCTGCGATGATACACACAAACCCGAATCTGAAGCCCCCATCGCTAAAAACGCTTTCTGCACAGCAGTGGCGCACGCGTTCGGCACATTCCCTGTCTGTCGCTGCGAATGTTAGAGCTTCCCCGACGGCATCCTTCTGCCTATTCATGACAGTCTACGTATTTAAAAAAGGGCGAAGAATGATCCTACACTACTACTTCAATGCACTCCTCCAAACCATAAGAAGAAGACTGCCCCCTTTTTTCCTCGTTTGTGTGCTCTACTGCGTGCGCGCCGGCCTGTCACAGTTCATGAGAGTTATCTCGATCACGAAAGGGGACTACAGCTCATAACATTACCCGAAACACTTTTTTGCTGAATCAGCCCTAACAAATACAAGGAAGGTCGGGTGGACAGCCCGCCCAGAGTAAGCCATCTGAAACAACCCCAGCCGCGTAGCAATCCAAAACAGCGCGCCCAAGCCAGCCACCCCGAAACAAGCCACCCAGAGAAGCCAACCCGAAGCACCCCACCGAGAACCAGCCAGCCGAAACAGGCCAGCCAGATGAGCCTATCATATCTGAAACAGCTCAGTCAACCCGCACAAACAGCCCGCCCAAGACCACCAGCCAATCTGATATAACCTACCCAGAGCAGCCCAACTGAAGCAGCCCCGTCGTCGAGGCTGCCACTTTGAGACAGCCTGTCCGGCATAGCCATCCGGAATCAGGCCACCCAAGGACGCTAAGCTGAAACAGCCCACACAAGACAACCCAGCGGAAACAACCCACCCAGCAGCGCCATTCTGAAACAGCTCGCCTAGCCAAAGAAGCCACTCTGAAGCAACCCACCCAGAAAAGCAACACAGAAACAACCCACCCACAACAGCCCGCCTGAAATAACCCACCCAAGACAGCCTACCTCCCTGAAACAGCTCAGCCGCGAGAGAAATTCTGAAAAAGCCCTCCCCGAAGTAGAAAAAGCCATCTGAAAAAACCCTGCCCGCGCAGCCATGCTGAAGCAGCCCGCTCAGAAAAGTCATGCGAAAACAACCCGCCAAAGACAAATATTCTGGGGCCGCCCGCTCAAGGCCGCCCATCTGAGACAACCCGACCAGCACAGCGAGCCCTGCTGGGAAAAGCAAACAACGATGCCGAAGCAGCCCACTCGAGGCACCCTGTCTGAAACACTCTCCCCAGAAAAGCCACCACGAAAAAACCCAAGGCAGCCCGCACAAGCTATCTGAAATAGTCCAGCCCACCAAACCTATGCACCTTAGACAACCCAGCCAAGACAAGCCAGCCTACCCAACCCAGCCAAGCAAGACAACCGAACAGAAGCAACTCAGCCCAGGCAGCCTATCTGAAGCAGCCCACCCAAGGCAGCCTTCTGAAACAACGACCCCGCCCAAAATGGGGCAGCTAATGACTGAGCTTGACCCGATGCGCCCAGCGATCAGGCGGGGCAAGGCTATATCTGTCCCCCGTTGCCAAAATCCCCAACGGCGTCCCCCCCTTCAAAAGGTTAAAAAACTCCCCAACTCGATCCCGCAAAGGGGGCGCGAAACTTCACCCCACAGCGGCGCGAAACTTCAACCGACAAACCCCCGGGGGGCCCCAAGAGGATTCCGCGCCCCCCCCCCGGCCTCCGCTTTCCCCAACACGAAGCACCCCCTTCGGCAGCCCCTGCGCCTCAGCCCTAATGGCCTCCCTTCGTCCAGCCTGTTCACCTCTTTGGCCAGGCTTGCCCCTGTTTCCTTCTCTGCCTTTCCCCCTGTCCTTCTTGCTTTCCTGCTCTCCTCCTTTCTGATGCCCTTCAGCTCCACACCCTTGCGCAAGGCTGGCTGCCGCTCCCTCTTCGAACTTTGACACACTTCACCCCACCCATCGGGCCCCCGTTTCGTCACCCTCCCTCGCCATCTGCAACAACCCGCCGAACCGAGCCCCTTCGAAACAGCCCGCCAAGCGCGGTCAGAAGCCCCGAAAAGACAGCAATGCATCCTGAAAAAGCCGCGCCAGCACAGCCACTTTGACACAACCTCGCCAGAGGCGGCCCCCTGAGGCAGCCTCGCTAGAACCGCCAAGCCATGCCACAGTAGCCCGCCCAGATAAAGCCCGTCTGAAACAACTCACCCAGGCAAACCTATCAGAAAGACCTCAGCCAGCCAGGCCAAGCCGCCTGAAACAGCAGGCCCGGACCTGTCTATCTGAAACAACCCACCCAGCACAACGAACCCATCCGATTCAAACAGCTCGCCCAGAAAAGCATACCCCAAAACAAGAACAACCACACCAGAGAAGCCACTTCGAAACAACTGCGCCAAAAAGCCCCAGTTGAAACAGCCCGCCCAGATGAGCCACCCTGGAAGAACCCACCGAGGAAAGCCCACGCATAAGCACCGGGAACCCGCCGAGGAAATAGACCAGCCCGACCAAGTTATCTGAAACGACTCGCCGAGGCCAGCCTAAGTGAAACAACCCAACCAGAACAACACACGCGAAGCAAACAACTCGCCCAGGCCAGCGCATCGGAAACAGCCCGCCCACGAAGGCCGGCCTGAACCAAACCAACCAAGAAGGCCTGTCTCAGTTAGCCTGCCCGGGGACGCCTAGTAACAGAAACAGTCCAGCCAGCGAAACCCATCTGAAACAAGTCGCCCAGAAAAATCCATCTGAAACGCACAACCTAAAAGGAGACTATCCGAAACAGCCCGCCCACAGCAGCGCGTCTGAATCAGCCCGCCCAAGAGCGCCTAGGTGAAACTAATCAGCCAAAGCGACCTACGTGAAAAGGCTCAGCCTGGAGCGCTTATTTCAGTCAACCCGTCGAAGGAAAGCTCTGCTGACACAACCCGCCCGGGGCAGCCTGTCTAAATCATTTCTACCCCCCAGAGATCTGAAGCAGCTAACCCAGCGCAGCCCAGCTGAGCGGGCTGATCGATCCAGAACAGATTGCAGCCGCCCAGGGCAGCCTATCTGACACTGAATCAGCCCACCCAATCTATCTGAGGTGAAACAGTTCAGCCAGGCCCCGTGTCATCTGAAACAGATCACCGAGGACGAGCGCAGACCATCTGAAACAACCCACCCAGAGAGGCCCCTCTGAAACAGCCCACCCGGCGGCAGCTATCTCCAGCCGCTCAGCTAGTGCAGCTCTCCATCTGAAACAGCTCACCCCGGACCCCGTAAACGAGACGAGCAACCCACCCCGGGCAGCCTATCCGAACCAGCCGGGCCAGAGTCACCTATGTATCTGAAAAAACCCAGCCAGGGGAGCCTACCTGAAACAGCCAACGAACACGAAAGAGCCAGCCCGAAGCGGCCAAGAATCCAACAAAAAACAACCCGAGAGGGCCAGGCCGAAACAGCTAACCCCAAAGAGACACCAAACCCGGAGGCGCCAACCTGAAAGAGCGAAACCGAAAGAGCCTACCCGAAAGAGCCTACCCGAAAGAGCGAACCCGAAAGAGCCAGCCCGAGACAAGCAACCCGAAACAGCGAACCCGGAACAGCCAAAACAAGGCAGCTGCTAGAAAGAGCTAACCCGAAACGACCACCCCAAAGCAAGCAACCTGCAGCAACAAGCCCGAGAGAGCCAGCGAGAAACACCGAACCACCCCGGACAACCACCGCGAAAAAACCTACCAACGCGCAACAACCAGCCCGGAGCAACAAACCCAAAACAACCAGCCCGAGACACCCCTGAAACAACCCAGCCAGGGGGGCCCATCAGGATGAACCACCCAGCCAAGGGAGCACGCAAGGCGCCTGAAGTAACCCAGCCTGAGCAAGGTCGGAAGCTACTGAAGCAGCCTGACCACAATGCCCAACAGGCTGGAAGCTACTGAAGCAGCCTGACCACAATGCCCAACGGGCTGGGGCGCCCTCCATCAGTGGACAGCGCCTCTCTAAGGTGAGGCAAGCACCCCGGCGAGCAAAGGCGAGCCAGTTTGCGACAGCCCAACTAAGTAGACCAGAGCAAGCCACCCGAAACAGCTCAGCCAGCGCCCGCAGTAATCAGCGCTATCTCTCTCACATCCTTTTTGCTATCTTCTGGGGCCGAATATTACAAACTCCTAACGACAAGGCCGGCAACTTGGGGCACCGGCCTGGCCTACTTCTCATAAATCAGCGGGCCCAGAACAAAGCATCTTTTGACAACATCGAACTGCCGGAAAACAAGGCCCACAAAAAGAAGCTGCTGAACCAACCCCCCCCCCAAGCAAGCGTCCTGACACACCCCGCCCAAGACAGCTTATCCGAAGCAGCCCGCCAAAGGCAAGCCAACTGAAACAGCCCCGCCAGAGCCGCTACCCTGAAACAGCCCACCCAGGTAGGCCCTGGGTAAATGACTCTCGAAACGGCCCTGAAACCGCCCAGCCAGGGCGGCCCATGGTTCTGAATTGACAACCCGGCGAGGAATGCAAGGCACCCGAAAAGACCCAACCGAAACAGCCTCAGCATGCAATTGAAACAGCCCAAATCGGGTGCCTTAGCAGAGGGAACCTTCCCCACAGGGCGCGGCTAGTCTGAGATATGGCGCGCAACCCTTCCAACAGCACAGGCAGAGCCCATACTCAACAACCCGCCGAGGACAGGCCACCCGAAAGAACTCGACAGGCGCCAGCTCTCTGCTGCCTAGTTCGCTTTTGATTTCTTTCCGGCGCTGCTTGTTACAAAATTTGAACGACAAGGCCGGCGACTTGTGAGCGCAAGCGATAGCAGGGAGCAAAGATGCCTCAACTTTCGGTGTACTTCCAAGAGCATCAACACCAATCCCAGTTGGGGTCAGGACACAGTCAACCTATGTGTAAAATTGATGTATTCAAGCACCTGTTGGACTTCGCTTTTTTCGCTCGTCTGTGAATCTGTAACAAATGTGCATGCTGTCGTAATCGGTTCACCCAGGAGCCCAGTTGTGCAACAGATGACGTCTGTAGCAGTTTCAGGTGAACAAGAGTCAGCACAGCTCTCGTGCCGCTGGTCTGCTTTATCCAGACTTCCGATTCCAGCGTCCGATGTGGTAACCTGTTGATGAAGAAGTGTTCTCGGACATGGAATGCACTTGAAATCGTACAAAAATCGAATTTCTTTTTCGTGTTTGAGACAAGCGTGAAAGTACAAGATATTTCATGTAAGACCTCGACATAATGAGCATGGGAAGTGAAAGTAAAACCAAACAATTGTAAGCAAATCAATAGAAGAACTTTACAGAAAGTAGATAGTTGACGTAAGGAAAAGGACCATCGTGATCAAGTAATATATACCAGTTCACTTTTCTCCGCTTTCGTCCCATCTAGTACAACGTTGAAAGCCTCACTATCATCTGCAACACCATCAACACCTGCATCAATATCCATGTCCAGCGGGGATAGTTTCATCTTGTTCGCGACGCCTACTACTTCCAGTGCGAATCCACCATCCGCAGGCGCAAGTGGTTCCCCCATTCCCAACAATGGCGCCACGTTCTGGTCCAACATGTTTGCCTCTTCGTATTCGCTTGTGCCATTTGCTTCCTGCTTTTCCAGCAGCGCCTGTGTGTCCAGTGTCTGCGCATCCTTCGCGCCAGGTGCTGCTTCGCTTTCCTCCTCGTTTATCTCTATGCTTGTAAGAGGAAGAGGAGCCGCGTTTTTGCCTAGATGCATGGTATTGCTTTCTCCATCCTCCTCCATACGTCCCACTTGCGGGAAAATTACGTCAATATCCCCAAAAATGGCGTGTGAATTTGGCGGACTGTCGTTCTTTTTGGGTTTCATGGTGTTTTTCTCTGGACTGCAACCCAGGGCAGTTTTCATTTGCGCAGGCTCTGCAGCAGTGTTCATGCACTTGTCCCGTTTCTTTTCCTCTTTTTCTCCATCCAGGTTTTTCTCAGCTTGTTCGCCTCCGCGCGGTTTTTTGCCACCATGACTTTTTCCAACCAGGTTTGTATCTGCCTGTTTCTGCACAACCTCTTTTGGTCTAGCCTGTTTCTTACCGCTTGATTTCGTAGCATTGGCCTGTTGCACTTTTAACATGTCCTTTTCCACAATCCGAGGTCCTGCAGATGGTTCTGGCTGTTTCTTTCTCGTTTGGTCGTCCTTACCCAAGACCCCTTTCTGCTGGTCGTCCTTACCCAAGACCTTTCTCTGTTGGTCGTCCTTACCCAAGACCTTTTTCTGTTGGTCGTCCTTACCCAAGACCTTTTTCTCCTCTGTGATGTTCGTGTGCCCAGTACCACTTGCATTACCAGCCAAGGTCTTGTTCTCCGCAGAAGTCGCGCTTTCACATGTTGTGATACTTCCACTCGTTTTCACAGCATTCTTGAGTCCCAAATCGGTACCAATCGTGATACTATCCGTCCCAGCCAATTTCTGCCCAAGAGGCGTTGCGTTACCAGGCCACTTCCACTGCAGACTCAGGTTGCGTTTCTCACGAAAACAAAGGCTCCTGCGCGTGCGCCGCGGGTCTTTCTTCTTGAAATATTAGAGGAGGGTAGAGACAACGGAGAGTCTGGACTATCATAGCTATGTCTCTAACTATAGGTCTTTTCGGTTTTTACCCTTGCAGAAAAGACAAATTCACTACTTAAACACGAGACGCACGAGGGAACAAAATGACAAACCTCGCTGTTGAAGCAACATTATGAACGTAGAAGGAAACTATACCAGCTGCAGTAAAAAGACATCATCAAGACTTCAACTTGATGATGAAGACACCAGTTTTGAAGTCTTCATGGTGGTAGAACTTCTGGCTCATCTGTAGGTCATGTCATATAAAAAACTTCTGACATGACCACTAACCATCTACTAACAGATTGCACCAAGCATGGAGCCTGAAGACTATTGATATTCTTCTAGCTTATGTTTAGTTATACAGGAGAATTCATATACAAATATCAAGATTCGTCAAGAAATTGGGTTCTCCCGTCCTACAGGACTAATTGGTGGCCAGTACCACAATCGGGTCAATGTCAAGTGATACTCAGGAGATTTTTACGAGCTTGTGATTATGCCAAAAGTGGAGTTATAACCTGCTAGCACGAGGACAATGAGCTAGAACTACGGCTAGAGCAGACATTACGTTTTGAATATGCTAGAGCAGACATTTTTGCGTTTTTTTGGAGCACGATGCTCAATTTCTGGCTACAATGACTAGGGTTATTGTCACAGCAGGCAAGTCACAGCCGCTCCTACTCAGGGAACCCCGTTCGAGTACGTAAAAGGGCACCCGCATACCTCCACTACTTCAATTCTACCATATAACTAGGGGCACGACCCGTGATGAACATACTCGCTTTCTCAAACTGTCACTATGTGAACTCCTTATGTGCTCAAGGTAAGCCGACCCTGGCACGAAAAAACAGGCAACGGGGAAGGTCCACATGTTACCCACCTCAACACTACATGCGCGAGTGGTTCGAGGCTTCTTAAAAATCCGGGGGAGAAGGTTCTGAATTGCAATTACCATGATGTGAACAGGCCACGGGAAACATGGCCTGCCAAAACTAACCACCGACCCAAAAAACGGCGGATGATAAAAGCCTATTGTTTTCACCAAAAACAGTCCCCAGAAAAACGTTGCATCAAGGCCTTCGAAGCCCCTAAACTCAGTCACAAACCGCACTAGAGTTCTAGATCCACGATGCTTTTCGGTCGAAGAAATCTGCGGGCAAACAGTACCACGTAAGTACTAGGGAAAGACACGGGGGTCTTAGTTTTCCACTTCATGATCATGAACTTTGTCTCGCGCCCGACCCCGTCTTTAACTCGCGCGAGCTAATAGCCTAACTGATTTGGCGATAAAAGGGGAAGCACCACTGCAGACGCTCGCCAGCGTCAACAAACACGCTGACTTGAAAGCAACGGAGGCAAAGCAGAGAAAAACGAGTGGCCACAGCTGGCAGACCCGCTATAAAAAACTCCTTGTGTGCACGGCGGCCACACACGACAACGTTGTATGTAAGCTAGGGCTACCTTCCTTTTCTCACCGTCATTTACTCCTAGTTTAGGGATTCCGACTAGATTAGAGTGCTGTGTCAAAACACCCAGCTTTCACATCTGATTCTATGACTTCCTGTTTCAGATGCAGAAGTTTCCTCCTAGTAGAATAATCAAACATATTCCAAGACGACGAAGTACTTCGACCTTTATTTTTATTCGTAACTTCCTCTATGTGGATGCTCCTGTTGTGCTAGAAGTATGTGTAACTACATTGTTGCTAGCATAAAAATGACGGAAATTCCGAAGAACATGTCATCCTACTCGTCTGATTATAGTTAGAAGTTCACCATACATTATAGCCATAAGAGTTGTAGACCGACCAGTTCTGCACCAATGTGAGCCCTTCGGCACGAACCATATTGAGCAAGTCGTTCATATTCTTGGCCGCACACAAATCCATCTTCTCTATCTCTCCTTCACGCACCGCAGCCTCCATATTCATCTTTACCTAGTAATTATTTACATGTGGAAATGCCTCACAGGCCCCAGAAAGAATAGCAAAGACATCCAGGGATGCCTAGTAGTGCGATGATATGATAAACATAACCCAACTGACTTGGCACAAACTTAAACAGGTGCACCTGACAGCCGATGCAGGAGTCCATATTTCTTTTTCATCGTCTGATAGCTTTCGTTTATGATACTCAAATGGGAGGCTTGTCGAAGTCACAGATCCTTCCAAGAACACGTGGAAATGTTCTTGGAAAGGCTTGGAAAGATCTCTTCGATAGGCATTTCATGCAGCTAAGTAACTAGGGCATAACGTGCCTCACGCTATGACAACATATGCCACTTTCTCCCTGTACTAGTCTTGTTATGACCAGCATCGAAAAAAAATACATTGACATTCATAATACATTTTGATGTTTAATATCTACCATCAGAAAAAAAATGTTGAGTACTTTCATAGCTAAAAGTGCTTCTGTGGTTTCGATACTGGTCATGCCATGCCAGAGCCGTTCTACCACTCCACTGATGTCGTTGAGGAAATAGACTGTGTTCGTAGCCAAATACTCGACTACATCTTAGACAATTTTGTCTTAAATCCAAGTCCGTCGTGAAAATGATAAGGCAATTACTGCAGGCGCAGCCGCCACGTCGTGACGAGAAAAATGTACGACGTTTTGAGAACAGAAAAATAAGGAAGACTAGTAATAGGAATAGGAGTAGACGCATGGGAAGATAGCAGTTGCAATCTTTGATGATTGCCGTAGAGCAGTTGAACTATGGAATATAATAGGAGTCAGTCACGAACTCCTTTGTTCCCGCGAAAGTGAAAGTAACCGAGTTACTTCGTTTTGACAGTCAGTCTACACCAACCCTGTCAAACATATTCCTGCCCGAGTACTCAAAAACCAAAGTGAGATAACCAAGTAACTAATGGGAACAAACAACCCACTAAAACAATAATGCCCTTGTTGACTTATATCTCTCCTTCTACTTGAGTAGAATGGAGGCAATTATCGTACTAGGTCTTCTCTTCTAGTACATGCAATCTGTCCTAGTCGGGTCACTTCCCACTGTAGTCAGAAGAATTAGTTAGATAACGACAGGTGACCCGACTACAAAGAAGCGGACGTAAACGACTTCTCTTTCCTTGCCCACTTACTTTCTGCCCCGAAATATCCGTTGAGATATCCTACAGAAGGTTCGGCTAGGTTAGGTTAGGTTTTGGTCTGGCTCTTAATTTTGATAAGCAAATGAATTTCATATCCACTACTGGAGTTTTTCGAACTATAAATGTGCAGTATAAGTAAGAACATGAAATTTTTCTTTCTCTCTCCATAAACGTGTACATCGCGCGCTTGCCCAGGAAGGCTGATGATCAGTCTCGTGTGTCCGCTTTCCCAACCTTGATTGAAAGCCACGTACTCCAGCTTCTCTGAGCTCCCACACGATGAAAGATGATGACTAATTACTTCAGAAGGGGAAAGACAAGGGGTTCAGGGATTCCCTAGCCTAAAGTCAGTCAGAAATCACAGACACGGTCACTCTGTCTCGACTCTCGTGTGCTAAAAAAATAATAAGAAATTGACTAGTTAGTATTTATCTCTGACCAACTTAAGTCAGAAGAAACTGGATGTCGTGGTCCTGTTTGCCTGATAGGCTTACTTACACGACGTGATTGAATCTTGGAGACGAAATACCGAGTAAGAAAATTAGTAGAGATTGTAGTAATTGTTCGAGGAAATTCAACTTGTTGCATCGTCTCTATAATGACAGAGCAAAAGAGTTGGTGCAATATTTCTGACACGTACAGAACAGCAGAGCACATAGCTCTGTTCCATTAGACGGCACAGGGCGTCTTGCTAAACACCAATGCATTGTTCGCCAACACATTTCTTGCGCTCACGCAAAGACACAACCGATACGGACGCCTCTTTTTGTGCGAGAAGGCGCTTCAAGTACAGTCACACAGTGGCAAGACGAGGCAAACTCCGCCTGCTGAGGGTGGGGGCGTCCAGCACGTGAGCCCCGACGTGCCTATCATGGTCCCCCAAGAGTACGACCTATAGGGGTACGAAGGGGAAGACGTTTAAGGACGAGGTCGGGGCCACTGCGCTCAACACGAAGGCCGTTCGCGTCTTTGCCGTGGCCACGGCAGTCTACACAGGTTGTAAATGTTTTATCGGTTAACAACGACACAAAAACCATGCTCAAGAAACGAGCGTGAGCGGCTGAAGCCCCCTGTACAACGAGCGTCAGACACCACAACCGGCACGGTCTAGGATTAATTTACAGCTCCCCAGCACAGTCGGGCACGAAAGGATCCCGCACAACAACGCGAAGACCTACGATCTGATGCACAATATCTCACCACGTCATCCTCAAGATGGTAGGCCACTAAAATAATCTACATCAGACTATGTATAAGTACAACCTGCTTGAGATTCTTCATTGACAATAAAACGCAGGGGCTAAGGGGGTGACTCACAACCTCCACGCGAAGCTACGCTGTCCGCTAAAACGAAGAAAGAGGCGTTTGACGGTAAACAGGCAAGGCAGGAACAAGGAGACAGAAGGGACATGCACCCGTGCGCAAAGCAAACCAAAGCGAGGTATTCCAAGTGCGAAAACCCAACAGTATCGGAATTACGAACCTCTTTGCTGCCTGTGAATCGTACTATCTGAGAAGTAGTTAGTCAATTATTCAGGAGATAGTTGTAAGAGTTGTCCACAACCTCGACCCTTGTAGTTTCCTTACTATACCCGTCTTGACCCTCGTTGCAGACGGCCCTCTTCTAAGTCTCTATACATCGTCAGCAAGAAAGGGTTAATTTATACTTCCTAAAACAGCTCGCCCAACAGAAAAAGAGTTTCAACATCCTACATTCATCCAGCTTCGCTACAGCGGATCGGACAACAAATACCGGACTGTGGGTCTTACAATGGTTGCTCTTTTCAAGTTAGTACACTGCTATGTGTAGATAACTCTTAGCTATGCAGAAGTACATACTATCATTTCAAGATGCACTGCTGCACAATTTTTCACACACACTTATAGTACTTCTCCTTTGTTGAAAATTCATGCATGTTAGTTCTGAATGTTCGTATATTGGGAACATTTCTAGGAGGTGGAAGATGTAACTACTAATGAGTTCAATTAGAAGTACTACCTGCGAGTGATTCTGATCCCCATCCCGTCGTTTGTTGTCGTATGTTCTTCACCATTCGTAAATATAAAAGGTGAAGAGCATAGTTACACGACGTAATTATTGAGTTTGAGTCTATGAGAAGATGATTGATCATAACTTGTTTTCACAGGATTTCACGAGCTTCGCAAAATTTCGCATACGGCAAGAAATGCGTTCCTCAAGGATCATGTTTTCAGCCGATGGCTCCATCATCTTCTCAGCCGACGGCCCCATCATCTTCTCAGCCGACGGCTCCATCATCTTCTCAGCCGACGGCTCCACCATCTTCTCAGCCGACGGCCCCATCATCTTCTCAGCCGACGGCCCCATCATCTTCTCAGCCGACGGCTCCATCATCTTCTCAGGCGGCGGCTCCATCATCTTCTCGGCCGATGGCTCCATCATCTTCTCAGCCGACGGCTCCATCATCTTCTCGGCCGATGGCTCCATCATCTTCTCAGCCGACGGCTCCATCATCCTGTGGTCCGCCACGACTCCCATTTGCCCAGGTTCCGTTTCCGAGGATAAAATCCAGCTGCCGTTCAATTATCGATCCCAAAACGTCAAACTCGTCAGATACTACCTGATATACGGACGAGAAAACTCATTGATGATGATGGAAGGACCAGCACACTAAATTCGAGGGAAAATGCTCATGAAATTTTCGTAGGAGCAAGAAGAAAATCATGTTCATGCACCGTAAGACGAAAAAGTAAAAAGTAGTCACAAGATAGATTTAGAAAACAGTAAACATTAAGTACCGTTTTGTAAAATGTCTACAAAGCCGCACCACGGGAAATCTGTCCTTCCCAGCTTCTTGGCAGACAGGCTGAGAGCCGCCTTCTTTGCCTTGCTACAAGGTGGTAGGTGAAGAGGTCGACGCCTAAATCCCTAGGCCACTAGTTCAAGTGCTGCAGCAGACCGCCTCTGTCTGATACTACAATGTTGAACAACGCTTTGTCTGGTAAGTTGATGTTCCTTCGGGAAACACCAATCACGTACGAATTACCTGTCCTTCGGACCAGGTAGGATGGGTGCCTCGGACCAGGTTGTAGTTGAATATTGCACTCTTCTCAGAGTCTAATTTCGTCAGCTCCTCCAGCTGAATTAGCACTTTGCAACCACGACCTCCGCTAATTTCGTTAGCAAGTAAAAAGAGAGCACGTTGTTCGAGCGAGTCATTATTAGGTTCGCAAACAGCAAACTCAATAATAGTATTTTGTTGTTTTTCGCAAACGACGAGAAGATACGAAAGCCTAGAATGAATTTATTGGGTGCAGCCATAGACAGATTAGGAACGTCAATTCATTAGGAACGTCAATGAATTCATTAGGAACGTCTTCAATTGTGATGTTTACAACAGACATGATCATAGAACATTATACCAGAATACACCAAGAGTCAGAAAACTCCTAGCACAATGCTAGAAAAAGTTGTCGCTCAGATGATCCTCTCTCCTTGGTTAATAGCCGCTCTCCAGGCCGCTTTCTTTCACCAGTGGACACGAGTAAAACCCCAGAAAAGTGCGATGCTCAAGAATATGGCATAGCGCCATCGTGGTGATGGTCAAGAAAATCCACAAAAAAATGGTGTCCTATATCGTCCATACATGTTAGAAGTTCACACTGCAGCTAGCCTTGAAATTCAACAAGAAGTTTTACATCACCGTTTCACGACACAATCAGAATCACATTCTTCATCATCACCTCCCACAAAGGCGTCTGGTGAAATAACCATAACCTGGTACAACGACTTAAGTCTTTTGGATTTGCGCCATCATCACCTCCCACAAAAGCGTCTGGTGAAATATCCGGGTCCATACATGCCAGTTCTAAGTGTGCGGAACGCTTCGCGACAGCTAAATCGAAGCTCCGTTTCGAACTCGCGACTACATCCATGCAGGAGGTCGTACAGTGATTGTGACGTGAATATTGTCTTGTCCTTTGATACACTTGTGAGTGATTGTGAGGAGTTGGATGTTGTACTAGAAGTAGTGTTAGTAGTCTTATTCATCTTATTGGATACAACAATTGTGTCGAAAAGTCCTTCACTCACAGCCTCCGGACTGAGCCAGCGTGTCGATGGGCCCTTTGATGAACCCGCCTTTGATGAGCGACAAAACATCAAGCGCGCATAGTCGGTGAGGTTTCGTCCAGCCACTTCGTCCGCGGAAAGGTCTAGACTTGTACTACCTTGACGTTTCATCCACATCCTCTTTGGCAAACGTGGTCTGCGCTGTCTCAAATAGTGGTAAGGCAGGTGGTAGACTTGATATGGAGGGCCCATGCGAATCGAATACCCGGAATGAACTACCGTGTGAATTGGAACCAGGTGCGAGCCAGCGCTATACATCACTGTGTGCGTGTCCACTTCAGAAAGCCAAAGAGGAGGCGCGCTTTCAGTTTCATCAAGAGAAATCCCCACATCCACTGTTGGTGCTGCCACCACAGCCTTCGCATGGCGCACATCATCTTTCTCGTGCCGCACAATGTGCGTGTCCTGCATTGCTTAGATCTCAAAATAGACAGGTTTCGACAATTCTATTGTCGTGATGTAACTACATCAAGATCCATGTTAACACTACATCAAGTAAAAAAGCTCAATGAGTTTGTCAATCATCATCCAAATCCCAGAAAAAAATAACCATCTTCATAAACCAAAGCCCTGGTGACGTTGATCAAGGGTCCGATCTTGAAGATTTCGCTAATGGGGAACGAATCCAACACCTGACTGTACCGCAGAGCGAAGTCGCGTCCCGAAAGCGGATGACAGAAGACTATATCCCCTTCCGTCAGGATGAATCGTGAACCTTCTGGAATTAGAAAAGGTAAAAAATAGCTTTCCTGAGTGGTCAGACGATATTAAATCATTCGGATTAATCGATACTAGAAGTAAAACTTTCCATGAGCCGTTATCATTCTCCAATGTGCAGCTCAAATGCTTTAGTAGAAACCTAGTTCAGTACATAACTGACAGTCGTAATAGTGGAATCCGCTGAGCTATTGCGGGTACGCGCCACAGCACATAGGGCCCGAAATTTCGTTGCATGCGATACACGGAGAAAGCTGGTCTTGAGGCATCCGTTTCTTTTCTTGATCTCCTTCGATCCAGCCCAAAGTACTCAATCAGCGGTGCGTAGGAACTGTTGTTGTCAACGATGTGAAGGTTGAAATAGCCCATCTTGTGCAGTTGTGCCACTTTCCACCGGAGAGACGTAACCACAAATTAAAGGGGAAACTCAACTTCTTTCCGAAGAGCAGTTTCAGCATAGCCGCGGTGCATGAGGGAGGAGAAGTCGCATCCCCTTTTGATCATGGGGGAGTATGCCTTGTATCTATAACGATAACGATTTCATTCCGACAGCTTTCGATTTCTCTCTTCATCAACTGTCGCAATAGAATTTGAGCACAAAAAAGCACTATTTCAGAATTGCCATAAAAGATTGTAGCTGGTGATGATAATTGGCGTCAACTGGAAATTTTCTGCGTTAATAGACCAGTTCTGCACCTCGACGCCGTCTTCGTGTGGTGTCAACGACCGTACTGAGGCTTTCTTTGAAATTAGTGGGAAAACGTCTTCGATAATATTAAGAGCAACAAAATCCAGCAAACGCTTCCCCTCCGAAGCCTCAACCTCCAACACCCAAACCCCCAACTTCCGACACAAAAACTCCCAAGCCCCAAATCTCCGAGACACCAACCACAAACCAGGAACCCATGAACCCATGAACTCACGAACTCATAAAGCCATAAACTCAGGAACCCCGGAACTCAGAAACTCGCGAACTCCGAAAATCATGATCCGAGAGGTCCTTGACTGTGTTGAGAGACTTGAAACAACAAACGAGAGAGAGAAGGGACAAACCGCCGACACCCGCGCCAACGAAGGCCAACGCGTTGAAAGTGGTGCCGGTGGGTTACCTTGTTCGCCTGGCGATCTTGGTCATTTTGATGAGTTTCATCCGTCTGATCTTTGTGGACCTTTGTCAAGTTTCAAGGATTCCGATCATAGCCAACAACTTCAGAGGAACTGCTCAAAATCAAAAATTTTGATTTTTTTTAAACATTCAAACGCAGCGAATTCAATCCCAAAGCGGCAATATAATACGGAAAGCCTCGAAATTTGAGAAATTCAAAGCCAAGGCATTGGCTTTAAAAGAAAACGCTTAAAATCGAAAATTTTGGGATTTGAGAAATACAAATCCAGCGAATTTAACCCCCAAGGTGCAAAATAATAGGGAAGGCTTCGAAATGTGAGAGGTTTAAACTCAAGAAGTTGAATTTCAGAAAAAAGGCCGAAAATCAAAAATTTTGAAACTTGAGGAATCCAAGCCCAGCGAATTTAATCCCAAAGGGGCAAAATAATGAAGAAAGCTCCGAAATTTGAGAAATTCGAAGCCAGGAAGTTAAGTTTCAGACAAAGCGCTTAGCTAAAGCGAAAAGCTTTGGGATTGGAGAATTTCAAATCCAGCGAATTTAATGCGTCCCAAAGCGGCAAAATAATGCGGAAAGCTTCGAAATTTGAGCAAGTCAAATCCAAGAGATTGAATCTCAGTGAAACTGTTTAAAATAAAGGACTTGCCTTGCCTGTTCCCTGGGTTACTTCGGGAGGGGGGAATCCTAGTACGAGGGGTTCTTATCGGGCGCTCCTAGCTAGTACTAAGAGAAAAATATCTCGCAAATGAAATCTATTAAGTTTATTGAAAGAAATGAAAACCCATTACACATGCAGTTACACACGATCTTCAAAAAAATCATGGCCATAAATTCCGTTTCCCAAGTGGCTTTGATGCTTCGAATTGCTGTTTTGCGTACAGTTCCTGCAATTCGACTGGGTATTTACGCGCGTCAGGAGGATAGAATCGAAAAACCCAGCCAAATGCAACCAAAGGGCCGCAACCGCACGTGAATGACAGTATAAGCAAGAAGAAGTGAAACATGAAGAAGAACAAGGCGCGAAGGATGAGCTGGCAATATCTGGAATCTGAACGAATTTGCCTAACTAGAGGTGATGCAATGTTTATCACTGTGTGATATTTAATTAGGCTTTTCTTGTTAGCAACAAGGATATCATCAAGGAGAAAGATGCGACCCTAGAAAATCGCGCTCACATGCGACCCTAGCTAATCTAAAGCTCTGCTCAAGAGAAAAAAAAACAAACCTTTCTTAACCCGAGGTGACATCGAGGACCGAGTCCGCAGGTAGGACAGCTGGCATCTTGCTGTTAGCATATACATGGCTTCTTGCCGGGACTGAGGCTTTGCGTCCTATAAATCATTGAAGCGGATACATGAAATCTTTTGACTCTTCTTCAAGCACGAAGGTTATAAGAGAAGAATGACGGTGAGGATAATGAGGCTAGGTTATGGATCACGCACATCGATCAATGACGATGAAGATTGATGGTCATACATGAGGAACAAAGACAACGACCGACCCTTTTTTATCCACACTTTTAAGTGTAAGCCAAGTGTACAACTCTGGTACCTGGCACCGATCCCCTTCCTCCTCCTCCTGCTGCACTTGGTCCGCGGATACTTAGATGTCGAGAGACTTCCTCGAAGAAGAAACCTTCGCCAACAGAAAGAATCTGCCCACTCGCGAGACCGACTGCTACAGTCCCACTGCTTGATGCTGAGTCCTCGCTGTTGCCGACTTGGGAATGAAGATGGAGGAGGATGGACCTGGACTAGAAGTACGCAGGGATGCGATCGTACTTGCAGCACCCAAAATCACAGGAGTTCTACAAAAAATTGAAGTAGTAAATTCTAGTCGTATCTAAGTCATTATGAATGCCAGGTGTACTCATTGGAATTGATCCGCAATGAGAGTCATCTCGTCCATAAAAAACTAGACTCGTTATCGCGAAAGAAGGTCCTGGTGCTGCCGGAGGGGCGAAAACGCGCAAGGCCTGCGCATCCTCGAAAAAGAAAACTTGCGAGTTCTGCACTCCCAAAAGTGTGTGCACACCATCTGCCAAGACACAACACGAGGTAACCACATCTGATTTTTTGAGAAATGAAGATGAAGATCAACATGATGATGACATAAACAATTCACAAGGTACTTCTATCAAGTTACATGTACGATAGCGTAAGCTGTATCGATGATACAGAAAATGTGATTTAGTTGCGGTAATTATCTTTCTCATCCGATGGAGCGCAACGCACGTAATCTTCGTAGGACAAATACTAGTACGTTGCTCGACGCATGTATTCGTTAGATTGAGCTCCTCGCAATTGAAACTCGCTTTCGACACACAGAGCGCCTGAGTATGAAGGGGACTCCTTGCTTCTCGCTCATTGTGATGTATAGCATACACCAGCTATTACGATCACGAATACCACTTCTCACTCTGTTATACCAGGTCATACAAGGCAGCTTACTAGCCTCGTTGTGTAATCGCGGTATCTTCGTGAGGGAAGTACCCTGACAAGCACAAAAAGGATCTAACATCAGTACCCCATTGCAAGTGGCAAAACTATTGTAAATCTGTAAATCTATGATTACTCCCTTCTTCACACTGTTTTGGATGTCGTCGATCGATGGAGTAGAATTACTTAGTCTCCGTTCATACTGTTTTGGATGTCGTCGATCGATGGAGTAGAATTTTGTGGCTGTTTGCGCACCCCAAGTGACGAATCGTAAGGGTGGTCGCTCGCCAGGTATCCGGACCTTGTAAAAATAACGTCCTTCCACTGGACATGCAGTCTTCTCTGAGCGTGTACTGCGATCCGCAACGAGGGGATATGAGAGGGTACTATGAGGGTACTCATCTACGACTTTTTGGGATATTAGGTTACTTCATGTACTGGGTAAGATATAGCCCGAGTACGAACAAGAGGCGAATGTATTTATGAAATAGAACAACTAGTACGATCCGCCCTGTGTACCAATCCATAGTTGTACTTAATCCTTCACCAAAACCAATTCATACAGCGTTTTTTCCCGTTGGTCTGTAGCGCAGTTCTGAGCTGAAATTCACGACATTATCCCAGGTGGAAAGAACCGGCAGAGGTGTGATACCATTAATAGCACGAAGTCCGGATGGCACCAAACTACTACTCTGTACGCAAGTCACGACGTGTAGTGGCTTATCTGGATGATGTTGCTACAAGTCGCGACGTGTAGTGGCTTAATATCTCATTGATATTCATGTTGCTTGATGGTCATATTGAAAATGTTCTTCTCTGTGAGAGGCAAACGGTGCTTTTGCTTCATTTGATACACTGATACCGATTGTATCATAGCGTATCACTCTCGCTTTCGGTAATCCATTTTTGCTGGTAATATTGAACATTAATCTAAATACCATGACTAGCGTTCCTTCTTGTGGTTGAGTTGCCGAGGCCTTTCCCTACCAGTTCCCAAACGCCCATCGTCCGATTGCGTTCGATTGAAAAATTAGAGAGTGGTGAAGATAGCTTTCTATTCAGAAGTTATGCATTATAGTTATACTATTGAGAGAAAATGCGAACAAGTTCCTTGATTTTCTAGCCCAACAGGACTATAATCACTCAGGCATCATTATAGATACTCAAGCATCCATGTCCATGGTGAAATTACTGCTGCTAGGAGTAGGACAATCCAGTTCCAGATCTATCATGAATGCAAGCAGGTTCTTAAAAATCAGTTTGCTGCCATCCGCAGTGAAAGCCAACTGGTCGATCTCCGTCATATGATGGCATAATGGCCCATAGCTCCCTTTTCCGAAGTCTGCTGATATTAGAACCGTGTCCGAATCATGTGGGTGTGCTGATGCTCGTAGAATATGTCTAGGGAAAGGTATCATTATGGAGCGTCTTGCTATAACAAGGTAGATCGTGCACCTTGTAGTAGTTACATCGAAACTAGAACGCGAACTAGATATGAAGGAGCACCTACTACTACATCTAGACAATTTGATACCAACATGGTATTCATCATGGTGCATAAGAAAACACGCAGTTCTGTGAAAGTATTGCCTGTCGGAGCACCAGCAGCAGCAACCAAAGGTACAATAGCTGATACTGGGACCTGAATAAGAATTGAGTGACCGACAAATAAAGACAAACTGTACTCGTATCTTCATCGACGATAAAATGTCGTGTCTCGACTTACTTACAACTACGTGTCATTAGTATAGTCTCGTTTTTCTTAGGTCTTTATGCTACTGCTACTGTTAGAAGCAAGAGCAACAAAAACTATCATACATCTTCCTCTTCTCTACTACGGTAGGATCATCAATTATAACAATCAGATACTTAAATAGGTTCCTTGTACCGCGCTCTCCACCAGTCCACTCTTGCATAGCGTGAGAGCTGTGATGAGAGAGGCCAACGGCATAAACACTTGTGCCGGTCCCTGCGCAGCGATCACGACATTTTTAGCCCTTCTCTATATTCATCTTGAAGCGCATCTTTGACCCCTTTTCCCCTTGGAGGAAGTGTTTCAACGTAAGATGCTTCTTAAGTAAGATGAATTTGGGGAAGCCGTAACATTTCCGGCAGCATAGATGAGCTTCTCTTCGAAAGGAAAAACGCCTAAATCCGCATTGAAACCGACTACACTTGCAAGCCGAGGCGGGTTACTCGAGTTTACACTAGTATTAGCTGCCATTGTCGTCGGTATTTATGTTGTTCTAGGTAGAAGATGGTGGCACTCTGTTGTCCAAGGTGGATGGTCGTACTCTGTTGTCCCAGGTGACTGGTGTTTATGTTGCCCAAGGTTCCAGGTGGATGGACTGATTGTAATCTTCAGTCTAGCAACAGTAGATGGTCTCGTCTGCAGGTGGTCAGTAATTGCAGTCCTCGTACTATTCGAGTAGGTGGTCTATGTAGTAGTACTACTAGATGAAGTAGTAGCAGTGGTGGTAGTTGTAGTCGATGATGATGCACTACAGTATCTGTAACAATGTTGTCGCCACCGACTTCATGTTGTTGTTCTTCCCACAAGTTTCAGCCGTAAGCGATGAAAATATCGCCACTTGTTGTTCCCACTACCAGTCGGCTCAGTGACCGTTCCAGGGACAGCGGATGAGAACGATAATCAGTGGCGAGGATGAGGATGAGCACACATTGTGAGAAAATGACTGTGGTGGTCGAAGGCCTCAAGTCAGCATCTCGACGAAGTTACGGTGGTGGCACGTCTACTTGGAACCTCAGCAGCTTACCGCAGCAGCCATGCCGTCTGAAGGCACATGCTACGTCGTTGCATTCACGATCCACGATCATTTACATTTTCCTTGACATCATTGACGATCGATAATGTCTCGTAGCTGATGCACGACTTAATGTTAATTCAGTTGAAAGATCATTAAGAGCTCGTCCTCCTCCTTCAGTATGTTCTATTGCCTAAACAAATACGCCATCACTAGTCCCTAGAACCCCCAACCAATACAATACAATGAATCTCGCACAAAGATCAACGCAGACTGCCATAGGGGCGTCTACTTAGAGGCTCGGCACGATGTTACCACAAACAGTTTAAAAGAATGAATCATCTCTGCCGCCCCCCTTCTTTATCCCCTTTTCTACCTGGTTGGGCACATCATAATCACGTTTTTATCCCCTCTGCACACGTGAAAATTTACTGCCGTCTTTTTGGAGCTTTCTGCGAATAAGAAAGTCTTTTCCTTTTGGCACTCGCTTTGTTGCTCATACATCAGGAGCAAAATAATTCAAGAGATTCTCACGCGAACCTTTTTCTTGCTACTGACTCTACAGTCTCTCCTCTTATCGTGCAGGAAAACCTGAAGCCCAGGCAAAAATGGAAGTACTTCTGCGCTCTTCTAGTCTATGAAGATAATTGCCTTGGTTCACACATCTTCTCTCTTACTCTCCTGTTGTAACATAGTTTTAAACTTCCGTCTTGGTGTGTTTCCTACTCGCAAGTTTGTTCAATACTGAATTTATAAGCAATTTCTATTTCATCAATTTGTACAAGGGGTAATATGAAGTCATTTTCTTTCTTCACTATGATCCATACAAGGAGCTTCAGGGTCTCAGTTGGCATATTTTGGGAGGGGGGGTGCATTCTCCGCGCATTGCTTCCTATATACAGAATTTGCCTCGTCGGGTTCAAGAGTTCAGAGGGTCTCACTCGAACCAGATCTTTTTTTTTTTTGTATCCCGAGGCTACTAAATGAGCGGCCTCAGCTTTATCCGGTTCGCAAACCGACGGCAGGTGGAGTCCGGTTACCTCCTTATAATACAGCGCACTAATTGCCTACGAACCCGCCGATTCTAAAATGGTGAACCCTAGGGGCAAAGGAGGCGGATTACGAGTCTTATATAAACCTCCACCGGCTGCCAACCGTCCCACTCTTATGCGCCTACCTTCAAGGCACGAGCGCAGGGGAGGCCAGATCGCTACATCATCAGTTCGTCTCGCAATCGTTCGTCGATACATATGTACAGATTTAATTTCAATTAATGACCCTGCGTCTTCACAAGTTTGACTAAGTTAGCTTTGACTGTAGCGAAACATAATTCCCACGCCTTCATATCTTAATTCTGTTCCTTGGCTGTATCTCCTGACTAGTAGATCGATCTGTGTACAAGTTTTTGCTATCTCAAATAACCGTCTGCAATTTCATTACACTTGACTTTTTTTAGTTCGTCTATCTGAAAAGTTCAATCTCATCAGTCGAGGTTGTAGTTCTAGTTCTTCATTCGTCGTAAATGCCATCGTCTATAATTTCTGTCCTTCCATAGTACACGTCAAAACTTCACTTTTTCTGTTCTTTGCTTTGAACTCAAATAAAGTTAACTTTCTGTCGTCCTTTCCGAATCATCGTCGCCATAATTTTCTGTGCCAGAACATTTCTTTCTCTGTTATCTAATTCGATGCTGTCAATTGTATGTCCCTACTAACTACCTCTGGTCTATTACTTCTAATGTTGGCAACATATTATCACGAATCAATCAAATAGAATTAGTGCTAAACTGTCTCCTATATCTTGTTCGAAAAGTTGTCACTTCATCTTCATCTCTCGTTATGGTTCTAATTTCTACCGGTAAGTCATAACTTTTACTCCCGCAATAATTTCTCCCGTTATTAAGTTATAACTTCTACTCCCGTTATAATTTCTCCCGTTAACTTATAACTTCTGCTTCCGTTATTCTAACAACTTCTCCCGATATTATAACTTCTCCCGTTGTCATAACTCCTCCCATTACGAGGGTTATGAACACTCACGACTCCGCGCCCCCCCCCTCAAGCTCGAAGCCCTAGCTTCGAACCCACTCCCTCTTTCCAAGGTTAGGAAGCACCAGCCCCCGCAAAGGCTGTTTCTGAATCCTTCACCACATTAGAGGAAAAACACATTCGGAGAAGGAATGCTAGACTATTACAGAAAAGTGTTCTAGAACGCACCCCAGTTGAGCTTGCTAACTATGCGAGATCTCATCAGGGTATGCTAGGACTTGGCGCCTTCCTTTGTCCTTGTGCTCCATGATGGCGAAAGGGCGCCAAGATTCTGAGGGAGACGAATATACAGCGACCATAACCACTGCAGAGGTAGTGGGAGTGTTTCCATTGCGGCGCTCGCGAGCCTTGAACGACGACGGGCGCCGTAAGTCGCCAATTTCCAGCATGCCACTCGCATCGATGACGGCCTCGTTTACTCCTCCATCCATATCTGCAACCTTGGCGTTAGAGCAGTACTTTTGTTCTTGATGTAAATTATATTACCTGATAGCACCGTATTACCCATCTAGAAAAAACAGCAACGAAGATAATCATACAAAGGGACAAATACATGTTAGTAGACAAGTTATATAACATAAACATAACTACACGTATAGGCACAGCACATTCATATCCTAATGAAGCTATTGGATTCGGAATCTAAACAGAACTAATCTTGGAGGCAATCACTTATTGTTATTTCTGACTAAGTAATAATGCATAATGATAGTTACCTTCCTATTTGAGGCAACAATCACCACGCATAGTATAATGTGTGAAAACCCTACTACGACAAGGCTGCAAGTCCAACATAACAAAATGCGCAGGCGACTCGAGAAGCGATTGCTGCGCCAGCCCCTCTCGCTTCGGTGGCGCAAAGCGACGACTGGGTGGGTCCGGGCTTCCGTTACTAGCAGTAGCAGCCCTCATGATGAACAAGTGAGTACTGACTGTCTCTCGATTAACATGAAACTCTGAATGCCCTGGCGTCAGAAATTCTTTCGCCTTACTTAAGGACAAAGTTGTGAAGAAACGAGCCCCCACTTCCTTGCGACACTTGTCGAAGACCTTCAGAGGCCAATATGCGACACTTGTCGAGGACCTTCAAAAGCCAATAATCTCCATAACTCGAAGAGTCTGCTTCTGCGTATGCGAACTCGCTGAATGCGGCGCCCCAGCTGTCTTGCCTTCTGGAAAAAAATTAGAAAAAGTGTCAATCTCCGAGTATGATCCTAGTCTCGGGAACTAAAACTTGGAATCTCCATGGAGCTGTAAATCTAAACCCCACCTCCGAAACTTGTCAACGACAATTGAAAGCGAATAATATTCATAACTTGACTAAGACTACCCTCGCTCGATGCAAGCAACAGTGGTGGCTGCCCTGCGGGCAAACTCGGAGGGGCGCCTCCGGGTGGCGAGCTCGGCGGGAATTGTGGCGCCGCAGCTGTCGCGCCTTCTCGAAAAAAATTAGAAAAAGTGTCAATCTCCGAACGTCCTTGTCTCAGAGACTACACCTTGGAACCTCTATGGAGATGTAAATCGAAACCCCACCTACGACATTTGTCGACGACAATCGAAAGCAAAAAATGTTCATAACTAGAAGGGCCTGCTTCTCGAAGATCGAAATGGCGTTACTAAGCTTCTCGAGGCTACGCTGGTCGACGTCGCAAGTCAGAGCGTGCGGAAAGACTACTTGCTCGTAGAAAGATGCAAGAACTCGTTGACTTTCAACGAGGCGATCTGTTGTTTTTAGGGGTGCATGTTCTAGTTCTCCATCCATCTCCAATGGTGGTATTGGCGGAGCAAAGCGCGTGCTAGCCTCCTCGTTTCCTGACATCCATGAGCGACACCATTCCACCCGATTGCCGTGGCTATCCATAGCGCTTTGACCTAGAGATTGTGTCGGAGATCCATCGTTACTCTCTATGGATGAAGTCCACTCCCGACTGCGTGTCACCCACTCTGGTGTTGCTACGTCGGTGTCATCGCCACGGATCAAGATCTGCTTTCTTCCGTCCACGAAGCGCTCTCGCCCCATCTCGTATAGCAACATGCCCACCGTCCACGGAGCCCACGTCTTCGACAACACACAGGTAGGCACTACCGCATCAGGCGCAATTGCAAGTTCATGCTGTGCAAGTTCTGCGTGCTTCAGATTTGCTGTTGACAAAACCAACCGCGGGTCTACGTAGCGTGGCTCCATGGCTCTGAAGGTTGCGAACTCCCTTTGCGTATCTTCCGTACACTCATCCGGATAGGCCAAGTCCAAGTAACCAAGCTGCAGAGCAAACGCAGAGTCAGATCCGCTTCCTTCCTGTGGAGCCCGCACTGCTTGGAAGATGTCCGAACCCATGCGAAGGTGTGCGTATCCCGCTTTATGCAGCTCCCGGGTGCTCTCAACAATGTCGCGAGACCATGCGGCGAGATCTGCACGCAAAGCTGATGCATCTTCGACTCGGTTCGAAACCACTAGAGGACGGGTCACAGTGAGCTGCTGACTCGTCGGAATCACGTATGCAAATACCATGTGAAAGGCAACTTGTACTTCTACTTTCGTGGGATCGCTGCCATCTACACCAAACGGCAGCGGCATGCTCTTTGCGAGCCAGATTTCGGAGGCTGACAAGACGTGCGGGGCGTCGTGTGCCGACATGTCGGAGTGAATGCACGCAGCTCGCTGGTTGAAGAGAGGAAAACCATTCTTGAAATCGTCATACGTAATTCCCACGCCGTCGAGGACATGCTCGGTGGTGGCTCCCGTCGTGTCGAGCAGTCGCTCAGATGTCGGCCACCTCCAGGCCTGATGCCGAAAGAGAACATTCTTCGCGGTGCCGTCGAACTCTTTCACCTCCATGATGAAAATCGATGTCTCACCTTCGGCCTCCGGGTGGTTGTCCCCCATGCTCGGATAGATTTGCGCGAGGCTACTCAACTCCTCCTCTTTGATCCTCCGAAAAGCGACTCTTTGATCCAGAGCTATGTGACTCCTCGCACTAGAAGAACCAGACGCAGCCTGCTCACGCAACTGTAGCGGCTCCAGGCGGATCGAACTTACGTCCAAATGGGACCTGCATCGCGGTGTAGCTCCTTCAATATCCTCTAGAGGAAAGACCGCCCGCTTCCAGGGAAGCGGCTGTGATGATACCGCAGGATGATCGAGATTAGGCGTAGGTAGCAGCACACCGAGATCGGGTACATGATGCAGCCACATGACCGGGTCGTCGGTGAAGTCGATGGTACGCGGCAACAGCCGGGTCAAATCGATTTCACCACTTGCATCTATCACTGTGCCAGTCGGCAACACTGCGGCACGAGCGTACTCCCACCGGAGCGGAGTTGCAGTTTGGAGCGCGCCCGAATTGGCGACCAGGTCGGTCTGCTGATACCGCGCTCGATTCAGTTCATCCCACGCGAATTGTTTCAGAGCCTCCGCAAGTTTGTCCAGATTACGACGGGACGGGTCACACGTCAGAGCATGTTTGAAAACAACGTCGTTGAGAAATCGTCCCACAAAAGCGTTGGCCACATCCTCTCTTTCTGTCATCTCCCCCGAAGGTCGAGGTGGCGCATCACTGCCTCCGAGACTGTCTACTAGTCGTAGCTCCTCTCTACACCATCGTAGTTTTGGGTACCTCGCGTCCTCCATGCGCATCTCAACCCACTCTACAGCATCCTCTGCCCACTGCAAATTGCCCATGCCTAGTTGTCGAACATACTCAGCAGCCATTTCATACAGCATTACCCCGACAGACCACACGTCAGACTGAACGAAGGTTACGTGAGAAATGCGAGAGATCTGGTCCCGTCTTCGGAGCTGCTTCTTGGTGTTCGGCGTGATGAAAGAACAAATTGCAAACAAGAAACTAGACGGAAAAAGATAAAGTATTGTCCAAATCCATTGTGTCCCTATTTAAGCATTAGCATAATCCAATCTATTTCCTGAAATGAATGACAGCTTTGCATTTGCATTGCTGCACGAAGACCTAGGATGTACTACGATTGAGATAACAAACCGATAAGGTTTTCTAGGACTACAAGACCGAAATCGGCGCATCCAACTACTTGCAATTGTCCTAAAAGATAGTTGACCGACTCTCAATTTAAGTGAATTCCACAAAGAAACTCAGAACAAGTTAATAAATACATAAATCTTTCTGGACAATCGGATTGCCTACTTTGAGTTTTCTTTCGTGTTGGATCTGTACCAGCCTCGGGAAGCTATGAAGATACTATAGGTCATACTCGTGTGGTGTCGGTAGCAAAAGTAACAAGTTCTAAAATCTATAGAAACCCTCTTCATATCATTATCAGCTTCAGCATCCTTTGCCGCTCTATGAATTAGCGCAAGGGGATCGATGTACTCCTCTGTGCCACGGGCAACAGAAGCCGGCTCAGCCTCAGAGAACTGCATTTTTGCCGGACGCGCCATGCCCAAGTCGGTCAAGCGAAGCCGACGGTGTGTGCTTGGGTCGGGAGAACTTGAAGGCGGCGCCTTTTCTCCACCTGAATCAGGACGATCGTGTGCTTGCTCGCCACCATGGTCTCGCTGAATTCTCTGGTTCGTGTCGCACATGAAGTTCTCTCTTTTGATATTATCATGAGCATAGCCGAGATCATGAAGCGCTCGCACACCTTCTACGATCTCGCTGGAAAAAGCGAACATTAGAAGAGGCCTCCACGCTGCATCCCTGCAACATGTCGCTCACGCATATCCCTTGGATATACTTGAAGGATTCGCATTGGGATGGATTGGTCGTGGAATCCATAGGAGTAGTTCACCGGCCCCGTGTTTGAAGACGCTTCGTTCTTCTAAACGGAGTTCTTTCCGCTCCATCGTGTTTTGCTCGGAGTCGCTTTTTTGGAGATCCAAATAGTCCCCCAGCTGCAGAAACTCCTGGACGTAAACTAGATGGAGATATTCCGCACCATCGGTGGCGCGGTTTTTCACAATCCACACTTCATGAACAGGAACAACACGTGCATCCGCTCCTACGCCGCGCTGCCGCTCCGAAACGTCGAAGTTTAGAAGTAGTGTCTCATTATTCGCAATGAAGTGAATGGCTTTCTTTCGCCTTATAAATTGACCTTTTAATCAAAGAGGGTCTCACTCAGGACGATAATAACACAGGATACTAAAAGAATACTCCCCTTAACAAGCTGATACAAGCCTCCTGCAATGCTTGGCGAATCAGAGTATCACGTGTCCCACTAAGAATGTGCTCGATCTCCCTTTCATCGACTTCGATAGGCCCTTGCCCATTTCCCGACTTACGGAGCTTCTTCGCTGTATGCCGGAGCACGTAGAAATCACCACCAAGCCATGGAGTTCGAGACGGAGAGCTCCCTCGTCGCTCCCGCTGAAGATCTTCTAGGTACAGCTCGTAGGTTCGTGCAAATGCGCCCCCTCCGACGAGGCGGAGGGGCTTGTTGGTCGACTCCGCATAATGGCGATACAATTGGCCGTTTACACGCTTCTTGGGACTAAATTGACGCAACACGGACCCCAGGTATGACCTTTTACTAGGTTTGTCGAGTTTGACTTTCAGTTTTGTCAAATCCTGACACATGACAGAAGAGTCGCCGTTTTCGCCGTTTTCCTTCCCGAATTAGAGCAGCCCGTAACAATACAATATCGATCTTTTACTATTTGCAATCTACGACGAACATCTTCAGCGTCCTTGAAGCAGACAAAGACTACTACCACCCAGGGATATGAATCTTCAAAAATGTTCTTGCAATCTTCCAGCATATATTTACATATATTTTTTGTGGTGGAGCCGACCTAACTAGAAAAAAGACAGACCAGAGGAAGATATAGAAGAGAAAAGGGTAACTATCGACAAGTATCCTAAAGTGTCCTGCTAACTGCTAAAACTAACTAAGCGCCGGCGCTATCGTCGTCCTGTCAGCCCCATAGGTCTCACCTTCAAAGGCAGGCCGGAGCCCTGTGCAACGCCTCCGGTGAGTGCTCAGCTCTCTGGTTGTGTGCACAGGTTTATTTGCTATGGGGCACCGGTTCACCAAATAAACCCACAACCAGAGAGAAGGACCCTCGCTACTTTATATCTACTGCGAACCTATACTACTTTATACTACTAGCATATATTTACATATACATTTTTCATACAGCCGTAATCAAGACGAAAAATACGCCACGGCGATGCAACCAAATCCTCCGCGAAGTCCGGATCGTTTTCCAGCGAGTCACCGTTTGCTTGTGCGGGAGGACGAAGGAGAAGCTCTTCCAGAGGCGGAACCTTGTCCATAAAATGGTCTTTCTCCGTACCGACCGGCGACATTTCCCGCTTTTGCTCTATGCCTGTTTTGATTGACTTTCCACTGTCCGACAGATTCAACATGTCGCTCCTCTGCGGCGCATCAGTGGTCTCCGAACGTTGCTTCTCGAACTTCAAGATGTTGTCGAGAAGGCTATCAAGACCACGTTCGTTGACATCGCAAGTCAGAGCGTGCGGAAAGACTACTTCCTTGTAGAAAGATGCAAGGACTTGTCGACTTGCAGCGAGGCGACGACCTGTTTCATCATCCTCTCCGTCGATATTTGCTAGCTCTTTCTGCGTCACGGTCACCTGCAGTGGTGGAATTGGCGGAGCAAACTTGCTATTCACGTCGCCCCGAACGCCTGCGCGACACCATTGGACCGGTTTGTCGTCGACGGCGTGGCCCTTTGCGACGTCCGCCCAGTGCCGAATGTCGATCACCCAATCTGGTACTGCTACGTCGGAGCCCAAGATCTGCTTGTGGTCCTGCATGAAGCGCTCCACCCCCATTTCGTATAGCAGGATGCCCGCCGTCCACGGAATCCACGTATTCGACGACCCACAGGTTGGCAGTGCCGGCACATTGCCTGCATTTATTTGCTCTGGCTGCTGTTGGTTGGCTACATCCCGTGGGTGCTGCGGCTTTGCTCTTGGCAAAATCGACCGCGGGTCTAGGTAGCGTGGCTCTAGTTGTGGATACTGTTCGAACAGCGTTCGCGCTGATACATCCGTACAGCCAACGTGACTCTCGCGTAGTTCCAGGTCAACGTGATCACGCTCAATACCGGATCCCCCTCCGACTTCTGTAGCGTGGACTACTTGGAAGCTGTGTGGAGCCATGCAGAGGTGTGCGAATCCCGCTCTACTAAGCTCCCGCCTGCTTTCAACAATGTCGTGAGACCATGCGGCGAGATCTGCACGCAAAACTGATGCATCTTCGAGTTCGCCCCTACTCAGAGACCGTCGAAGGCTCCCAACACTACTTGCTCTTGGAGAGGCCGACGCAGCACCGAAGTTCGCAGCCAGTGCTCTGCCAGCAGGAAAAGCATAAACGTACACCATGTGAAGAGCGGCACCTGTCCCGCCAATACCTCGAACGAGCTTGCTCTCAGCAGCCCATACTTCGCTGGCTGACAAGACGTGCGGGGCCGATTGTGAGGACAGGCCAAGATGAGAACACGCCGTCAGCAATTCGCCATCGTTCACTTCGACACGCCTCGGGGATCCAGCAGCATTGCTGTCCGATCTCGATGGGCCAGAAGAGACACGCACATGATGCCGAAGCAGAATCGTACCGCTGCCAACAGTGACGCTGTAAAATCGCGGCTCCTGCTCAAGAGCATTTATCTGATCGTCGCTCCCCAAGCTCGGAAAGATTTGCGAGAAATCGATCAACTTGTCGCCAGCGATCTCCGTGAGGCTAGCCTCCTCGCTGGAAGCTATCTCATTCCACACGCTAGAAACTCCTTGCTGCCCCGCCCCCAGGCGTTGGCGTAGCGGCTCAAACCTGATGGCATCCCTGGCGTAAGCAAAAGTACACAGCGTTTCGGCGGGCCGTGACTCATCTTGCGAAGGAAAAGACACCTGGTTCCAGCGGGGCGACTTCTGTTCCGTCGACGCGGAAGTAAGAGAAAGAAGAAGTTCCGGGAGTTGTGGCAGGCTTTGCAGCAACATGCAGTCCTCCTCAGTAGAGTCGTCCTGGTCTTCGCCGGACAAGACAGAATCCTGGGTATGGTCGCTCTCCTTAACGTCCTTGTCAGAAGGCAGCAGCCTATTCAAATCGATGCGCATAGCAGCAATTTCCTTCTCTCGATCGTCCACTGATTCACCGGGGCGAGGTTCCAGCGTTGCTGCATGCGTGTCGCCGTGACGCAGAAGAGTCAAAGGAATCTCATTTTCTCTCGCATTCGAATTAGCAGCGTCTTCGTCCCGTCGGGCGAAAATGAATTCACGTTTCGCAAACTTATCCAGAGCCGACGCGAGCTCGTCCAGACTGCGCTTTGTCGGGTCACATGTCAGAGCATGTGCGAAAACAACTTCCTCCAAAAATCGTCGCACAAATTCCTCGGTAGTGTACATCATGCGATTTTCCCGTTGCTTGTGTGGCGGGTCTGACGCGCTGACTTGCCTGTCCTTCACGGCGGGAGGTCTGGGCGGGCGATCTTGAACGGGCGCTTCGAAACCCTGGAACACAGCTATGCACCAGCGGACTTTCTTGGACATCTTCGCGCGAATATCGTCACGGAACCATTCCTGAGCCCGGAGTACCCAACGCGGAATCTTGGTACTAATTCCCAGTCTCCTAAAAAGCCGGAAAGCCATGCTGTACAGCATCATCCCAATAGACCAAACGTCGGACATGGCGAAGGTTAAGGATACAGCAGAGAGAAACACTCCCTTGTGGGATTCATTTTTCAAGACCGTTGTCCACCAGGGATCATTCTCCAAAGCCTTGGAAAGCCACCCTGGCCATTTCCAAAACCGCAAGGCACTAAGCAACCTTAAACTTAATCCCGGCTGGCATGTGATGAAGACGGGGAAAGGGAGATAGAACAATGCGGGCTAGAGGGATCCTCCTGGAAACTATATATAATTAGCTATACATACATAGTATTAGTCGGGCGCTTACATCTTATCGCCCTGAGCTGCTGTCAAGTCGCTCACTTCGAGATGTCACTTGTTTTGTATTTGCACTGTCTGGAGAGGCGGAAGACCCGCTGCAGAAGATGTTTGGATAATAGGCTCGTATCAAACCCGGGTCATAAGAGTAATCGGCTGATGCTCCTTCTGGTACCTCTTATAATCGAGAGCAATAGCCGCAACGGGATCGAGAAACGCGACGGTCCCGGCCAATCCGGACTCCGGCTCCACGTGCATTTTCGCCGGGAGCGCAGCCCCGAAGTCGGCCAAGCGAACTCGTAGTCGTCTGAAAACGTCGGGTCGAGTTGACGGCGACGACTTAACTGAAGCTGGCGCCGAAACTTGTTCAACAGGATTGCTGCCCCGCTGCCCCCTTCCCGTAGGATCCTCACGTTGCGGTATCTGCCTCTTCATCTCGCACATGAAGTTCTCCTCTTTGATGTCACGATGAGCGTAGCCTAACTGATGAAGCCCTCGCACGTCCTCCACAACCTCGTTGGAGAACGCAAGTGTTAGAGCTCGCCACATTTAATCTCCGTTGCGAATCTCTCAAGTACTTATATCCTTTAGATGTGCTTGGAGGATCAGGTTGGGGATGAGTTAGTGGCAGCCTTAAGAGTAGATTAGCAGCCGCGCGCTCCACTTGTACCCCCCTCTGCTGCTCTCGAAGAACAGCTAGAAAGTCTCCCCGTTGAAAAAAGTCCATGACGTAAACTAGATGAAGATACACCGCGCCGTCGTCAGCGGTGCTCCTCAAAATCCACATTTCATGAACAGGAACAACACGCGGATCTGCTGTTCGACTCTGACGCTTCGAAACGTCGAAGTTGATACAAGCCTCCTGCAATTCTCGCCGAATCAAGTTGGACGTGTCGTCTTCGTCGTCACCAGCACCACGAAGAGGACTCCGCTCAAGGATTGCATTCAAGTGCCCAGCACTCAAATCCCCCGAATCCAAGGGGTTTCGCTTCGGAAGCTTGACTGCTGTATGCCGCAACGCGTATGCAGTTTTCCCAGGAGAAGTTGACAAGCTCCCTCTTCGCTCTTCTGGATCTTCTAGTTCAACCTTGTAGACATTTGCTTGGGCACCGTGATTGATAATCTTGAGTTTTGCTGGCGATTTTCCGGTCACTTTCTGCAGAACGGACCCCAAGTATGAAGCACGACTCTGCGAAGGCTCTTCAAGATTCACTTCGACTTTCCTCAAATCCTCGCATAGTGGCATGGTCCTGTCGCTCGTCGTGCCTGGCACTTCTTCTTTCCGGTCAAATTAGAACCCAGTTAAAAATACTCTTAGGCTTCACCTAGAGCATAACATCATAAATATAATCACTTAAATCATTCGCATCCTAATGAAGCTAGATAGCACCCTAGAGCTTGTGTCTTTCAAGTTGACAGGGGTCCACGATATGGATATCGATCTTCAATGTTAAGCGATAAGAGGATGCATTTATCTTAAACCTTAAACTTTTCACGAAGATACATTCTTAGCACAGCCTTAATCAACACCGAATATACGCCACCGCGATTTCAAATCCGACTCGCCGTCGAAGGTTACAGGCTGACTTCCGGTGGGACCAAGGAGAAGCTCGTTCAGATCTGCCATAGCGTGTTTTTCTTCGTCATTCCATGGATTCGGAAGCCAGCGGTGCACCCCGCTTCCCCACTCTTGCTCTATGCCTTCTTCAATTGACATCCCTACTTTTCGCTGCTGTGCCACGTCTATCCCGCTTGCTCCAGGCACAAGGATTGCAGCTAGAAACACGCATCGCATGGCGAGGATAAATGCTTGCAGCCGCCACTCGCGAGCCACGTTTGCAGCAATGCTGCTCGTGAAGCTGAACAACATGGTTGCACCCGGAAGCGGACCTGTCGACGCAACGTGCAACCGTCAGCACAGAGGACCTGTTGATGATAATGTTATCATTTTAATCTAATTGACATTTAATTTATTGCTAGTTTTTATCGTCCTGAAATATGAGTAGTTTTCTGGTAAAGATGACCTAGAATTCCTCATCAAAGAGATACTCCGTGTGCTAGAATCAAATCAGAGAGAACAATGCAAAACAAAAATACCTCTCTCAATTTTCTTTTTTTTCGGCTGTTATGATCATCTACTATGTCGACGCCCACAGTCAACAAGTCCTCGCGTCCTCGTTACCCTGTCGTTTACACTTTAACGTGCTTTACAGACTCATGTTCTATAAAGCTCGACTGCACTGCTACCGCAAAAAACCACAGCAGCGTAGTAATGTTCAATATCAATGTTCGCAAGGTGTGAAGTGTGTATCTGGCCTCAATCGTCAATAAAATCGGGCCGAAAACGGACTACCGTGGAGCGGGCTATCGTAGCCTTGTTCGGGAGCCGCGGGCCGCGGCTCCCCCCGCGATCTTCCCTTCTTCCTACTGCGAGTAGAAACGGATCTGTTTCTGCGGTGTTGTCAAGTCCATGTGGTATCAAATAATGCCATCAAATACCAAGATCCATCAGACGAAATCTAAATCAGCAAAGAACTACTTCTCATATAACAAGTAGTAACTACCTAGGTACAGGTAGTCACGACCTACCTATCAGATCAGAAAGCAATTGTCGAAGAGTTGGTAAAAGTTCTTTGCTGTTTTTTTTTGCGTTTTTTGGGACGACAGGTTTTTAGTTGGAAGGTACAAAAGGGATGAATACTTCAGCCTTCCTAGTATAATCGATGACTTTTTCGTGGGTAGACAGGTGGAGGAGATCGAAGGCTGGTTTCTGAATCTGTCTCTCGTCGATTTTTGGACCGATCTTTCTCGAAATTCATATCATCTGTCAGATAATTATATTGCGAAACCCGATAAAACACCCTTCGACACCGAAAGCCTGCAAAGCATTTTACAACGAGAGCAAAGAAATGTCTCAATTCAATTCGGAGAAATATCCACCTTGCACAAAGTCTTTTTTTTTTGTAGTGCGAGCGAGTTCCGATAAATCAAAACCAAATTATACTTAGTAAGGAATAATTGTACACTTTTCCAAAACAAGACAACACACACACAACAGCAACACACACACAACAGCAACACACACACAACAGCAACACACACACAACAGCAACACACACACACAACAGCAACACACACACAACAGCAACACACACACAACAGCAACACACACACAACACCAACACACACACAACACCAACACACACACAACACCGACACACACACAACACCAACACACACACAACA